CGGATCCCCGATTTCCGAGGGATCCGTGGACTGGGTCGCGGGGCTTTCCTGCAAGAGACGTCCTTGAATATGACATAGGAAAGCAACATCTGTTGGATAGGCGAAGAAGTTGCGTTTCTTATCGCAATGCAGTCGAAGCCAAGCTTCAGGGGCAGACACGCCCTCTGCAAACATAAAGTACGCCACTGCCAACAGCGAGCTTTCGGTATAACCGTCCGCGCAGTGGATGAGAATCTTCCGGGGTTTCCCGCTCGATTTAGTCATTACGACATCTCCGTCGGTCTCGAGCTCTTCCGATGAAGTTTCCGGGTGTGCGAGATAGTAGATCCACCTGATGGTGTTGACAATATCCTCCACTTCCCGTGTGTTCCCTGATGGAAGCACGAGAGATCCCGATGAGGGGAAACTCTAAGCGCTGGGGACCACTTTCTATCTGTTTGTCGAGCATTGCGAGGAACCGTGGACCAGGAATGTTTGCCATGTCGCATGCCTCGATTAACAGGTCATAGCCCTCTTCCTCTGGTGACCCAAGAGCTTCAATGTGGAAGGACTCCGGAGTAGGCCCGAGCCAAACATTACGCGAAATCTCGGATGCCTGGGACATAGTAGACATTTCCAGTCGCTCCCATTGGACTATCAAATGGTTAGCATAAACTCTAGGCGCGCCGAGGTTCCTTTGAAGTTACCGAAATCCATAACTTGGCCTGTCGGTAGACCTCTCGCATCGATGGCAATGATCTCTGGATGTTTCTCGGCAACATTGGAAAATTTGTCTGGGGAAGTATATCAATCGCTAGTCCATGAATGCGAGAAATGGGGTAGAGTAACGAACCGGCAAGAATGAAGGTGTTGTACGTCGGTCGCTCCTCCAGGGGATCCATTTTCGTTCGCCATAACCGTTGCGCTTTGGCAAACTGGTTGGCTAGTTCAACAAGTCCGCTATGACTGTTATTATCTTCAGCATAAATCACAATATCCGACATCGCAGCCAGCTTCGCAGTTTGTATTTGGAAATTTCGGACGGAGAATCCCTCGGGAGGATCAGCCATCAAAAAATGGGATGACGGCGCTATCACCTCATGAGGGCTTACTGCGCCCTTGATGCGCGACTTGCTCAAGTCACCTCCAAGCTTTACCACGGTGAGGCCTCGCCAGCACTTCGGGGTGTGACGTGCATGTCGTTTGCGACTCGTAAAGAACCCCAGCTGCAAGTGGTTGTCGCGGTGCAACCCATGGAGCCAAGGGAACATCAGAGATGCATCTGGTAAAGGTTGTGATGCTCGGTGAGCAATTGCCGCTGCTAATTTGTCTCCGTCGATGGCATATACAGCTGGAGATGACGGTCGTCCAATGCGCATTTTCTCATCTGGAGGAGACAATAACGAGGAAGGTTGATCGCTAGACCGGGACACGGAGGTAGGCTGAGATGTTGGAATAGGGCCCGTGGGGCATACTGGGATATGTTTGTTTGGGACAGGACTTGATCGTCGGTTTACGGTCAAGGCTGGGGGAATAGGAGAGGGAGGAGGGGTCGAGTGATGCAGCGCCTGCTGCTGAACTAGTACAGTGGCCATGACGACTGACAAAACGCGTGGTTGAGAAGTAGGTGTGATATTGTGATGAATATGGTAATGTCACTTGAAATGGCAACACTTTTGAGAGTTGAATCAAATGACGGTTACATCCTTTGTAGTCGAGATGTGGTGTGGTGTACCCAAAGCAATGGTAATCTGACTCGCGAGTGATTGCAAGCACAGCTACACAACAGTTGTTAGCCGAATTTCCTTAAGCGCGTCGCAAGTGTGGGCCAGTGTAGTGAAACTTGGACAGTCGCAAAATGTAGGAAGTAAATAAGAAGGATCCAAGTTCAGGGGGAGGGGATCATACAATACCAGAGATAAGGCAAGGGGTGAGGAATGGAAAGATAAAGCAAAGTTCGCAGGGAGAGACTTAAGATAAATGCAGGAGATGCATCAAGTAGAAGGACAAGGAGAGAAAAGAGAAGTGAAGTGGAGAGCAATTGAGGGGAAGATAACGTGGGACAAGATCTGACGAGTGTGAGTACATGTACATTGTACAGGACGTACCCAAGTGAATTCTATTGTTTATACATCTGTAACAATACATGTATGCATTTTACTGGAGGATATATCTCATCATCATCACTTCTCATCATCGTCATCATCCCCAAATGGTCCATTAATTCCAGTATCCACAAGCTCCACCGCCGCGGGTCATTATCCGCGTAACCTTGTATACATGATTCGATGATGTATACATCGGATACCTGGAGATTCCGGCATTTCCCCTTTTCTGAAAGACAGGGATTCTGACCACTTTTCTCTTAATATCCATAAAAACTACTTTTCCTGCAAATAGCGGACTGACATTTTACATGTGGCCAATCATCCAATGGGGCAGACCCCGATGACGATGAGATTTCCTATCGTTCTCGGCCCTTCCAAGGTTGTCTGTGCGTCTGGAGAGGGGTTTTAGGTAAGGCGCTTCTCCTCTCTCCTTCCTCAAATGCCTGGGGAACAAAGAACTTTATCACCCCGCTCGAGAGTCGGGATCCACATCGGATAAGAAAGCCCTGCCAGCCGGAGGTCGAGCCATTTCATGTCCATGGAAGCAGAAAAGTCAATTTGTCAACCCAGATACGGGGAGTCCACGGGTAATTGAAGATATCACACCTGGGCATATATGTTACAGCTTTTCGTCTGGGAGGGATATATTACTGAATCTCAATTTTCGGGAACTGTCCTAAAACAATTATATGTGTGTAATATGTAATGTGAAAAACCAATCAACATACTACTCCTTTAAGACATCGCCTAAAAGTACATATATCCAATGTAACCTATACAGGGTTGGGACTAACCCCGGATCGCCACTGCGATCCACTCGAGGTGGGGGGACATCACAACGTTAGATATAATATGCCCAATAGTAAACAGATGCCCAATCCCGTCAATATCCATCCCCGAAACAACAAAACTGATCTTGTGACGAGGATGTTTCAATGCAGGTGCCCAAGATTTGAAGATACATAAGACCGTCACGCCAGTGCCTAATAACAATAGATAGGTATCTTTATGTAGGTATGCCCAGGTCCCGAAGGTTTAGGGTGGCACAACAGGAGATTAGTCGGCTTATCTTTTCCCTCGCGTATCGCTGAGCCTTGGGACCACACAGGAGAAACGTTCCATGTTAATCCTCATTGGCTACCCATCTCCTGTAACCAAGCCAGACATCACAGAAGTGGGCCATGTCAGGCGGAGCGCCGTCTTTTGAACAATCGGACAACTTTCTGCAGATCCTGCCTCGACTCTCAGGTCTGCAGATCTCGAACATCATAGACATCATAGACATCATGACTGGATGTATACATCGTTTAGTCGGGTCGGTAAAGGCTATGTCTACAACTTTGACTTATCATTAGGTATGAAATATGCCTCATGCAACTACTGGGATAGCATATATATTATTGGTGGTGTGCCTGAGGTAGACGCGGGCAAGTCGGCACTGGGATTTGGGGGTATGGGATATGGATACTCCATGCGCCAGTCGGAACGTGCAGGAACTGCACATCATCGGGCAGAAATAAAATAGACTGTCCTTGTCTTGGATCTGACACAGCACGTTGGCTGTCACAGCCCCAGTTAGGATATCTAGTCTACACGGTTCTTTGCTACCGAACAGGGGGTTCCATTTCACATACCAGTGGAGCCACATGGTGATCGGGTCGTAGGCCTGGGCACGGGGTTATGCATATTGGCTGTGCCATGCGCCACATTGTTCAAGTGTTCAGCATCCTGGGCTAGTATAGGCCGGTTATCTGACTTGGGCATAGCCTTCTGTTAAGCGAAAGTCAACGACTAAGAGCCCAGTTTCTTCAATCGAGCGGCATGAACAACGACCTAATGAGGGTTGTTTCAGTGGTCCATGCATAAGGGACCCTGTCGTGCCAGGCGGGTAGCTGCCGTACCTTGTTCCCTCGCGCTTGCGAGGTATTCCTTCCACAGTTTGGTACACAGGTCTAGATTGGAATTTTCGAGAACTGCCTAGCCTTTATTGGTGACGCGCGGCAGACTCAGTTCACGCCTGCATATGTAGGGAACCTGACCGGTGCTTACTTTTTCCCAAAAGCTGGGCTGCGGATGTTGAAGCATTGGGATGTGGTGACACCCTCTATGTGAGCAATATGGCCGGTGAGTCATTATCCAGCCCAACTGGTGTAGATATTTCCCATGTGTTAACCAAAATTTACATTATCAACTTTTTCATTCATTGGACTGCCAGCCAGGGTACATCGAGGATGGTGGACATGAATCGCTCCCGCAACGAATAATATATATATTCAATGAAGGTGACCCTCTTCTCTTGTCTACTAAGATTGGTCATTTGTCAAACAAGCGCACATTGTCCATAATAGGTCATTCATTTCGTTCACGCCGACTATATACATGCATCCTCAAAAATCTGTGTTCAATTACTTCGGCATCAATTTCGTAAGAGCCTCCTTGTGGAGCCACTGGTGTATAGTATCATGACCGGCGCATCAGCGCGTACGGTCGTTGGAAGGGAGTCGACACTCGTTTTGAAGGCATTGAATGACCATATATGACTGAATAAAACTTGGTATACGTGCATACTCGCGCTTGTTAATGCTTGCTGTGTAATCGGTGGTCTCTGCGCAATCTACTTATGCGATGACGCAGTACCCTACCTACCTAGGTACCTAAGGTAAATCTGTGACGCATTTGTCAGCATTTGTCAGCCCCATGAGGTGCCCCCGGGGCCAGGTGCCCAGGTGCCCAGGTGACGTGCCCTATCTTCAAATGTCACATTTCATGCCATTGCTGGTATATAGGAAAAGCTAGATTTGACACTTGAATAAATAGTTAGTCGGAGTAAGGTAGAGCTCCAATATCTTCACTTCTGAACTTCGCTTCGAAACTATCCGGGATCCGACGGGTCTGCGTGGCAGAATTGAAGCAATGACAGACCAAGTGAGCCCGCTACAACATCCCTTCTAAAGCTCTAGAAGGAACCAACTAACTCCCAAAGAACACAAAAATCTACAAACACGCCGACTCAGACGGTCACTTCCGTCGCAAAGATTCATCTTTCCGCTCTTGGATCTCGCGCGATCCATCGACCGAATTCCCCGCCGAAAAGGACCGCTACGTACTATATATCAATTACGGCTGCCCATGGGCACACCGCGCCAACCTCGTGCGTACCCTAAAAGGCCTGCAGGATGTGATTCAAATTGCCGTACTAGATCCGGAACTTGGTCCGGAAGGATGGTTCTTTTCTGGTCGTAATGGATCCGATAAAAGGGACCCGGTGTACGGATTCAAGCTCCTCAAGGAATTGTATCTGAAGGCGGATCCCCATTATGAGGGCCGGTATACGGTGCCCACACTGTGGGATAAGAAGAAGGAGACCATCGTCAACAACGAGAGCAGCGAGGTCATCCGCATGCTGTACTCTGAATTCGACGAGCTCTTGCCGGAGGCTTTCCGCGAAGTCAATCGTCCCGGGGGTGGATTGTATCCCGAGCATTTGCGCGGCGAAATTGATGAAATGAATGCGTGGGTTTACCCATTGATTAACAATGGTGTCTACAAAACAGGCTTCGCGACGACGCAGGCGGCATATGAGGAAAATATCTATCCACTGTTCGAAGCTCTGGATTGTGTTGAGGCACATTTGGGTCAGCCCGGACACCAGCCGTTTCTCTTTGGAGAGTATATCAGCGAAGCTGATATACGTCTGTACACCACGATTGCCCGCTTCGATGTGGCGTACTACTTGATCTTCAAGTGCAATTTGAAGATGATCAGGCATGATTATCCTCGTATTGATCGCTGGTATCGTCGGCTGTACTATGATGAGTCGGAATTGACTCGAGGGGCGTTTAAGAAGACGACATATTTTGATGTTGTGAGTACACTCGCGTTAGATCGGGGCTTTCAATAGCTGACTATATGTAGTACAAAATTGGATATGTTGCTGCGCTTGGTAGGAAGGCTGGTAATGATCAATTGGTGGTTCCAGCTGGGCCTATTCCCGATATCCTGCCTCCAGAAAAAGAGTAGAAATTCTATTTCTGGGGCCCTCAGAGTTACCTCAGACTGACTATTCAATGAATGATAATTTTCCAGGAAATGAGCGTGCAGCAAGCTCCTATGCATAAGTCTTTTATACAGCAAGACCAAATTAGGGGGCGTCTCAGTATTGAGCCGATGTGATACTTATTCCTTTCAATCACTTTAGATGGCGTTCACAAATCAGTAGAATCACGGGTTTCAGTCGCTGTTGCCCTTTGGACCCTCCGGCTTCCCCGCTTTCTCCGGGCAGTCGTCCAAAGTCATGTTATCACTCTCTCAATAATTGCACAAAAAATGCAGAAAGCCGTGGAGAATTGCATCTTTTCTGGTTTCTCAAGGATGGCCCAATGGGGTCCATACAAGGGCCCATTACTATCGCTGCGCTAAGAGAGGGCCTGGTACATGACATCCGGTTCGATGGATCTAAAGATCAAGAACTTCAATCGCGTGTGAGTGTGAAGCAACCTGACAATAAAATCCATCCTGCACGCCTCACGTCCCGGAACTATCCATCAATCGTGTTTGAAGTTGCTAAGACCGAAACGGGACTACAGCTCCAGACAGACACCGAAAGGGGTTATTTGAATGCCAAAACGAGGTTTTACCAGTGATCACAATTCATATCGGCAAGCGCAACCAAACGATGGCACTTCGGAGGTCGACTGTAGAGAATGGGTTACCGCTATGAAACAGGAAGTCAGGAAGTCGACATTACAGTGGAACCTGGGATTCTACAACCCCAAGGTGTCCCTGTTATTTCAAATGCACCTTTCACCACTCCGTTTTCCCACCTGTTTATGCGAGAACCAAATTTTTGGACCTGGCCCCGCGAAAGAGAATTGCCGCTAACTAAGCCTGATCTCATTATTTTGGCCGAAGACACCTGGAAGCTACATCTGGGCTCATCTTCTCGCGAGTCCACTCTTAAACAACCGTCGAAGGCCTTCCCTTGGCTCGTCGCTATGTCGCCACACTTCTCGCCATACTCGCCATACTCGCCACTCATCTTCTGACTCCTCAAGTGAAGCTCTTCCCTTGGCTCGTCGTCTTACACACCATACTTCTGGCCATGTTCGTCACATTGCTCTTCAAACTCCAGTGAAGCCCTTGCTCTCATTATATTGTCATCAACAACATAGAGACGGCAATACCGGCTGTTGTATCTGCTTTGGCCGGGACATGGGATTCCTGTCCATTATCACCATATTCGCGGGGGATGCCTTTATTTTGCACTTTAGTCCTTCTAGGGTTTCCGCATTCTGGGAATATTGCCTGTATCATTAATATCGTCTGAATGAACATGCTTTAAGACCCTAATTAGCTGATTGGGAGCTTGGTAGCTCTTCATCTCTCACTTCTGTATCGGTTGTAAGTCATATTGTTCGTAGAATGGTATTTCTTCAACCTGTTGGGATACGTGACTGTGCTATCCAGCGTTATCAATTTTGCTCTCCTCATTGGCAGGGACTGAGATTGAATGAGTTATCGCCGGGCTGTATCTTTTTGTGATAGATGGAGCATACTTATTTTATTTCAATGTTCACTTACAGTGCGTATGCGAAGACGGTTAGAACAGGCAACCGGAACCCTCATGTCAACGGCGTGTTCCGGTGCAGCAAACTTTGTTAAGAGCCGCTTAAGCGGTCAACATCCATGAACATTGTTCTTATGTATAAGACCGTGCCGTAAGTTGGGGCGAGGACCTTGGGATGGGATACGCTCGACCGTCTTATGGAAGGAAGCCAAGGTGTCAGTGACCAAAGCTCACAGTGACACTTTGTTTACAGCCTTCAAACCTTCATGGAAATGACACACTCTTTCTTACCACCACGATCGACCCTTACGTCCAGAGACACCAGAGAATGAAGTAAAAGAAAAGGGATAATAGGCGTTGTTGATAAGATAAATCCGTAGGCGGTGGGCAATCAAGGTGTGGCCCAAGCGCAAACCTCTCGCTTGTGACGACCAAAGACTTCGCGGATATCATATCCTCTCTTCTCCGCATCATCATCTTTGAAGTATCTCGCTTTGTTCTGAGACTAAGATATGTTACGCAGTGGCCAGTGACGGGCAACGAGTTGCTGGTGGTCCCCTCTTGATCTCGCCCTAAGCGGGGTATCTCCGACATCCGAGAGTTGCATTGTATCAATCTCATTGATTTCATTTACAACCCTGAACCTTTCCAAAAATGGCCATGAATTTTGTCACATTTAACCAAGACTACAGCTATCTAGCTGTGGGTAAGTCTCTGGAACTGCTTTTATATGTTATCGTTGGACAACCACTGACCGCATTTTAGCAACATCTAAGGGATTTCAGATCTTCACAACTGAACCCTTTGCCAAGAGCTATGAAGCCAAGGAGGGCAATATCGCTGTCATTGAGATGTTATTCTCAACCTCTCTCGTAGCTCTTATCTTATCACCAAGACGCTTGCAGATTCAAAACACCAAGGTATCTCGAATCATTCGATCTCGGTCATTAAAGACATTTATATAAACATGGAACTAATCTTTCGAATAGCGACAATGCACAATATGCGAATTAACATTTCCAACAACCGTTCTCGCAGTGAAGCTGAACCGCAAGCGACTTGTTATTGTCCTTGAGGATCAGATCTATCTTTATGATATCCAGACTATGAAGCTTCTGTCCACCATTGATACTTCACCAAACCCCAACGGTACAGAGTTCTTGCGCCTGATTTTTCAACCCCTTTCTTTCTAAGCAGCTTTATCCCCGTTCTGACAAATCAACAGCAATATGTGCCCTTGCGCCTTCTTCAGAGAATTGTTACATGGCATACCCGCTTCCCCAAAAAGCACCTGCGGCTGCAAGCACACCAGCGCATGCACCCCCTGGAACAACACATGTATCTCCTACGACCGGGGATGTTCTAATCTTTGATGCTGTAAAGCTAGAAGCTATCAACGTCATCGAAGCCCATCGCTCTCCTCTGGCACTCATTGCGCTGAATAGCGATGGAACTTTGCTTGCGACTGCCTCAGATAAAGGAACCATCATTCGCATTTTCTCGGTTCCAGATGGCCACAAGCTGTACCAGTTCCGACGTGGTTCCATGCCGTCACGAATTTACAGCATGTCTTTCAACACCACATCCACGCTCTTATGTGTCTCTTCGTCCACCGAGACCGTCCATATATTCAAGTTGGCCCAGCAAGGACCATTGTCAGATGGTTCTTCGTCGCATTCCCCTCCAAGTCGGGACTATGGCTCCCCGCCAAATACTTATGGATATGCCCACGAGGAGGACGAGGCGGTCGGCGATGCTGGCTCAGATTCTTCCTTGCGGAAGCACAACGGAACTTTGATGGGGATGATTCGCCGGACCTCGCAAAACGTCGGCGGCGCAGTTGCCGCGAGAATGGGCGGGTATCTTCCCAAGGGAGTCAGTGAGATGTGGGAGCCAGCGCGTGATTTTGCTTGGATCAAATTGCCGCGATCGAACCCAGGCCCTGGTGGGAACACAGGGGCCGGACCGTTGAGGAGTGTGGTTGCCATGAGTAGCAACACTCCCCAAGTCATGGTTGTCACTAGTGATGGCAACTTCTACGTTTTCAATATCGATCTGTCGAAGGGCGGAGAAGGGACTTTGACGAAACAATACTCGTAAGTTTGAAAACTATCAAGCTGGGCCGGTTAAGTTCGATCCTAACACTTATACCACAGAGTTGTCGATTCAACCGATAGGCTGGGCTACACTACAGAGTATTGAGAGCCATGTCCCTGGAAGACAAACCAAAGTATAAAGGGATATTTCTCTTAGAATTCCTTTCCATTGTTTCCTGCTCTTTGGCATTCGCGTTGACTGCCGCCTTTTGCCATAAACCATTCCTCTCTTTTTGAGCTTTTAGCGTCTCAAACTCTTCCCCGGCGTTTTTAGTCATGAGTTTTCATTTCGTACATGGTGTATTGGCGGGTCTGCTTCATTTCATGGCTGGCTATTTATCGTTATATCCGCTGCTTCCAAATCCACGGTCTAGAATAGCTGCTTTAGCTTCTCATATATTTCCCTCGGAACAATTATAGCAGATAGTTCACAATATCACAAGTTAGAGAGGGGATGTGTTGGTCGAACTAGGAGGCTTAAATTGATGACAGCCGATATGTATAAGCGCGTATGTACATAGAAAAGAAGCATGAACCTGTGAGCTCAACTGTCTAAAAATTCCGGCGGAACTTCTGAGGAATATTGCCAGCGACAACTTGAATCTGCTCCAGCTTTTCGAGGGCAATAGCAGCATCCTCCTGCTCGTCATGCTTGCGGAAATGCTCAATATCCTCGGGGTGGGTCAAGTCCGCCTCCGTGGTGTCATCGCCGTGGTACTGCTCAAAATGATGGATCTCATACTCATATTCAAGGTCACCATGGTGTCCGGGGCCGAAACCGAGATCGGGAAGCCGTTTACCCGCAGCGATTCCTGCGAGCCAGTCCTCCCGGTCAATAAACCCAGTGTTTCCAGTGTCGAAAAGCTCAAACACGGCGCGCACGACATCTTGTTTTTTTTCCTCACTGACACCGGCATTGGATTCATCGTTGAGGCCGTATGTCTTGCGGATTTCGTCTGGCGTCCATGTTCCCGAGGAATCGTAGTCGTGGAGGATGAAGAATGAGGTTGGGTCAAAGGACCCAATGTGGTGTTCCTCTGGATATGACAACTTTAGCAACGCCCACTTGTCCGTTGACGCATCAGCACTGTGTCTTACCGATCATGTGTCTCGTGGCCCAATCATCTGAGGGAGCTTCGTCATTTGAATGCGAGCCATGGGCATTGGCGAGCGCGCTCAACGCAAGCAGCCCTGCGGCGAAACCAAACAGTTTAGTAACCATTGTAAATCGACAAAGGAGATTCTTTTAAGACAATTAAAAAAGCAGATAGATTTACTGTTGGATAGACAATGTCAGGAGATACGGGGTCTTAGCTCGTTTGCAATGTTTGCACGGATGACCCGAGCATTTGCGGAATTGCAACCTTCGAAGATTATTTTGCGTTGCATGTTACCCCATCTATTTCCACACCCCTACTTGCAACGGGGCTCCGGGAGGAGTCCAATTGGTCTTTACCAGTAGTTTGCAATATTACCTTTTGGATCAAATTGCGCAATAGCGATGCCCTGAGAATGCAGGGTTTGTGGTCCCGAGCTGTTTCGAAGCAGCCATCCTGCCGCTGTGTCGGGTGTTTGAGCACTACTGCCAACGGTGTTACTTCGCGGGCAGCGACCTCTAGTAAAAGACGACTTCGAATTGGAAACTCCGTTACCGCACTTTACGGCAGCATTTTCGCCGGTGCTGCTATTGCCGATGCGAGTGTAAAGGATCGCCGCCGACATGACTGGGAGGAAAAGATCGCTGCGGTGAAGGCCGAAGTGAGCGAGTTGGTGGATGAGGAGGAGCGCATTCTGGCATCATTACAATCACGAAGAGAAAACCGAGGACTCAATCGTCTAATCCAAACGAGGGGATTCGGTACTGTTCGCTTCCCTCCCGAAATTCAATACCCAACCGGCTTGAACAGAATAAGAGCCTTCCACACGGAAAGAACACGATTGAACGCGGCCGGGGCTCGGATGGTGGAAAATCAGCAAGCTGGGGAGGATGAACACACAATTGATGAGGAGGATGAGAGCGAGATCTTCCTTCCGCAGGAGACATTGCCTAGTTGGGTCTTGGAAGATGATCTTCGTCTGAAGGCCATTCAGAAACTTGCTTTAAGGCAATTTGCTATCCGGATTTTGTTACGACCGGCCATCGCCCACCGTTACTCGGGCGTTTCAATGAACTATGCGGCGGATTTCGAGACCCCCCAGGTAAACGTGTCGCAGCTCCTGGAGGAGCTGAATCATCTTCGCCATCGAATGATCACCTTGAAAACGAATAGGCACGCCACATACAGCGACATCACCCAGGACTATGCTGCGAGTCAATTGGGCGAGATGCAAAGAGAGCGCGAGGCCCTTGATGCCGAACTCACCAACGACATCCAAATCTACACGAGCCAGCAGATGTCTCTCCAGGAACTGCTTCTGCGGATATCAAACAACATCTTGAGCTCGAGGGACCCTGATCGACCAACAGCTTTCCGGCTCATGATCATGGCATTTGGCCAGACCCGCCAAAATGATCTGGTCGAGCTGCTTCTGCGGACGTTATTGCCGAACCGGTTCTTCCTCAACCCTTCGCTTGTGATCACGATCATCACCTTCTTCAGGAAGTCGAAAAATCTCAAAGATTTCGATTTGTTCTTGAAGATGCTCGGCGGAGAAGGCTACTCCGTCAACCTAGGGAGCAGGGGGGTTTATAAGCACCGCACGGTCAATGGTATAGACCTCATCGTTCCATCTTTAAACAGCAGCAATCCAGTAATCTACGCCGCCTTGATAGGGGCCGCATTACGTTTCGACCAGCCTGACCGAGCCGACGCTTGGCTTCAAGCTGCACGGGGTGGGGGCTTCTTTGATAGTTGGGAAACTCTGTTCACCTATCTACGGTTTTACAGCCTTCGACGGGACTGGGATAAGGGTGTGAATGTCTTGAAACGAGCCGTGACCTACCTCTTGTCATCAACGGACCACCGTCTCGATTCAGTCGAGCGATTGCTTGGGCGAATGGTCGGGCTCTGCGACTCTTGTGACCGACTAGATGCATCGGATGCATTGGTGAGAGCCGCCGTGCACAGTGGCTTTGACCCGAGGCTCTTATCACGACAGTCGGACTCTGGACCTTTCGTTCATGCTGACCCCAAGCGGTGGTCTAAAGCCGCTAAGCAAACACCAAGGGAGAACATCGACCGCCCCTTGTGGCAGAAGTGCTATGACTTCGGAAACACCTTTGGGGAGTACTTGAGCCAAATTGAGGTGCCGGCGGAGGAAACCTTCGCTCGACGCAATGCAAAACTCGCCGATCAGCATGCTGATAATGCTCTTTTTACTGCCCTTGGACCTGGCCGACCGCCTGCCTCCGGCGAGAGAAAGACACCTGTTGGCAACACGGTAAATGAGGACATTTCCTCGCTCAAGGGCGAGGTTGCCCAACTCCGCGAACTTATCTATGAGATTCGCAAACACCACATCTCTGAACCCTCCACACAAGATTCTTCCCGCACTCCGACTAGCGAGGAAACCCTACCTCCATCCGCTGAAACCCTCACACCTCTCAAAACCCCGCAATCCCAAACCCCTCCACTGAGTCGCAATTTCACTAGAACTTCTACTAGGATCAGCCTCGCCAGATCTCAAACTTCATCTTCATCATCACGGAAACCAAGCAAGCGAAACAGGCGGCGAGAAACCAGCGCAGATCAATCACCAGTGGAAAGCACAGCTCCTGTTGCTGACCCCGCATTATTTGCCAGCTGAGATGTCCATTCTCTTCGCCTTCTAAAGCACGGGCATTGATTGTCCGTGGAGGAGAATTTTTTGTATATTAAATGACTACATTTGTTTTCAATAGAGCTTACAGGAAGACCTTGGGCAAGCAGCCCTGAATGTATTAACCAGCCCAAGGCGTTGGTGGTGCATACAATTGATTTCTTGAAGAAGATTCCATGGTTTCGTTCCTGTAGACCAGGTATAAGCCTCTCGAGCGGATTGAATTTTGGATATTCTATCGGAATTTTTGTACAGTCTCAAACTTGACGGGTCTATAAAGACCGGTGGAAGGCAACGGCCGCAAAGGATGATTCGGGCAGTAAGTATGGTATGGCACAGAAGAGAAAGCAAAAGTTCTATTCAAAATATAGACATCGTGATGGGAAGGAAGCAGTGCGACAAACAAGCGTATCATGCGTAAATTTTAGGCCGAACAAAAACAAATGGTCTATCGATGCTTCTCGGCGCGCATCTTCTCCTTGCGAGCGAGGCGATCAGCGGCCCGAGTAAGGGCAGAGCGGATGTCACCCTTGGGGAAGCTGCTGATATCATAGTATGTAGGGGCGATATCCTGGAAAGAGGGTTAGTAAAATGTATAAGTGATTATAAGAAAGGAGCGGGGAACATACCAAAAGCCATTCTGGCTTGACTGCAGTGACAGTACGGATATAGTTCTTGGTCGTGAGAACGAATTCGTTATACAACACCCACTCGGCCTCGTGAGCCAAGACGGTGGACGGGTGCAGGAGCACATTCTGGTTGTCCTTGATAGTAAGGTATTGGCTCTTGCCGCCTGTGTCCTTCTTCGCGACTTGCATGAAGAAACCGGCGCAAAGAGCACGGCGGATGTTCTCGTAGTACTTCTTGTCCTCGAAGTCAGTGGAGATCATCTCCAGATCCTGGCGTTCCATGATGCGGAGCAGTTGAGAGCGGACGTTATCAGCGGACTGGAGAGCCCGCTGGGAGAGGAAGTGGTCGTGGCACCACTGCTTGGGGTTTGCCTGGGCGTCACTGCTTCGGTATGCGTGGTAGACGTTCAGCATTGTCAAGTGGTCTCCGTCGGGGTGTGCAAAGAGGTTCTTCATCTCGTCTGCACGCTTGCGCTGGGCAGCAGGACGAACGAAGACCTGCGGCACAGACAGAAGGGCGGTAATGGAAAGGATTTCATTAGAGCAGTAGAATTCGGGAGAGCTGATCAACATCACAGCAAGGGCAGGGTCAAGAGGGAACTCGGAGGCCAGACGACCCAGCTGGGTAAGGTTTCCATCATCGTCCAGACAGGCCAAATAGTTCAGTTCTTCCAATGCTCTCATCAGAGTCTCTGGCGCAGGCGGGTCCATCAAATCGAAGTGGACGAGATCGTCAATACCAAGCTTCTTCAGCTCGAGCACTGTTGATGACAAGTTTGACCGAAGGATCTCAGGGTAGGTTGACTCAATCAGTTCCTTCTTGAATGCGCCTTCAGTATAAAGACGGAAGCACTTGCCTGGACGTGTACGACCGGCACGACCCGCTCGCTGCTGCGCGGAGGCCTTGGAGATCGGGGAAACGAGGAGTGACTCGACACGAATGCGGGGGTTGTAAATCTTTTGCTTGGAGAATCCGGGATCCACGACGTACACGATACCGTCGATGGTTAGGGATGTTTCGGCAATGTTGGTCGATACGATGACCTTGCGTCCGGGGCGGCCACCTGGTCGGCGAGGAGGTGGTGCAGGGTCGAAGATGCGCTGTTGCATGTGAGGAGGAAGACTACCGTATAAAGGGTAGACTTTGAGAGGACCAGCGTCGGCCTCGCGAACCATCTCATCTCCCTCGAGCGCGATTTTCCGCGCAGCATCCTCAATCTCTTCCTCACCAGTCAAGAAAAGGAGAATATCTCCCTCGCCTTCGGTAGCGTGGATTTGCAGCACAGTCCGGACTGCAGCCTCGACGTAATCTTGCTCGGGTTCAGGAGTGTAGAAGATCTCGACAGGGTGGGTACGACCAGGAACTGCCAGAAGGGGTGCGTCCATGAAGTAGCGCTGGAACTTTTGCGCATCCAGAGTAGCCGACATGATAATAATCTTCAAGTCAGGCCGACGGACCACAACTTCCTTCAGAAGACCCATCAGGATATCTGTCGCCATGGTTCTCTCGTGAGCCTCGTCAAGCATGATTGTGCTGTAACGCGACAAGTTGGGATCGTTCATAGCCTCGCGAAGAAGCATACCATCGGTCATGTACTTCATGATGGTCTTCGGGCCGGTCATATCTTCGAAACGGATACTGTAACCAACTTCCTCTCCAAGCTTGACATCCATCTCAGCCGCCACACGTTGGGCGACGGACATGGCAGCCACACGTCGGGGTTGCGTACAAGCGACCATTTTGCCCTGGGTTTGGGGGAGGTCATCGTAGAGGACGAATTGCGGGATCTGCGTAGTCTTTCCGGAACCAGTCTCACCAACGAAGACAAGGATCTGGGACTGCTGATAGAGTTGCAGGAACTCATCTCTGAATAAAGTTTGGTCAGTACATTTTTCTTTCAGAATGGCTATCGGGCAGCACTCACCGTTGCGTATGGACGGGCAGATCTCGACGGGTCTTCAGGATTGAGAAGTATTTGCTTGAAAAGGGTCGGCCACTGAAAGGGTTGATGTCGCCATCTTCGGCTTTTTTCGCCAGCGCTGCGGTTGTCTGGTGGCGCTTGAACTTGGCCAGGGCCGTGTTGTCGGAGCCATTGTTGTTCTCGTACATGTGAGCGAGGTAGGGGTTGTTCTTTGGGTCGCCAGCGTCCATCTTCTGGCGCTTCGCTCGCGCACCACCTTCGGAGTCAGATCGGTTATCAGACATGGTGGAGGTGAAAGGGGAGAGAGTTGTTGAAGGATAAACTCGGCGGAGAGAAGAAGCTGAGATACCGAAGAAAAAAATATGAGATAGGAAGGTCGGCCGGCGCCACAGCTGCCTATCAGGCTCACCGCCCATCTATTCTGCCACTCTCCACAAAGGGATTGATAATCTTCGAGCTTGTTGACGCCCTGTGTGTTTTCGTCTGGACTTCTCTGCGCCAGTTCGTCTGATGCGCGTGGCTTCTTCGAATAGAACTGCCCAATACCAAACTTGTTAGCTGCTCTGTTGCTCATCAGGAGCTTCTATCTACATCCCTAGTTTCAGGCCACCCCACCCATTGCGCCAGACTTCTCTGTCAATATGGAGAGCTATAATCCTTCAGAGGATCCAGGGCCAGCTTTTTGTGTTGGGCACCATGAGCACAACAGACTGATTACTGTGACCCCTCGGGTAATCCAAAACGTACATGAGAGTAATGTTGGTTCTCTCTCTCACCAGTAACATTACCTTCATAAATGCTAACTCGATTTGATAGTACGACATGATGACTGTTCCAATCACGACATCGCATTTCCACTCGCGCGTTCTTGGCCTATTGTCCTCTTATTTGGCCAATCTGCAATCTCCTACTTCTGATGTTGTTGGGACCATGGCTACTACCCAGAACACTCGGCCTCTGGTGGTTCCACCGCTCTCTAAGGCAGACTCGTATCTCACCCCGAATGATGCAACCAGTCAATTGGTTGGTGTAACCAGTAGCTGGATTGATCTATGTTCACCCGACCCGTTGATTGCGGACATGTCCCGGCAAGTTCTGATGTTGGAAGTTGCGTATGCTGCGTTTTGCGGAATTGGGTATCTTTTGATTCCTGGCCCCAAGTTGCATCACGGTGCCTTGCATTCTGAGGGTGTCATCTATTATGCGCGCGCGATTCAAGATGCCCTAGACCTTGGTCCCTACATCCAGTTCTATATCTGGCAGCAGATGGTTGACAACCCAGAGGCTGAAGTTGATACAATGGGCGACTTGGCCCCGCTTGCTCGGGCAGAATACCTGGTGCCAGATGACGGGGATCCACCCAAGGTTGATCCGTTTGGAAGCTGGGATGCTTGGGATTCAATTAGAAAGACTTGCAAATATCACACAAGACTGACAGTTGGTATGAGTTAACCCCTACTTTCAATGACCCTATCGCCGTCGTCAATGTCCTGAACTAAAGCTAATTTGAACCACAGCCCTTGCTTTGCCGAAGCAACTGCCGTCTCTGTTTGTGCAATCCCGATGGCATTCGGAACCAGTGCGTTTACTGACCATTGATGGGTCGACGTTCCTCAAGAACCAGAAAGGATACCCAGTCTTGTCCAAGGCACACCAAGGTTTGATTGCAAAGATGATGCGTCTTCGGACTGCGCCGTGGATTATCCTTTGTGGTGTCGGCCCTATTCCGGGACTTGAGAATGTCGAAGACCCTGACAACCAGGCTTCGCTATCTGGGTCTGACTATCCGAGTCTGTCGCAGGCTGGGAAGAAGCACTACGACCCCACTCCACACCTTTCGTATATTCGCAATCTACAGCAGCGCCAGCCCCCTCGGACAGCGATCGAGAGGTTCGGTGTTGGATACCAGGACTATTTGCAGGCACCTCTACAGCCACTGACTGTCAATTTGGAGAGTATCACTTATGAAGTATTTGAAAAGGACCCTATTAAATATGAGTGGTATGAGAAGGCAATCTGCAAGGCATTGAGAGACTGGGCCGACCAGAAGAAGGCCACATCCCACCCGGACGGAAAAGTGATTCTCGCAGTTGTGGGAGCTGGTCGCGGCCCGTTAGTCACTCGCGCCCTGAAGGCTAGTGCAGATGCTGGAGTGGAGATCGACCTCTGGGCCGTGGAGAAGAACCAGAACGCATTTGTGTTGCTACAGCGGCACAACGACACGATCTGGGGTGGCAAGGTCACCCTCGTCCAGTCAGACATGCGAAGCTGGAAAGGACCTCTGGTTCGACAGCAGCCGACTACAGCTGCGACTGGCCCCGTTGGAGAATCCCTTGGAATTGAGAGCTCGTTACTTGTGTCATCGAAGAAGGGCCAGCATGATCCAGGTCGGCCATCTGAAACTCTTGAACTTCAAGGTTCGGCTATGCGCCACACCCATGTTGATATCCTTGTCTCAGAGCTGTTGGGCTCCTTTGCGGACAATGAGCTTTCTCCTGAATGCCTGGATGGCGTGAACGACGTGATCAATCCCGTCCACGGCATTTCCATTCCAGCCTCATATTCGGCACATTTCACTCCGGTTTCCGCTCCCAAATTGCACGCCGATGTTGTGCACCAGACTGTGTCCAACCCGGCCGCCCCAGAGACCCCATACGTCGTGATGCTTCACGCGATTGACTTCCTCTCCACCACGGATGCGGCTGCTAGTGGTGAAAGCTCTGCTAACAATGGAAACCGGGCATCCACCCCGTCGGCGTCATTCTCCACGACTGAATTCCCTAGTCCCTTTGTGCAGACCGCCTGGTCTTTCTCTCACCCGAACCGACACATTCCTCCTCAGTCCCCCATGCAGTCGACCATCTCGAATGCCCACAATGTGCGCCAAACACGCCTAGCCTTCCCTGCCCAAAACCGAGGTGTCTGCCACGGTCTGGCCGGCTACTTCGAAACGGTGCTCTACGGTGATGTAGAGTTGTCTACCAACCCAGTAACCATGGATGCCAAGAGCGCAAATATGATCAGCTGGTTCCCCATCTACTTCCCCTTGAAGGTTAGTTTTCGGATATATCCAACTGAACTGCTCGCTTCTTCCCTTTCCATAACACTGACGTTTCTTTCCTTTGTCTGCAGACCCCTCTTAGTGTTCCCGAAAATGGCGAGATTGTCGCCACGATGTACCGTCAAACCGATGACCGCAAGGTCTGGTATGAATGGATGGTTGAGGTTTATGCTCTCGAACCTACTGCGGCATCCGCCAAAGCCATTCCTGTGAGCTATGCGCGGGCTGGGTCTCCTAGCGTGGAGAGCCTGAAACCCAAGGAAAATACCGCAAAGAAGACCCACCACCGTACTGGCTATCGTCGCGTGCGAGTGGGGATGAGCGAATTGCACTCTAGCATCAAGGATGGCTGTTTAATGTGAGATTAATAAGCCAGGTTTGAATAAAAGCTGTTCGAGCAATGCTCTAGTATTGTTAACTACAGCAAAAGACTTGTATTACGATTGCTAGACAGTTTTTGTAATATCAAGACCAACCTTGGAACCTTGGCAGGTGAATTCTGCCGGTTACCGCCAAATGTGATCACGCGCGCAACGCCAAGAGAGTCTAACCCGATTCGGTCTAATTGCAGCCCTACACAGCCCTGGTTCGTGCCAAGGTAACCAATCCTACTGTTCGTAGGGTTACTTGGAGGTTCTCTGAGCAAGAACCGGGTATAACAAAATCACCTCGCCAAGTTCGGGCCGAGCAAGTCAAGCTTCCGGCGATCCGTAGGTTTTCATGTGATATAAAGCATCTGCTGATTTCAACATATGTTACTTTAATATTATTGTACCGAGTACGGCGTACTCGGAGTGCACGCGACCTCGGGTTCTCCGTCTTACTCCACAGGTTGGCCGGAATGAGATAATTCCCCGGCTCCACCGATGCCCTCCCCAGTTTATAGCCAAGAACTGATTGGAGCACTTCTTCATGGATCTCGATATTCTGGTACCACAACCCCGGATGTGATCTATACTTCGTCGATCATGGTATGAATCCGGAATATTCCCCGTGGACTCAGCTGAGCCGAATCTCCTCATCACAGGCATCGGATTTTATTGCATACCGTGGTTCCTGGTTCCTCCGACTGGAAAATGGCTTGCGCAATTGCGGAACCCGTTCAGGAACCACACTCCGTATGGGTCTGCCAGGCACAACCGAAAGTATAAAGCCGCAGGTTCCCACGACCTGTGGATGTATCCAGCCTCGATCAATTGAACCCAAGCCATCATGCGTTTCTCTTTATTCACAGTCCTGTCCGCAGTGGCTTCGTTGGGTAATGCCCTCCCCGGCAAACTGCAGACACGAGGTACTATCCCACACACTTTGCTCGGTATACTTTGACCACATTGCTCACACCTGATTAGATGTTTCGGCCAGCGAACTAAACCAGTTCGGCTTCTGGGTCCAGTATGCAGCCGCGACATACTATGTCGAGAACTACGAGGCTCAAGTGGGCGACAAGATCAGTTGTTCGAAAGGAAACTGTCCCGAAGTGGAGAAAACCGGTGCGACTGTATTCTATGATTTCTCCGAGTAAGCGAAACCCCACAATTACTACTGGAGATGATATACTTACACATGCACAGCACCACCATCACAGATACCGCTGGCTTCATTGCGGTAGACCACACCAACGCGGCGGTTGTTCTGGCCTTCCGAGGGTCCCTACTCAGTGCGCAACTGGGTCAGCGATGCCACCTTTATACACACAAACCCTGATCTCTGTGACGGATGCCTCGCCGAGCTCGGCTTCTGGAGCTCATGGAAGCTAGTCCGCGACGACATCATCAAAGAACTGAAAGATGCCGTCTCCCAGAACCCCGAGTACGAGCTAGTCGTAGTAGGCCACAGCCTTGGCGCCGCCGTCGCAACCCTTGCTGCCGCTGATCTCCGGGGCAAAGGCTACCCGTCGGCTAAGCTGTACGCGTATGCCTCGCCTCGCGTGGCCAACGCGGCTTTGGCCAAGTATATCACGGCGCAGGGGAACAACTACCGTTTCACCCATACCAATGACCCGGTACCTAAGCTGCCGTTGTTGTCCATGGGCTACGTTCATGTCAGTCCTGAGTATTGGATCACATCGCCTAACAATGCCACTGTCGGTACTTCTGATATTAAGGTTATTGAGGGAGATGTCTCCTTTGACGGAAACACTGGAACTGGTTTGCCGTTGTTGACGGACTTTGAGGCGCATGTCTGGTATTTTGTGCACGTTGATGCCGGCAAGGGCCCTGGGCTGCCATTCAAGAGGGGTTTAATTTAATCAAGTCCCCTCGGGTTTTGTTCGATAGATTCGGTTGACGTTGACATATATAAATAATAATAATAAGCTATACAATTTCCGGTTTATGCAGAGCGACTGGGTACAACTAGAGCGTGAGGACTGAAGTTGAGGAACTGTATAGTCCGAGGCAAGGGGCTAAAAAATACAAGTACAAAAGTACCAAATTTGATCCTTCAGGCCCTAAACAAGCATTAATAAGCTTGGCTGATAAGCAATTCGGTCATTTCCGGACCTCAGGAGACATCGAGTCGGAGATCCGTCGGGTTTAGACCGAAATGACCAATTTGGGCGATCTTAGTAGTTTCTGGCCTTCCCGTTCGATACTAGCAATACAAAGTGGATATCCCCAGCCGAGCGGGGTTATCTGGACTTAATAGTATAAGATATGACTCGAACTTCAGGTTTAATTGGGAATGCCCATTCAAAATGGTGCTGTATACCAAGTTTTTGTTGGCCGTGCTGGCGAACTATGCCACGGCACAATTTGTGCCCGCGCCCACTGACTTGATCACCAAGAAAGGACATGCCGGCATCGACGTGCGGTATAAGGAAGTGCCTCCTGGCATTTGTGAACAAGATCCCAACGTGAAGAGTTATTCCGGTTACGCTGATGTTGGTGAGGACGAGCATATTTTCTGGTAAGCATTCCCGATAGAGATGGGGCCTAGGCAGCGACTGACTAGCACAGGTGGTTCTTTGAGGCTAGAAATGGAAACCCTAAAGATGTATGTCCCGACAGAATTAAAAATTCACAGCACTAACGATCAATAAGGCACCACTTACGGTCTGGATCAATGGAGGGCCGGGGTCATCGTCGATGATCGGGTTATTCCAGGAATTAGGGCCCTGCGGAGTTGACCAGGACGGAAATGTATACAACAACCCTTACTCTTGGAGCAATGCAAGCAATATCGTAAGTTTGCTTCATTTTGTTTGCCGAGACTCGAGCTCAACTGTCGCCAGCTCTTCGTTGACCAGCCTGCCACGGTTGGATTATCATATACAACACCCATTCCAGCCTATGAGGATAACGACGGCAATATTGTCCAGCTGCCCAGCGAGGAGTGCCCCGATTATGCCCAGGAACTTGGGACATGCGGCACGTACTCCAAACCAGACATTGCCCTTGTTCCCAATACAACTGCAAATGCGGCCCCGAATATGTGGAAGACACTACAAGGGTTTATGGGGGCTTTCCCGCAGTACTCGAGAAATGGCTTCAACTTCGCCACTGAGAGCTACGGGGGACATTATGGCCCAGTATTCAACGGTAAAGATCCTAAGCGCTCTTGAACGCTCCTGAAACTAACTTCGGAGCAGAGTACTTCGTCAAACAGAACGCCAAAAAGCCCCACGGCTCGATCCAGATCGACCTTGAGAACGTCCTTATTGGAAATGGCTGGTTCGATCCGCTGATTCAATATCAGGCGTACTACAACTTCTCCGTATTCCCCGGAAACACATACGACTTCAACCCATATAATGAGTCCGTCCAGGCTGAATGGTACAACAACCTTTACGGAGAAGGGAACTGCGTGGACCGGACTCGGGAATGCTACGCGACCGGTCGAAACGATATTTGCTCCGCGGCAGATGACTTCTGCGCTTCGAAGGTTGAGTCGCTATTTGACATCTACTCTGGACGTGACGAGTACGATATGCGAGAGTTGACGCCCGATCCGTTCCCGTATGCATTCTACGTCGATTATCTCAACAGTCCCAAAGTCCAAGCCGCTATTGGAGCATATCAGAACTTCTCAGAGTCCTCCGGGACTGTGAGCAATGCCTTTGGAAACACAGGTGACGACGACCGCGAGTCAGGGACGATAGAGAGTGTGAGGAAGTTGCTGGAAGCCGGGGTACAGGTATCGCTGTATTTCGGGGATGCGTGAGACCTCCCATACCATGAGATGACTACTAGACCGTGCTAATTTGAGTTCCAGCGACTACAACTGCAATTGGCTCGGTGGGCAAGTTGTTGCTGAGGAGATCAATGCCCCAGGGTACGAACATGCAGGGTTCGTGAATATCACCACTTCGGATGGCGTTGTTCATGGACAGGTTCGTCAAAGTGACTTGTTTAGCTTTGTCCGAATTTACGAGTCCGGTCACGAAGTACCTTTCTACCAGCCATTGGCTTCGTTGGAGATGTTCGAGAGGGTGCTTTTGAGAAAGGATATTGCAACAGGCAAGAAATATTTGAAGACCCACGGCGGTTATCGAACCCGTGGAACCCCTACAAGCGACTATCGAGAGGGCAATGGTACGGTGGTGCTGAAAGTGCTTGATAGCAATGCGACATATAACACAACTCTCAACGGGCCGAATCCATCTGACTCGGCTTCGGCCAGATTACGCCGACGGGGCAACTGAGAGGGGACTGAGAAGCAGGTCATGTACAACTATTTTACAATGTGAAGGGAGGTATTCTTACTTCTAGTGTGCTTGTGATGCAACTGTTTGTGAGATTCCTTTCATTTAGAAGATTCAAATTTGAAAAACAAATGGTATGGTCAACACCATCCATTTCACATCTGAGCACATTGACACCGCAGTACAGAGACCCCCCCCAGATTCAACTCCTCCCTCTGTTTCTTTCATTCTCTCTCTGGGGGAAAGCTTCAGTGTAGGGCGGCGTTGTGGCACGAGTGGTAAACTACCTACTCAGCCAGGTTGTTGGCGGAAATCTCATCATCGATGTTCTCGATGGAGCGGACTCTGCTTAATCTGCGTCCTTGGTAAACACAAGATATCCTCTCTGCTTCCTGAGTATACGCAAGAGCGGGCTCGGGCTCGGGGGCAGCCATGGCAGCAGTCTTGCGGTGCTTAGGAGGCGAGTCGGGCTTGGCAGGTGCGTCCTTGGTCGCGCGACGCTTGGTAGAAGCACGTGCCTTGGGTGCAGTGTTGCTATCCTCAGGCTTGAAATTAGCAGCCTGAGTAGCAGACTCATTTTTTTCCATAAGCGCCAAAAGGTTATTCTTGGCACGCCAGTAGTTGGCCTGGGCAGAAGTCTTCTTAACACCGGCGAGGGCGGCAAGCTTCTCGGAGTCAATCTATGAGATAAATATTATTAGATGGAACTAGGGATCTATAAGATGGGTGTGAGTACCGACCTTGCCATTGTGGCACAGGCTACCGAGGATCAGTAGTCTCACATCGGCCATGCTCAGCTCAGCGAGCTTCTCATCAAGCTTGATTTAGGTAGTCATTTCGTTGGCTTTAGATAATGAGCAGTCAGTCAAACAGATCTCAGAATGATGAATGATGAACGATAACATACCAATGTAGACGAAGTGATAAAGATGATTTGGAGGATAAGTGAGAGATGGTTAGATGGATAGCAGGAATGAGAGACGAACAAGAAACTGAGAGAAAATCATCGAGCGTGAAAGTCGCGCAAACAGTAGGAGATTTTTGGAACGATCAAACCAAAGTCTCGGCGTCGCAGTCGCGACGATGACAACTCCAAGTTGTTTAACTACAGTTGATCCGACAGCGCTTTCCGGAAGTGATACTACCTAATGTAGGTATGATATTGTACTTTGTCCACACACTATATCTCATATATAATCTCGGAACTCTTGAGGCTATATGCCACTAGGGATATGGAGGAAGAAACACCTGGTATTCAAACTAGCAAAGCAGGGCCTTTATAAAGGCCTGATGAACAACAAAGCGCTCAGTCTGCCACCATAATAAGGCATCCACGTAGGATGGGATTATCTCAACGTGAAGGCTGGAAGGCCATTGTCAAACGAACTCCCCACCATGAATTTCTCGCCCCGTGGACGGTGTCTCGAACGTGTGAGACACGATTCGCTATCAACCAGAGACTTTCGCCAACTTCCTCATATACACCCTTGACCGCAGATCAAGCCTTCCATGTCCTCGCTGAGTTTGCGCTTTTGCATAACCTGGGTAGCCAATTCCCTATCGCGCTTATGACTGCCATAACACTCCCGACACATGAACACTATGGCTCGACTGTCCAACTTCCGCTTCCAAGATCATTCGGTGGTAAACAGCCCACTCCGATGGAGGCCATTCCAGCAATGTGGTCTAGTCTCAATGAAGAGCTGCCATATTACATGACCTTGAGTTGTAGCCCGGAAGTAGTGATGTCTACTCTTTGTGGCTCATTCTGGGAACCCAAAGTCCCGTGCAATCTCGTCGCTCCGTGGCTGCATCCACTTTTCAATGAGATACTACAACAAGATGAGAAGTCACCCACGGTTGGCGACTATTACGAAACCCTTGCTTTGATCGGAGCAATACGTCGACCAAATATAGGTGCTCTTTGGATTGGAGCAGTTGCAGGCGGACTAGCACCAAAAATCGGTAAAAAAGTGAAAACAGTCCATCCACCCCTCGACGCAGTTTTCTTTCCCTGGACTGGCTGTCTCCAGACCTTCATGGATCTTCCAGGTTCAGGTCCGTACACGTATGGAAGTCCTGAACAAATCTCAAGGCCAGACAGACGTATGGCGATTATTACACCTTCCTCAGACAGAAGATGACGAGCTATTCTTCAGAACAAGGCCTGGAACACCTTGGGGACCCCGGGGGTCATCCTCACCGAGGGACTATGCCCTTCGAGTCACTTCCCACTTGAAATGCGCACGACACGAGTACCAATACCACCATTGGAATTGGGAATTGGAGGGAGGTGTGATTATTCGGGATCAGGGGTTTTCAACAACCACAACGACCCTTTCAAAGGTAATAGAACATCCTTCCGACTTGATCGATATAAAGAAGCAAAGAAGATTTGCGAAGAGAGAACTTGACCAATTGGCTTCTGAAGAAGCCACACTATATATCTTCCGCTGGTTAAGCAACAATGCAGAGGGTAAACCCTCGGAGGCCATCTATCAGGATGAGTGACTCCGAGGCATTTGGGAGGATGAGGATGAGGACTGGGAAACAGAGGAGGCTGAAGATCGAGACTCCAGAGGGCTTGGTCAACTTGAACGAGTGAAAGCCTGGCTCAATTCAATCCACTGACAGAGTTTCTGTCAATTATGGCCTATATTATCAATTTATCACTGAGTGGAAGATGTCGTACTTTGAAACACAACATTAATATAAATAAAATATAGATCCACGAAGACCCTGATTCAGGGATGTGGAAGATGTGCAATGTATGTAAGATTGTGCCTCCTATCCAGGGTCTTTAAGAGCCAAGAAAACAAGAGTTCCAGACAAATTGCACACGCGACAGGACAGGGATAATGGATGACTCTACAGAGTACGAATTAAAGGATTCGGGAATTAAGAAGAAATTAATCCTAAATTGTTACGGAGTCCTCCGTACACAACTGTTCGCAACTAAGTGGAGAGTGATTCAGATTTACCACGAATAACGTGGCCTCATGGCGATCAAAGTTTGAACATCCCTGCTAAGCCCTGCAGATGCAATATCGGTGTTGCCCTTCCAGAGATTTTTATGTGATTAACTGCATATGGACACAACTCAGGGCCAATCATCTACAAGGCCTCGGATCCCGTGGAAATAGCCGGCTGTGTATTACACAACATGCGATTACTGCCCAGGTGCCCAGCACATGGGTTTGAGCTCATTTATTCTCTTCGATTCGTATCGCCATGCTCCCAGAGTTGAAAAACACCTGGACTCCTGCGGTCAATGTCTTGACATGGTTTATGCTGGTGACGGCGATTCTGAGCGTCTTGACTCGTCTGGGGACAAAATACTTCATTTTTCGCAAGTGGACATTTGACGATGGTCTTGTCACTACGTCGATCGTGTTCTGCATCGCGCAGTCAATTGCTGTCTCGAAGGCGACGGAGAATGGACTTGGACAGCACCGTGACATGCTGTCCGATGCCAAAATCGAAAGCATCATCAAGGTATGCGACAGACATGCCTTTTCTCGAACTATTGCTAATGCGACAAACGCCCAAAGGCTGAATACGCCGCGACCATTCTATTCATCACCAGCATTTGCTTCTCTAAGCTGTCCCTTCTGGTCTTCATTCGCAACTTGACTCCCGCACCCTTGGATCGCCGATTTGCGCTTGTGCTGGGAATATCGATCGCACTGTGGACTATTGCTAGCATTTTTACGGCTGCATTCCAATGCCATGTGCCGCAGACATGGAATTATCTACATGGGACTTGTTTCGACCGAGTGAGTAGTCGGTCCATCCTTCGCGACAGAAATCGCTGACCGTGTATCAGGGTGCGTGGTGGAATTATCTCGGCGTCACGAATATCTTGTCGGAGGGTGGGATAATCGGCCAAGCGCTGTTGGTGATCGTTCGTATCCAGACCGATTTCAGCAGAAAGGCTAGTTTGTTCAGTGTGTTCTTGGTCCGAATCATGTACGTGTCAAGACCAGACTCCGTATTGAGGAAAAACCGCTAACGAAGAGGGTTACTGGTAGCGTCATTATCGCGATTATTTTCCAACTCGCTTACGCTAGTCAAACTTCCTCGGGTGATTTCACCTTTGATGCCTGGTCCGTCGCAATCGCCACTCAAGTGGCTCAAGCCATGAGTATCGTCACAGCCTGTTCCCCCCAGTTCAAACCTTTCTTGGATAGTCTCCAGTCAACAGGAATGGGGTTGGGCATGACGAGTTCCAACAACAATGGCAGCAAACACAAGACATATGGCATGAGCACATTCAAAATATCCCGTCGCACTGCGGATACTCGAAGTGAGACTCACGAGTTAGTCTCAGTGCCCCACGAAGGGACTCATCGGGCTATGGTAACATCGGACGAGGACGCTGAAAGTCAGTCTAGCCAATCTAATATAATTGTGGAGACGACGTGGACGGTGACTGGAGGGACGAATTGATGAAGTGAAAGGGAGAAACATGTGAAAAGTCGAGCCGATCCTTCGATCCACCTGTTCCAGATTATCGCGCCTTTCCCGTTCGAGGCCATGGGTACAACATAAGTCTATAGGCACGGAGACTATCCCGAAAATCCACTATCCACTACGGAGTACAATTCATATAATTCACAGAATTCACATAATTCTCCGATATACAATTAATCCAAGTAATTAATTTTCCACTCTCGTATTACCCGGAGATTTGCCAATTTGGTGATCGGCTTCCCGGAGTAGCGTTCCCGGTGTACGGAGTAGGGCACATTGTTATTGTTATTGCTGGCCGTCTCCCTTGAAGAAATAATTTCCTGGCAATATCGATTAAGCAAGCCACATTATTCATGCCAATGCTCAAGTTTATTAGTCCTCATGCAACCCCTGCAATTGCTGCATTAGCGTCTAATGTTCCCCAACCACATGTAACCATGTGCCGAATTGGTTGCGCTAGTTATTAATTTTTTCTTGCCCCTTGAACTTCGATGGTAGCAGCCGACTCCTCTCTTTCTGATCTGTTCGTTTTTGCTTTTTCCTTGTCAATCACATATCCATTATGCGGTCTGAATATTCGAAGAAAATGCCGTCGGCGGGAGGAGAAGAGATTGGCGAATTATCAAGGAAGGAGCTTGATGATGCTAATCTTGCGCGCATGGGAAAACGTCCTGTCTTGAAGGTAGATCCTCTTTGAGAATACGTATCAGATATGGACTAACAAGGACAGCGCAACTTTGGCTTGATGTCAATGCTGGGTTTCAGTTGTACAATTCTGATTACCTGGGAGGGAATTGTCGTGTAAGTGCCCTTGGCAATGAATAGTAACCCCGAGTGAACATTGGCTGATGACTTTGACATAGGTTATTCTTGCAAGCATACCAAAAGTAAGAGATGCAGATGGGTTATTCACCCCGCAGTGCTAACAGACGTTACACAGTGGAGGCCCAGCTGGAGCTGTATATGGATTCCTCTTCGTTTGGGCTGGTGTCGCAGCTACCTTTGTGGTTCTAGCGGAGTTGGCATCAATGTATGAAATGATCTGTCTACTTTATCTATCTACCGAGATTAACCAGTCAATAGGGCACCAACATCTGGAGGGCAGTATCATTGGACATCCATGCTTGCCCCGCGATCGTGCATGAAACTCATGAGTTACCTGACAGGTGAGCAGAGAATATCTAGAGTTATGCAAAAGTCAAGCTAACATATTTCACAGGCTGGCTTACTGTCATTGGGTGGCAAGCCACATATGCAACCTCATGCTATTTGGTCGGCACCTTGATTCAAGGCTTGATCGTGCTCACGAACAGTACATATGAGCCCAAAAACTGGCATGGAACTCTTCTATTCTGGGCAATCGTGCTATTCTGTGTCGCCATCAACAGTGTCGGAGGAAAGCTCCTCCCTCGATTTGAGGGCATGATCTTGATCCTCCACATCCTTGGCTTCTTTGCGATTCTCATCCCCTTGACTTACATGGCCGATCACGGAAGTTCCAAGGAGGTCTTTACGCAGTTCCTCAATTTGGGAGAATTCCCATCCCAGGGACTGTCGTTCTTTGTCGGAATTGTCGGCTGTATCTATGCGTTTGCCGGCGGTGATGCCGCGGTTCATGTGCGTATATCCATCTCCTTCAAACTGCTCAAACATCGACACTGGGACTAATTCAAAATTTCAAACTCTAGATGTCTGAAGAAATCACGAATGCTGCCGTCGCAGTCCCCACCTCGATCATGCTGAGTGTCTTGATCAACGGATCCTTGGGTTTCGGCATGTTGATCGCCATGCTGTTTTGCAGCGGTGATCTCGGATCGGCCCTGGAATCACCCACTGGGTACCCGTTCATGGCGATTTTCAAGCAGGCTACAGGATCCACAGCCGGAACGGCGGTGATGGGCTCGATCGTTACTACCATGGGAGCCACGACATCAGTTGGCATGCTGGCGTCAACCTCGCGGCAATTCTGGTCCTTCTCGAGAGACCGCGGCATTCCCGGCTGGCGATTGTGGAGCCAGGTAAGTTATTCTTCCAACATCCTAAGCACTGTCAGGATTGTCAAATTAACTGTAAAAATCACAGGTCACCGAGCACTCTGCCGTCCCCCTATACTCCGTTTTGGCCACATCCGTAATTTCCTGCCTCCTCGCACTCATCAATATCGGCTCCGCTGTCGCCTTCAACGATCTCTGCTCCATGGCCATCTCCGGTCTCTACCTGTCATACATGGTGGTTGGCGGTCTTCTCCTCTGGCGCCGTTGCACGGGCGGGATCAGCTCTGTTCGCAGCAGCGATTCCGCTATCATCAACACCGCTGGCGCGAAGCTCGTCTGGGGCCCATTCCATCTGCCCGGCATCTGGGGTATCCTTATCAACGCCTGGGCTTTGGTTTACATGACAATTGCTGTCTTCTTTAGCTTCTGGCCACCTGCTTGGGCGGTGACTGTCCAGACTATGAACTTTAGTGTCGTCGGGACTATGGGAACCATCATCCTTAGTCTTTTCTACTACTATGTCCGTGCGAGAAAGGTCTATAGCGGGCCTATCATGGAGCACACTCTTTAAAACAGTACCGACGGGTTTGGAGGTGCTTCGTGAGTTGGAGCTTTCTGGTGTATATAATTTCTGTATAGTCTTGGATATATCTTGTGTTGCGCGGCATTTTGGATTAATCAAGAGAGAAAAGCTTGTTTATTGAATATATTCACTGAAGTACACATTCAACTTTATCAGACCCCTAATTCATAACGTAGTCTTTACCCCTGTGCGATGTGGGTCGGAGATCTGAATCTTGTGCATGGGTAACTGACTCTTAGTCCCAAGAGATAACACGCAAGGCTGAATGATAAAACGTCAAAGCGCACTACTGAAACATTGCCTATCCTAGGAGCCACGAGGATCGGCATCCGCCTTCGCACGTGCGGACAGAAACAGTTAAATTAAAGTATGAAACTTAAACTTAGCCTCCCACCGAGGTTGGATTTATTGCACCTCTGCGAGTGATCCGCCTTTCATACACCTGGAACCTGCTAACGAAACAGATAGACGTCGGGAAGTCTTTAATTCTTCGATATAGTATGGAAGCAGGCGTTGTCTTTGACCAGTCTTCGGTTGGCAGCATACGTTTTGAAAACATTCAGAGCCTAGACAAGACTACGAGAAACAGATTCACGACCAGCAAAGTACTATACTTCGCGAACCTAATCTACCTAGAAATTAAGAAAACTAGCGGTGAGATGCCATTGATGTCTTTCCGCGAGACATGTACAGAACGTACGGAGCAGCACAGGGTCATTGGCCATCTTTTAAAAGACCAAGAAAAGGCAAATATACCTAGAATTACCATTTTCACTAGAAGAATGCGCTAAGAGGCAAATCGTTAGTAGGCGCTGTTGGGTGGCACAAGAAGGCGCTTCGCCCGGTTGCCTTTTCGGGGCGCCAGAACCAACACCCAGGGCTACATGCAAGGGATATCACAACCGGCGCGCGAAGGATTCGAGGCAATTAAATCTGTTGTGAATAATACCGTCACAGGGCAATATTCTAGGCCGTTTGTACATCTAATGAATGGATCCAAACTGCAAAGGCGCACGCCTTGCAGATCATTCAACAGGCTCGTAAAGGGGCGCTTTCCCGGGCACAACAAGTGGAGCTGATACTTGAGCGGATTACATTGATGTACACACTATGAAGATGCGGTTGCAAGGTCTGTGAAAACTGTTGTCTGCATTTCCGTGGGTATCGTAAGTACATAATTAAACAACATTGATGGCATTCGGATAGCTGCCACAGACAGACTGGGGCCCCTAAATCGCAATTCGTGAACAACATGAGGGTAGCGCGTCTTCTTGCGCAGACAGGGTCTTGAATTAAAGGAGCACAAAGTATTAAATCAAACTAAGACTGAGAACGAACATTGTCATGGTATCATTAGTGAAGGAATGGAATAACGCCCCCAAGAGATCATGACCCTTCAAATAGTAGGGGATTCGCAATAGAGCAAACGAAAAGACGTGAGGGAGAGACAAAACGCTAAAGCAAATCGAAAGCCCAAACTAGTCGTATCAACCGCTGGTATGAGTAAATCTCAGCGGTTGTCGGATGGGTGGTTCATCTGCACTGGATGATCCTCGTATTGGAAATGGTGAGGTGGAGGCCATGAATAGAGCGGTAGTTGGTCCTAAACAATTATTAGCATTTCTCCTTTTTCTGGTAATGGTTTCCATGGTTCCACTCACTGGGCTCTCGATCTTTGTAAACGTAGGATCGGTCAACGTAGGATCGATATCAATATCCGAACTCCAAATCGCGGGGTTCATCTCCTGGTGGGGCGATGAAAAGGCCTCGGGCTTCAGGATGCTCCGGAGGTATTGATCGATGGCTGTCACCATCTCTACCGGCATGCCTGAGGCGGGATATTGGGGGTTCGAGAAAGAGTCGCTCGCGACGGGTGAGCTGCACATATCGTTCGTATAGGAATAGGGCGATGGGTGGTCATCAGCAGATGCAGAAGACTGGCTCTGGCCCCGGGCGTACTGGGGACATGAGATTGAGGAATCCATGCTGCCCCATACTCCAGAATAATTATTGACAGTATCCGCTTGAAATGGGATAGGAGGTGAATTCGCTGGTTGCGGCTGCATCTGCTGTTGTAGGCCCGTCCGTCGAGGTGATGTGTCGCTTCGCGCGTATGATGTGCTTTCTTTTGCTGCTGATGCCGCGCTTTTATTCAGGTCAGTCCATGGGTTCGATATTCTCTAACAGTTAGGGTGTTACTCACTGTCGACCTAAATGCTGAGCCAAGTAGTCCGGGCGATGGAATGCCTTTTTGCACCCTTCGTATGAGCAAGGGTATTTCTTTTTAGGCTCGTGGCTGAGCTCATGTCGTCTGCGGTGTTCAGCTCTGGTAAATACCTGCATGGTGGTGATCAGCGAGATAATTCATCTGCGAAATCCTTAGGGTGCTCACCTTCGGACATCCAGGGCACTGGCACGCATGAACTCTCTTGCCCTTCATGGCTTTGCTGACCCGGTGGGAGTTTGTTTGGGGAGGCGAAGAGACATTCACAGGTGGACCGGGGTACATCTCCGTTTGGCTTGCGTTATTGTGGTTGGCCAGTGTTGATGGCGCGGGAGTAGTACATTCCAGGTCGAGTGGTGGCGTAATGGAGTCGGTATATGGGGTGTTGAAGGTGGACATATTGTAGGTGTGTAAAGGCAAAATACTCTCAAGTGGCTGATGCGGCTCAATATGCCATTCGGGACGAAGTTACGCACGTTTAGATGTTGTGAAAGTTGTATGAATTCGAGTGGGGAGGTGACACAAAGAGATATCAGATGAGAAATAAAGAGAGAGGGAAAAGAGGGTTAATAAATCTTTTATTGTCGACAGCTCTATGGAGGGGTGGGTATCTCGGACGGTCTCGGTCGTATCTCTAAACCCTCCCACATGTACTGGTCGCCGATCAAGTACCTAATTAGTAAAATAATCGAGGACCAAGCTAATACTAAATGGTCAGCTAAAAAAACGCCTGAAACGGCCCAAAGAACGCCTGGCTATAATTTCCACCTGCAGGGATGTTTTAGGCCAAAAGCGAATGGAGCGACGTTCGGTGATTTTTCGACAATGACGGGGGATCACCTCGTCGATCAGAGCCTCAGCCTCCTGGATCAGTCGCCCACGTCGCTCAACAACCTTCATCCTATTGGGCTGTGATAGTCTCCACTTGGGCGTTTATGGGTTAATGCAGCCATCTCGAAGTCATTTGCTGCATGTTCCAATATCGAGTTGTCTCCAGTTTTTTCCCAAGAATGGGGTCTTTACCCATTAGGAAATCCAAACGATACCTAGGTAGGATCCTGCTCTAAACTACAGGGATCGAAAGGAGGGTTTGGTTTCGACAGTGGGGCCGTAGCCCTGATGATAGATTTGATGCCGATCAAATATGGACTCATCACCAAGGCGCGTTTGTTGCACCTGCGTTTCCCTCATCTGGTATGAGGATGTTCATCACTGTCAGTTTAAGAAATGTCAGGCTGTGTGAAGATGTATTTTTGGCAGATTGCACGTGGATCATTGCGGTGTAGAGTAAGTGGCATGATATTTTGCAGCAACCCGGCAGGCTGAGTCGAAATTCAGAACAACCAACACTAAGGGATATATGTGATTGGTTCAAGTACACCGGGAATTCTTTTTTTAAAAAAAGAAAAGGAAAAAAAGGAGGAAAGGGTGCGGGTTTACACATTCCGAGGTCGATCTGCACCCGAATGGTTGATCTACTCCCGTCGACTTTTCGCTAAAGAGGCTCAACACGCCCGGGCGAGGGCCCACTGGCCTTGGCGTCGAACATGCATATACGCGAGCCCACCCTAACCAATGGATCGTCCGCTGTGTATCCATGGATCCCTCCACTCCGAGCTTGGGTGGACACACGGGTAACTTTGACAATCCACTCGGTGTATACACTTCCTACTTCTTCTTTCTATACAAGATTAATATAGCAAGGCGAGCGCATGTCATTTTTTTTTCCCCTTGCAGTCTAATGGAATAGCCCTAGCATCCGGACTTCCCTCAGTCATACAATGAAACTTGGAGCGTTACATCGGGATGCTGGGGTCTTAGTACGTGGGGGCCAATACCATACAGATGCGTATCCATTCCCAAGCAACAGAAACATACAATATAGTTCGTAGGGCATAGCTAGTGTAATTACCGAAGACCATTCCTGTTTCCGCCATGTAATGTTCGGCAGTCGGCAAAATCATTTGGAACTGAAAATATCTCGAGTCTTGTGCTCGGGCTGGCCTTGCCATTTAAAGCAAGTCTCTCTCCACTTCCCCATCTGAACAAATGCTTCAAGCAGTGGCCAGTGCACATCATACTTACGTTTGACCGTTCGTCCCATTTAAATACATTTCCGACACATTTATTCGGGCAGTGTACTCCGTAAGTAGTAATTTCATTAACCGTATGAACCGATGAGGCATTTAAACCTTATCCTTCCAATTCCACATCCGAGATTAAAGGGAAACCTTGGAGTATTTGCGGTGTTCCATCTTTGAGACACGTTGAGAAATCTTAAATCCGGCCAAACACCGATGGCATTAAACCAATGGTGTCAACATAAAATCTCCGGCAAAGTCTAACTTCAGCCTTGGACATGGCTTACATGCTCTAGCCCTTGGCAGGGGCTGATTATTCTCATATTCCACAGCCACATTGCTTCGCCCATGCTAATTCGGGATACGAGGGGGGGTCAGAGATCGCCATTCAGAACCGTGACTTGGGCATAAAGTGGGGCTGGGTATGATATCCAAAGATTCTCCCCTGTCATACATCGAAGACGGCTGTCATTTACAGATGTTAAAATTTCACCTTGCAACTAGTGTCCCGCTTGGGGTTTGAGATTCTGACATTACCCTGCGACTTGTCGGGATACGAGTGTTCATAAAGCTTGTGTGAACAGCCGACTCCAGAGATCCACTACTCTACGGGGTAAATGACTCGGATTGGCCTTCTCGGTCCGGAATATGGAGTAAGAATCTTGAACATAAACGTACCCACTACCCCGTTTTGCCTACCCGTTTGCTGATTAAGTGTACTTACTCCCGAGGTCGCTCCTTGCGTAGTTCATCGCTTGATTTCTTTTTCTTTTCGGATTTCTTAAATTTTTTTTTTTCTATACACGTTTCCTTATTGTTTGGTATTTGGACCTTTTAAGGCTTTTAAAATGTGCTTTTTCCTCTCTTCCTTCAAACTTCGATGTCATTCAAATCACTTGGCTTATGGGACAGAGGTAAGGGCCCAATTCCCCGAGGTTTTCCCGCTTGATATAAGCAATATCAGACGTTGACCCTAGAAACATTTGAACGTTAGCGTGGATGTTGCTAAAGTAATACTCGGAATGAGTCTCAAATTATTTGAGATATGACTCAGAGTATGATCTGTCGCTCCGACTGGGTTCCTTTTGGACAGCCATGAATATTGCGGATATTCTTGCTGGATTCCTAGTTTTCGGACTTTTGCATCTCCGTGGTGTGCAAGGGGATGGTGACGGCTGCCTTTGCTGGAGGTGAGCAGACATTCTATGTAATCTAAAAGGGCGCATTACTCACATCAAGAACAGGGCCTTCGGACACACCTATTCAGCCTATCTGCATATGTTTAATGCCAACAGGATCATGTGGGACTGCTAATTGCTCTTGGTGTAAATCGGGCTGGTTCACTGCCCGGTAAGAATAGCAAACCTTTCGATCGTCATTGACAGCATTCACAGGGAAGAAACCATCATTGTCAATTTAGCATTTCCTGATGACCCAAGTAAATGGTCATGCCAAATAGAGAACCTCTTATGGGTTACAAAATCATGGCGCATGGTACTCAAGTTAACTGGAACTCCTGCAATTCCAACACTGTCTGATCCCGTATGGTCTCGGCTGCCATGTATAACATGTGTGTCCAAGAATCAGAAATTATTGCGTCCAATATCTACCGCGCTGGTTGGTCATGAGACTCCTTTTCTTTTCCGTATTTGTTCAGAGTGCTAATTTAGCTCAGGTGACGCTCCCCGCTACCGGAGAGGCAATAGTACTTCGGTGGGACTTGTTGTTTCAAAGACCTTCATATATTTGTTGACAAAGGTATACTATATTAGGCGCAATCAAAGCTTCGGCAGGAAATAAAACGCTACGACGGATAACGAAAAGACGTGTTACTTGGCAACCACTACGGATGAAGGAAATAAGCGACTGGTTTTTCGATTCGCCTATTGATTATCCCTCTGAGAATTGGGCCTCTGAGTCGTTTACATGTGAAGAAACGGGAAAAACCGACTTAGTCCGTTAGGACATGGAGGATACTCCGTACAATTTGATATTAAAGCAATAAACAAATATTCTAACTCGCTTATACTGCATAGTCCATAAAGCTCTGGTAAGCCTAGGTCTAAAACAAGACACTCTCGTTTTTTATGCGATTGGTTAGGCCCTACATGGCGTGCTTGAGTAAATTACATGCTTGCAGTATAATCTATATCCATCCAGCATATAGTTTATGAAAATAAGCGAGCAGGTCAATTATTTTAGCTTTATCTGATTGAACACAGCTTCTGGCTCTAACTGATGTAGGTATAGTGTCGTTTGTAATCAACGATGTTGCGCAACTTCCAGTAGATATGATCCCATCACCACGGCATTTTCAGATGGCAGGATGTCAGACAATTCTTGGGGAAAATGACGTATGTCAACTGTAACAACACGGATTCACCGTTACCTATCAATATGATCAACATATAAGACGTGCTTTCACTCTAACTGTACGACAACGTTCCAGATCTGCGGGGTTACGACAATGAGGCCTGGGCATAACAACAATACAGATGTCGCAAGCGGATAATCGGCAACGTCTAGTCGTCGCGAAGTATAAGATGGACTTCCTGGTCCCAGCTTTTACCTCTCTGCATCAACAAGCAACGCAATCCAGCAATAACTACTATATCCAAGACCCTTGCCATGACATCCGCTATCACCGAAACTGCACCTGTGGTGGCTCCCGTCGTTGAAGAGAAGATTACACTGACAGGTCTCGCACGTGAGCCTATCAAGTACAGCGGGACTCTCGATGCCTTCGAGTCCTTCGATGTCACTCCAGTTATTGGACGCGAATTCCCCAATGCCAACTTGAAGGACTTCCTGCGCGCCCCCCAATTCCGATGATCTGCTTCGGGATCTTGCTCTAACCAGTGAGTTGGCCCGGCGGCTTTGCGTGGCATATAGAGCTGACATAACATCTTAGTCTCACAACGAGGAGTGGTCTTCTTCCGTAAGCAGGATAGCCTAGACAATGACCTACAAAAGGAGCTTGTCCAGCGACTTGGTGAACTCTCGGGCAAGCCAAGCACATCCGGACTGCATATTCACCCAGTGGCAAACTCAGGTCGGGAACACAGTGTCAAAGACGATGAGATCAGTGTGATCAGTTCCGCTAGCCGAGAAAAGCTGTACAAGGACAGAAACACGCGCAAGCAGACTTCGCGCAGAGAGTGGCACAGTGACATCACCTTTGAGCCCATCCCTAGTGATTATACTCTCTTGCGTCTCACGGAGCTCCCGAAAACCGGTGGTGGTAAGGCCCCGTTGTATGCTCTCTTTGAAATGGTTCAGGGACACTAATTGTTTTCCAGATACCTTGTGGGCCTCTGGCTACGAGGTTTACGATCGTATCTCCGAGCCCTACCAGAAGTTCCTGGAGGGTCTGACCGCAACCTATGCGCAACCCGGTTTCAACGAAGTTGCCAAACGCAACGATTTCACAATCCACCCTGGTCCTAGAGGGGCACCTGAGAACGTTGGAGAGGAGCTCCGAGCTGAGCACCCTGTCATTCGCACCAACCCTGTAACCGGCTGGAAGAGTGTTTTTGCTGTCGGCACGCACGTGCAGAAGGTCAATGGTGTCTCTGAGGAGGAGAGCCGTCATCTTCTCGACTGGTTCGTGTCTCTCATCGTTGAGAACCACGACCTGCAGGTGCGCAATCGCTGGCAGAACCCGAACGATCTTGGTATGATCTCCTGTAGAAATTTGTGATTGCCGTATCTGACTGTTGTTGTAGCTATCTGGGATAACCGATCGGTATACCACGCTGCAACTTGGGATTATGACGGCCTTGGTCCGCGCACTGGACACCGCGCTGTCGGCCTCGGAGAGAGGCCATATCTGGACCCTAAGAGCATCGGAAGACGGGAGGCGCTCGCCAAGAGTGAATGAGTGGTTTCATCATGATATATGTCGACAGACCAGCCTCGTCGTGAGTTGGTTTGACGAAAATTCTTGGTTCAAGACAGAATTTACAAGTGCCTACATTAATTTTTCCTTATATAGTGACAGAACTTAAGGCATGGCGAGCGTATGTGTAAAATTCACAGTGGTAAAATCCTCTAAGCGAAAATAACAACTGTCCAGATTTGACAACGGTAGGACCATAGGCTAGTTAGATCCTATCTTGTCGAGTTCATTTGTTAACGTGCTAACTACGTCTTCAAATTCTAGCTTCTTCAGACCGTATCGTCGACTCAACGAACACAGCATCCCTAACGACGTCGACCCTCCTATACTGTCCCCCTTTGTGCGGAAACTAGATCCTATATAGGTTCTTAGAGACATACCTAACTACCTAGGTAGGAATCCGATCTGTGCCCTCCGAGACACTTGCCAGACTACACTCGCTTGAGAATTCTCGAGTACGACAAGCAGCTATACACACTAAGATTTGAAAGGTGGATCCTTGACACTATCAGGTGCGGCAAGCTTCATCAATTCCATCTAAGGTATGATCCAATTGCCGTTGTCGAGTTTGCCGGGAATGCGGTTCGGGATATACGCTAATATAGATACACTTTCTGGCTATTGGTTCTTCGGTAGGTGCGGGTCCTTATTGATCAATACCTTCACATTCGGATGATAACACCGCCAGACGAGACCGTTCATATCAGGCCAAAGACTATACAAATATGGACGATATGCTAGGGTCCTTCCCGGCAGATATCCCCTTGCCTACGTCACCTACCTTAGTGGTAAGGCTAAATTCATCGATTTTGCCAATTCAGACCCCATTTTCCCTTCTGGAGGTTCCATCAACCCCACTCGTGTACTTGATGGCCCTCCACTGCCCCAAACAGGGGAGAAGAGACGTCGGGTAGGGACCACCACAGTGGCACGTCGAATCAGACCCCGCTTTCAACCTCTCCGGTGCTAGATACCCCAGTTTGAACCTCAAAAACCTAGAGGACTAAGCCTATAAGTGAGACCGGAAGTGAGTTCAGAGTGAGAACCCCTAGCAATCAGGACCGGAAGTGAGGGCTAAGTGAGAGATCGTTTCTAGCAAGTGAGCCAGAAAGTGAGACCAAAGTGAGAGATAACCTAGTATCATTATCACTAGATCCGACCTCCGTTATACCGTCGGTCGAAACTGGGGGTGGGTGGGATACGACGATGGTACTAAGTTATCTTTCACTTTGCTCTCACTTGCTGGCTCACTTACCAGCTCACTGGCTGGTAAACTATCTCTCTTTGCCCTCACTTCCGGGCTCATAACTGACAGAACTCAAGGTACGGCGAGAGTATGTGTAAAATTCACAGTGGTAAAATTCTCTAAGCAAAAATAACAACTGTCCGGGTTTGACAATTTCCAACCTTAATTACTAAGCAAACAAACAGACCGGTCCACGGGTCCACGGGTCCACTCCATTTTAAAAAAAAGTATGGGCGAATCCACTCTTGATTGTGCCATTTTGTCATTATTAGCCAGCTGTTATACTCCATCCATATAAATTGCCAGAAATAGGGGTGATAAAGGACCGAGCTAGCAAGAGACCTGATTGGCCACATCGGATTGCAACCGACAGTGTGCAAATTTCTTGACTATATTGTACCTAGGTACATAAAACCTGGAGCTGGGTGCCGCCAACCTTCGGATTTCCTCTTCATATCTGTCACTGCCGCAAATAATTTCTGCCGAGCAAGGAGTTGTGTCCCTCGAGATTACTTCAAAGCCCCCTATATCAGCGCGCCCTATATCAGCAAGGATGAATCAATCACCCAACGATCCTTTTACGCGGGAAATTCAGCGACTGAGGGCTGATTATGAGGGAAAAAGAGCGCGGTCTGACTTGGGTTCTGCTAGTGGCCGACGGTTAATCGACCTCAGTTTGGGATTGGTTGACGGTGTGTTCTGCTACACGTATTGGTACGAGCACCAGTGCATCCGGCTGGCTGATATTCCCGGCACTATTTCTGGCGATATTCTCCGCCTACAACAAAATCTGCCCCACTCAGTCGACCAAGGCGATCATGAAATCATCGGTGACCAAGTACGTCCCCTCGTGAATACGCCACCGCTTCCAGAGCTAGATGACGACTCCGAGGAACTTGATACAATTCTTGCCTCGCTCCCAATTGTTGAAGTCGATTTGAGCAAACATTTTGTTAAGGAAGGCAAATATAAGAGCGAAATCAGCAATCTGCTCGAATGCCAAGGTGGATCTTGCCCGGGCGTGCCAAAATCATCCCACATCATTCAATTACTAGGAAAGTCGCCAGAGGGGAAGCTGGTTTTCGAAAAATTCAAGCCCCGATACGTCTTAGGGTACATTTATCCCCTCGCTGTCTACAAAGACTGGCTTTTGCAGATAATCTCCGGGTTGAAGAGGCTTCATTCTCTCGGGATTATTCATCGTGACATTCGCATCGATAATATTGTCTTCTCCTCTGATATATCCCGCGTGCTTATCTGTGATCTCGAGGGTCGTTGGGGAAATCGTCTGGCTCCTGAGGTTTCTCGCGAGCCGGTGTTGGACGCTGGCTGGACTGAGAAATCGGACATCTATGACCTCGGCTATCTTATAAAAGGCTTGATATACGGAAACGTACCGATAACAATGGCGGTGCAATGGTTTGTTCCCCCTCCTCTTGCTGCTGTTGTGGAAGCTTGTACGCGCAATAAGCCCGAAGAGCGCCCTAGTTTGGATGTTCTATACGCCATGGTTGAGAATATCAAGATTACTGCTTAACAATATATCCATGGATGAATCTTGATCACGTAATTTCACCTTCTGACTGGCCTGCTCGATGGCGGCTTTCCCGTCCTTGGACCGGCATACATCTCGGAAATCCTACCTGTTAGTCTTCAGGGTATCAGACTGGCAGCCAACAACTTTTCTCAGGTGGCTGAGTCGTTCATTGCAATCCGGATCTTGCGCGGAACAGAAACCCGGGCAGACAAGTGGGCGTACAAAATTCCTTTCATTACAGAATACCTTTTCCCCGTGCTCTTCATTCTTGGGGCTTTCTTTGCCCCTGAAACACCCTGGCTTTTGGTGAAGAAAGCACGTTATGAAGAAGCCGCAAAATCCTTAGAGCGTACTGGATATACTCAGGATCTCGACAATACCTTGGCTCATATGAAGGAAACCATTCTATTGGGAGATCAGTGTGTATCCACAGTGACCTACCTTGATTGCTTCAAGGACATAAACTTCCGACGTACTGCAATATGCTCAATTTGGTATAGCGGTCAGTTCCTCTGCGGAGTTAACGTTGTGTCTTCATATTGTACCTACCTTTTCCAGCTGGCGGACGTGGCAACAGATCAGGTTTTTGATCTTTCTCTCGGCTTGTTTGCGCTTGGTATTGTCGAGAACATGTTTTCATCGCCTCTAGTGTCAATCCGCGGCAGGAGACTCGGCTACATTCTAACTCGTGGACTAGTGACGGTGGAGGGAGACCGAGGTGCGGGTTATATCGACGCCGTTTGTGGTCAGTTGGAAGCGGGGGCTCGGGGTTTGATAGACGCGCCGGGTGGGTGCGAAGCCGTCGGGTGTTCCAGAGTTTTCTTCGCATTCGTTTTGATCGAGATCCCATTTCGTTGATGCAAATGATGAGAACAAAGATCTAGAAAAGACGAGGAAGAGTGATGAGTGATAAAGGAAGGAAGAAAGTGTTGTCATATTGGCGCACTCTCCCAGTGTACGGCAGTCTCCAATCTCCAGTGCGCCATATCGTATTTTGCCAGCAGAACATGTCACAAACCTACCTACATATAGGTAGTCTGCGTATGTATGATTTAAAGACCATTAAAAAGACCATATAAAAGACTATCGGAGAAACTACCTAAGACCAACGAAAGACTACCTCGTAGAAGTTGACTTCATACGAATAAATTACTAGAACTCATACGAAGGGGCTAATAAGTTGATGTGGAAGGCGGTCGAAATTTAATATGGAAGAATACCATATGGCGCACTGTTGCCTTCCTGAACTTATAGTTCAACACTTTCTTCTAGTTCTCTCAATCCCAGCCACCTCTCCCGCGAGAGTTTGCCAGCAGAAGCACCAGAAGCAAAAAAAATGACAGTCTCTTTAAGCTCTCCAGGGCCCCCTCCGGCTCGAGTTTTCCAGGATGTCGACTCCAGCTCATCTGCCTGCGCCCAGTCCAACAGTGCCCCCATGACCTTCGCAATGATCCGAAAAGTTGAACTTACACCCCACATTGACAAACCGGGCCTTCGGGCCAAGGTTTCCTTAATGGCCGATATCAGAACCCCCCGATGAAGAGACCATGGTTCGGTCAGTCCACCCTTCTCTGAAGAGCTGCAAAGAGGTCTCAGTTGTCGAGCAGGGTCCGATTGATTGACCCGTGTGGCTTGTCAGTTCCAGTGGCGCTAAGCACCTCAAAAGCACACATGCCGCCGGCAGGGAGATACACGTCCTGCCGAAACACTTTAGTCTACCTCTTCCATATACATGGGTAGCGCGTGATACGGTTATCAAGACTATAAATCCCCGGTCCTTTTTACCATCCCAGCATATCGCATCAATTCGTGATGCCTTCCCCGGTTCCGTCGGTGCACAAGTACTCTTGACTGGCTGGCTGTTAGTGGCGTTTCCGGAGAAGAAATCACTCGAGGCATGCTGGGCCAAGGGTGTCCCGGACGAGGTCGGTGGTCTGCGTGTCGGGTACATTCTAGCATCGCTCTATGGCACAGCTGAAAATGTCGAGTTTGGTCGAACTGTCAGCGATACACCAGGAAATTTCAGTCAGGCGACACTAGGCCTACGATTACGGCTCCCAGGTGGCCATCACAACAGTGACACATGCATTTGTCCGTATTGCCCGTGTGACAGAATGGGGTCCGTATGAAGAGGCGCTTCAAGGCCAGCCGGTCTTCGTGCATCGCTATAATGTTGGAACAGGAAGCTGGTGGACCCACCATGGTCATGCTGTAACAACACAAGCCCAGCAGTCTATCATCCATGGGACCCAGTACAGCTGGGACGAAAGGACAGGGACGCATGGCACAGCGTTGTTATGGAGGACAATTGGAGACACTGATACTCATCAACGGGCCTCAGGCAGTGTCTTATGCTTAGGCGAACCCCAACAGGAGACTGCTAGAGCACTCCTCTTCCAAAACTTTGGGGGACCCCTAATGGCTAGTGAGTACGTGAAGAACGCTGAGAACGACGATTCCCCTCCTTTCAAAGGGGGGGTTCCTCTTGCCACAAGAGATCCGAAACTCGCGAATCATTACGGCAGGATATATACATCCTGAAGACTTCCGCACGCCTGAGTCTATATTGAATCGATATTAAATTAACAAGGTTTTATAGTTACTTTGTATGACTCATGGAAGATACTGCAGAAGAAGTCTTTTTAGTAGTCTTTTTAGTGTTCTTTCTAGATCTGGCCTTGCTGAACACCAAGCGTTGGGACCAGATGAACCAGGGAGCATGTGGTCATGTCTTGCAAGAGAACGGATCAAGAAACCTCGCCGAGTTACTGCAGACCACTTTGTTCGGTGTTGCTTAATATCATAGGAGAGGGTATGATGGTATCGTATTTATTACCTATATTATTACTCTTCAAGATCAGGTCACAGCCTATATAGTATGTACCTTTCGCGACATGAACTGCATTCAATGCACATCTTTCCTCTTTATCAGTCTTTTGCCTTTTCAATATAGTATACCTGAAAGGAAATACCATCGTTTGACTGTGTGGTAGTTGTCCTATTGTGCTTCAAGTAGTACAGAATAGGATATTCAATACCGTGTGCTAGTAAATAATAGGAAACACAGTCTTAGTATCTATATCCGACCTTTGCCCGGTTTAGAGACGAGAATGTCTGATTTGCCGCGGGGCCGCAGAAGCAAATGCACGCAAAATGAAGTCGCAACCTCCCACAGTGACCTTCTCACCACTCTTACGTCCTCGCATGTCAACACCCAGTCCGTTAGCCATTGAAGGCAAACTACCATTGTTCGGACCCAACGCATATTTTATCTCCCAGTGGTCATCCGTCCACTCTTCTCTTCGCGTGCTTACCTCCTCCCCAGTGATTTGAACAGTCCGTTCTCCAAGGGGTGTTCGTCTAACCACGTGGATTTGCTTCTGACGGAGGACCAAATACGAGCCACCAATTCCCGCTAGAAACATCTTGGTAATTTTGTGCTGCCCCTCTTCCAGAACACCCTCATCAGACTCCAAGATCCACGAAAGGCCACGCCCCGGCCCTTCCGGCCCTTCGCGAAACGGAAGATACCTCCACACTTCTTCATAATCCGTCATCGGTGCTCCGGGTACATCTGGTCGAGCCATAGTGCCAGTCTCCAGATCGTCTCCATTGGGGAGCGGGATAAATGGACACGGGTTGCTGATGTTGAAATTGTGGTGGGAGTCAATCTCATGCGTGAAGATGACGCGCCCTGTGACAAGTCAGCCATTTATTGTGTGATGTACCATCGACAGTCAGAAAGACAGAGAGCATACGCGGGTCTTTGCTTTCCTGAATACATTCTCCCGCGAGCGCCCAATCGATCTTGCCGGTCTGTTTATCGACTCGCAGATCGACGTACCATTCGCCAACTGTGATCACCAATGTGTCCGTGGTTTCGAAAGGTGTCTCTGATGCCCATCGCATTGAGATGCGTGTCGTCAGGCTCGATTCCGAAGCCGGCACTGATAACTTTGACATTTTGGTGACAATTCTTCAACGATGTCTGTCTTGAGAAGGGGAAACTTGGCAGGTCAAGGATGGTATAAGTCATCTAGATGATTCAATTGGACATATAAATACTACAAATGGAATCTGCTAACATGCCTTGGCCTCCAAAGTGTCTCCACAATCTCCAACTTCCAAGAAATCCGACCCCACACTGAGTCTCGCTGCCGGTTGCCCTTTCCGACTGAGACCTCGGGATAGTGACTCACTTATTTACTGATCGGATTCAACGATATTCACATATTCACTCATTATAAAGACAATAAAAACATCCTTGATGTATTCCGCAATATCATTCCGTTATCCTGACCACCCTTGGCAAATTGAAACACAATGACGTGGATCTTGATCGCTGCTTTCATAGTAGCCTTCCTTGTCTACCAGCTCTCTATTTCCACTTTGTTTAGCCCACTTGCGCGAATTCCCGGTCCAAAGACTTTCGCCTTGACCAAATTCAAATTAGCGTATGAAGACTACAAAGGAACTCGCACGCGAAAGATCAACGCTCTCCATCAGCAATATGGACCCGTCGTTCGTATCGGTCCCAGTGAGGTGACGTTCAACAGCACCTCTGCCTTGCGTGCGATCTACGGCGCCGGAAGTGGCTTTGAGCGCACTGGGTTCTACCACATGTTTGAGGTTTACGGTCGAAAGAACATGTTTTCGTTTGCGACCGCGAAGCAGCATGGAGAAAGGAAGAAACTCTTTGCCCACGCCTACGCCAAATCTGTGATGCTCAAAGGACAGAATGCAGAAATGGTCGAGCAGAAGGTCAAGCTTTATATGGACCTTTTGGAGCGCGATGGGGGGGGAAGCGAGATATTCTCTACCTTGCATTATTTCTCCCTAGACACAATCACTGAGTTTCTTTACGGATCTTTCGGCAAGACTGCATGTCTCGAGGGGCTGGGTCAAGACCGCGCGCTCATCGGAGACATCATCGACACTGCCCGCCGCAAGCTATCGTGGTATGCAGTTCATTTCCCTCACTTCACGGAATGGCTTTACTCTCGGACTGGGCTTAGTGGCTGCATTGCGAAATGGTTGTACCCAATGCAGCTGCCAACGACTTACAGCGGTATCCGACTTCACGCGATGAAAGCTACTCAGAAATATGCCAGTGCTTCTGCCAGTGAGAAAGCGGGCGCATCAGCACTGATCTCCAGACTGTGGAGCCACCACCATTCTCAAAAGTCGAATGGAATAGATGATCTCGATATTGCATCGGAATGTGCAGATCATCTTCTGGCCGGCATTGACACCACCAGCGACACACTGATGTTCCTGATTTGGGCTCTTTCGCGACCAGAGAACAAGCGGTTCCAAGACAAACTCATCGAGGAAGTCTGCAATATTCCCGAAGACTCGCTCAATGCAAATGGCATTCCCAAGGTAGAAAGCAGCGACAGGCTCTCTTACCTCGATGCTGTTATCAAGGAGACACTCCGCCTCTACGCACCTCTTCCCGGATCAGAGCCACGCTCACTTCCCACGGCAGCCACAATTGATGGCTACACGATTCCGCCACGAACGGTGGTTTCTATATCCCCGTACGCGCTTCATCGTAACCCTGAGGTTTTCAAAGATCCAACCAAATTCAATCCTGATCGCTGGTTGGATCCCTCCGAGAACGTGGCAGATATGAAGAAATGGTTCTGGGCATTTTCCAGTGGAGGAAGGATGTGTATTGGAATGCAGTATGTTCCTTGTTCTCTATCGGGCGACTTCCCGCTTTGACTACGAGAGATGGCTAACAGGGAACAGTCTGGCAATGGCAGAAATGACTACTTTGGTAGCGGCGATCTATCGAAAATACAAAACCACACCCATGGGGGATTTTGGCACCGTCTCTCCTGGCATCACAGGTCGGTATGAGGTGTTCTATGATGAAACTTGTAGTAAAATGCGGGTATGTTCAGCTAACATGTTTCTCTCAAAGACTCGCTAATCATTGAGACAGGAGCATGAGTGTCAGATCGAGTTCACGCCACATTGAGCAGTGTAGGCGGTCATCTAATTATAGTTGTGCTATATTCTTGATTTGAATGAGCACGCATTATAAAGGGGTTTCACAGATTGGATGATACTTTAGCCCTATACCTTATCAATTGAATTAAATAATTACATACTAGTCTCTAATCTCAATATATTTCTTTCTTCTATGGTATTGCTAACAGCATCTCCACATGGCCGAATAGAAAGAGTCTGCGAACTTAGGGCTTCCACGGGTAAGTATCCTGTAGTAACTGCATGCATAGCTCATTATAAACGACTGCTTACCTAGAAAGCTCTATGTATACATATACACCCTAAATATCTACTCCATGTAAGTCTACTTAAATACCAAAAGGCAATTCCATCCGACACACAAATGGCCCCGCAGTAATTATCTTGGCGTCAAGTCCCCGCATGATATAGTCGTGGAAAGAGTCTGCGAGACAGCATTGCTCATCAATCGGATTTGTAGGATTTACAGAGATAACTATCTAGTAATGAGATAGTGCGCCGCAGTCTCTGTGTAGAGCCAAGGTTATAAAAGCCCGATGGCTACCTCAATTCCACCCTCAATGTACAACTTGTCCAACTCCTGGAACTCTTCAAAATGCACTTCACATCTCTTACCTTTTCACTTCTTTTGCAGGGCGCCATTGCTTTGAATGTTGGCCCAGAGTATAGTCATCCGATAGAAGGTCAGTCACACAAGACGGAGCCAAAATCGACATACTAACCAGACAACAGACCTCGACGTCGACCTTCCATTCTCTCAGCCGGTCACATTCGCCCACTTGGAATGGCAAAGGTGTCTCGCAGAATCTCATAATAAAGTATGTCGCCGAAACACCCGTTTACCCAATGATCATCGTGATCTAACCTTCGCAAAAGCCCCTCGACATCGCCGTTCTTGGATTCCCATACGACACCTCAACATCATACCGCCCCGGCGCAAGATTCGGTCCTCGAGGCATCCGCGCAGGATCGGCGCGCGAAAAGAAAGGACGAAGCTACAACACCGTGTGGGAGGTGGACCCGTATGACGAAGGACTTGAAATCGTGAGTGCGGCGCATCCACAAATATGAAATGAAATAGCTGATGGCTAATGCACCACCAGATCGACTGTGGAGATATTCCGATTACACCATTCGATGCCGCGCACGCATTTAAGCAAATGGAACAGGGTTACAGACAGGTTCTCTACCACCCGACGTCCGAGGGGAACTCGTGGGAGCATCCGCGGATCGTGAGTCTCGGTGGCGATCACTCGATTGTCTTGCCTATTTTGCGATCATTGAAACATGTCTATGGGCCCATCTCTGTTATTCACTTGGACTCGCATCTTGACACTTGGGATCCTTATGAGGGTTATACTGGGATCGCGTCGAACCAGTCGGCAATTACGCATGGGACTTTCTTCTGGCATGCGAGTCGGGAGGGATGTATTTCCAAGGGGACGAGTGTCCATGGAGGGTTAAGGACGAAGCTTTTTGTGAGTGGTTCTGGTGTGGTGTTGAATTGAATACTAATCGGAATTATCAATAGAGTCCTAAAGACTACGAGATCGACCAGAATGTTGGATTTACGATTATTGAGGCTCACGAGATTGACGATATTGGCATGTCTGGGATCATTGAAAAGGTCCGGAGTGTTGTCAAAGATACTCCTACTTATCTTTCCATTGATATTGACGGTGAGTTTGTCCTTTCCCCTGCCCAAGGTATACCAGATATTAATTTCTCCCATCAGTCCTCGATCCGAGCATCGCCCCTGCAACCGGAACACCCGAATCTGGCGGCTGGACCACCCGTGAATTAAAGCGGTTCATCAAAGGCCTCGAGGGTGTGAATCTTGTTGGTGCCGATGTAGTGGAAGTCAGCCCGCCATATGACACTGTTGCTGAGACTACTTCGATCGCTGCTGCGGATTTGATCGTTGATATTCTCGCATCCATGGCGAAGTTGAAGACAGGACCCAAGGCGAAGACGGCAACTTCGAAAGATGAATTGTAAGCCTGAATTATGCTTCGAACTGAGATTTGAGCTATGTATGGATCGCATTATATGAGAGCCTTCAAATAGGCAAGACCAACTTGCCTGATTGTTTGAGGGCATCTCTCCAGTTAACCACATTCTTGTCTGAATTCATGATGCTCCAAATCTCCTGTATAACCTTCCATTGCCTTTTGAAATTGCCCATTGAGTACCCCTGGACTCGCTCCCACCATTCAACCCAAGGGTGTCGATCCGCTGCCTCACATGCAGCAATAAATGCCGGCCAGGACATAGGAGCTGCGCGTTTTTCGCCACATGAGTAGACATCCTTGAGGTCTTCGGCAAGCGAAAGGTTCTTCCAGATTGTTGCTACTCGCTGCTGGAGGTCCACCGGGCTGGAGTTCTCGATTGTTCGATAATAAAAGATGACAATAGCGCTGTGGAATGCCAGGGCCTGGCAACGTATTATCTCAAGCATAGTCGACTCCTCCAATGCGATGAGATTGAAAGACTCGGAGTGTATATCCCATGAAAATATTTCATCATGTAATGCCGAGCATGCCTCGAGCAGGGTTGTTGGCATTTCAATATCCTGGTAGAAGGCCAGATACTCGGCCACCTGACACGTCTTTTGTAGCAGGTTTCCCAGATATGGGGTGATCCCGTACATGTACTGGATGTTGGTGTCATCGTCTTGAAAGTAAGGCTGTTCAAAGAATGGACCCTCTATTCTCCAGGGTCTAGATTCTAGCTCGTGTGCGGTCGTTCGAGCCAGGAGACTCAGAAAACGGCAAATACTGCTGACCTGCCGACTGGAATCATCGATCGCATCTGAGACATGGCCAGGTCTTTGCAGTTGGTGACAGCCTTTCAGATGGATTGGGAAATCTGAATCTTCTCCCGTCATAGTCTAATTTGTCAGATTAATCATATTTCATAACGTCGAGCAAAAGTCACCTACATCGATTGTGACTAAGGCGAGCATTGCCGTGAGATAGACGGTATATTGTCGAGAGTCATTGGGCGCTACGAGTGCGAACTTGAGTGCGCGCAAAGCTTTGGCCCGATGCTGGAGACCAAGACTGTGGTATTCTCTTGAGCCACCCATGACGTTCCGGAGGTGGAATGCGGCCGAGGACAATATACTGTGGAATAGTGAAATTGAGACGCCCGAAGAAGGAACTGCATTTTGGACAAGACATAATTCAGGGCAGCCCTCGAGAGCGAATGGGAGATATGTTGTGCGCCAAGGGTTCCTCGGGTGAAAGACTGGTTGTAGGAGCTCGGCGACATGGTTTTTGTAATGATACATAAGCATGGACGTTTTTTGGTCTTTGAATAGAGGTATTGAAAGCTCGATGTGTGGTGATGGATGTATCGTGAGTGACCTGTGTCTTGGATATGATAACGTTGGAGAATTTCGTGTATCCGTCATGGCTATCACTGACTCCCAGTCCGAGGACAAACCCATTTCGTGGATTTGTGCATTAGGGATGACATTACCATTAGGGATTATTTCGAAAGCTCGATTGAACAGGTCGACTGAGTCCAATGGACTAGGTGTAATTTCAGGACTACAGTCCTGATTCTGACGACTATTCTCCAATGAAGAGTGAGGTTCGAGATATTCATTGTCGTCAAGTTCCCATTTCGAGAATATCGAAAAGGGCCCTATACTGACGGTGCGCGACGGCGTTGAAATCGCGTCAAGAGAGGATATAATTCGGTTGAGCTCGTCATCCGAAATGCTAGGAGAGGTGGATTGTTCTGATTTAGAATTGCATCAACGAATGTGCCTTTGGAAGAGGGCTCAGACTCACCTAGTCTCATCTGCCTGCGTCGCAGGCCTTGAAGTTCTCCCTTCTTATCTGACATCCAGCACAGATTTACACCGTAACCGGCGCATTCTAAACCAGATTTCTGGCAGACTCCACATCCATTTTGCTGACGCTCGTCACATTTGACCTTCCGGGACCTGCAGGTCCAGCACCTTCTATTGTCAGCTTCGATAGTACGTCGAATTTTAAACATAATTGATGTCTTACCCTGTAAAGGTCACCGACTTCTGCTTTGTCTGGCGAAGACGCTTGGTTTGTTTTCTGAGAGCTTTCACGGGGGCATCCATGGTATCGTTGATATAGGGCTGGTTCTCAATATGAGCAATGACAGTGTCCTTCGATGGGCGCGAGAGGGGCTATCAACCAGTGTCCTAACACCGCGTGCAGTTGGAGAACGCCAAGGCAAGAGGTTGATATTCCATGTTAAGGTCAATGGTCTCAATAGTGGAGCTTGAGATGCGGGGTCAGCCGGGACCAATCGTAAGGGATAGCCGAAGAGATGTGCCCGAGATGTGCCTGTTGTGTACGGAGTCGAGATAAAGAGATAACTGCGCTGAGATCCCCAAATGCGGGGTTTCAACTGTTTCTATTCCATGACATAACATATTTGGGGATAAACCTTGGAAGTTTTCGTCGAGTCAGAACTCTAGGGCTGCTGGAGGTCAGCACACCATTATGTCAGCATGTCACTTCCAAGGTTCCAAGGTTTCATCCCGAGGTCCCTTTCATCCCATATATAAAGTACCGACCTTTGTCTGCAGAACTTCCAGTTGTCTTGATGCAGTCCGATGACGAAAAGCGAAGTTGGAACAAGTCAATGCTAGGCAAGAGAAGTGTAGATGGGAAAAGATTTGTATTTCTACCTCAGCCGTTGTATTAAAACACTTGAGTATTACAAATTGTGACACCCGCCAGGCAATGTCACTTGATGGTATATACAGTTCGTTGATGAGACGAACTTCACCAAGAAAAAAGAAGATCACTACCCAAGCTCTCACCAAATGGTCCCCTACCGTCAGACTCCCATCGTCAAAACTTGGAAGCATTCACATCATGATTCAACATTTTTCAGGACAATCGATACTCTGCAGGTACCTCTGGCCATGCGTCAATCCCGTCTAGTATCGCAAGGGCCATACCACCGCTGGTGTGGACCTGGATATGACAGTGGATGAGAAATGCCCCTGGGTTATTCACTTGATACCGAATAGCCATCCAAGTCGGGCCCGTGCTAGCAGGAAGAGTCGCGATTGTGTCTAATATCGGTGGGGTGTTGAAGTTGAAGCTCTGGGGGATGTATCTGACCGCTTCAGAAACAGAAGAATAGTTCCATAACCCTTGCCCGTATCCAATGAGAAAGAATTTGTTTGAATGCTTGTGGATCGGATGATCAGGCTGAATCGGTGAAGTGACGTGGAAAATGAGATCAACCCAGCTGCCATTCTTGGTTTGGATGGCGCGGCCGCTGTTTGCAACATCCGAGTCTGGGTAAAAGAGAAGCGGCGCGGCTTCTTCGAGGGCAAGTGGAAAACTGGTGTTACCGAGAGTCCACGTGTATGAGGTGTTTCCGAAACGCTCGATCTTGAGAACAAATGTTTGGTCCGCCGTCTGAGCTGGCAGTTCTACCGGAAATGGAACTGTCAGTTTTTCGTCGAAGAAGCTCACATCTGCGGTGGTATTCTGCCCTGCGACGTCGATGTACCCAGTAGACGTTCGCTCGCCAATGCCGCCCGCAGCATTCACGTAAGACATAACAGCAGTAGTGTTCAAGATCTGGTTAATACCGCTAACAACTGTTCGAATGGTGTAGTGGCCCGGTGGCTTGTCAAGCTTTACAAGCACGGACAGTCGTCGCCCAGGCACCAAGTTGACCGCGTGAGCCAGCACTGGTTCGATGTATCGGCCGTCAACAGCATACACGTACATCGGGTGCTCGTCCACTGAAAACAATAATGCGGCGACACCAGCAGCAGATATAATGTTCCAACTCACGTAATCAGCGCTTGGGTACACGAGTATGTTTTCTTTCCCTTCATGTCCGGCTGTAGGTGTACATCCTGAGAATAGGCCGTCTGGGATATTGGTGAAGTTGTGGGGATACGGACCTTGGGCAGCCATATTGGTTGGAGGTATGCAGCTATACGCATTGTCAGCCCCAACAAAGTCCGTAAGTAGGTAAATAATACATACCCCATATCAGTTAGGTGAGACCCGTTAAGCACTTGTCTTTGCACATCGCTTGTGAATGCATTGATCGTATCTGGTGATAGACAGGAAACTGAGCCCTTGCCATTGATCAGCAACGAGTTGGCGCAGTATGCATCAAGTCCTGTGGCCTTTGCCGCCTCCCACAATTGTTCTGATGTCATATGTCGCCAATCTGAAAGTATGATAGACTGAGTATTGTCCTCCGCATTCCGCATTGCCTTTTGCTGATCACCGTCACTGGTAATCGATGCGAAAGGCCGCTCAACGGAATTATCAGGATGTATATTAATCGGCCCATACAAGCCATCCTCAATATGACCTCGTTGATGCGCATGATAGAAGTAGCTTCCATATTCGGTTGCTTTCCATTTGTAGGTGAAAGACGCCTGCGGCTTGATCCCTCTTTGTGAAAGGCCTGGAACACCATCTGACCATGGGGTGAGTCTCTGTTCAATCCCTATTCGAACCAGTCAGAAAATAATATTGGAACAATAAGAAATTACGAGCCTTACCATGGAAGTGAACAGTGATGGAGTACGGTAGCAAGTTCAATACAGAAACCTCCACATCGTCTCCTTGGCACAATTCGAGCAATGGTCCAGGGAATTGGCCATTTGTCAAAATTCCCTTCCTCGAATATCCGTCTGGAGATATATCCCCTTCTGTCAAGACTATGTCGAATTTGACAGAGGGCCGTTGCGGGAACAAAGCAACATGGGAACAATCCGCAACAGCCTTGACCAATTGCAGACAGGTCAGGATGAGAAAGCACCTCAGTAACGCAATTGAGGTTGTCATCTTCATTACAGAGAAAGAAAATTGTCAACAAATGAGAGTCGCCCCGTCTTTTTACGTCTGTTTGCCGGAGAAATGTGAGACCGATATTGTGTATATTTTCAATGTTGTTTGTTAATCCACCCAAATTGCCAAATCTGGACAGTTCAAGCTGTTATTTTTAAAGAATTTTACCAATATGATTTTTACTAGTTCGCCATATCCTGTCATAAATTTGTATCTGGTACTAGAGCAAGGTACGGAGTGGATGAAATTTTGGTCTATATATAAGTGTACCACATCCATCGTGATGTAGTGAGCTTGGACGGAGCTTAAAGCAAATACATTATACATTATAGGTTTTCAGGATATTGTAAGGTGTTTGAATTCTAGGAATTCCAGAAGAGTGGATATGTACTCCATACCGAAGCCGAAGAAAGGCCCAAGCAAGGAGCTTCAAATTTCAGATGCCAATAGTGGTGTCGATCTTCAATCAGGCGTTCCCTAAGAGGAGGTCCCCCACGACATCAGGGATCCACAGCGCGCTAGTCCGATTCGGGAGGAATGGCTAGTATAGTGGATAGATAGGTGTTGAGAGCGTATTATACTGTTTAGAATTGTGGGTTAAATGATCTATTGCGTAGAAAATTAGGATTGAAAGGAAATTTGGGATCGAGTGTGGCCCAACTAGGTGGTGGGCTTGGAGTACTTGGCAAAACACGCCAGTGGTATAGGAGGCGTGACTGTGTCGGCTAGAGTCTCCAAAATACTATTTCAGTGTCCGTTAAAGCACTTTAAGCCTTATCAACGAGACGGTGGCTCTCGCTCGGATATGCATAAATAGCTCTTTCGATGAGACGTAGCCGAATATATGTAAAAAAAGGACCCGGTTTTCCAGCAAGGAAAAAAAGAAAACAAAACAAAGAAAAAGAAGGAAAAGAAAAAAAGCAAAACCAGGATCCGGCCCTCACACACTATAATGTAATGCATTAATGTACCTCTCTTGTCTGCAGACTCTAGAGCTTCTGTGGCCACTGGTATCGCTGCATTATACCCCGCGACATTCGCAGGACGGGATCTGCGTTAACAAAATTCCTTGTAGGGGGTGCTGCGATAATAAGACCTCTAGCGACGTGCAGGCACCTCTTTGTGGTGTTAGGGATCAGTATTCGGGTATTCCAAGAATGATCGAAGAAGCAAAGACATGCACGACGTCGTCATAATGTCTTCAGTATTCCGACGGATCATCGTCAGGGAGGTAGAGCGAGTATCTGCAAATTCAATCACCGAAATCGTAAATCCACAACTAGACTTTCTTCACTATTGAGCGATGTATTCCAAATCCTCCTGCCTGATAGTTCGTAACCCGATATGGTCCCTTTGCCGAAATAGAATGCGGCATCTGCCATTAGGACGTAGAGCGAACAGACGAATGAGCGTTTTGGTGAGTCGCGAGTTTTGTGGTGAGCGACGATATGAGTGTGTATGTGTGTGTTGATGTGTGTGGTGGTGAATGGTCGGGGAAGGATAATGGTGGCCAACGACTAGACCCCGTTATCCCGCAACATAGGGTGCATAAGTTTGAGCGCCTCTTTTGCTACGGACGAGATAGCTTCGCAGACCACTGCCGAGACAATGAAAATCATGGAAGGGATCTCGGATTCCGTGATAATGATGCAAAGCCTCCTCGGCGCATCTCGCGATAGGGTGATCTTAGGTGATAAAGGTGAGAGAGGTGAGAGAGATGAGAGAGGGGTGATAATTTCTCAGGATCGAAGTAATAAGAGGTTGGCAATTGCCAATATGCTCGCATCGAAGAATAACCACAAGGTTTATTCCAAAGACCTTGGTGGTCAGATTTGACCTTGAGGGAAGCTCCGATTTAGCCACCCGTGATACAACCTCAAAGCAATACAGCAGAAACAAGTAGCGGTAGCGCTGCGTTTGACTAAGGCACAGTTGCAAACCCTATTTTGGGATTATCAAGACTCAGAAGCAATCACACCATCCGAATCTACTATGATGGTATTTATGCAGTCATTTAAAACGGCCCGCTTCGGTGATTCATCCTCAAGACAACATCAGCGTTTATATCTCCTTCAGGTGCCGTGTATACTGAAGATATCGAGTCCGAATCTGAGTCTGAGGGATCCCCAACGGTATCTTGAGTACGTTCAGACGGCTCTCCGGGCCTCGGAGTCGGCTCACTTTCATGCCGAGGAATTGTTCTAGGAACGCGACTCTCTTGACTATGATTATGTGACGGCACTGGCGTATTTCTAGCGGCAGAGCCTCCAGCCCTCGAGGGGCGAGACGGTATTTCCGAAGACCTCTGGGGAATTTGAGAGGGAAAGACAGGGGTTTGCCGAGGAATGAAGGTGTCCGACACCGGTGGTTCTTCTCTGGCTGGAGGCCGACTAAGAGTCCTCCTGGCAGGACCCTGTTCGAGCTGACGTATAGGAGATATCTCACGAGAGCCATTGCGAACGGAAGCAATTTGCCCGTTTACTGGCGGTGACATTTGCTCACCTGGTCGCATACGAGTATGCCACAATGGGTCGATGGACGGTGGAGGTTCAGTCCGATAGCCACGGTCAGGAGTTGTTGAACGACTGCTAGGCAGACCCTGCTCTAGAGTTGAAGGTAGCTCTTGAGGCAAAAGGTTTTCGCGGTCTCGTGGATTGCGAGAGTGTAGATATTGAGGTAGATAACTCCCCTGATTCACATTCTGGGGCGTACTTGGGGTATGACTTGGAGGCATCAGACCAGAGTCCGCCAAAGCCTGGTTGAGAAGTTCTCTCACCCGAGCCTTGCAGTCCTCAGAGATAATGGCATCTGGCGAAAACGCAACTGTCTCCGGCATGCGAATGATATCTGAGACATCCATGTCGGGTATACTAGTGCGAGCCAAGAGCGCCTGAAGAACATCCAGATGGCCATGATATGCCGCATAGCGGAAAGGCTGCCAGCCGCCCTCGTCCTTTTTGGATGCCGATGCGCCGCGCTCTAGAAGCAGCGAGACCACGGGTAGATGGCCTGACATAGCAGCCAAGCATAGAGGAGAGTCACTGCGTGACGTAGCTTGGTGCTTCTGGTAGAGGGGAGATCCTCGATCCAACAGCTTTCGCACTGCAGCCACATGTCCGCAGCGACATGCTACACTTAGCGGTCGATCTCCAACGCTGTCCCGGGAGTCTAAAGAAGCTCCTTTGTCACAAAGAAGATCCACAAGGCGTACTGAGCTCCGTGCTGCTGCGATATGCAATGGTCTCTGCTGGTGCTGATATTCCGATGCTTCAATGTCAGCACCTTCTAAGAGTAACAGCGTTGCTATCTCGATACTGTCTGCCATACAGGCATAGTGAAGCGGAGTAAGACCTGTTGCACATTGACTGTTGAGGTCGGCACCCTTGCGTAGTAATGGCTCAACAACACCAAATTGGGTTTGAATAACGGCCAAGTGCAAAGCTGTTCGTCCCATTGCATCAATCCTAGTCAGAGATCCTTTCTTCTGACTGAGAATTTCCACTGTCTCTTCGTGGCCATAGTAGGCAGCCCAATGCAGGGCAGTCATCCCGGTATCATCCGTACCACTTGATGAAGCCTTCTGTTTGGATTTCAATAGGAATTCGACAGCCTGGGACCGGCCTGCTTCGGCAGCACATATCAATGGTGTCTTGCGATCACGACCGGCAGCTTCTATATTAGCTTTGTGAGCCAGAAGCACTGCAATGACTTCGATATGGCCTGCTTCGCACGCATAGTGCAATGCCGACATCATGGTAGCGTCCTTGGCCTCGATATCAGCGCCTTTTGACACAAGCATGTACACAATTTCCGCATCACCCTGTTTTGCTGCAGCGTGCAAAGTAGTCATTTGATTCTCAGCACGACCGTTGACCTTTGCGTTATGCATAAGCAGCATTTGTACGGCTTCGTGTTGGCTTCGGTCAACAGCAATTCGCAGTGCTGTACGGTCTTGATAGTTTGGAACTTCGGCAATGTTGCTCTCCTCCATGAGTAGGCTTATGACACCGCAATGACCACGCGAAGCTGCAAGATGAAGTGCAGTCCAGCCAGACCCATCGGCCGCATCTAGTCGAGCATGATGTCGAATCAAAAGCTCAACAACATCATCTTTTCCGCAGTGCGCAGCAACAAGCAATGCATTTCGACCTGATGCTTTATGTCGCTCTTCAATGTTAATGCCATATTCGATGAGCTGTGCTATCTCACCTTGGGAACCGGCTTGGGCGGCCTTCACAATCTGTGGAATAGAGGCAGCATCCGCGCCGGTCAGATTAATGCTGATATGGGAATTTTGCTCTCGTATAGGCTTCATTCTTGTGAAAGGTGCGCCATTGCCTACTTTCGGTGAGGCCTTGGAAGACGAAGAGGCAAGATTTAGACGACTAGATGTATTCAAGCGAAGTAGAGAAGATATCCTTTCAAGCTTAGAGGCAGATCTCTCAAGTGTCTTCGATGTCTTAGTATCTGACTTGCTCCGGGGCATATTTTGCAAGTCTGGCCGCGGCGCATCCTGGTAAGATTTTGCCCTCCTGTGAGCTGGATGTACCGGCACCGATGGACTAGCGGGCAAGAGGAGATGATGTTGGCGGGGTGGAGCAGCATCAGATGACGGCCTTGTAACGCTGCTATTGCGCGTAGGGGTGTCTGCATAACCTTCGTCTGTGAATAGACTTGGACCATTATTGGTGTCGGTCTGGCTACTAAAGGCCCCGATTGACGGTACGAGTTGCTGGAGTGACCTGCGATATACCGGCAAACCTGCGAGGGCATCGTTGAAATTTAGAACTCGGTCACTGGCTGTGAAACTGCCGTTCTGCGAGATGCTTGCCGCGCTAGATGTAGCCTGACTCCGTGCAGACACTAGTGTTTCGGTGTCGTCGCGAACCCTGCGCATGATGCGACGAGTCGTCGCTTGCCTCAACAAGCGGACCTGCTCTTGTGATGTATGACTTAAAAGGCTTATAAGCTTCTGTGTGATTTCCAGACATGAGGGAATATTCTCACCACTGGCAGACTTGAAGTAATAGCTGTAATGCCATCACTTGCGCATGTAGTTTCTCCTGGTGTCCTTTCATAATATCTTCTTTCCAAATGACTCTAATGCGCAACCTAAATCCAATTGTGCCGTCGTTGCGACTGCCATGAACCAAAGTCATCACATCCTCAGACAGAACCTCCATGATGATTTGGCAGCCACTCATGGCTGTAACGAGCTGTTCATTGAATTCCTCCGATACCATCACATTGGAAGAACTGAGCCGATGCCATTCCTTCAGGCTCGTCAGTGCTGTCTGGATACAGCTCAGCTCCTGAATAAGCGAATGGATTGTAAAGTCAGCATCGCTGAACCTCCCATGTAGTTCATAGAGGCCATGAATAGTCGAAGTAAGTGCGCCTAGAATCTGAACAATTGCCGAAGCAAACCCGACCGCAGATATCGGGTCCATGGAGGACTCGAGATATGAAGGACAGAGGTAATTGCGGGGTCTGAGGGGGCTGAGATGATTAGCGCCAAATCACATGGGGGGGAGCTGATACATCTCCTTTTGGAGATGCAGGCACAGACGGGAAATGGCGGCAAAATGGTCTGTTTAAAAGTTATCTAAGCCTCTTCGGCAACCATGAAAGTGTCGTGCTAATTTATTCATCTACAAGATATACCAATATTGCGATAATGACTGCACTAGATAGAGCAATTCTCTTCGCTTACGGCAGGCAGTCTCGCTACTAGAACACCCGGGAAAAACCTCTCGTCTTATGTTTTCTCGTCACTTTCACCCTCTGGAATATAGTTATTCCATCGCTACTGTTGTATCATATGGTCCTTCCAGGAATCAGACTTTGGGGCCATCTTTCGATGTTTAGGATGTCACTTGGGAGAGTGTGGTGTGTAGTCTTAGACCCGTAACAATACATTACATTGCTTAATCTTCTATGCGTTTGGTATTGTATAAGACTAATTCTTGCTAGAATCAGCAGGGACCTAGGGGGACCTAGAACTATAAGAAAATAGTATACTAATGCAGGGAAATCGATCATATAACGAAGGCTAAAATATTATAGGTAATTTATTTGTAGGTGCCTATTCGCTACCAGGCTAGTCCCGATTAGGTATTATCAATCGATTTTTCAATCCCGTATCGGTGGGGACCTACTGGCTCCGAAAGCCGTAAAAACCATCAAGTTTTTCTGAGCACCGAATGCCGTAGTAAGTTTGAATGGCCTTGCCGCGGGCTGTTGTATTCGACACACTATATGAAATCCAACTCAACATTCCCCCGAGTTCTTTCCACTGTGACCGTTGAAGTGCAACGCACTTCATATACTAAAGAATGATTGTGTTTCAGGTGCTAATATGTAACTCCCCTGATGCTCAGATGACCTCGGAACCTTTAGTCAGGCCGATCCCGAATACTATAAAAAAGTTTATTTTCTTCCCATAGATCGCATTTGTCAACCAAGACCCTAACCTTACTAACCCTACCTCGGTACCTAAATCCCATAGAAAATAGGGGAAATGGATTAAGTAAACATTACCAATACTCCAGGGCTTATCAATTTCTGAAAGGATGATTAGTATAATGCCAATCTAATCTGAAGGATGGTTATAAATATTGCATTTTCCTGTGCTATAGACAAAATCACACATTGCCAATCATATAGAGTTACGTTGCTTGGTTTCATCACTGCTATTTTTGCTTCATCCTACGCATTGTTCTCAATCCTTCAGGCGTTTTCTTACTCCGATCAAGTTAACGAATTTCGACCTCTCTTCTTCACTCTACCAAATGTCCTCTCAGGTCCACGTCGTTATTATCGGGGCATCTTTCGCCGGTATTCCGATTGCCCATTCCCTCCTGAAGGATATCCCTACTGTCAAAGTTACCCTAATCAATCCATCGCCAACCTTCTACTTTACCATTGCTGCCCCGCGAATTCTCGCGAAGCGAGATGCCTTCAAGCCTGAACAATACCTTCTTCCAATCGGAAAGGAGTTCAGCCGGTACCCGACGGAATCATTCGAATTCGTCCATGGCTGCGCCTCAGCAATCGATGTCTCCGCGAAAACGGTATCCCTTGATAACACCAGGAACATCAACTTTGACTACCTTGTGATTGCGTCAGGAAGCACAACCGCCTCCACCAGTCGTAAAACCGCCGTTCCTATCCCATTCAAGCAGTCCAACTCCGACGACATGAAGTCCATGATTCACAATGCGCAAGACTCCATCAGTATGGCCGAAAGCATTGTCATTGCGGGTGCTGGACCAATTGGCGTTGAACTTGCCGGCGAAATAGCAGAGGCAGCCCGACAGAGCGGCAGGAAAGCCAAAATTACTCTTGTGTCAGCCTCTTACCGCATCCTGCCGATGCTGAAGCCCGCAGGCAGCGCCGCAGCCGAAAAGCTTCTTACCGCTTTGGGGGTTGAAATCGTCAAAAATCAGAAAGTCGCCGAAGCCGTGCAAAGCAAGGAATCACACTCATGGACAGTGACGCTTGACGAGGGCGGAAATTGGATGTCGACTTGTACATCCCCACGACCAGTGTCTTGCCGAACAACGATTTCATCCCGGCGGACCTCTTGGATGAGAATGGGTGGGTCGTCGTCGACAAAGAGCTTCGTGTCAAGACACGCCGTGGTTCAGCGGCTCGATTGCCAATTTTTGCAGCGGGCGATATCACCAACAACTCGATGCGGTTGTCCTTCAAAGCACAAGAACAGGCGGCCGTTGTGGCTGCTAACCTCAAGGCGGAGATTGTTCGCCAAGGGAAAACCAAATCATACGATCAGGGTGATAAGACTATGATGGTGGTGCCGGTTGGTTCAACGGGTGGGACTGGGTTGATCATGGGCTGGACGCCTTGGAGTGCAATGGTTAAGATGGTCAAGGGAAAGGACTTCTTCATTTCCAAGGCCCATTCGGCAGTTTCTGCGAAGTAAAATAATTATTCGTTTTTTAGTTTTTATCTAGTACAAACATGTTATAGGAGAATAATACAATAATGGTTTATTATTTGTAGACTATCCATCATAGTTCCCTTAAGGTTTGGCTAAAGTCTAAGGTTGCTAAGCGGAAGAACTTGAGGTCCAATTCCGTGTCCGCTTACATAGCACTGGATAAGGTTCCTTGGAAGGTTGGCTCCACATGGGCGCAAGGGGCTTATACACCATAGAATTCTTTATGACCTACCTATGTTGTAGATACGCTCTCCCCCCAAAGAGGAGCCTTGGAGATTTATGCCCTTTTAATATAACGTCGTTATATTGTGCGAACAAGCCATCGGGAGTTTATCAGGTACAAATGGAACGCACGGGCCACGTTTCAAACTTTCTTATCTTGTATAAGCGTCTGCTTGGTATCTTGAAAAGGGAAGGAGCGAGCGAGAGGTAAACTTCGATGTGCGTTTAGTGGTAGTATGCCAGTGGAAGTCTTCTTCAGTGTTGAGATCAGAAGCGAGCTCGGCAACTGATATGGCGAATAATGCAATAGCAAAAGGAAGACGGTAGCGCTATTCTAGTTGTTAGCATCGAGTTTCGTGGAAGGTCCATTACCACGCCGGAACTACCACAACTTGCACACTATTCCAGATCGTCCACCCTTGTAGAGAGTGGTAGCCTAAGATCTGTTAGTAGCGCCAATCTAGACGAAAAATCTGGTCTTTGCAATTCCGAACCGCCTAATCATTCTCGGCAGTGATTCCAGCCATGCGAGCACTTGAGAGGTTGAAGATCTTTGCGTGTACAGATGGGATGTTGGTCCCGGTAGGCCATTTTTCGCGGCCCAGAGGGAAGACTCAATATCATCAGCATCTTCTTTAGTTTCAAGCTGTGCCATAGCAATAGAAATAAATTACTGCAACGCAAGCAAGATGTATATCACTCACATCTCTCGAAGTAATTAACGGATATCCTACTCGCTGGCGGTTACCTCATCTGGGAATAACCGTGGGCCTGTGATGTTTCCCCGCCGCACCAACATATTATGACTGCCCCAGTCAAGTGGATATATTCGAAGTCACATCACAAATACTAAGCAAAATTCATCGTGTTTACCCTTGAGTTTCTATCCGACAGAATTTGAGACTTGCGATAGTTATTCTCACATTGCATAAACCTCCCACAAACATGACTTCCTGCCTCAGCAACAAATCTATCGTCGTCACAGGGGCCTCTGCACCATTTGCAGAGGACTTCCGTGGTTGCTACTCCGGTAGGCTTGGCTAGGTAATGGAGAAAAAGAAATATCCTAACGTCTGTCAAGGTGCCAAGAACAAGACTCTCGCAGTCAACCTGGACCCTCTAGTATCTACCAATTTGACTGAAGCTCAGGCTCAGATAAACAGCACTTTCAGCGCTCTCGATGACCAGATCGATGTTTTCATTATCGATACCCGAACTCAGGAGCCCTCTGGGCGATACGCAATTTGGGAGATTCCGTTGAGTGAATGGGATCAAGGACTGACGCCCATGAGTTGTCAGAGAAAAGTGCTGGTGCACGCAAAATTATTTCTTCAGCATCAGTTCCAGATCAGCAAGGTGAAGAAGTCACCTGAACCCCAACCAGGGGACGGTTTCTGCATTGTGATCCTCGGGTATCAAGACCTCTTCGGGGATTCACTCGATCAACTTATTTCTAAGCTCCAGAGAGATGCCTCGCGACTTCACTCAGGTGCTTCCGTCAACTTCCTTGATCTTAGCAACTCACGCGAGGCCTCTACCCAGTCGATAGCTGCGGCAACAGCGATACTGGTCTCAGCGAAACCCGCCCGTGGAATCATCCCACTCGACAACATCACGAGTCTCAAAAGCACCAAGGACAACAACGATGATTTCGTTGCTCAAAATCCCCAGCTCTGTACAATTCCCCATCTCCATCAGAAACATCCAAAGGTCAAAATTGCTTTGTCATTTGACTTTGACGCAGTCTCTGCCTTCCTGGGGACAGGAGATCATCCAGACAACAACTTGGCAGACTACAGCACAGGCATATTCGCCGGTCGAGTCGGCGCCAATCGAATACTGCAAATTCTACAAAAACACCAAGTAGCCGACAAAGTCACTTGGTTCATCCCCGGACACACGATGGAAACCTTCGAACCAACCGTCAAGGAGATTATCAAGTCCGGTGCCGAGATAGGACTTCACGGTTATTCGCACGAAGGTGCCTACCAAATGACACCAACCCAAGAGCGAGATGTGCTAGTAAAGTGCATGGAAGTGTGCGAGCGGTTAACCGGCAAAAGAGTGCGAGGCTACCGCGCGCCCATGTACCAGCTCCGCGAGACAACAATCGAGCTTCTGAGAGAGTTTGAATTTCTGTATGACTCCTCTCTGAGCCATCATGACTCACAGCCATATTTTACACCCAGCGATCCGCCAATCGAGCGAGTAGATTTCTCTAAGCCGGCTAGTACTTGGTTGCGGCCCACGCCGCTTGCTGCCACGAATGCCTGGCCTGTCGGCCACCCGCTTGTGGAAATTCCCACTGGCTGGAATAATGAGGATATGATGGCGTTGCAATACTTCCCACATCTCGACAATAGTCATGGGCATGTTGATGTACGGGTGGTTGAGCAGAGATGGAAGGATATGTTCCTGTGGCTGTGGGAGAATGCCGATGATGTTGATGGAGGGGATGGCAGCTTCGTCTTTCCTATCTTGATGCATCCTGATACTAGTGGCATGTCCCATGTGATAGGGATGGTTGATCGTTTTATTGGATGGCTTCGGGGATGGGGCGATGCCGTTCAGTTTCGCACTTTTGAGAGTATCACACAGGAGTGGTTAGAAGAGCAACAGAAGGCCGAGTGAACTATAGATTGAGTTATGCATAATGAACATATTTTTTTCCCTGGGATATTCAAGCAATGCTACATTTCATTTGCCGGGAAGCCATATTTTGTTCGAGCATATCTACTTAGGGGCCCACTACATATATTTTTGTTATACTCTTTTGTAGACATGAATTAGATCAACTTCTATAGAATCAAAAGTAGGATAAGATAATCTCTCTGTAGTGATACTCTAATTGGCTGATAAGCACCTGACTCGCTGGGTGTTGCCTCATTCAAGATAAGCAGAAACATGCCACTCCCAATCAACATATATAATGCCTGGTGGACACGACAAAGGTCTAACACAAAGCACTCCAACTTGAGTATCCAAGCCTATCCTACATAATGCATCTTGCTATTCCTCCCGCCCCTGTTCGCAATCCCGGAAAAGGCTTCAAAACACAGCCCAAGAAGGCACGAACTGAGAAAGTCTCGACAGATGATGAATCTGTACAGACGTCTTCGGGGTACTCGTTCAAAAAGTCATTTCGGAAATCTATGACCAATAGTAAGTCATGTAATTATGGGCCATTTCTATCCCCGCGCTTACAATATTATAGCCTTTGCTTCTCGCACCAGAACGTGAAGACAGGGGTATCTAGGCAAACCAGACATGGTCTTTGGTTGTTGGTTTGCTTTTGTTTTCTTTTGATATATATTTGGCCTGCTAGTATACCCTATTCCTTCGTCGCTATTGTATCCTTTTCATTGGTCCCTGTTTCGATAAGTTGTTATTACGTTCCTATTTCAACTACGGCTTGCTCAATTTCAAACGTTAAAATATTCAAAATATTGGTTACATCAATATTCAGCTCAACCTGACGACAGCCTTGAGGTCATAACCACCACGCCTCTGTAGCTGCAGACAAATTGGTATTTGGGCAACGGTGCGGCATTGATACTCACGACAATGCGTGCATGGTGAGATTGTCCACGTGCCACTATCTTGATTTTACCTTTCTTCACCCTTATCATTGGTATTGTCCTCACCTTCGCCCTCAATCTCGGAGCCAGCATCGTAGGTTTGTTCCTTGGTCTGAGCCTCGTCCTGTGTGCCTATGAATCACCATCTGTTGCTGAAAAATAGGGAAGGAAAGGTGGGTCAGGTTCAGGATCCACTTCATCGCCCCAGTCCCAGGTGCCAGGAATAATTGTCTTGATCCCAGTAGTACAGTTCGTAGTCGCCGTATCCGAGCATGGGTATCTGAGACACACAATCTTGACCACTTTGAGGCGTGGGATTTGCTTTGCAATTTCAGTACCTGTCGTAATCATCTCATTGTATAGTTCCAACGCCAACATTGGCTCGGTACAGTGACGACTGAATCCAGCAAAGAATTGATCGACATTGGGGATACTGAGGTTGATGATAACACTCTCAATTTGCGACGGCATAGCACTGTCGGCCGGTGAAAATTCAAGAATCTGTGGACAGATTCTACACATGCGTAAGCGCACAGATTTCAACGAAGGGATCTGGAGCGCCGGCTGCGGACAAAGATGTATAGCGCTGTTCAATTTCTGATCCAAATGTATCAAGGTATCAATGACAAGGTGTGAGAGACTGGAGGTACCCAGGACGCTTAGAAACCGAGTCGGGTCCCATGGTGAAAGATATCGCTGGCGAGGAGTCAGCAGCCTGGCTGGATCAAATTGGCTACGGACATGCAAAGTGAAAGATGCTAAATGATTGTTCCGCTCAACCAGTGGAGTGAGTATTTCATCCAATTTCGCGATATCCTGCTCAGCCGGCCAGTCCTCAGGGCCATGCACATCAAGCGTGAGCTGTCGCAAAAGAGGTCCTCAGCTTGGGATGCACATTGTGGGGCGTATGTACCAACTGGGTCGCACTGAGCTTAAGGTCCTCTAGCCGGAGGGGCTTTGTGAGAATCGGTCAGACGAGAGTCGTAGGGTTATAACGGGTAAGGAGAGTCGTCAACAAGTATACTAACGTAGAAGCTTTAACGAGTACTAAGGTTGCATAATTGATATGAAATTCAGTGATAAAGTACAAATGATAACTGGAGATTCCATCCTTTTATCCCAAGGGGTACCTAGGTAATTCTGCCCTTAGGCCTGCCTAGGATCCCGATCCCATCCCGGGATATTTGCAACCACGTACCACCACCTGCAGACTGACAAGCAGCAGGCCTCCTGACTCTCACCTCACTCTCACCCTCACTTCTCTCTCACTTCTCTCTCACTTCTCTCTCACTTCTCTCTCACTTCTCTCTCACCTGTTTGCGAAGCTGATCACTGCCGATAAAACGAATAATCATACATAGAATTTCGACTGGTAGGTTTTGCAGTGTCATGGGAGGAATGTGTTGAGAAGCAGACTGGGTTATAGTTGATGAAGGCAGCACAGATGGAGAAGGATGGTCTCGCATTCCGAGCGAAGAAATCATTATTTGAGATCCCCTCTAATATACATTCACCGTGAGAGACTTCATCATTTCCGGTTGCCAAGAAAGACCCCCGTCAAAGTGCTATCAGGATGGTTTGGTGTGCAATGCAATTATCATGTCGGCTGACCTAGAACCCAGCCATTCGAACCCAGCCATTCCATCCATGCGTCCCTGGGCTCTCACCTACATTTCCCTCAAATATCCTACTAGTCTCCCCCTTTCTTCGACACCATTTGGCAAGATCCAGGAAATCAAAGTATTCTTCTCGAAATGGGTTCTGTCGATACACACTGGACTTCATTCCAGAATATGGACACCGAGAGCGAACATGCGCAGAGCATACAAACAGTCCTCGAAAAAGCAAATTTCACCTATCTCTGCTCTGAAGCCACCAAAATTCGCCAACGAGAAGAGTCTTTAAATGCGCTCACCTGTTCTGTCAACACTACAAAGTTCACCAGCGGAACATACAACCTCGTGATTGCGTTGACCTTTTCAGACACAATCCAATGGGTGGCGAGAATCATGCTGCCGCCATACCACAACGATGAAGATGTTGCAAAATTGCTTTTGAGCGAAATCGCTTCTATGAACTTTGTTCGCTCTAAAACGACCATACCCGTACCCCACATCTTCGGGCACAACGTCACGAAGAATGACTTCGGCTGTCCCTATATGTTAATGGAAGGGCTCCCCGGGACCGTTCTAGGACACAGAATGGCCCTCTCAATACCCGATTCGCATAAGAAGAAATTCGCCGCTCAACTAGCCCGCTACGTCTATGAACTGAGCGTACTCCAATTCAGCAAGATCGGATGTCTCTGGTACTCCGAGTCCGGCGAGCTCGAAATCTCACCATTCCAGATCTCAGGCTCTTGGGTCAAACCTTTATCAACCTCGTTGGAATACTTCTATCTATTCCGTAAAGGCCAAACAAGGGAGATACACGAAGAACACAAAAGCGAAGCAGAATGGGAAGCAGCGGCTTGGTTCCTCGAAAAATCGCTGACGTCGATGGTAACGGAAGAGCATGTGTATGGCCCGTTCCTATTGTGTCATCTGGATTTCCATTACAATAATATGCTCGTTGATGAGGATTTCAATATCACCGCCATACTCGACTGGAGTAATATCCAGACTGTGCCGATGGAGCGGTTTGCTGTGAGTCCGGAATTCATTGCTCCGCCTGCTGCGCCACAAGAGTATAAACAGGCGGTCTTTGATTTCCGGGATATTTTTGTTGATGCGTTGGCAAGTATTGAAAAAGAGAGCGGAGACTCCTCATCTGATAGGGAAATGTCGTTATCCCGTCTGTTCGCATACCCTGTAACTGAGGTTGTTTTTCGATGTACTTGTAGCACTGCCCGCAGGGCTATTTTCGATGCTCGGCTCATACTCCCTTTGACTTATGGCAGAGATGCCAAGTGGGAAGATTTCAAGAAATTCTTCAATGGGCATTTGGCATGAGTTGCATTATATGTCTTTAACGTTTCTCCTATATTGGCTTTACGTATAGGGTTGAAATGCTTGAGATACTTCCCCGACCAAGAAAATTTGAGACACTCCGAGGCCCTCCTTAACATCGAGCTGTAGGTAGTCAGCAGGGAAGCGAACATTCATAGGTGCAGTGTGCGTAATAGCCAAGTCCTTCCAAAATTGGAAGTTAGGATGTTCTTTCCAAGGTTGCCCTTAACTCGCCAGTTGGGGAGAGTGCATTGGCCAAATTCCAAAATAGGAAACTATGAGAATATTGGAGACGCAATATAAAAGACGATACTAGCCAAGAATGAAACGCAGAGGCCTACGCAAACCACGTCACAAACAACTGGTATTGATAGCTGTTGAAGCTGGCAAAAGCCGAATGCAAACTATTGACATCGTATGAGGATAAATCACAATCCCAGGAGAGAATGCATTGATACATGACAATGCAATTTTCAAAGAAGGGTAGGACGATCCATATCCGGTGAGAGATTAGTCGGTCTTTTTCACCCGCTCAAGAGTCGGGACTGAGACAGCGCCCTTGACAGAGTCGGCTACATCGTCACTGATGGCCGCAGGAAGGGGTGATGTGGCCGGTGTGCGTTCGCCACCGCCCCGGCGCTGGATGAGGCCGTTGGTGATGCCGAGCACAGAGTCGACGATGACGGCGTCAATGCCTTCGGCGACTTGGTACTATATGGATAAGATGGTAAGATGGTTGCTGGGGTTTCCGGGGAATGAAAAATGAAATACTTACGTCGACGTTGTTGCCGTCATTGTTGAGTGTTCCGTAAGATACACACACAAGACCGGACTCCTTGACAATACGGACTAGCCGCGGGCAGAGGACCAGTGGTTCGGCCTGGCTGACAATCCCAAGGAGATTCCATCGCGAGGCGAACCGAACAGCCTCTTGCAAGCTGCTCGCGCGGATATCACCGACGGGGGAGGCTCCTGCGTCGGTCAGGAAGAGGACGGGGATGGAAGGCTGCTTGAAGGACAACAGCAGACAGATATCAGGGTTGAAGCTGGAGAACAGCATGTCGCGGCCGCCTCCCATGTCGTAGACCTTTGCCAGGATAGTGTCGACAAAGGAGTTCAGTTCTATGGCGTAAGTGTCCATTTCTTCCTCCTCGCTCTCGTGGAGCATAGGATATTCTGGCGACCTTGGTTAGATCGACCGAATAACTGTTCTTTGGGAAGGACTAGTAACTCACTCAGTTCGATGTTAAATCCGACAGGTTTCGGGATCTTCGTAAACAATTCCTCCAATGTGGCGAATGGTGCCTGGATGTGTTCGCCGCGGGTGTTGCCCTTGAACCCCTTCTTCTTGAAGTCGCGTGTATGCTTGATCTTCTCGGTCAATTCGGCAGGGTTGTACTCGGAGCCGCCGACCGACATTGAGCGCTGGCGGGGGCCAAGCTCAGATCCCTTACCATCGACTTTAACAGATTCGGGTAAGGCATGACGGTAACGTCCGACGCCCAACTCAAGGAATTGATCAAGCGTCATGGTATGAACAGGCGCATCAATACCCGTCTCACTGACCAGGAAGTCGTGGTAAATGACAGGCACGTGGTCCTTCGTGAGCTGCACATCAAACTCAACATATGAGGCTCCCAGGTTGGCCGCAGCGATAAAGGACTCCACAGTATTCTCGCCCAACTGCAAAGAATTGCGGCTGGCCATGTTCTTACCCAGTCCACGGTGTCCAATGACCATGGTTGAGCTCATCGAGCGCCAGTAGGTCTGGTTGCCAGCGATAGACATTTTCGGGTGCTTGAAGGGGGTAATGACGAGAAAATTAAAAGTCACAGACCCAATCACCTCAAGGGTATTGGCGGCAACAATGGGAACAGTGGAATCGCCTTTGAGGTTGATTCGGTGTGATCCCACAGTGGGCTTGATGCTAGAAAGCAGAGCCACACCCCGGCCAACGATCTTCTCCTTCGATCCTGCGTATGTGGGGACGAGGTCGAAAAGGAGACGCACCTTGCTAGGATCGGTAGTGTGGAAGACAATCGGCTCGGTTGAGATGTTGTCCTGCACAGGCAAGTCAATCACCTCCGGCTCACCGTGTGCACCGCTAGCCGTCACCACCAACGACAAAGATGTGTCTAGCTGGGTGGCGTGTGCATTCTCCATCGGAATGCGGTCGAGGCTGACTGTCTCAAGCGGCTTTCGCATGTCCATAGTCCCAAGACTGACCAAGATCATGCTCTCGTCGGTGAGATACCTATGCCCGAAAGTCTTGATAGGCTCAGTAGTCCTTACACCAGGACTCCCTGAAGTTGGGCCTGGCGCATTCGATCGGCGATCAGTGAGGGCCGACTGACCCGGAGGCGAGGAGGACTCGGAACCAGTGAGGTTTGGGCTAGACGAGAGATCGGGCTCAGTGGCAGGAGGGCCGGGGCTAACTTCTGCCAAGCACCGGGCAATGTCAAGATGGCCTCGGAGGGCAGCGTGCTCCTTAGCCGTCCAGCCAGAGGAATCGAACCGCTCCACGTCTGCACCAGCGGAAACCAGCATTTTAGCGACACTCAGGCATCCGTCCACACAGGCAATAAAGAGCGGTGTCCAGCCGTATGTGTTTTCAGCCAATTCCGTGTCTGCCTTTTGGTCTTCGCTGCCATCCAGCAGAATTTGTGCACACTCGTCATGGCAAAACCGGGCGGCAACGTGCAATGCAGTTTCTCCCTGTTCATCCTGGTAGTTGATATCCACACCGGCATCAACCAGAAGCTGGACAATATCGATAAAATTTGCCTTGGTCGCTAGTGCCAATACTGCACTAGACTTGGAGACCTGTTTTCTTATGACGCTCCGTTCCTGCGAGGGATCATTCTGCTTCTCGGCATCCAAGAGACACCGGGTGGTCTTCGGGTGGCCACCCACAACACTCAAATGGAGGGGGGCCCAGCCGTCATTGTCCTGCCAGAGAGGACCATCGATCCCATCGCTGACATCGAACATGCCCCATTCTATAAGATGCTCAATGATCACTTCACACACGACCTTGAAACCATATTGTGCCGCGTAGTGCAATGGAGTGCGTCCAGAAAGGTCTTTGGCTATCAAAGACTCACGCTGATCAGGGCGCAGAGAGTCCAATAGGAACTGGAAGTGAGCAACAGCAGAATCATCGCGACCCAGCTGTTGTGGCATATGCTCCTCTTTGACTACAGGACGCGGCGGTTGGAGGGTTGGAGGGGCCGCAGGCGTAATATAGCGGGTAGTCTCCGGAGGGAAGTTCAGCACCATCGAAGCTGCTGGCTCGGAGTCAGTCGTAGGCTGCTCACGGCCAATGGAGATTACCAGACGATGGATGCAGTTGCGTCTGTTGATATCATCGTCTTCTTCTAGAGTGTCCACCCGGGTCAGGAGAAGAGTCAGAACAGCCCGGGAACGATGAAGGAGAGAGCGCTGGATCAGGGTTCTGAGAACCCTCAGATAAACCGTTTCTCCCGCTTCGTCTGCAGTAGCCTTCAAGGTCTCGAGTAATTCGAGCAAGACATGAGTGTCATCCTTGCGCAGTGCGTCATCCACGGCAGTGACGACGCTGGTAGGCAGGTTAAGATAAGGCCTAGTTGGGCCACGCTTCAATGAAAGGGTAGAATGGGTGGAGCTCGCATCATCGACCACCTTCTCGTCAACCTTGGACTGGTCGGTAATGATGGCCATCCAAGCATTGATGCGCTCCTGAGAGTGGAACACCCGTTCATTGGAGGCGAACGGTGTGGGATCAACCTTGGTCTCTAGGTAACGCTTTTGGGCCTGCGCACCGACCTTCTTATCCAACTTCTTAGTGATCTTGACGAAGCCACGTCGATTGACTTCGCCATACCACTGTAAGCGGCGCAGGTGGTACCGCAGGTCCAAAAGGGCCTCGCGCAAGTCATGGCGATCCTCGGGCTCGAGAGGATGGCGACCCTCCATGGAATAACCATAGCGCTCCTCGAGTAGCTTCAAGCGGCGGGCGAACTCGGAATATTTCTTATTGTAGAAATAATCGACATCTTCAACATTTCGGTCGAGGTTATAGAAGAAACCTATATGCACCAACAAAGGCCTGGTCAGAAGGGTGCTCAAGGTACAAACTGCCAAAATTCAAAGCAAAGCAGCATCAAACTTACCAGCCAAATCCGGATTTTGTCCCGCTTTGATCTGCTCAGCAGCAGATTTGATGAGCTTCTTCAGGGCCTTGTACTTGATGTAGGAGCCGCTCCACTCGGGCACCGTGAATTGCGACAAATTCCGGCCGAATTTCATATTGGCGAGACTGACAGTTCTGATAAGAGTTCAGTTCACAGCCACAGTCCTTCCCAAATCCACCACGTTTTATCTGCAATCTCTAACTGTGACCGGGGCCTTCAATCGGAGGGAATTCGCGAGTTCGACCTGAGTGTCACGAGGATGCGATCAGGTGAGCGGGCGAACGCAGGCAATGGAAGAAATGAACCACGCCATTGATATGTGTATGTGAGGGAATAGGGAGAAGATGGGAAGATAGAAGGGCAAACAAAGAGGCCAAGCTCCAAGATGTACCTGACTGTACCTATCTGAAGAGTGGGAATATGGGAAGGGATACTTTGCACACCTATAGAGAGAGGATGAGGATAGGTCGAGAAGAGAAGAACTAAAAGAGCGTGGGGCCAAGAGGTAAAAGGAGAGAGAGTCCTGTTAAGCTGAGGAAGGCGAACGGGTTGGAGGTGTGCGCGCTGGGCTAAAGATGATTTGTTGACCCACGGGAGGACTCTCCACGGTACGGGTCATTTATATATCCGTCAGGGAAGGGACAGTGTAAATCATACTAGTCATACTAGTAATTATCAGTAATATCACAATGTAACTGTATTTTCAAATTTGCGGTGTGAAATTTCTTTCTGGAGCTCAAACTTGTGCCCAGGTGGATTTCCGGTCCCACGTCATACGAATGAGAGAGAGAGGGATCCGGGGCTACCTGGTCCCCACATGCACATGGGATCGGCATCGGGTCTAGTCAATCGTCCGACCCCAGATCCCTCAAAGAGACAACCCTTAGAAGGGATCAAGGATCAAGGATCACCCGGAACGTATAGGAATGCGGGTGATGTTCCTAGAAGCTTGAATGGTCTTTGAAAGTTCAAAGTTTCCCAAGCATGGAGACCCCATGACCCTCTAGAGCTACACTATAGAATTATAGAATGTGGCGCTAGCTGCGAAATATATTGATAGTCAGGTGCTCAAGTTGGAAGGTTAAAACCGAGCCATTCATAATTCTATGTCAAAAAGCCAGTATGCAACCCATTGCACTCTGTGCGCCGAATTTCATGGATTGGACGCCTCCCTTAGGCGTCCTAAGAAAAAAGCAATCGCTAAAATCCGTCGCTGTGCTCATGATCAGGAGGTCATCTCGGAAACTCATAAAAAAAATCATCAAGGATAAATGAAAAATCGCAAAAACTCCACTGGATCAGCCAGTCCATACCAAGGTCACATGCAAACGGAAAACGAGGAAAAAAAGAGCCTGCTCGAAAACGAAAGACATCGGACTCATCGGACGGTCATGTCTGCCATTAAATTAGCGGCTTCAGGGCCTCTACACCAGCCTGTAGCACCGCTTGGTTCTTTGTCTTCTTGAGACATGCAGTGAGAACATCAATCCCCCCCTGCCGCACGAATGGCAGCTCTGGCACGGGTCCCGATGTCACCTGTCGCGATGCAAGTGAAGTTGCGCACACAGACCACACCTCGGTGAGCCAAGGCATCGTCATCCTCCTGGCACAATCCCAGTAGTAGTTCAACTCCCCGTGGTCGGTCCAGGACAGCTGCTATAGCGGCATCGAACTCCGTCAACATCGCCAGAGCTCCACCGGCAGCCCGTCGCGTCGGAGCGTCGTCTGCGTCGGTCAGAGCCAGCAAAATGTGAAGGCGCTGCGCCGCTTGCTTGGAGCCATCCGCGAACTTGATAACGCCGGACTCGCAGGTCATCAGATTACACACGAGTTCGCAGGAAGCTCGTTGAACCCGAGCATTGCTAGACAAAAGGAGGTCTTCCACTGCAGACCAGCCTTCCCGGACCGTGAGTTCGGGTGCGGAGTCGTCATGCGGGTACGAAGCGAGGTTCGTCAGAGCCAGGAGACTTTCAAACACTGGGAGTAGGTCGCGAGGTTGGTCGGCAGAGAACGAGGCAGTCTCCGGCGATGAGAGGAGAGAAAGAAGGGGACGGACAGCGGACGTAATCTGGGGAAATCCAGATGATGGGAAGACATGTGAAGGATCAACGGAAATGAGGATGCGGGCCAGTGCATGGGATGCGATGCGTGTGGTTTCGTTCGTCACAGGGCCAGAGCTACTCTGCTTCGGAGCTGCAAGGGCGAGTAACAGCTTCACCGCGCCTTGCTGGGCCAGTGTTCCACGGGACTTTGAAGGCCTGGCCAAGGATTGTAGAATCTTCGCCGTAAGCTCATTGGTAGATGGCAAAGAGATTCGGCCACACTCAACGAGCAGAGTCATGATGCCCGCATCGATAACAGCGGCACATCGTGCCAAAACGGCTTCATCTTCATCTCGGATATCTATTGTTGGTGCTGCCTTCACCTTTCCGGTAGACGGATCCGCATATTCCTTCAGCTGTGCCATCTTCTTTTGCTCTTCAGATAGGTTGGGTAAAAATTTGGTGAGGTTTAAAACAACCACCAAGCCACCATAGAGGACGGATGAGTCGCTGGTGCTTTGTTTCATAGCCGCAATGAAGTTTCGTAGGAAGACTGGATCATTCGCAAGTTGATCCTTGACGGATGGCTTCACCGAAGTATAAGCCAATCCTTCGATTGCGTGGGAGTTGTGTTCAACCTTTTGTTCAGACATCAGTCCCATGAATCGATGAACTAGTTCAGACTCGCTGTCTTGTTCCAAGACCTTACCGTTGCCAGTCGAGGGTTTCTCGGGCTCGGATGCCCGAACCTTTGCCAGGGCCACTGCGGCTAATTCCGAGCAATTATCACTTCCATTGGTCAGGATATGTGACAGCCATTCCCCAAATTTCTTTGAAACCACCTCGCGGCACGGACGGTTAATGCAAGCCGCATTAAGAAGTTCCAATACGGGAACTTCCACCTTCTTGCTCTTGGTGTCTCGCGAGGCCATTGGGAGAAGGAAGGCCATGAATTCTTCCGACAAGAAAAGATTGGCAGCTGCAGAGGGAGCCACGGGGAAGATGGCGGCCACCGCAGAGAAAGCAACGATGAGATCGCTGACACGGCCTTTGCCAAGAATGGACATAATCAGTGTCAAAAGCTTCTTCTCGCCCGTCTCCTTGGCGACCTCGAGATATTTCGCAGTAGCCAAGGTCGCCTGGCTCCGAACTTCTAACGGCAACCGATTGTCCAAGGATGAGAGGATCACCTCAAGCCCTTCATCGTCGATCAAATGTTCGAGTTCAACGGCGTGAACAGCGAGTAATCGAGTAATTCCCTTTAAAGAGCGGCCGTCGAGATCATGGCCCGATTCCATCAACTTGGCGATGAAAAGCTGGAAGAGTTCACTCTCGCAATGGGACCGTGTTTCCTCCGATGTCCACACAGTGGGGTCCAATACCACCGTATCCAGACACACCGCTGCTCCATCACCTCGGTCATATATCTCGTCGAAGAAGGCTGTGACAGAAGTCTGAAGCTGTGTGGAGAAGTACTGTCGAACACTGACGTTCTGTCGCACCAACCCAGATATGATCTCATCCTGTGTTGCCGATAGGGAGTGCGGGCGCTGTGCAAGCAACAGTCCGAGGCATTCCAAAGCCACACTTTCCGGGGCTTTCAGACCGTCGGTTCGGAGATAAATAGCAGCTTCTTTGCCTGCATTTTCATCATTCTGTGTGGTGTATCGACGGCAGAGATCGAGAAGCTGGTGACCGTCTTTGTCTTCATACTGAACTTTCAGGAAGGCAGCTTTCACTTGAGGATTTTCGGGGGCGATTGAAAGGGCTTCCCTAAGATTCCGGGAAGCAGCCTATTGAATGAGCTGTGTATCAGTATTCCGCTAGCTTCCACTGAGGGGGTGTTCCAAGAGATGCCTACCTCCCGGTGGCCCGCGTCGACCAGTTCGACAGCCTCTCGGGCCAGGTGTACAGCGCGCTCTTCTCCAGTTGCTTGAACCATTGCAGGGTTGCGCGAGAGAAGACCAGAGAAGAAGTCTCCAGTTGAGAGTTCAATTTTGGAAACTAAAGTGGATGGGAGAAGCTTTTTTTTTTCTGAGTGAGGGGAGAGCGGAGAGAAAGATAAGGTGGGAACCGCTTTTTATGGGGAAAGGGAAAAAGGAGGTCTTGGAAGAAGAAAAATGCAGGAATATTTAATTGCATTACTTGTTTTTTTCTCTTTTTTTCTTTTTTTCGGTTTGCCGCGTCTTCTAAAATGACACCATATACTTTTTCTACAGCCCGTCTGAGACGTACATGTACGGAGTAACTATGATCTTACCCCGGGGCCATTTCCTTCACGAATCGCCATTATCAATTGGTCCGATAAGACACCAACCACATCATCGAACACCATCACGTTGCCGATATATGCTCAGCTTAGTCCACGAGTCTTTTGGTGAGATCTGTGTTACTTCGATTTCATTTCATATCCTGCGGACTCCGGTGTAGCTGGATTAGGTACTCCGTACGAGTATACATCGGTACAACAGTTGTATAGGCATATCGGAAGAGATGTACATCACATGCAATAGTCTCATCTTGGCGCGTTCAAGGGATATGCCAAGAGATCTTTCAAATTCACCAAAAAAAAGAACACTTCTCAACAAAAGATTCTCACAAATTCGAGGTAATTTCAGTCACCCAAGGCTTCATGGTGTGGGAGTCAATCCGATTGGAGTGTTCTCGGTCTAAGTTCTGAATTGCTTCTGAGTCAGTTGAAGATCCTGGTGAGTCAATTCAGTATTAGAATGTAAAATATTTGAAATTCAAGAACGTAGGTTGAAGATATATACTGGAACAAGTTATAGAAAACAGCACTGGAGCCCCGGAGCTATAGCAGTTGTTATCACCCCGTGACTGGCTTATCGTATCAAGATCCTCAACTGACATGCCGAGTGCTGCTAGGTAGAGCTCGGACTTCAAAGTTAATTTCTAGCTGTATATGCAGCACCCTCGGGATTCCAGTCTAACCGGCCTGGCATCAGCCTGAGAGAACCCCCTCACAATAATGAACACCAGCCCCGACTGATCCACCGTCTCACCACAATGAATTCCGTGGATGCTTCGGAGCATTATGAGTTAGGAGCTCCCGGTCCGTATTCCCAGCCGTCTGCAAGACGCGAACGACTAGCTAACCAGATCAATATCTAGACCTCTCCCCCATCCCTGCTCACGATAGTCATCGACACAAACCCACACGCCTGGGCCGTCCTCGAAGACTCCCTCCCACTCTCCAAAGCAATCGCCAACATCCTAGTCTTCATCAACGCCCACCTAGCCTGCAACTATGCCAACGAAGTCGCCGTAGTCGCATCGCACAGCCAAAAAGCAGCATGGCTCTACCCCTCCCACAGCGAACCCCGATACCGCCCCGCCGATCATGACGGCGATGTCACAATGAACGGCACAAGCGACACCACAACCCCGAAAACAAACAAATACCGCCCCTTCCGCATCGTCGAAGAACAAGTCACCCGCAACCTCAAAGAACTAATGGACTCGACGACGGGCGACGATTTGCGCGGCAACATGTCCACGATGCTAGCGGGCGCGCTAACCCTCGCCCTGAGCCACATCAACCGACGCACACTCGCCTGGGCAGAGGAACACGGCGGCGCCAACACCGAAGACGCAGCGGCCGATGGCAACGGGGGCGGGACGACTTCCACGAACCGATACTCGGCCTCGAACGAGGACGAACGGCTGCAGAGCCGCATCTTGGTCGTTTCCGTGAGTGGGTCTACCGACGCTGCGCACCAGTATATCCCTGTCATGAACAGCATCTTCGCCTGCCAGCGCTTGAGCATCCCCATCGATGTGTGTAAGCTCAGTGGCGATGCGGTCTTTCTGCAGCAGGCGTCGGATGCTACCAAGGGGGGTTTATATGGCTCTTTCTGAGCCCCGAGGCCTGCTGCAGTACCTTATGATGGCGTTTTTGCCGGATCAGCGATCGCGTCGCCATTTGGTTCTTCCCACGCGGGTGGATGTCGATTTCCGGGCTGCTTGCTTTTGTCATCGCCGGGTGGTTGATGTTGGCTTCGTGTGCTCCATTTGTCTCAGTATCTTCTGCGAGCCGCCCCCTGGTGGTGACTGCATGACTTGTGGTTCGCATCTGGATATCAGGGATAATGCCAAGCCTGCTCTGTTGCCGAGGAAAAAGAAGAAGAAGAAGCGTGTTAACGGGGCATCCGGAGCTGGGACGCCCATGTCGACACCTACGCCTGGTCCTTGATATCTCTTCCACGGAAGGTCATACCATTAATGGGGGAAAAGATAAGCACATGGTAGGACCTGACTCTATGAAGTTCGGATTGGCATTACTCCTCGAACACACATTGGCTTAATACACATTGGCTTAATATTATGAGCACCACTACATGTAGCTGGTTAACAAGGAGAAAAATTGGGACAGCTCTCATTAACTAGTGCGAAACGACTAGGTACACTCAGGGAGAACGCCGGGGCTTCTTGAAACATACTCTGGTCACATGTCGGTGCCCGGCCTCAAAGAAGGAGACTGCCCAGGGACAGCAAGAAATAGGCATTGAAGCAATCACTCGTCTTGTCCCGTCACCATGGAATTGCAACATTGGTGCTGCAAGGCTAAGAAACACAATGGGAAGTGGGGGTATACGAACGCATAGAACGAGAAGGGGAGGGGACAGGATGAACCAGATACAGGTGGTTGTGGGTGAAAACTACCTCGTCGATCGATGAGAATCAACAGACCAGAAGTCAGCAGAGCAAAGAGGATTCACTACAACATAGTTGTAGTTCTCATCCAGGATGCATTGCAATTCTGATTAAATTATCCGTGTCAACCAACACTCACAGCTTATATCTTCAACCTGGTGGTAAAACTTACAGTTGTCTTTAAACCTGTATCGGCAACCTCCTTGGGCAATGGTTCCTCGTGAGCCACGCGACATTAGACAAGACGGCCTGTCCAACTTGCTGGACATAGAGGCGATGGCCTGTGAGATATGTTTAGCAACCAACCCTGCACAGTGACAATGATGGAAGACTCACGAAAGAGTCGGTATTGTGAGCAAAGTAGAGTTCGATGCCGTAATTGTTTTTCTTCACAATAACCACTCCGAGGGCCCCAAAGAGAACGCTGTTACTCACGGCAGCGTGTTCTAACAGTCACAAACAAACAAGTGTTAGCTTTCCGAAAATTAAAATAGTGAAACGAAGAAAACGCACCGTTAAACTCCCTTTTCATCCACGCTCTGAGGGCTTCTTCTTCCATCACCTGGGTAAACATGCCATTGTTGCCCATCTTCTGGCTGTAATACATCCTTTGCGCGCAGGTGCTTGCCGCCAGTGTCGAGGCGATGAGTTCTCCGGTCCCAGATGTAACGACTGCACATGTGGTTCCATCCGTATCAGTCGGGTCTTGGGGGATAACGTGGGTTCCAATGCCAATCAGGGCCGCAGGTCCAATTCGGCCTCGATGCTTCATGCCAATACCACCAGAAGAAGATCCTGCTGCAATATTTCCATACTTGTCAATGGCAATGGCGCCAACAGTGTCCGTGATGCTATCCTCCTCGTCTTGTTCACTATCGGCGGTATCGGGGGTGCCATCGGGACTGCCGTCCGGAGATGAGGATACGGGCGAGGCAGGCTGCACAGGTAGATGCGAATTTGCGAGCTTGGCCTTTTTCTGAGTTTGATGCTCCAGCGATGCTCCTGGGCGGCCCTTCACATCTGCAAAATGGCTTGGATCGGGTAGAGTTCCAGTTTCCTCATCCGCTGTATCACTCCCAGGATGAGCTCCTGGTTGAGAAGCACGCTCGAGACGCTCAAGGCGAGTGTCAAGGGGAGTGACAGGACGGCGAATCCAGGGATCAATCACTTCGCCGAGGGTTTCATTTTCATAGTCTTTGACTTCTGCGGCCCATACCTGATAACGCTCCAGCGCGACGGGCGAGATCAAAGCTTCCTCGGGAATGACCACCATGCCATGCTCCCATGCAAAGTCCTTGGCACCTTCTCCGACCAAGAAGTTCGGGGGCACCCTTGACATGCCCATCTGCACATTGGCCTTATCATAAATCTTCCGAGCAAGCATGATTGGATTCTTGATATCTAGCACGCTCACGTGTTAGGCAAGACTTTCTCAGGAACAGACACAACAAACTTACTGGGCACAGCTCCAACCGCTCCACTCAGCCCGTGATGGTCGACAATCGAGGCATCGCCTTCAACCACCCCTTTCGCGTTCAAGTTGCTCCCAAACCCTGCATTTGTGATTGGGTTATCTTCAAGCACCATTATGGCCGCTTCGACCGCGTCAATGGCGGTGCCACCACTCTTTAAGAATGCCATGGCCTTGAGCGCAGCTCTAATTCAATTCACTTGTTAGTCTGTGTCACCAATAAAATACCAAAATCTGAGACTGACACTTCACAGGCCTTCAAGTGCTTATGCTCATTCTCGTGGCTGTGGAAACCCGCTCCAGCATGAATGAATATGGCACAAACGCCCTCATTCTCAGACGTCTGCGGCATATTTAGGGGCTCGACAATTTCAGGATCTACCACGGGATTGCGCCACGAGGTCAGGCGGAAGTGAAGATATGGATGCGGCGCGTGGCTGGCGAATCTTTGACGCGGCGTGATGCACTCGCAGATTGTTGATCACAATGCGGTGGCTCCTTGTGAGTTCTGCAGCTGAAATTTGAACGAGTGACCACCTGAGTTCGATCTAAACAACCACCGGAAACCAATGCTCTAATGCTATGGCAGATTTCGGCACGGGGAGTGAAGCGAGAGTAGTCAAGAGCCTACGGTAAGGCCATCCGTGTCGGGGTAAGAAAAGAATAGACAGAACGAAGGGCCGCAATGCACACGCCCCTCGCATCAGAAATGATAACGTTGGAATAAGAAAAGACTGTTAGGGATTGAGGATGTGCGAATGGACAATCACAAAATAGTGGAAATTTATGGAAGCTCTCATAGCACTGGTCGCTCTTGCCATTTTTCTCAAGTTGCACCTTTTTTGGCTGAAAGTAGGCGGTAAAATTACCATCACAGAGGCAATATACCTTCGGTGGTAGCTTCAAATGTTTCTTAAGTAGGCCCTGGAGAAACCTGATCTTTTTGATACTTCGGCACATGATGTCCACGGGTTCCAAGGTTGACGTGTGACCCCTTAGGTAATCTGACCTCCGGGCACTGCATCTCCCCCCGCCTTGTCTGCCTGTCCTCTTGGTCTCTTGAAGTCAGGGCGATTTCGGCTACCAATTGATATTCGGCCGATTCCCTAATCATTGCCTTGTTCTGTACATCGCCTAAGCTTCTTCTAACTCCTTGCTACATTGTGATCGTGCCCAGGCCCAACCACCCGCCATGGCGTCCCAAACACCAGCCGTTGTCATGGACAAGTAAGTTCACAGGTGCAAGGACCAAATGAATATTTGGCGCTGACTCTATACTTTTCTCTAGCGGAACTGGCTATTCCAAGCTTGGTATGTGTTGTCTGTAGTGGTTAGGGAGCTCGCAACCACAGATTAGGCTGACATGCTACCACTATTCCAGGTTTCGCCGGTAACGACTCCCCCTCATTTGTATTTCCAACCGCAATTGCAACAAAGGCTGGTGCTGGAAGTACTGGAAGCGCCGGGGGCCGGCCCACAGTCGCAAACAAGCCCTCGTTCCTGGGCGGCGGCGGAAGTAGCTCCAACCTGTCTGCCAAGCGTGGCACGGAGGACCTGGATTTCTTTATCGGCGACGAAGCGCTGGCTGCGGGCAGTGGCCCAGGATATGGCGTTAACTACCCGATCCGACACGGACAGATCGAGAACTGGGACCATATGGAACGATTCTGGTCGAACTCGATCTTCAAATATCTGCGCGTGGAGCCCGAGGACCACTACTTCCTTCTCACCGAACCTGTAAGGCGACTCAGTCGCGCATGCTGCCGGCTGGCTGTGTTTGACATGATGAACCCTGACATATCTGGATTATAGCCCCTGAACCCTCCCGAGAACCGCGAGAACACCGCCGAGATCATGTTCGAGTCCTTCAACTGCGCCGGTCTTTACATTGCTGTGCAAGCAGTGCTCGCCCTTGCTGCCTCATGGACGTCCTCAAAGGTGACAGACCGATCCCTGACTGGAACGGTCATCGACTCGGGTGACGGTGTTACCCACGTTATCCCCGTCGCCGAGGGCTACGTCATCGGGTCCTCTATCAAGAGTATCCCGGTTGCCGGACGAGACATCACATATTTCGTGCAGAGCTTGCTACGTGACCGTGGAGAACCCGACAGCAGCTTAAAGACAGCAGAGAAAGTGAAGGAAGAGTACTGTTACGTCAGCCCGGATATTGTCAAGGAGTTCGCACGTTACGATCGCGAGCCCGATCGCTTCCTGAAGCACACCGTCACTGCGCCAAACGGGCGGAGTGTAAACATCGATATCGGATACGAACGTTTCCTCGCCCCGGAGATCTTCTTCAACCCCGAAATCTACTCGTCCGACTTCCTCACCCCGCTTCCCAATGTTGTTGATGGCGTCATCCAGTCCTCCCCCATTGACGTCCGGAGAGGTCTCTATAAGAACATTGTACTCTCTGGTGGTTCTACTCTGTACAAGGACTTTGGCCGTCGTCTACAGCGTGACATTCGTCACTTGGTGGATGCACGAATTCGTGCCTCCGAGGCCCGTAGCGGTGGCGCACGGAGTGGTGGTCTCGATGTCGCTGTTGTCACCCACAAGCGTCAGCGCCACGGTCCTTGGTTCGGAGGTAGTCTGCTGGGTCAGACGCCTGAGTTCCGGAGCTACTGCCACACTAAGGCGGAATATGACGAGATAGGTCCCAGCATTGTGCGGCGGTTCGCGCTGCTTGGTGGCCCGGGAAGCTCGTAGGGGGAAAATGAGTGAACCTTATCATTAGATACTTGTCAATCGATGTAGCTCAGCCTTTTTGTTCATAGTCTGTTTTATCTCTTTTTCTTTCTCCGGTGGTACTCTCTATTTTCTTTTTACCCAAAACGGCTTGGCGCCGGTGTGCATTGGCATTTTCTACCCTGGACTCAGAGCCAGTTTACAAGTAGAATATGGACCTGTGAAAAGGACGAAAATGATCACTTTTGGCGCCAGAAACGGCCCCCACGTACTCTGGTCCCTGGAGGCTTAAATAGTCTCCGTAACACGTAGGGATCGGCTGCAAATTTGCCTTGGGGGCTGTGTTTTTTGGACTTGGGAACAAATACGCCTGGGAAATTCAATGGCTCGTTCCAAAAGCCCTTTATCTATCCCAAGCCACTGTCCGCTGGGCGTTCTAGTTTGGCCGAGAGTATGAAGTCTCGGATCTCTAGCCTCTCGCCAGATACCAGCAATGAGCCTCGTTCACGTTCACAGTTTCAAGGTCCACCTGGCAACGGTGTTTCCATGACAGATGGTGACACGTCAACGGGAGCGAAAGCAGCAACGCCAGAGTTGCCTTCCTCGAGATTTATATTCCGAACATGTCTCCTTGTGATAGTCCCGCCAGTGATCACGGTCTATTTCGGTATAATATGCTGGGTTTATCAAATACCAGACCCGGAAAAAAACTCATACGGCCATCGAAATGCCGAGTGGGTCTATTATTCCTGGTTTATCATCTCAGTCTTCGGCTTGGGCATCTCGAGGTATGGCCTGGCTGGTATAGAGGCAGCAATGATGGAAGACAGCTATTGGCGCGCTCCGGATGCTATAGCTCTATTCCTGCATAGTCGACAGTCATGGTCTGGACCTGGTGGGTGGATGAAATACCTGAAAATAATCATGGCTAAAAGACAGTCGCCCGCGCATCGTCTTTGGTGGCTTCTTGGTCTTTTAAGCCTGGTTCTCATCATTGCACTCCCACTGTCAGGCTTGAGTATGGAGCTTTCTGACGGGTTTGTGAAGGCCTCCAGCCCACCTTCTGTAATTGGATATTCCCGGGAAACCTTTAACACGAAGAATGAGAATAAGGCGCTCGAACGTTCCCTTTCCCGTTGGCGGGCGGCGTCTCCTGTGGATCTTCCTGGGGCTGGAATAGCCTACACCCCACGGGGTCTTGATCGCAACGACTACGACTATCTCACGGCACTTCCCAACTCGTTGTCCACGGAGCAGAACGTCCCCGATCTATTCCTTATACCCCAAGCAAAAACCCCAATCAGTGGCCGTCCCTGGGGTATTCGATTATCATACAATTGTTCCGTGGTGCAGTCCAAGGCGGAGCTTACCATCCTGCCAAAGAAGAACTCACTCCCTCTGCAAATTGTTTCTCTGCAAAGTGCACATAAAGAGGGGGTATTTGGAAGCGGTCCGACTAGTTCCGACGTAATTTATGCATATAACAGCAGTGCTGAAAACCTGTTTTTGTATGCGGAACTTGGGGCGATTATCAACACAACTTACATCTCTGAGAGCGTCGACCCGAATCCTGATATCCTGGAATACGTTATGTGGCAGGCACGAGGCTACGTCCCTATACAGGGTCCTGTATCGCACGATTTCAACAACACCATCGCCATGCCTATTCCTGACATTGACTCCCCTCTGGTGATGGATGCTAATGGAACGGTTACTCCCAACGAAATGTTCTTCGAACGTGGATCAGGGTCGGAAAACCTGCGTCAATTCGTCGCAGGCACAGATAACTTGACACTCACCAATTTCATCGAAACAGCACAGCCCATCGGAGTTCGATGTCAAGCCCTCTCCGAGACGGGCTTCGCTACACTCCACCCGGATGAACTGGCCTTCTCCGACTTCATCCGTGTCCCTCCAGAGCGTCCACCTCCCCCCTATTCGGGAGTTTCGGGAGTCGGGTGGTACTATATCCCTTATCCCTTCGGATTTAGCCCGTGGGCCCATCTTTCCAAGCCGGAGACTGTCTTCGCCAACATTCTCGAATCGATCGAGACACCTCTCAGTATAAGGATCGGTCCCAGCCAAGTGTATCCGAACTATGTCCAGGCTGCGGATCTACAGCAGTCTCTCATGGGTGCCTATGCACAAAGCGCCTTAAACCTCATGTATTACGGCTTTGAGACGTTTAATCAAGGATACGTGGCCGAGAATCTCACCTCCTCGCAGCCTGGCAAGATCCTGGGACCAGGCGCCTTACCTCCACATGTCCCTATGGTTATGCTTGCCATCTGGGCAATGGGCTGTGTTATCCTTGGCCTGGTATATGGATTTCGGCGCCGACAGGCTGAAACTCTAGACGGTTACCTGTTCTCCAAGCTCAGTGCACACTATGCTAAAAGTATTGGTGATTTGCCTGCCGCTATTGGTCCTCGATCAATTTTATAAGAACGAGGGTCTGTGGAAGTTGCCTGGATTGAGCCGTGATATGCTACTCAAGCGAACTACTGGCCATACTAGTTTGGTAGAGGAACGTATCTATACACAAAGTAATACCTTATAGAGACGATGTATTGTCTGTACTGGGCTTTCTGTCCCTCGTTGCTTCTCATAAATAACAATTCTGTTGACGTTCCATTTCCATGCTAGAGCAGGTCCGCCTGGTCCCGCTCAACCACAAGGCTGATAGAGACAGATAAGAAATACTGGCCAACATCCCGTCCCTGTGGTCCATGCTTTGGCTTTACGTTTGGATTGTTCCTGGCGCATTCGATCAGCCGAAGTTTGAAGAGTTGGTGGTGCCGGCATATTTCCTAGGAGGCCGTTTGAATCAGCAGCCCTCACAAGTGAAAGCAGCATCTTAGCATAAGCGGCAGCCGTAGCCGACGCATATGGCAGTCTATAGCCTGAATATCTTAAAATGAAATTGAAAATGAAAATGAAATTGTATTAGACAGCGTACATATCCACTATCGCCATCATGATTTTTTGGACATCCCCCAAAACGCCACGACTATGCAATACCAGACAAATATATAGCCTAGAAAGGCTCAGGACTATTACAGGTATATCATTCAAACAGTCTCAGTCCGAGGGAAAGAGGTGCGGTTCAAAATAGCCACGCCCTCCACATGACCGGTCTGAGGGAAGAAATCAAAGCCACGAACGCTCTCAATCTCATAGCGGACATTCTGCTTCTCGTCGCCCTGAACCATAACAGCAACGTCACGGGCCTGGGTATGGACGTTACAGCTGACATAGACAACACGACGCGGCTTGAAATCAAGCATCTGGCGCAGGAAGTCTTCTGAGCAACCCTTGCGAGGCGGGTCAATAACCAGCAATGTCTGATCTGGTGGGTAAGGAACGTCCTTGAAGAGAGTTGCGGCGTCGGCAGCAGCGAAGCCTGTGTTGGGAAGCTTGTTTGCACGAGCATTCTCCCGTGCTGAAACGATAGAATCGCCTCCAATATCGACACCGAGACTGGACTTGAACAATGGGGAGAGGGTAATTGTGAACAGGCCTGAGCCGGAATACGCGTCCAAGAGGTACTTGATTGGCTTTGCGTCTTTGTCGTTGCCTGCAGGGATGGCTTGCGAGCGGATGTACTCTGTGAACCCGGACAGAATGGAGTTGTTGTTTTGGAAGAAGGCACCTGCTTTGTTGCTAAAGATATAGTCGTCGACGTACTCGAATGACGTGGCGTTGTTGTCAGTAACGCAACGCTTTTCTTCGATGTAGTTTTCGCGCTCAATGCGGATCACATCGCCCGTGTCTGCGTTGGGTGTGGCGGCAATCCCGCCAACGGTGGGAGCCTCTCCGTCGGCAGTAGGCGCGGCGTCCTTGGGGATTCGTGCGGTAGACTCCCGCATCAGGAGAGTGGCACCTCGCTTGTAGGAACGGATGTTCTCCGCAACTCGTTTCCTCTCACTGGTGAGTCCGCGACGGACAATGTCTGTTCCAAGGGGACAGTCTTCGATGTCCATATCCAGTCGTCGGTTCTTGTATGTGAATCCAATCGGGGGGGACCTGCGGTTGCGAGGGTTCTTCGCCATCCTGCTTAGAGCCTTTGCCAGCGCCACCATGTGCGAAATGAGGCGTGAGTTTTGTGCGGTATCCGTATTGCATGGGCGAAGCAAATGTTTCCCCAATGGTAGGGACAAGCTCCGGGATCAGCCCAGAGAAATTGGCGTAGGCTTTCTCCACGATGCGCCGCTTGTGAGCAAGCTGGTCGTCGTAGGACATCATCTGAAGCTGACAACCCGAACACTCCCCGAAGTATTTGCACCCGATCAACGAATCGTTTCTCTGAGGACCCGGTTCGATCACTTTCACAAAATCGGTCAAGCTGTATGACAATGACTCGAAATGCTTGACCAATTTGACCCGCACGGTGTCTCCGGGGACCGTGAACGGAACAACATAGACATATTTCCCATTCTCAGCGAGCGCTAGACCATCGCCCGTTGAGGAAAGCTCGGAAATCTTTACATCAATCTCGGTGAACCTCTCGGGAAGGGAAAAAGGCTCGCTGTCGCCATTGGTCTCAGACTGCTCGGTTTCGTTCCGTTTGAGGAGCTGGTTGATGTCGCAAAGCAGGACCTCATCATGTCCACTGCTCTTGTTGTTCTTGTCGACCTTCGCCTTCTTGCGCTTGCCGTCGAAGTGTTTCTTAGGACCGTTCTGCATTATTGCGGGGACTGGCGCATTCGCCGAACGGCGTTTGTAATATAATTTGGAGGCTGGCCGCACTTGAAGAGCCGTTAGTGTCTGCGAAGACAGAGAAGAAGTCAACTGCCTAACAGATGGCCGTATTGCAAACATATACGTTGGAAAGCGACAGCGAAATAATTTTTGGAACGAAAATCATCAAATGGGAAATTTATTAGAAACGGATCTAACGCGTCGTTGATTGGTTGGAGACTGACCGCCCGCAAGAAAGAAATTCATCCCGACGCTTCACCTCCGACTGGCCTCTTTTGCCTTTGCGTCCTCCAATTGTCTCCGCATTTCGCCTTTTTCTTTATTTTTGAAGCTCTTAACCGGCCTATTGTTGGCTGGGGAGCTTATTGCACCGTCATCATGAACATAACACGGCCAGCACGATGCCTTTTATGCAGTTTCACCCGTGCTGCCGCCCCGAGCACGCGAGTCCCTCGACGCCAATTCCATCCTACTCCCGCGACTCTCTCGAACCGGAAACCTAAGTTCCCCAATATTAAGGCTCAGGATTACAAGCCTTACACGGAAGAGCAGAAGGCTGCGCTCGCCAAGGAGTACTCGGAGGCACAGATGGCGGCCGTCGAAGCCGGCGAAGCCGCTATCGACCCGAAGGATCTGGCAGAACAGATGAACGAACGCAATGACCCCATGTCATTCAAATACATCGACGACTTCTCGGTGATTGAGCCCGGTGTTGATCGACACCAGCGCGCCCCGGAGTCGAACTCGGATTACAATTTCAAGCTGAAAAGCGAGGACGATTTCGTGAAGGACTTTGGCCAGTTCATCGCTGAGATGCCTGATAATGCAACAGGTGCAGACTTCGTTCGGTGGGCGGACAACCTGCGCGTCACCCACGGCAAGGAGGAGAGCGAGCTGGCCCCGCACAGCGCACTTGTTCCGGACCTCTTCGGGCCTGGAGAGACCATCGATGAGCCCCGTGTGGAAGAGCGGAAGTCAGCCGCCGAGAAGGGCGAGAAGGAGCGGTCAGCGGAGGCCGAGGAAATGACAGATGCCCTCAAGAGCCTGCTCCTGGCTACGGGCTACACAGAGAGCCAGGTCAAGGGCCTCCGCACCAAGACCCTTGTTTCACACAGCGTCACCAACCAGACTCGACTAGGAAAGGTCCGCCGTGCATACCGTCTCTCCATTGCCGGTAACGGAAATGGTCTGCTGGGTATCGGTGAGGCCAAGTCTGATGAAGCCTCCGACGCAAAGATCCAGTCGCAATACCGTGCAATCCGAAACATGCAGCCCATTCCCCGCTACGAGAACCGAACCATCTATGGCGATGTGAAGGGCAAGGTGGGAGCCACAGAGTTGCAGCTGATGCACCGTCCACCAGGTATGTCTAGTTCCATCCCTCCAGGTATATTCCTTTTTGCTAACAATAGTAGGCTTCGGTCTCCGTGTCCAATACCTCATCTACGAGATGTGCCGCGCCGCCGGTATTCACGATCTGTCCGCCCGAGTTGGTCGCTCAAGGAACCAGATGAACACGGTCAAGGCCGCCTACGAGGCGCTCATGACCCAGCGTAACCCCGAGCAGGTTGCCCACGCACTCGGCCGGAAGATTGTCGATGTGCGCAAGGTGTACTACGCAGGGAAGATTTAGGGTCCCTGGTGGCCTTGACTTGCTGTTTCGTCCCAGCGTGTATATAATGCTCCTCTTTCCTCTTCTTCTTGTCTTTTGCATGTACTTCTATAAGTTGGTTGTTAAACATGACGGGTCATCTATTCTCCAGTATTCTGGGCTATTCACAGCATATCTGGAAAATCATATATCAACAAGGTTCTTTTGCATAAACACCATCTGATTCGCGCCAAAATGAAAACTTGGAACACCCCGGGTATAATACGCGAGTAAACAAAAAAAGAGATCCATCAAATGCAATAGGCATTTCCATGCCTTCCTCCCTCATTGGAAGGTTATATCTCCCTCCCCCTCGTATCCTCCATGCTGATATTCGTGGTCCTGGAAATGCCGATCCTCGTTCTGCTGTTGCTGTTGCTCTTCATTCTCATTCCAGATCTGCTGCTGCAAGACAATGCTATACACACTGGCCTTGAGCAAGGTGCATACAGTGGCAGTCTTGCGCTCAAGGAGACGAAGACCATCGAGTGGCATGGAGGCGGGGGAGCCGGCGAGGTCGGCGAGTTTATCGGAGAGCTGTGGACGAGGCATTGGTCAGTAACCAGTATAACCAATATCCATAGTTCATATAATTTCAAATGGGACATTGCTTGTATCATTTTCCCGAGAAGAGATTGTCCCAGAAAGATAAGATCAAGGCCAAGTAAGGTCTTCCACATACCTGGTTGACATTCCGCAACAATCGGGCGTATTCTTCCAGCACTTCCTGCTCCAGATCTGAAACCAGCGGGTTATTGGCCAAGAGGGGGTTATTCGAGTGGCCCCGGCCGTGCGAGGCGTCGGCGTCGCCCATCGATTGAGGGATTGGAGGGGTGGATATTTCCGCGGGGTCGACTTCGGCGTACGAGTAATCGTTGTCTAGGTCTTCGGGCGCGAAGGCAGACATTGTGGAGGATTGGGGTTATTTGCGGAGTCCTTGAATGTTGTTGGTGTTGAGCTGCGAAAGACGTCAAGGCTGTGGAAGCTGTGTTTTTGTGTTTTCGTGTTTTCTGGGGATCCGCTCAGACGCGTTCCCCAAGCTTCCGCTGAGATCCGAAATCTACTGGGGTGGGTTTGACGGCTTCAAACTTATTTCAACGTCAGTCGATGGGTTCATGTTACATCGTCGAGGTTATGGCCGTCTCTGGACGGCTTTATTTTTCAAAAATTCCCCCAAAAACACGCCTGATGCCCATTGGGAACATCCCAGTCATACAGGTGTCTGCTATCAATACATAGCGCTGGTTTCCATCAATATGACTAAGATCATAACGATTCCAAGGTTGTCTCATACTGTATACTATAAATACCTAATCTGGGAATGTCTATTATTATTCGGAAAAAAAATCGTCTGGCCAGGCTGTATTCGTTGCTGCGAAAGCACGTCCAAGGGTTGATTACCCAGCTGGGAGGCCTAATAGCAAGTCCGCTTACTCTCTTTTTAGCGGAAATCAGACTTCTATTAGAATTTTGCTTTATGGGACTGTTGTAAGCCATTCTTGGAACGGAGTATATAACATATACCTAGGATGAACAACTTCGTATTCGTATCAACTGTCTCTGTAAAGGGCACCCATGCAGCTCACGTTGAAACTCCGTATTCGTATGGAATAAATAGTCTGTAAAGAGCACTCATTTAGCCCACAATGTGGTATTAATATTTAGTTGCCTTGTTTTTTTTTTTTAATAAAAAAAAAAAAAGCCAACCATGCCAACCTCATTATTAGACAAACCGAATGATGTCCTTGGTTGTATATTGTATCCACGAACGCGCTAGCGTTACTCTCCCAGCCGCGGCAGCCTCTCCGCGCATTCTATCTCAAGATCTCGGCGAAAATTCAGCTCTCGGCGGAAGGGCCCCTTTTGAGGACCTACCGCATGCTGCAGCAACTATAACGGCGAATGTTGTGGTGCGCTCATCGCCCCTATTGCCTTTCCCATCAAAAGAGTGAAAGAAACCCGCTATAATATCTATAGTCCGGATTTAGTAGATGCCTAGAGGTGGAGAGCTCCGCTGAGGCGCAATTTGCAAGCAGCAATTGTACTCATTGTCATAGACAAATACGGAGTGACCAGGAACCAGTAACCTAGAAGCGTTGAAGAAGCCCATCGAACGATTGGCTTGTCCCTGAAACACAAATTCTTTTATTTCATCCAGAAATGATCGCCATATTGCAGCAACGATCACCATATTCCAGCATCTGATCACCGTGTTGCATCATAGTGGTGCGTATGTTGTAGTCCATATTTTGCAGGCCTGAGATTGTCAACACGGCTGCAAGAGTCCGTTACGGTGTGGGAATTAGCTGGGTTTGGATTGGTTGTAGATATCCACATCTGAACTACTTGGCTGCAGGGTCCTGAGGACTGAAGCACACGGAAGTCCGCCGCGGTTCATTATTTTTTTCAATTATCGACGATGATCCCATGATGAGCGAGGGGTTGGCGTTTCGTCGGCAGAGCATTCCTACGGCCTAGTCAAATTAATCGGAAGAATTTTGAGGGACCAAGCTCACAATTCGGCCCTAGAGACCTATTGTCGACTAGGATGCAAGCCTTCTCAAATCCACCGGAGCTAGTGGAGTGCTCAGGTGGACCAAGTTCAATTTATATTTCTGCCTCAGGTTAGCTTTTCCAACCGATATTTTCGAGATCTTTTCAATTCGTTGAGGCTAGCTTGACTTCGAGTCACAGGTTGACTACAAAAATTATACGGAGTACTCCATAGGTCTTTCATAAATAGGATTACTCCGTACTTTGAATGGGTTTGAAAAGTCATCAAAACTCAGAACTAATATGTCTCATCCCCAACCAGAAATCCCCATTTAGAAGTGGATATTCTTTATTGCAAACACCTCGTGGTGGTTGGTCTCCTATCCTGTACGGAGTACTCCGACTCCGTACAATGCAGCACCATAGACGCTTTTTGGGACAAGTTTCCCTTGGAAAAGCCAATGCCAAGAGTCTAGAGGTATTTCTAGATACACTCCAGAAAATGTCTTGCCCCGCGAAACGCGCAGGTCTTGTACCGCGGCATCTAAGTCATGCGAGCCACCTTCGCCTCTACTTTATTTAAATGGAAGCCTAGTCCTCTATAGTATCTGATGTGACATCGTCGCCTCAAACAACTAATTTTAAAATGCTAATTCAACTATAATGGCCTTGTGTGAGTTTGCCCCTAACAACGGATTGACTCTAGTGTAGAAATGGAGCCTTGGCTTTGTGTTTTCCACATTAAGATCATGTCCCTCTGGAATGTTTTTGGACCATTATCTCATATTGTGGATCATGACAACATGACCCAGAAAGGAGAAAGACACAATGTTGTTGTAAGTGGTTAAGTGGCGACTTCGCCCTTACGTAGAGGCAGAAACGAAACCAACGAAACCGAATACGTAAGTGTCCTCAACTAGGAAATTGGCGATATTAGCCAGTCGCCCCAGATGCGGGGCTCGAGCGGCAATAGAGGGGCAGCGAAAAAGAAGATCTGTTTTTCGCCTCGACAGTTCACAGACGTTTTCTAAAGTTATGGGACCTGGTCCCTGGACCCGAAATAATAATAAAGTTGCGCAAATGATGTTTTTCCTAGGGTTTGGGGTGGCCACGTGTCAAGGTTTTCCAAAATTGGTTAGATCCATTTCCACTATTAGCCAACCTTGGAACCTCGGAAGGTTAGGTAGCCAAGAAAGGTTAGCCAGATTTTATATCTCATTGCGAATACGAATCGCCACTTGAGTTTTTCAGGGGAAAAATCACTATTTTAGGAGAATGTTCTTGGTGGATTCCATAGCGCTACGGAGTAGATAGTGTACGGAGTGTGTAATATTTAGAAACGTTCCATATGCAGTGGAGTAGAGTTTTCGACATGCGATAGGGGGATCTAAAGATCTAACCATTCAATTTCCGACAGGGGCACGCAAGGTTTAAGCTTGTTTTAGCTCGAGTTATCAAACGGGACATACAATAATGTATGGTATGGTTGACGAGATACGCGTATGGGCCATATTTTATCTTCGCCACAGTGTCCACAGTCCTGTCACACTACCTTATCCAATTGTAACACACCATCTACCTCGACCTCCCCTCTTCATTCCCCATGGAGTTCACCCGTGTCCACACTTCGGTTGGACAGACCAATTTACACTGCCCCCTTTGTCTCTGTCCCCTGGGTCGAGAAGAACGGGATGTGCGCTACGGCGCTATGCAAGTCTAGGTAACTTAATAGATTAATGGATTCATCAAGTAAAAAAATGCAAAAGGAGATGTCCCCGATTGTTTTATTATAATTGTCTCGATGCCATATCCTTCTTCTATGTCCAATCTTCTGACCTAAACAACTAACAGTCAAATCTCATCGGATTCTTTTGTTGATCATATCAGATGAGTGAGATGTCCACCCCAGCTAAGGCTAGGGACAATGTGTTCTCAAGACGTGAGATTGAGGGCATGCTTGCTGAAGGCAAGTTGATTATCATCGTCGACGGCAATGTTCTCAGACTAGATTCTTGGATCAAATATCATCCCGGAGGTGATATGGCCATCAAGCATATGATTGGCAAAGATGCCACGGATGAAGTGAATGCGTGAGTCCCCCCAGAATCTCTTCATTCTTGGTCAATTCATTTGCGCATTGTACTAATACCCTTCTCAAAGACTTCATTCACAGGAAGCCCGTCAGCGCATGAGCAAATTCCAAATTGGCCGAATCGAGGGCCGCTGGACCAATTTCCTTCCTCCCATCCAAGGTGGCGAATTCCGCCCATTGATAGAAAACGAGGTCAACGAAGAAGACCTGGTGAGCTCAGAGCTATCAAGCGAAGAGATCTCAGCACCACCATCTCCCATCTTCGAAGCCGAAGACGAAAGATTGGGCCTAAGACGCAGGCTATCAGTATCAACAATCTCCTCGGCAGTCAGCGCCATCGCTCCAACAGAAACCAAACCACGAGCCTACGTGATCGATGCGCGAACCCAAGAGGAGATTGAGTTGGATACATCCAAGTACCCTCCTCTCGACGCAGAACACCAAGAGTACATCACAAAGAAATACCGCGAGTTGCACCAGCGCATCCGCGCAGCAGGGCTATACAACTGCAACTACACAGCCTACGCTATCGAGATCTCTCGCTACACCCTCTTCTTTGGACTGTTCATTTTCTTCCTCAGACAGTCCTGGTTCTGCCTATCTGCCTTCTTCCTCGGCTGTTTCTGGCACCAACTTGTATTCTCCGCCCATGATGCTGGCCACATGGGTATCACGCATAACTATCAGATTGACACCACCATCGGCATGATCATCGCCGACTACCTGGGCGGCCTAAGCCTAGGCTGGTGGAAACGCAGTCACAACGTCCACCACATCGTGACGAACGCTCCCGAGCACGATCCCGATATCGAACTGATGCCCTTCTTCGCCCTATCGCACCGCTTCTTCAGCTCGCTCCGGAGCACCTACTACGACCGCATCATGGAATTCGACGCAGTTGCCAAGTTCACCGTCAAATACCAGCACTATCTATATTACCCCATCCTACTCTTCGGCCGCTTCAACCTCTACTTCCTCAGCTGGGAGCACATCATCGTCGGACGCGGACCGAAACACGGCGCGGGCTGGTGGCACCGCTGGTTCGAGTTCGCCGGCCACATCTTCTTCTGGATTTGGTTCGGATACGGCGTTGTCTGGTGTAGCATTCCGACCTGGTTCAACCGCGTCGCCTTCGTTCTGATCTCGCATATGGTGACTTCGCCGCTGCATGTGCAGATCACGCTGTCGCACTACGCTATGTCCACTGCTGATCTTGGCCCGTTGGAATCGTTCCCCCAGAAGATGCTCCGCACTACTATGGACGTCGACTGCCCGCCTTGGTTGGACTTTTTCCATGGCGGTCTCCAGTTCCAGGCTATTCACCATTTGTATCCTCGCATCCCGCGAACACAATCTGCGTAAGACGCAGCAGTTTGTTCGGGAATTCTGTGAGGATGTGAACATTCCGTATGCGGTCTTTACCTTCTATGATGGTAATAAGGAGGTTATTGGTCGGCTCGCGCACGTTGCCAGACAGGCGAAACTCTTGGAGGAGTGTCGGAAGGCTTGTGCGGCTGATCCTCATTTGCATTGAAAACGTTCGCTCTTTTGGAGTTGAGCTTTTGAGATACCCATTATGTAGTTTGTATAATTTTGTATAATTTTGCAAATTGGGGCCGCTTGGAATTGTGATATTATATTGTATCGTTCAAGCGAGACGTCTTCGTTTTAATAGATTTTTTTTTCCTCGTTTCAATATTACTGCTCTGAATTGCGCCGCTTCATGGGGGCGCTCAGGCTTAGGAACACTCAAGCCCTGTTGGGTACATACATGTACAGCCACCTGTCGAGTCGATGCTAAGCCGCTTCTGATGGCAGGGGCGATGCAGGTTTACCTTGTAGACTGCGGCAATTGGGGCGAGTTCCAGAAACCATCGTGGTTTTTGGTAGGATACGAAATAGTACACTTGCGATGGGACAATTAAACGATACAGAGAGATCATCAAATAGATTGAATCTGAAATCACTTCTAGTTTCATACACTTAGTTTCACAGCAAAGGTGAACTTGCAAGCGCAAATTGAGATTGAAAACAGCACGCAGTACTAATCAGTACAGATTGTCACGTGGGAGACGTAACCCGAAAAAGTGAATCCATAACGCCGTCCGCTGCAAAGTAGGGTGAAAGAGCAAATGTATAACACAGTTTTTCAGGGAGACTCGCAAAAAAGAAAAAGGGAAAAAAAGGGAAAAAAAGAAAACCAAGAGCTCGAGGTCGTCGCACAAACCATGCGGCAATGTCAACAAACGGTTAGGTGTCGATGCTAGGTTGCGCTTGAGTAGGGGCGCAACTGAGTGTGATCCAAGGCTTTAGGATATGAAGAGAATGCAATATGCAAAGCAAGCGACGAGCAATAAGGCATAACAATGGGATGAAACGAGACAGAGACAAAAAAAGCTTGAATAGATCCACCAAGAAAAAGCCCCGAACACTCCATACACCCTGCGAGGATTGCAATGGAAGAAGAATAGCATCTAAATACAGTCGTTAATGCATCATGGTCGTCAGCGAGCCGACGCACATACGGCTGTTTTCCTCGTGTATCGGATAAAAGAAATAAGTGACGAAAAATGAAAAACCCAGGTTTTTACATATCACCCTCATGATGAAGCGTGACACTGTTAAACTCCTCAAAGGGATCATTGAGTTCGCCGTTCGGAGTCGCGAGGCCCGAATCCATTGGGACACCCTTCATCTTGGTAGAATCGGTGCCGCCAATATCTACGCTAGCGCTCTCCTTGACGTTACGGAAGTTCACTGTATCCGTGCCGGCACGACCCTGGTGAGGAATCATAGGCGGCTTCATGTGGCGAATGAGCGCCCATTGGGTCTGCCGGAAGAAGGGGTGAGTCTTGACATCGGAAGCACCAGCGCGGGCTCCTAGGCGCTTAGTTTCATCCTTGATCAGCAGTTTGCGGATCAGGGACTTGCACAGATTCGATGTCTGCTGCGCACCAGAGTGCTCTGGGAAGTTGACCTCGTCTCGCAAAATGCTGGCAAACGTCGCGTTTCGGTTCTTTCCTTTGAATGGAGTAGTGCCGTACAGCATTTCATAAATCAAAATGCCCAGGGTCCACCAATCAACGGCGCTGGTGTGACCGCAACCCTTGATCACCTCAGGTGCAATATACTCTTCCGTCCCCACAAAAGAATTCGTTCGGAAATCAGCAATGCATGACTTGGTATCAATAGTAGGCAAACCTGTGGTGGAGTTTCCACCACTGCGTGCGGGAATCATCGTCGGGGCACCCCCGGGTCCAGATTGCTTCGACAGATCGAAATCAGAAAGCATGATATGACCAGACTGGTGAAGCAGGATATTTTCTGGTTTCAAGTCACGGTAGATAAAGCCCATGAGATGGAGATATTCCAGCGCAGCAATAACCTCTGCGGCATAAAAGCGAGCTGCATCCTCGGAGATACTCTTACCGGGGCGGGTTTGCAGGGCTAGAGATGCACAAGTCAGCAAGCAAGAAGACGATGTCGAAGATGGGATAGAAAGGTAAACACACTCCTGAAAAACTCGCCACCACTGCAGTACTCCATGCAGAGATACAAATAATCTTCTGATTGGAAGGAGTGATATAAAGTGACAATGAACGGGTGGTTGCTCGTAGCCAGGATTTCTTGTTCGGCCAAAGCTCGTTTAATCTTATTCCGTTTGATCATCTCCTTCTTGCTCAAAACTAGCAGCAAGTCAGTATATGGTATCGCAAAGTCAGGGGTATGTAAGAAAACGTACCCTTCATGGCATATAGACGACTCGATTTCTTTTCGCGCACCAGATAAACTTTGCCAACATCACCCTTCCCGATCAGCTTGATCTTGTCAAAGCTAGCGGGGCCAACCTCTACATTCCGAACTTTGATGGAGTTCGAACTATAGGTGCGGCGGAACGAAGCGTTACTACCGAAATCTGAGCTGAGTGATGAAGGTATCGCCAGATTGGGCTCCTCGCTGCCTAGATCGGCCAGGCTCATTGATCCGCCCGACTGTTCCATCAGGGGCTCCTTGCCCAGTTCCGCTGTCTGAGGGCGGTCGCCCTGACCACTTGTGAATAGGCCTTGGGCATTCGGAGCAGAAGCCACACGTCGTAACTTGCGCGCTAGTTCCTCTTTGTTTGCCGTGGTCGCCTGTTCAACTGCCGAGACCCCCGTGACTTGCAACTCAGGGGTGTCAGGGGGGAGGAGGGCACTGACCCATCATTGCGGTGTCGCAATGCTGGCTGGCCCTGGTGGGCAAAGTATGGGTTGGCGGATGCGGTAGGCGACATGGCATCGTCGAGTGGGTTGCCTTCACTAGCAACGGTTGTTGATCGATTGCGGCCTATACCTGGCAGGAATCGAGACTGCCGGAAAGCAGACTTCTCGTTCTTGGCTGCGCCATGGTTATCCCGTTCGCGTTCGGTACTTCCAGAGGCGTTGGGATTTGGGGAGTGGCTGGAACTGTTGATACGGAAAAAGTTCTTGATTCTCGTAGGCAGATGGCTAGACTCGTTGGAGTGTTTTCGCGTGGGAAGGGAGAGAGCGGGGAAATTCCCGCGCTTCTCATTATTTGTCACTGCGGACGGACTGGAGGCGAAAAGCTGCGTCATATTGGGTGGGCCGCCGAAATCAAAACCGAGACCGAAATGATATTCACCTAGGACCTGTCGAAGAAGATGATCCGAAGGGTGCAAAAGCAAGGTGCAAGGCAGGTGAAAGCGCGGTAATCTTCCAGATGCCAAGTGCCGGCTGGGGATATAATCGCGGGGGCAATTATTGTTAGTAAGAAGCGGTACAACGGGGGATGTCCACCCAAAGAACTGGAACGACAAAAGCCACGATAACTGGGCTCATGGATAAGACGACATGTCAGAACAAGTAAAGAATGAAGATCAAGAATTGAAACCCGTGGGAAAAGAGGGAGGCAAGGAGGAATTGGAGTGGAGAAGGACCCGTGGACGCGGAGGCCAAGGCTTAGTCATCTGAAATCTGGGCAGGGCAATCCCTTCTGGGCAATGTACAACGTCCATCGACGTCAGAAGTATTGAGAAGAGTTGAGAAAGATGCATGGAAATGCTCAGAAAGATCATTTAGAAGGCATTCACCCCAATATGGCTTGACCTTGGTCAACAGAATTCTAAATATAACTCTAGGAATTAACGAAATAAGGAAATTAGGATTTAAGGAACAGGGTGGCGATAACCCGAGTATAAATAACCATGTACAATGTACAACCACGTGATAATCATACAACTTCATTCCTTTGGAAGAATATCAATACATACATAATAATATCGTACAGATTCTCATTTCAATCCCCTCGATATCGCTTCCTCCCCTTGACTCGAACTTGGTCCATGTTTTTCATTTTCTTTCCCATGCTTTTCTCTGCCTTTTCTCTGAAACACGTCGTCGAAACTTCGGAAACACATACATAGGCTTGGGCTCAAACCCCCCAATGCTCAAAGCGATAGTTGCATCAATTAGTTGTGAGCATGTGCATTGATTCTGCTCATGTTCACAATGGCGGGAGCGGTATGTCTGACGCTGGCATTGATCAACCGCGACGAGTACACTGGCAAGTACGCGGTGTGCTGCTGACTATCTGGCGCGTCGAAACCGAGAACAGTTGTTGCCGGTACTTCGTCTCTCAAGTCATCAATCAATCTCGATGTGTGCGAGCGACGGGCGTTTCGGACATTTTGACGTGCGTCATGTCGTCGACGGGCATTCAGACTCGACGAGATCATACGGGAACCAACGCTGCTAAGACCACCCACAGGTACATAGTGTCTCCGGCGGACACTCGACCTCGAGATCGCTCTGCTCAGGCTATTCCGGGATAAGTGGCTATACCTGCCGAATGGGCTATTCCGAGACAATAGTGGTGTGTCAGACATATCATCGGGGTAATCCGCTCCGAAACTGCTCATTGTCATGGTGAAACTCCCGCTGTAGCTAATATATGTCAAACCCAGACCTTCAAACAAGCATGCGGGTTTGGGTGGGACTTACCTGTGGTTCATGCCATCATCTGATCGTTGGGTTGAGGGGCGTCCCCTCCGTTCACTGGATCCTTCCACGTCTACAACAAGCACATCGAAAAAGTCCGTTGGAATGAGAGGTGTTTGGAAATCCGAAACCTCACTACTTCCGCGCTGGCGATCAAAGGAGAGCTCTGAGAGTATCTCCTCATTCAGTCCAGGTCCGGGGCTAGAGGCTCTGATCGTCTGTGGGTCGTCATCAGAACCGCTTGAAACTGATGCGCTACGGTGCTCATTCTGAAGAAAGTGAAGCCCATTCTGATCATCGCTGCGGGTCTAGAAGTTAGTATTCTCCAATTGCTGGCCTGAGACAAAGAACTTACACGCTAAACGCGAGGTCTGGTGTATGACTCCCATCATTTTCAGCCGTGCGAGTCAATTCGATGGCGTGCTCCTCATGGCCGATTTCAGTAATTGAATGCAATGCTGATCTCAAATTGTTGATGTTTCGGCCGAAATTCCGAGGCAAGGTGTTACTGATGCGCCTTCCATTTCTCGGGCGACGTTCTGTCCATGTCTCCTGGGGGATCCATGATGTGATTTCATTGATTTCCGTCTCAGAACCCCTTTCAGGATCAATGTGGATGCCCAATCGGTTATTAGCGTCAAAGAGCGGGTCATTGCTTCCTGCAGGCATGTTGCCGCTAGCTCCACCCGTGTCCTGAAACAAATCCGACCTTCTATCAACCGGAATCTGATCGAAGAGTGAGCTGCTTCTGCTCCTGTTTCGATTTCCATTTCCATCATCACGAATCAGCAACTCGGAGCTTCCATCAACCTGCATGTTATCAAAGTCTGAGTTGTTCCCGTTTGTGTGGCCTGTTCCATTCTGGATGCTGTTTGTGGCTGTTGATTGTTCCCGCTGGAATTGGATGGGATGGCCAGTGTTAGGGTCAATAATATCAACCCCACGAGAGATTTTGGGACGCACAACCTCATTGGTACCATCAGTCGACAGGTTACCATGTGAACCACCATGGATCGTTCTTCTGGGTTGCTCTTTATGGGCTGGTTCGACGGTAATATCTCCTGTGTTATTGGCATTGTTCGTGAGAGATGCCTCTGCGAGCATCTGATAGTAATCAAGAGCGTTGAGCATTCTTGCCCGTTCGTTGGTGTTGTAAACACGCAATCGATAACAAGTATCGCCAGCTGGAATCACTGGGTCCATCGCAATGAATTCGTTGACCTCCTCCAGGTACATTTCATGGTACCGGAGTTTGCTCATCAGTCGCGCCCTTGCCTCAAACATCGCACCAAGGCCATATGTCCACGCCACCCGTACATATCGAACATAAAAGTCGCAACGTGGGAGAATATCAACCGGGCGAGCGAACGACATCATCTGCGCAATTGCAGCATCATCATAATTGATAAGAGCCTGGATCAAATACCATCGTCGTCGGCGCTCCTGGGCCTCAGTTATGGTCTCATAACTCTGCACTTCCGATGGACTCCGGCGAGCAACACCTCCGAAGTCTTGATCATCTTCGAACTCTGAATCATCTTCGTCTAGTGGTTGGTACTCAAAGTGTTCAGCATATGGAATGTTTGCTTCCATTGCCTGGGAAACACTCAAGTTCCGTGAATCGATGGTAACTGCGAATTGGGATGTGCTTGCATGCAAAGGCAAACGCGGCTCATGCAAGTTATTATCGGACTCTGTGGGAGAATGGATGATTGTCAAGATTTCCTGTGCTCCGCTCTGGCCACCAGTCCTCAGTTGATCATCAACAAGGACATGCGAAACAATGGGTTCGTCATTCGCTTCATCCGTTGGTGCAGCTGATGAGCCATCAGGACGGGGTGACCTTGGTGGCTCCATTGGAACGATTCTTCCCCCTGCTGTGACTCGCTGGTGTCTCGGGGAAGTGTGCTTTTTCAGAAATTGGGCGAATCCTGCATCCTTCGTGGAGAGAACAGGCTGAATGGACTTCTTGTTGTTACGGGTCGGGCGGTTCTTGGACGTTTTCGATGCTGGATTTTTGTTCGGTCGCGATGACCTGGCTGACTCTCTAGTCGGTCGGTTCCTAGGGTTTTCTGAAAGGATGGGCTTCTTGCTTCGATCAGGACGCGCTCGCCTGCCTATGGTCGATGGTTAGCATGGTTCTATTCGCTGTTATGCATTGTCGATGGCCCTGAGACCCATGACAGGTCTGCTTGCTGTACCGGAAGCCAGTTCACACCAGCAACACAGTCGAACCTTCGTCCTTTGCAGGAGATCATTGATCACAAGCATCATCACAAAGGGCAGCTTACAGTGTCTTGCTTCGCTGGTCCACTTGCAGTGTACACCTGTGTCCTGGCACAATGCCAGCAGTGTTGGCAGGTTATACTTCATTTTGTTCATATGGGCGAAATATTTACCTGTCAAGAACAAAGAAAACTTTGAAACGAATAAATTCGGTGAAAATAAGATGGTGTGAAGGTGATTCGGATGGGAAAGTGCAGGGTCTGGAGAAGGAACGAGTGCTCGAGGCTATTCAGAGATTATGGGTCACGAGGCATACAGTCGACGACGCGTCTGAGCACGCGTCGATATTGGCGCCAGTAACCCTAAGCGAGAAAGATGTTCGAGGAAGGAAGAGTTAGAAGAACAGGTTCGACAAACGGAAAAAGTGTTTGATATAAAAGCACGGCGACGACATAATCAATTCTCGGCGACGACATCATACAGTCTATACACTCTCTCTGACTTTCACAGGCTGAAGGCCACTGTGAACAACCCAATCCTCTTCATGCTCCGCAAAAGGCGACCTGCCTTCCATGCCATCGGGCTGATTATTCTCGATCTCTTTCCTGCCCTGCCCCATCTCCCAGCTTCCGGTGCGTTCATGGCCATGTACAGCAACTCCAACTCCAGCGGCGAGACCACTTGATGGTTGTGAATTGTCGGTCTTAGAATTTCTCCATATGGGTTCGCTGAATGACACATCGGCATCACTGGCAAGTTTTCCAGGGCCTTTGAACCCTCCCAGGCTTCCTTTCTTGGGAGGTTTTCCCTTGCGCACGCGAACAATAAGGACCAAAATGAGTCCCGTGAATGCAACGACAGCAAGCGTTGTAACAGCACCAATTACTCCAGCTAAAGCGGGAGCCATACCTTTGTCCTTCTTTCTCTGTGATTCACGCTGATCTAACACTCCATTGCAAAACACAGTTTCAGCGTTACAGCGGAGGCACCATTCTTGGGTTGAGGCCACGGCAAATGTCTCCAGCTCGGAGTGGAACTCAGTATACGGGATTGAAGCACGACTGGGACTGTGTCCAAAGAGGGAGTACGGTTCGAATTCGGTGGTGTTGTCGGTACCATTGTGAAGCAAGAATCTCACATACAAATTGTCGATTCCAGGGTAGGATGGATACAAGTTGCTGCTGTCTTCGAAGCTGTACAGCTCGAAAACAAACGAGCCACCTCGTACCAGGCGGGAGAAGAAGTTGGGTTGATGCTGGTTTGCAAGTCCCACCAGAGATGACAGGGCAACAGCTGGCTCATCACCACCGAATAACAGGGTCATCTTCTGCCGCATGCCACTTTCCTGGATGTTCAGATCGAAGGCTTCTAGAATGCTCGATGCCAAAGTCTGCCCCGCAATCGGACTGGCTACTCCGATCATAGACCCGCTGGAAGACGACTGTTGGCGATTTGTGCTCCATACGTACTGGTCGGCTAGCGAGCGGGCACGAAGGATGTCGGCGTGATTCAGACTTTCCAATAAGCTGTCATTGTGCACAACTTCATAATCCAAATACTCCGAAATTGGAACGGCATTTGTGTAAGTTGCGGACGATTCATCGTAAACTCCAGACAATGCCAGTTTCCACAGTTTCCTATAAAAGGCTTCGGTATCTCGCGTGATACCCTGGACTTCGTCGCTGGCCCGATATTCGCCCTCGGCGGCACGATACATGTCGCACATTGCGTGACCTTCAATCAGAATAGACTGAGGGTCCGCCTCGCCGACTGTGACAATCCGAGGATATTGATATCCGTTCAATGGCGCCTGTGCAAACGATCCGTTCGCAACTTGGTTACTCGGTATGTTCATTGAGCCGAGCGGTGGGTATAGACCCTGCATGAATGCTTGTGCAGAGCCAACGGTCTGCTGGTCCGTTGCCGATAGCACATCCACATCGTTTGAGTCCAAAATGGTTGGCGATAAGTTCTGGATTACATGATCAGAGCCTCCAGATACATAACGATAGCGGAAATTCGATCCTGCCGCGGCAAGTTCGTTGGCTCCATAGTCGGTCAACGCTTGAGAGCTGGCGAGCGCACTGGGCTTGCTGTCTCCGTAGACAGTAAAAGCAAAGACTCCCCACACTCTCTCAATGGAGTGAAAGTCTTGGCCTGAGACCACCAACCCCTGCAGGGCCAGGAGAGCGATGGATAGGCCGTACATCAAGATGGTCTTCAAGCACCCAAGAACAGCAAAGCTTGACTGGATTGATTGACTTGCTCTACAAACTACGGGGGCAACCTCTTTGTAGTAAAGAGACTCGGACCTCCATGGTCTAGACCTCGACTATTATTGTAGTGCTAGGGCCGCCAGGCTAGGGAACCAGACAATAAGATATCCGCTTTCGGAAACTGGTACTACTGCAAGTAGACATACTGGCTTTCTATTCGCAAATATCAAAACTGAAGCCTCTGTAAGCTTTCGGGTTATTCGGATGGCAGGGAATAGCTGAATCTTGACGACATTAAGCATACATTGAAATTAATTCCGGAGTTTGTCATAGAAAATGATCTATAAGAAGCGAACCAAAAGGATATTTGAGGAGCTCCTAAGAGGTAAAATCTCGCAGAAGATATCGGTTAGACTCGATGATCTCGCAGGTCAGACACAATATATATTACTCAGTTATAACTTCTTTTGATCTATAGATTCATAAAATGTCATGACCGAATCCTCCAAGGTTGGATTATAGTGTGGGTATCCACCACAGCTCTCATATTGGTAGGCTCAAGGTTGCACGCATACCCTGGTGAAATAGGGTTGATGACGCGCACAAATTATCCGCTCGAGAGTCCATGGAACTTACATATACATCAGTCTACATATCCATTCCCAGGTGACACACTAGTAATTGAAGGTAATAGCACATATGATGATAGAATTACAATACTCAAAGTATTATATCTAAGTAATGAGGCGTACATGTAGACATCACCAGTGAACAAAACGGCCGAGGGTAGATAGTACGCTAGTCTTAAAACGGCACTAGCCTTAAGTGAAGTACCTGTCGACCTACAAAATATATACAGGTACCATAGGTTTTTCTAAATGTGAGAAAGAGAAAATGTGATTATATCTACCAACGTCTGTAGTATTTTATTCCGATCCAAGCCAATCCACCAAGAAGATTGACCCTGGAGAGTTGACAGACCGAAATCTGACCCACCCTCAGTGGCCACAGATATCGTTGGTCTAAATCCTGATGTTCTGTCAAAATGCAGTGACAACGCTGTCAAGATTGCAGAGATGCAAATAAGGTTTCTAGAGATGATAGCAGTTCTCTAGATACTCGATGGAACAGTTGATGGGTCGGTAATGGTATGATTCTCGCATACTAGCTACATACAGTATGTATAGTATGGATTTTCGAAGGCAGACTGTGTTTCCACCACACCGCCTTCCACCACACCGGCAAGAACCCCCCCCGCAGATCTGATAACCTTCCAACCTTGGAAGGTTGCCCAGGTGGAATCATCATTGATAACCTTAATAATAAGATTATCCATTCCCACCTGGGCAACTGGGCAGATTCAACAGTAGAGACGGGTTTCATCCCAGGTTTGTAAGTTGTATAACAAGACGGCAAGCAGCTATTCTGCACATGTAGGTACAAATGTTTAGCCCAATATTTCGGAGGTCCCACTGTACTAATCCTATTCTAGAACGTCGATCCGGGGAACCCTGCCTGCATATGTTGACTATACAACAGTTGCTACTACCATCCTTACTTCTCACTTCTCACTTTTTTCCCTTCCTTCAACCATCTTGCTTTCCCACCATGATCAAGGTATTTGATCCGCAAGCTCTCAATTTCTTCTCTTTCCTCAGTTTAATTTTCACTTCTTTCTTCCTTTCACTTGGCTCTGATTTCCTCAACCACTCGAACCGCGAACTCTTACTTTCACTCCTTTCTCAATTGAGACTCATCTCGATTTAATTCACTGAAAGACATTTTGAAAATGCCTTCCCCAACCAAACAGATGAAGCAAAAATGGGGAAGTCTCTCCAATGTCTTTGAAGGACATGAGGTTAAACCTGCCTCTCCCTCTTCACAAGCTAACCCGCTATCGACTAAAATCAACCTTGCTAAGTCCATACGCCAATACATGCAGTCTAAGTTCCGCACTGGACAAGAAAGTGTATCTCCCCGCAGTTTACATGGGATACAATCTCAGTTTACAAGAAGTTATGCTCGCTCTTAAGGGGTTGCAGGTCACAGCAACCTCTCGAAAACACTCCACCTCTTCCCTGGTGGCCAGTCCCGAAGACGCTTCGGCAAAGAATGCCGTTGTAACAGGGACAGATTCCGTGCGGGGGTTTCCGAGGGCACCAAGAGGGTCGAGGACGCCGAAGACCCAAATTGCAGCGCTCAAAAGACTGCGGGAGACATACAGGAGAAAATGGGCGGAGAAGAGGCAGCGACTTCTGGTCTTCAAATGCCAGGAGCTTGGCCTTCCGACCCACCTGTCGTCACTGCGTCTGGCGAGTCAGACATGCATGGACGGAGCGTATGATTACGAAATTAGCGCATAAGACTTCGACCCGGACACTATTTTTCCTGGGGTTGTCACCCTGAGCAATCAACTGTCGGCGATTCTGCAGAAGCAACTCACCCCTCCGCAAGAAAGCGAGTTCGAAGATCACGTCCTCCATTGCCTTGCAACTATGGTTTATGGATCCAATATGATTGAGCGCGCAGGGAGTGGTTTCAGGATCACCCTCATACTCTGCTTCGCAATTTTTCGCGGCGAGGAGATTCCGGAGGACATAGAAGAAACAGAGGAAGTGTTCTTGGAGTTGAAAAAGAAGCTCCTACGCAACGACATGCTAGCAAATGTTTCCACAGTTTTACAAAGTCGTAGGGAAATCATTCAGCATGCAAAGGCCGCCTCCTACATCATTAGTCAACTTTGCGTTTATGATAAGGACCTTAGTGCAGAGGTCATCCTCCAGACTCATAAAATTGAAACACAAAGTTGACGCTGAACACACTCCCTGGGAAGAGTATAGGGTGTGTATCGTACGGAAGAAGTTTCTGCTGGCCTCCATGCCTTCCCCCATCACAGCCTTGTCCCCTTTAAAATGAAAGCAATGGTTCCCGAACTGGAGTCTGACCTGGAAGAAGCTATTGATAAAAGAACAGTTGATCCTGTTGCCATTGCTTCGAAATACACTCACATCTTTGTCAATATCCATCCATTTATCGACGGAAATGGACGTATGTGTCGTCTGATCTTGAACTCGATGCTTCTCAAGCTTGGCAGTTTCCTTGTGTGCATCGGCGAGAAGGAAGAGGACCGCTCCCTTTACATGGCAGTCGCTAGCAACGGGGGTGCACTAGAGGATATGTATGGAGATCTTGATGAAGATGAGAAACCAGCTATGCACAAGGAGCTAGGAGGTTTTGTTCTGTCGCATGCCAAGAGTATGCGCAAGCTGGTCACGATGCTTTCGTGAATTTTCGGGATATCAAAAATGGAGTTTATCTTTTATTAGCTGAGGGGAGCATTATTAGGAATCCAAGTGGTGCGAATGACCTGAGGTACAAATACGATGGATGTAGCTTGAGTATAGGCAACTCGCGTACCAGGTACATGTACTTTAGGTACCTGACCTGACGACATCAGCCCACGCACTTAAATGAATTAAGCCACGGACCTTTCACCGAACATTTTCCTTCTCTCTTCTCCATCTACCTTTCTTCCGTTTTATCCACGCACGCTTTCTTTGATGCCCACGCTTCCATCCATCTTCTCCTAAATTCCACCGCCCGGCAGAAAAATCATCTTTTCGCTCCTCCATCCTACTTCCGCAAGCCCTACAAATGCGCCCTACCCCTAAGCCCTCATTTCTGCTCTCGGAAGTTGATACCCCGACCCCAGGCAGGCGCTTCGTCCAAATGGTCGAGACTCGAGGCGCGCGGCCATCATTCGATGGTCAGGAAACATCTGACTTTCCTCCCTTCCCTTCCGATGGAGGTGACATTGGTAAGTGTTCCCTTCAAGTGCCTCATCCGATCGTCCCGTTTACCAGCCTCGACCTCGACCACCACCCATACCTATTACCCTCACCGCCAATGGACCTCAATGTAACCTTGAAGTTAATACTTATCATTTGAATTTGTATCATAGACCAAAAAGTCCCCCATTCCTTCGATGATGAGGAACATGGCTCGCCTCCGGCTGCCAAAAAGCGTCGTACAGGCGACGGCCCTGACGGTGATATCTCTCTACCCGACGAAGTCATCTTGATGGCCGATCAGCATGGCCCTGGTCACAAAATCGAAGAAGAATTGGCCTCGGCCCTCGGCGAAGGTGTCATTGACACCGTCGAGCAAACTGATCATAATGTAAACCAAACTCTTCAGCATGGCACTCATGACACCCATGATGCCACTGCCGGGCTTGCGACCACCCAGGACGGTACCTCTAATCTCAATCCCGACGTGGCCACCATCATTTCTGAGATAATGGATCACACAGAGCGTCAGGAGCAAACCGTCGCAATGGGACCTCAAGAACTACCACCGTCGAACGATTTCCCGGGAGCCAGAGGTTTTGCTTTCCTCAAGGCCAACTCTCACCTCAAGATTCAGAGTCTCCCTATCCTGGATAATCTCGTGAGTTGATCGATACTATGTGTGGTGTCTCAGTCTTCTAACATTACCATTACTTCCTAGTCTACGCAGATATTGTCGTTCCTTTCCAAGAACAGCTACCAAGACCTCACTGCTATGGTGTCCGAGCCTGACTCCGAAAATGGCCAAGCATATGCCACCATGCGCTCCTTGTTCGATCACACAAAGCGAGTCTACACGGTTAAGCACTCATTCCTTCAGCCTACGGACCTTGAAATCACAGACGCTTCCCAAATTGATGTTATTCGCAAAGCGAACCTAGCGTCCTTTGTCTCGAGTATCTTCGGATCTCAGGAAATTGGGTTTGCGGACCTCAACGATCATTTCCTAGACGTTTTCGTCCCGGAAGGTGGTCGTTTACTGAAGGTTCAAGGTGCTCTGTACCTCGAACTGAAGACGCAGGCTTTCATCGCAGCCATGCATAACAAATCCCTCACCCGTACGCAGCTCCTCTACAATCTGTTCCCGGACGATATGGAACAGCGATTGCTGGCTAGACGCCCTGGTACCCGACAGCTGGCACCATCTGAGACAGATTTCGTGAACCGTCTCACTTCTCGCCGTGATATCCTCCTCAATGAGATCAACAACGAGGAAGCGCTGAATGCCCTGCCGGACAAGTACCACTGGGAAGATTTCCTCCGTGATCTTAGCTCCTACATTTCGAAGAACTTTGACGCCATAAATACTCAACAGGTTCGTTTGTTGCCTTTATGTTTTCTCAAATGTTGTGCTTATACTAATATCATCTAGGGAAAGAAACCTGTCAAGGGACGTCAGCCGTCGAGTTCAAATGGGGATGCTCACGAGTCACCCAACACCACCCACCAGGGTCAATTCTCACTGAACCAACAAGTTGAAGTCCCGGTGGACCGGAACATGCATGGCGACCTTGTCGCGCGTGCTGCCCGAGCTGCGCAGATTGCCCTACAGGGCCATGGCCTCCGACGCTCTCAGCAGCAGTCGCAGCAACAGCAACAGCAGCAGCAGCATCAACAACAGCCCCAACAGACTCAGTCTCAGGCTAGTCCATCGCCTCTGCCGCAGCAACCCCAGCATCAACAGCACCAACAGCCGCAGCAGCCACCGCCGCCACCGCCACAACAGCAGCAGCCGCAGCCGCAGCAGCAGACGAGCCAACCCGAGAACCAGTATCTTCATGGCTACACTGCCGCACAACAACCGCAGCCGTCTCACCAACAATATCATAGTCCCACCCCCCCCTGGAGGTTATCAAACACAACATGCCTCTCCCTTGACTTTCCAGCAGAGCCCATTACAGGCCACCTTCCAGCAATACAACCCCAACGCAGCACAAGCTATGCAAGCCAGGGCGAATGGCATGTCCTCCAACCATGGATACATGCCCGGAATTCCCCATTACTCTCAGTCCCAGCCCACTCAGGTCCTCTACGAACGCGCCCGGATGGCCGCATCCGCCAAGTCTTCTCCGACTAGCCGCAAATCTGGTCTTCCCAGTCAACGTCGACCTTGGACTACCGAAGAAGAGAATGCGTTGATGGCCGGTCTGGACCGCGTTAAGGGTCCCCATTGGAGTCAGATCCTTGCTATGTTTGGACCTGGTGGAACGATCAGCGAAGCCCTCAAGGATCGCAACCAAGTTCAGCTGAAGGACAAGGCTCGCAACTTGAAGCTCTTCTTCTTGAAGAGTGGAATTGAGGTACCATACTACCTCAAGTTCGTTACTGGTGAATTGAAAACCCGTGCTCCCGCCCAGGCAGCCAAGCGGGAAGCCCGCGAAAGACAAAAGAAGCAGGGCGAAGAAGACAAGGCTCATGTGGAAGGAATCAAGGGTATGATGGCGCTTGCTGGAGCGCATGGGGCACCCGTGTCGGGTCATGATATGTCCGCCTCGCCCAGCCTTCCACCGGATGCCAATAGCCAATCCGTGTTTGATCAAACCGCAGAGCAGAACCTCATGCAGACTCTGAGCCAGGAGGTACACGGAAGTCAGTACCCTCAGCAGCATGCTCAGCCAACTCCTGACCACATCGATCCCCACATGCAGTTGGGACAGTAGATGATTGTCAACCAACCATTTGTCTTGATTTAGCTTTTCATCCGCGAGATTCGTCATGAGAACTTGGGATTTGCAATTTCGTTTCGGAGTCTAGGACTGGATTGATATTTGTTCCTTCGGGAACCACATTTGTTTTACTATGGGATTGCGACATTGCGCCGGATTGGGCGATTTGCTTTTATTGCATTCCAATTGTATGAGTACATAGTGATAGGGTGAAATGAATGATAATGAAGAAAAGAAACATCTCTGTATATCTGTATATGTATGTAGATAGATTGAAGATTCAAGTACTGTATACTATATGCGTTAAGGACATACAGCATGGTCGAAGGTAAAAAGGCCATCCAGGTGGCCCGTGCACTACCCGTGTGACTTTCATCTCCCTATAACTAAACGTACGTATAATCGCCATTGATTGGCCTTGTACTTGGAAGTCTGCAGCCCACGTTTGGATTAAAAGAAATTTGCAGGGATTTCCCGCCGATATTTGCCCAACATGGCCGACTCTCAAACATCGCAACTTCCCCAATCCATACCTCAGAACGGATCACAAGACCATCCCCTTCCGTCCGAATCTGAAGATAACATCAAAACCGAGCCTGATCTTGATGCTTCCATCGAAAAAGACGTCGAGATGAACACTGAGAACCAGACCGGAGCGAACGCCAACGCCAACGCGCCTGGCCAAGATCCCATGGCCCCCGCGCCAGAACCCTCCAAGAAGGAAACAAGCTTGCGCGAGTTCCTCGGCAAGATGGACGACTATGCTCCAATTGTAAGTCATCTCTGAAACAAGACTGTAACCTCTCTGAGCTTCCCCTTCTCACTTGACCACACGGTGGACAACGACATCCCCGCCACCATCGATCTACCCCAAGATTTAAGCATGTGAAAGCAAGACCCAAGACACGAAACACAAGATGTATCAGACAGACAAGGAAAAGCAAGAAGACTGACTCTCGATCTCCAGATTCCCGACGCAGTCACCGCCCACTACCTCACCCTCGCTGGTCTCCCACCACCAGGCACAGGCCCCGGCCAAACCCCACCTCACCTGGCACGACTCCTGGCACTCGCAGCGCAAAAGTTCGTCTCAGACATCGCGGCAGACTCGTACCAGTTCGCCCGCATCCGCGCCTCAAACAGCTCCTCTGCAAACAACCCCATCGGCAGTCTAGCAGCTGCGGCTGGTCTCAATGCTCCGGCTGGCGCAGGCGGTGCCCCAGCTCCTGGCGGCGATGGCGGCAAGAGTAACAAATCTGGCACTCATCTCGGTATCCAGCGGCCTGGATTTGGAGGTGGTGGTTCCGGTGGTTCTGGCCAGGGACGCACGGTGTTGACCATGGAGGACCTGGGAATGGCAGTTTCGGAATACGGGGTTAGCGTGAAGCGAGGCGAGTTCTACAGGTAGTTCAGTGATGGAAATTTGTCTTCGGGGGGTTTATCATTTGTGCCTGGTTTTTATTTGCCCTTTTTCCTCATTGTTTGTCTTTTGCGTTTTCCGGGCTCATGGCGTTTAGGTGTGCCCATGGTCTTGAGTGGCCTGGGATCATGACTGCATTGCTAGTCTGGGCTGGTGGTTGGGCGGATCCAATGGATGGCGTTGTCTTTTTCTTGAGGATTCTTTGATATCTAGAATCTATGTATGCAATGCTACAGAAACTAGTCGTGGAATGATATGAAACATTTCACATGTATTGCTGGCTCAGAAACGTGCATCAGAATGCGAGGAACCCAATATATTAAACTAGGACAAGTTGTTAACTGGACATTGACATATTTGTCTTCCTGTAGGTTCTACGTTTGGGTATTGATGTATACCAGTCGCATTGCACTTTGCAATTTATAGATTGCATCTAGGAAAAAAGAAATGCGTATTGAACTCCAACCCAAAAGCAGCTAATGTCACATAGAATCCAATGATATATCTGTACATAGTATGGCAAAATAATGAGACGCAATGCAGCTCCCCTAGCGCAAAGAGGCATCTGCACCAAGTGATCATGCGAACCGTTTATTTGTTCTTAGACTGCTTGTATGTGAAGCGCTTGCGGGTCCTATAGAGCAGATGGAATGTCAGTACATCACCCCGGACCTGAACCTGCTCATCATGCCCATGCTGAGCAGGCGTAGAAAGATGTATACATACGCAACATATTCTCCAAGCTTCCGTCCGACCATCTCCTCTGTCACCTGGATCTCGACGTATGTCTTGCCATTGTGCACAGCAAAGCGCAGGCCGACAAAGTTCGGCAGGATGGTTGCTGCGCGTTTCGTGGTGCGGATCGGGGGAGTATTGGGAGGAGGGGGAAGGGTGCGTGGAAGAGGAAGACTGTTTTTGACCACCGAGTCAGCTTTTTGTGCCAGTATGGATATTCCCATTATGAGAAGATCTCTCAGATCGAAGGTAGGGCGGGTTTGGTTTCTGTTCGGCATGGATTGGATGTCACGTACGGGACGATGTTTGGGCCTGTCGTAAGTGTTAGCGTGTGGTTTCTTAGGAATTGATCCTGGAATAGAGATCTTCTAGATCTGATGAGACTCACCTTTCCAGACCGACCGGCCGAAAAGGGCACGTGTGGGGAACATTTTGGGCTTGAGGATTTCCGCAGCTGCGATTCCGCGATGTTGAAGATCGATGTCGAAGTCTCGGCAGGATTATGTCAGCAATTTTATATCGCGGCCCTGTTCAAATACTACCAGTGAATGCAATCAATTGGCTGAGTGATAAATGATATATGATTTATATATGTAGCTAATTGAAATAGAACAAAACAAAGCAAAAACCGCAAGGTAGTAAGCGCACCCAACCGCCGCCAGCAACTGTGGGTACATGCGATTCTTATACTCCGTTTCACTCTGCGAGTTCCTCAAAGACCTTGACGAGGCTGCGCACACCCTTGAGAACATTCTCATCCGGGCCCTGCCCAGGGGTCCAACTGGCATGTGCAAAATCGATCAGGCGGAGGGCATGGACTTTAGGAGTTTCGTCCTCCTCGTCATCGTCCTCGGGTATTTGCATGGTTTCGGGATCAATGCTGATATTGATAGCTTGTTGAGGCATCCCATCACCAAGCTGGACATTGACCAGCTCCAAGGCTTCTTCGGGAAGTTCAAATTCCTCATCATCGTCGTCATCCTCTTCTTCTTCCCGAGAACGGGGTGCTGGGGCTTTTTGTTCCTCTTCGATTGCGTGCTCCATCGCTTCTATATCCCCTTCGTAGACCACCAGCACACTCGCAGAGTACATCCGGCTCTCCTCGGATTCTAGAACCCGTTGTAAATTTTTCAATTCTTGCGCCAAGCGCTGGGCGACCATCTTTGATCGGTCTATCTTGCCCACCTTTGCGCCAGCAAGAAAGGTCTCAAAGCCTTGCTTGACATTATTCTCATTGAAAGAGCGACCGTACCACTTATCATATCGCCGATAGCCATCCTTCTCAATGACCTCGCCCTTTTTGCCCTCTGCACCCTCGTATTTCGTAGCATACGGATTTGTCCGGTCGCCCTCATCGGTCTCCCCATTGTGGCCAGTCCAGACTTTCATACCCGCGATGCGATATCCAACGCTGCCGCTGGTCGTTTCCTTAGAGACAGCATCAAGCTTTTTCCGCTTCTCGAGCGGCGCATCGTCAGCCCATAAACGCGCGCCGAGCTTAACGTCCAGCACGTTCGGGCGCCGGAACCCACAGGCAATGTTCTCCAGCACGATCGATAAGCCAGTATCAATTTCCTTGCCCCCAGAAGGAACCCATGCTGCTTCTTCCTTGGCCGGGACAGCGCCGTCTTCGTGCGCGGTGGTTGTGTGCGACGGTGGTTGGCTAGGACGGGAGGAATCGGTGGCTACGTCGCCAGAGTTCGGGAGGGGAAGGACGCCAGATTCTCGGGCGGCAGCAATCGCCAGCGGTTGCTGTTGCTCGGAAGATGAGAGGGATCCGATGTAGAGGGGCATAAACCCCCGGAGTGCCGGGTGGAGCGCGCTGGATTCGTAGAATTCTACCTCCTGCCGCGTGCATGGTTTCGCGATCAGGGCGCCAGAAGACGTACAGCGTACACCATCACTGGATACAAAGGTCTAGTTAGCAAGGCTGCCGTGGATCTGTATCGCGTTCAAGTCCGCCAGTGTTGGTTTTCTTTCGCGGACCCAGTTAGGCTAATTCGTGCGTGACGTCGCGCCAGGAACAGAGCGGGGATGTGAGACTTACTGTCCAGCAGCAGCATGGTCAAAAGGGACTAGATCCTCACCACCTAGTTGTGGTGCCTTCCGACTTTCTGATTTCGGAGACATTATGATGCGGTCACTTTATGACTTGAAGGGGTCTGTATTCCGGACCCAAAAGAATTGAAGTAACCCTGAGGGTGTGGAGGTCCACGGGTAGTTTTAACTTGACATAGAGAATGCAGAGGTGAATGATTGAAATATATGAAAAAGTAGTGAGATTGGAAATGGCATGATTTCAGCCGAGACGCGAACCACGGGATAAGCGATGTCATTCGGCCCTAACTCCGTATCTACATCAACGTATACTCCGTAGGTCTCAATAAGTTATTCATTCAACGTAGTTTTTAGATCTTTAGTTTTTACATTTGTAGATTTTTTAATTAATATACTCCTCATCTTTTAATATAGTAAATTGTAAATCGTCATCATCTTATAAAAGTGGAAGAGACATAATTCATTGTTTGCTCTCTCTATGAGGTTAATCACGACCAAGCATCACTGAGCACCTGAGCAAACATTGATCCTTCCAGGTTGACTTGCTATTAAGTCCCATCTCTCTGCTTTGATCTTTCCTCTTCTCTCTCTCTCTCTTCCAACGTTCATCCTCGTTTCTCACAACACGGAAACTTCATCCTTTCAACCCTCCTTACCTTCATCGTTCATCATGGATAAAAGTCCTGAGCCTACCCGCGAAGACGATTTGTCTACAGCTAATCAACCACTGACTTCTAGTGGCTCTGAGGAGCACACAAAGCATACTGAAGCCATGACTGGCGACTGTGCCACTGGTAACCCTGGCCTCACCATCCAGGACGAAGAGCATGCCAAAGCTACCAAGGAACGTTCCTTTACTTCCTCTCCGGAGTCGAGTTCCAAGTCCCATCATTCGTCCGTTAAGCATGCTCGTGTTACTTTCCTCGATTCAGTCACTCTTGCAGAGCCGGAGCTCAAGAAGTCAGAGGTTGAATCCAAGACTGAGCATAATGTGAGTGCCCCAACTCCATCAAACCAGGTCCCAATCCCTTCATTATCGCAAAGAATATACTAATAGTACTCTCAGATTGAGGAGCCTTTGGCTGGTTTGGACCAGGAGCCAAACAAGCATGCCTCCCAGGTCCACGCTAGTGCTGACCTTGGGGGCGCGTTGCCAAAATCAATCAATTCTGCCGTCGTTACAAAAGAGCCAGAGAGCACTACGAACACCTCCGATGTGAACAACGGTCCAAACTCAGAGAACGCGCCCAAGATTGGATTCAAGCACGATCCCGATGAGGAAAGAGTTCTCGCAAACGTGGAACTCGACGATGGTTCTTCTTCGAAGTCGAAGAAAAAGAAGAAGAAGAATAAGAGACGCCCCAAGAGTCAGCGCGGAGAGGTAGGACAGTGATATTGGCGATTAACCGGTCAGATTTTGTCTAACAGCCTTTATAGAACGCACCCACGGGATTTGAACCCTTTTATGCCGATGCACCAATGACCCCAAAGGAGGCCGAGGAGAACAAGTCGATCTATGATCCGTATGTACACTTACATATCCCTAACTGAGACAGTATCTAACTTTTTATTACAGTGCTTTGCCCATTCTTGAGTAAGATTTCAATCAATTATTACGAGATAACACCCACTAATGTGACCCATCTAGTCGGATTGACGAGGGCATCAAGCGCTTCTTGTATAAGCGACGTCTTGAGCCCTACAGACGCAAAGTTTTTCTCAAGTACCTGCAGTACGGCGGTGTCAGCGTGGGCCCCAATCATTCCCAGGGAGTGACTCCTTCGGAGTTGAAGGAAATGACCAAAGAAGAGGCAATGCAAGCTCGCTGCACCACGGCAACCTTTCCCAAGAGGGGAAAGCCATATCCAATCTCCTTCAACGATGTTGCCACTGGTTACCTGTGCGTGTTGAAACATACGAACACTTATCCAAATAGACACAGATGCTAACTTAGTTTATAGGACTGGGTTTTACATGGGTCACTACAATCCTGATACTGAGGAGGAGATCAAAGTATGCACTGATACGATGAAGAATTTCTTCACTTACCTCCTCTACCACAATGTTTGCCCCGAGCAGAAGGAGGATCTTGAGGAAGCCAGAAGGACCTGTGATCGGGCTGCCAAAGAGTTGTGGATGAACCAGCAACTTGTACATCATGGCGGCCCCGGAGACTTCAACCGCGGCTGCTCCGTGCTGTTTGGTGGCTACTATTTCGGGGATGTGCATGACCCCGAGGCTTGGGAAAATGTTCCACATTTCGATGGAAAGGTCTTCACCATTGAAATGGCTCGCAAAGCCGTCAAATATGGCGTTGCGATTGCCGGAAATGATCGGACTGCCCGCAAATTCAAGATTCTCGCTGACCTCGACATGATCGAAGCCAAGCAGGTTCCAGATATCGATGGGTTCGAGGTCATCTCGGTGGAAGAGCCTAGCGAGGAAACCATCGGACTCTACAGGGAGCTGGCCCCGGATCTTGGCCCTGTGGGCAAGATTCGAGCCAAGGAATTCCGTGATCCCGCCAGAGGTCCCTTTGACCTCGCTCCTTGGGAAAAGGTCGACTGGGATGCTGGTTTTGCCCCAACCTACGAATTTGAATTTCTTGTCGAACCTGACTTGTTTCCCTATATCTTGCCCGGCATGAAGATTATCTCGGGCGTCTATGAGACAAACTTCGGACAGTACTACTTCGATGAGATCATGTCAGTCCTGCCAAGTTTCTACAAGTTCATGTACAATGACTGGATGATGGACTACGTGGTGCCCGCGCCCATTAAATACATCCCCGACGAGGAGGAGGTCGCGCGCCGCCGCGCAAAGGAGTCTATTATGCGTCCTCCTGAGCCGACCCCGGCCGAGTGGGCTATGCACATGATGGCACACGAAATAGACTGGGTTATCAGGCCGGGCCAGACTGTCATGGATGCCGTTTGGCAGATGATTCATACCCTTGAGAGGTTCGGCTGGGACATGGAGGAAGTCAAAGACTTGCTGGGCTTGGTTGATCCGAATCCGCTGAAGGGCAAGGAAAGGGCGAATAAGGGAGAGCTGCGCCCCGTGCGCCTCAGCAACGAGCCCCGCAACATTCCCTTGTTTGAGACCCCTGACCAGGCCTTTGACCGGACTATTGGATATTTCCAGAATCCGGAAAGGATCAAGCCCGTTATCGCCCCGGAGGTCATCGCGAAGATTCTCAAGCAGAAAAAGGAAAAGTTAGAGAAGGAACAAGCCGAGAAAGAAGTCCAGGCTTCGGTTGGGCAGAATATTGAGAAGAGCCAGGGAGCTGAGGGACAGCCCAAGGGACAGCCCAATCCCGATATCCCGCCAGAGGCCATGGCGTACTTCATGAAGAGCGTGAAGAAGCAGATAGAGAAGGAACAAGCCGAGAAAGGGGCCGAGACTCCTATCACACCGGAGCTCATCCAGAAATTCGTCAAGAAGACAATGGAGTATGTGGAAAAGGAAGTGGCCAAGAGAAAAGCCCAGACTTCGGATGAACAGAAGACTGCAAAGAACCAGGTATCCGAGGGACAGCCCAGGCGAGGACCAACGAACGACAAAGGAATCCAGACTGTGGACGGATGGAAGAATGCGAAGAGCCAGGAAGCCGAGGGGCAGTCCAACCTGGGAGCAACAGACAACCAAGCAACCCAGACTACTTCGGGTGACCAGAAGGCTGCGAAGAAACAGGAATCTGAGGGACAGCCCAACCTGGGAGCAACGGACAAAGCAAGCCAGTTTTCGGGTGAACAGAAGACTGTGAAGAACTAGTCCCAAGAGACAGCCAAGCCGGGGATCTAGAGAGACTTCAATGCAGCAGGCTATTGAGAAAACGAAAAAAAAAAAGAAAAAAAAAAGAAAAAAATCAAGGGTGAAATGGAAGGGGGAGGATCAGTGAAAGGTCGTTAGGTGCAGCTATCAGTTTACTACGTGATCAGTCTGCTGCAAATCTGCCGTGATATTCCCCAAATATGCTCTTACATTGCAGATCCAGAACGAAATTCATATGGATATCTTCAAACAAAACCTTGAATCGTTGTCTTATATTATCAACAGATCATAATCTTTTTGTATTGATTAGAAAAACCAGGTCCTGCTTCAAGGCTTCAGCAGTGGCTTTCCCATAGTCTTCCGTCCTTCAAGATCCTGTCTAGAGTGTTAGAATATACAATGACTACAACTTCACGCAAGCACAACAGGGCTACGTACCTTGTGCACCTGGGCAATGTCCTCGAGCGGATAGATCTTGTGGATCTTAGTCTTAAGGTGGCCCGACTTCAACATGTTGAACAACTCATTAGTGTAATATTCGAACTCTTCGCGAGTCTGAATGTATCCGAAGAGCGACGGGCGAGCAACCTTGACACATTTGGGGGTAAGTTTCCTATTGAAATCTCATTAGTATCACCAGACAATTTCGATATAGAGAGGGAAAGGCCATACGCGAGAGGAAGCGGGGGCACAGGCCCGCTGGCGTTGCCAAACCAGACGATAGTACCCTTGCGCTTGACAGCCTCCAAGCTCCCCTCCCAGGTATCTTTGCCGACAGAATCGTATACAACATCTACACCACGACCACCAGTAGCTTCCTTGACCTTTTTAACCCAGTCCTTATCCTCTTCGCTGCGGTAGTCGATCACCACATCAGCACCGAGGCTCTTAACCAGCGCACACTTCTCTGCGCCGCCAGCGGTACCAATAACGTTGGCCCCAATAGACTTCAAAATCTGCGTCATGAGGAAACCAGCACCACCAGCAGCAGCATGGAGAAGAACCCAATCGCCCTTCTGCACGGGATAAGTCTCCTTCACAAAAGCCAGCACCGTCAAGCCGCTCAGGAACGACGCCATGATATCCTCATCACTGATGCCATCGGGGATCTTCGCGGTCTGGGCAAACGGGACTGCAGTGTACTCCGCATACCCGCCAGTAGACAACCACGCAACCCGATCGCCGACCTGGAAACCAGAAGTCTGGGGACCGACAGCAGCGACAATACCAGCGCCCTCGCGGCCCAAGACCTCGGGCTTGGGTGCGGGGTACAGGCCCGTTCGGAAGTATGTGTCGATGTAGTTTACACCGGAGATGTTGTTGCGCACTAGTAGCTCTCCTGCTCGTGGGGTAGGAACTGGGTATGAGGTCTTGAATTGCAGCACTTCAGGGCCGCCGGTCTCCTCGACCACTACAGCCTTCATAGTTGCTGGGACGGACATGGTGCGGATTGGGATAAATTGGTTCACGAGTGGAGGGGTAATGTGATTGCGAAGCACTGTGAGTCGAGGACTACTGCGTAGAAGAGAGCGAAACATAGTAAATAAGTAGGTGGGGGGTGTAAAGATATCGAGGCCATCGGCTTCATATTTGTCATCGGATCCCCGCAATCTCCAGAGGCCCGGCGGAATTGTTGCGCGCTCTTCTTTTTCCTTCTCTTCCTTTTTTACATCCAACAAACTTATGATATTGGTACTTATGCGGATTACAGCGTATTCTGATTTGATAATGCGCTTCTTGCAGGTTTCCCAAATCCAATATGATTAACATGTCGACTATCCGCCCATCTTCACAGGGGTATGACGCCATTTCCGTCGGAACAAGGGTATAAGTTGTATCATGCAACGCAGCACTACAACGCAGGCTTAGCAGAACAAGGACATCCAACAGATTCAATGCAGTCCTTCTCTGACACAAGACCAATGTCGCTCACCCAGAGCCCCTGGTCAGGTCTGCCGCTGTATTAGCGCTTCGGTTCTCCGTACAAAACCGAGATGCAAGCCACCCGGAGCCCCATGAGGGGCCAATCCCCCCACGACCCACGACCCGGCATGTCAGTTGGCCCTGGCTCTGCATGAGGACGACATAGCGCCGACTTTGTATCATCTGCCGCTGACTGCATTATGAAAAGTCCTGGAAGGGAATAGATCTCCCCCGCTCCATACACATGATACACCACGCAGGCCATTAGCCTCTGATCGGTCACTTGAAGTTTCCTCAACACCAGCCCCTGAGAAACTTGAAGAGTTTTCATTTGTTGCCCAATGATCCGATCTGATTCTAAATAAATCGACCTGAAACGCAGCGGCAGTACCCGGAGGTTCCACTTCGTGCCCAATAGTCAACAGGCTGCCATAGCCACACCCCTTTGTGATGATGGCGACTCGACCATTCGTTTCACGGCTTTTCACTGCCATCCTTGCCTCGTGATTTCTCAGCCTGAAGCTATTCTTATTTATATTTTGCTCTTGCCCAATCACTAAAATGGCCTATCAGAGGCCCATTCCAACTGGGTGATGCCCGATGCCATCCACCAATGCTTATATACCCTTGTACGCCCGGCTTGCGCACGCACTTAAATCGAGCATCTTTGTCTACTTTCATGAAAAAAAAATTTTCTCTCTTTCATACGTGCCATAGTTCTCTGCTCCCCTGCAAATTTTCACCTTTCAAGTCGCACTACTTATACTATGAACCACATTTCCCGAGCTATTCCACGAGACGTAAACGCACCAGGTTAACGTCCCAAAACAACTATATTCCATACTATTTGTGTGGTCAAACCAATCTTTTCTAGAATGACTTCCTCCCGAAGCTCTCGACGGGCGCGATCGCAATGGCCCCCGCGCCCTGCGTTGAGGAAGAGCCCCAGTCCCTCTCGAAAGAGCTAGACGGCCTCTCCAAGCTTGGAGCTAAACCCGGGGTCGACGGTGTCCATATAAGAGGGATTATCGATCAGTATCCCATCTTAGTCTCCGCCAACTCGCCCCCTCCATCCTCTACCTCCCCTGGCAGTGTTCCCAGTGTGCCTGGACTCGGGAGTGTGTCTTCGGATGAAAGTGCAGGGCCAACAACACCGCCTGCTGCTCAGGAGCCGATCTTACGGAACACCGTCAGGTTCGAGATGGACGATCGACCAAAACGTGCGCCACCCTCAACTGCAAGCCAGCCACGGGGGCCTCCTTCTCGCCCTTTGGCCCAGCAACAGCCCACCCATGAGCTTAATACACAGCGGGAAACCCAACCGCCCTCTCATAGCCGGGATAGCAATTCCAGAAGATACGGGTCGCCAATGCAAAATACGTCTCATGGTCCCCGTGGACCGAGTGCGCCGGATCGCAGTGGTTCTCGAGCTCCCATGCATGGCAAAACCTATCTACAACCACCCAAGTCTTCCATTGGTCGGTCCAACAGTGCAAGACATGCACCTTCAACAACGCGACCAATGCCAGAGCGCTTTCGACGAGAGCCTAGCTCGGGGTATCTGTCAGATTCGGTCACCACATACAACAGGCCACCCTCACACCAGCCCCAGGCGCCTGTGTCCACAGCCCCTGTATCAGCTCTACCAAATGGGCCCACCCTCGCAGAACGCATTGACGAGAAGCTTCGCCAGCGACAAGAACAGCGGGACACGGGGTCTATGTCGGACCCGGAGGTACGGCAAATTCCCACAACTGTGAAGCCTGTCAAACCAAATCCCCTCAACATTTCCCTGCCCCCTCCGCCTCCGCCTCCTGCGCCTGCGCCTGCCCCAGCATCACACCCACCTTTGCGTGGGCCTCAGCGTGTCCCGACACAACGAACACAAAGCGAGGTGCCCCCGGCCTCACGTGCTCGGGCGACATCGGTAACGATGCCGCCTACGCGGTCGATGTCTGGATCTCGCCATCCCTCTCGACCAGCACCCGAGGTGACCAAGTCTACATCAACCCAAGTCGCAACCCAGCTAAACCCCGACAGGTCACTGGCTCATCCTGCATCCACTCGACCCGCAGGTACATCACCACAGCGCCCCGGCACGGTAGGCCTGGGCCTCTCTCCATGCCCGCGAACTATCGCTGTCGCAGGCTATCAAGATTGGTATACGCTCAAAGGCCTCACCCACCTGGACATCTGTCCGTCCTGCATGAGTCAAATCGCACACTCCCGCTACCGCGACTACTTCATCCCCAGCCTGTCAAAGCCAGCCGGACAAAAGACACGATGCGCCTTCGCCAACGCATGGACCCGTCTCGCCTGGGCTCAGATGATAAAAAAGGAACACGACAGCCTAGAACTCCTCTACCAAATGACACGCCCACCACCCGGCACACGCCCCTGTCCCGGCCGCATCGTCGCCGAACAATCCTGGTACCGGATCTACGACCCGGAAACCGGCGGCGACCTCGCAGGCTTCCACGTCTGCAGCAGTTGCGCACGCAATATCCGCATCTTAATGCCCAGCCATCGGGAAACCTTCCAACCAAACCCGGACCTCACCGAGCGGGTGTGCGACTTCGTCACTTCCAGTCCGCGGTTCGTGAAGTTCATCGATCTCCTCGACGCATCTGCATCCCGTGCCGAGTCGGACTCCTCACGCACCCGCCGCCCAGATACGCGCGAGTTCCTGAACTATGCGCGACGCAAGGTCGTGCTGCGTGATTGTCGTCGTGATAGGCCTACTCTTAGTACGTGGCACTTTATACCGTCGCTACCGGAGATGTGTATCTGCGAAGACTGCTATGACGAGGTTGTTTGGCCGCTTGCGAGATCGAAGCATCCTATTGCGTGCATGGTCTCGACGAAGATGCGGATCTTGCCTGGTGATGGGCCTGGTCGGACTCGTGAGGCGAGTTGCCAGCTTTACTCACCGCGTATGCGGGCGAAGTTCCGGGAGGCGGTTGCTAGTGATGATCTTGGGATGTTGAAGTCTGTTGCGCAGAGGAGGGTTGAGGCTGAGCGGCGGTTCCTGGATCGGAGGGAGGAGTTGTTGGTTGCTCAGTCGAAGGGATATGATTGTGATGAGGAGCTGAGGAAGGCTGTTGATGAGTGGAGGAGATGGGAGTGAGGTGTATGATTGTCTTGTTTCCTTGCTTTGATGTCCGTAAATGCATGTATACTTGGGAGCATTGGGGTGTACAATTGGGGGGGAGTTTTGCTTTCGTATTGTACTAGCATAGCATAGCATATATAAAAGTCTGTTTAGGTAGAAAATACTGTTATTACCCCTGAAGTCTTCTTGAGATAATATTAGAGATGTGGTATGTGAGCGATCCTAGGGTGTCTTACATGTCTTTTCAATGTGAATTCAGATGGCTTTTACGTATCTTTTCGAGATATCCATGCATAGTACCTACCAAGGTAGGTAGGTAGATATCCTTTAGGTGTCTTTTCAGGTGCCTTCTTGTATGTCTTCTCCGGTATCCTTGAGATGTTCTTTGAGGATGCAATAACATTGGAATTTATATAGGTAGGCCGTGACGTATGGCTCATTAACACCTTCCTGATACGGATACTATGGAAATGTAAACATAAACAGACAGACTCGGGGAAAGAGACTGCCCGATAACTCTCCGGAGCTCCCAAGGCCACTTTACTTGTCAAACACCTGATTCCTTGTCTAGACCTGTCAGTCACTTGATGTTATGATAACCAAGTGGCCATGGAAAGAAAACGTAGGGCCTCCCATTATCAACTCCTCTTCCTTCTGACTCTAGCGTGAGCCTGAATCCATCGAAAGGCGACGCCAACATGAATGCAGAGAAACTTGAGGCCACTCTGAGTTCAGAAAAGGGGTAGCCTGGACTCTGACTCCGAGGAAGAGATCGAACCGCTTGGCATGGGAAATGAAAGAGACCCCTTGACCCTGTGTGGCCCCGTCTCCACGGATACCCCGGAGAGTTACCGCCAGACCTTCTCGAATGGATCGACCCGGAGGTAGGGTCCAACGCAAGTTACATTGGGTCAGTTCGGAGTTTGTTCTGGTTAGCAAAGCTAGACGAGCTCGTCGAGGCCGTTGATGATCCCGCGTATACGATCAGCGACGAAATTCGAGTGGTGCCACAGGACGTGTCTGTCATCTGGATCCTACATTACCTTTTCGAAGAAGGAAAGATTCCTGCCCCGATTTATCGAAGCGTATTCTCTGACCTACCGGCACGCCGCACTCCTTTAGCTCTTCCTATCAGACAGGACCTGATCCCCCCCTTGTGTGACTAGCTCACTCACCACTCCGAACTTGAGCGATCTCTTTCCTTTCTACCAACCTCAGTGCCTCCCGCCGCAGATAAGCTGTGTACGTCTGCCATTCGACAAGAGAACTGACCGGCCCGAGAGAACAATCACCCACGAGTACCCCGGCTCCTTAGATGGCGATTTGCTTTACCCGAGGAACTTTCCGGGCGGGGCTTGTTTCGCTCATGGCTTTCTTCGTCCCCACAATCACAGCGAGCAAGACCGACAACGAGTTCGGACCTGGTGTTTATACCACTAGTTCATTGCAGCATGCTTTGAAATACGTGACCAGACAAGGAGCTCTAATGGTCTTTCAGAATGCCGATTTCCAGCACATTAAGCTTTGGGAGCCTAGTGAAGATGATTGGCGCGTTATCATCCGCTCCTGGTCTGGGTTGCCTCCATCAGATGCAGCCATACGAGTACCGGAACAATGGAAGAATGCCGACATCATCAAAGGTCCCATCTCATGCGCTGGAGGTATACCAGAGCCAGCTCGGGTACCTGGCCCAGACGCGCAAGTGGTTGGCGTCAGTTACGCAGGTTGCGCAGCATTGGCGGCCTCCTTGAAGATGATCATATGGTTTGAGTAAGAGGGAGATTAGAGTCTGGCAGAAGAACAACCTTCATGGAACAGACACAAGTTTCCTTGGAGAAGTCTGGAACCCTAGCCGACCCTGGTCCGAGGTCCAGAACTTTCTGGATAGGAATACAAACCTATCCACTGACGTGCAGAACAGTCGGATCGCATTTACCTGCGAAGAACCAAAGAGATTGCCTGCAAAGCAAAGGACACGCAAGTCATATGTGCAGGCTGGCAAATTCTTCAAAAGGCGCAGACGGGCGATATCTCGTTATGGATCGCGCAGGGTTGAACTCCACCCCGTAATGTCTCTTCAGTAGTTCTAGCTTAGCGGAATAGGATAACTTCCCCCTTTCCGGTAAATGTTACTTGTGTGTTTCCTTTTCTGGCGACAAACTACTATATCCATTTGTGTTTTACTGAAGACGTCTTCATATTAATCTTCTGGTTACATGAAGAAATAGTCTTTCTGAACCAGGGGACGAAACAAGTAAATGGCCATATGCCCTTGGCCAGCAAAAGGGCAATAAATCGCAGGGCACAGGTAGCGAAGTGTGTGCAGATACACATCTGGGAAGATATTGAAACATGTTAAAAAATAAAATAAGAGGTCGTAGAGTGTCTCAAATATTACATGTATTACATCTCTAATAGAGTCCACAGGTAAGTCCGGACATATTCGAAGGCCAATGAAATCGATGTAAGTTATTGCCACATAGCTAGCATCGCTTATAGTACCAATTCTAGTGAATGGTCCCTTTCCCCGCCTCGGTCCACCATGTTTAATTAAGTTTAATTAAAGACATGTGCTTAAGTCTGGGGCTACAATGACTTGGCGTCCCATACGGAGTAGGTCCACACTAAACCATCTTTGTGTAAGCTTTGAGACCCCAATGGCTGAATTTCATTCGTTTTTATTGGACTAGAAACAGGATTTACACTAGTCGAAAGACTAGTAAGAGAACCGAGCTCGACTATACGGAGTACTCTTGGGAGAGAGAGACAATTCTGACGTGAACCAATAATGTGACATGAATGATGTTCTAATAACCGGTATATCCCGCTAGACATAGAGCCTGGATTGGAACTGAATCATATAAAACTAGTCTCGTGCATGCATTCAGACTTCGTTGTTCTGCGTTAAATGTCCTCCACAACCGACTCCAGACTATTCATCTATTCCGTCCTACATAGTTAAAAATGCGCCTTACTGCTGCTATTGTTGTGCTCGCCGGTGCCATCGCCAGCGCTCAACTATCTAATATCCCCCAATGCTCTGTACGCCCTGTCCGCTCAATATCTCTGCTCAGTGTCTCGTTTCTAACTAACCCGTGATTGTTTCTTTCTCTTCCAGCTTACCTGTTTCACTTCGACCCTTGCCGGGACGGCTGCTCTGAGCTTACGGATTTCGCGTGCCATTGCCAAAAGCCTGGCCTCGCAGCGGAGATTGTTCCCTGCGTCAATAAAGCCTGTGATATCTCGGACCGACAAGGTATGAGAAGCCACATTCCCTTGCGTATGATCCGGTCTTCTAACTAGGCCCTATAGCTGTATCCAGCGTCGTTGAATCCTTGTGTTCCGGTGTTGGCCATCCGGTCTCTATCCCCGCGGTGGATACATCGGTTCCCACAACGACTGCCATAGCTATTCCAACCACGAGGAGCTCTAATTCTACCACGGTCAGTGGTGGGCCAGGCTTCAAGACTTCCTCCACGGTCAGTGGTTTGGGACCAAGCTCCGAGACTCCGTCCACGACCAACACGGCTCCGCCTCAGAGCACATCCCAGTTCAACGGTGCCTCTGGTATTGCGCCCGGAGCTGTTCAGATGGTTGGTAGTGCTATCATGTTAGCCAGCATGATGTTCTTTGTTTGAAGAGTTGTGTGGAGAGACAACAGAATGGCTTTTCGTCTACTATCTACTATACTTAATTTGGTCCTGGTACTTCCTTCCATGTTTATTGCCTCTACCCAACCATCTCAAGCTACATTCATTTTAATACCTTACCTATTCTAGAATAGAGTGTCCAAACAGCGAATGGTGGGAGTTTGAATTCCAAGGCGCATTTCTTCACTAGATATATTCATAGTCAAGTGAGACAACCATCTGCATGTTTCGGGTGACTGTATAGAAAATACCAAATCAGGTAGGACTGTCTCAGACATCAATACACCATCATACAAGCATCCCACTATACCAGCCTCCACAACCGAGTGCCGAGTGCGGGGAAATTGGATGCAAGGTCGGCAACAGCGGACTAGAAAAAAAAAAAAACAAGTAAAAAAGAAAGGGGAAATAAGCCCCTCGTCCGAAGCCACTAGATTAGCGTGCGTGGAGAAGCCACTCATGGCATTCAACTTCATTGCGATTCTGTCCCTAATGACAGCGGATTTTCGCGAGAGTCTGTTTTCTACCAGATTCTGACAATAGCAGACAGTAGAGCACGCACGCTCCTTATTCACAAGTAGTCGATCATGGTCCTTGTCATTTCCCCGAGAGGTCTAAGCTGGCTAGATGCGACGAAATCAGCCCCCTTCCAACTGATATCTAGTCGAAATACGATCGAACGGAGGGGTGTTCTGGTGAGTGTTAAAAACCTCAATTGGCCGATCCCATAAGCCCTAATCAATTAGACTTTCTGACATATGCTAAAAGCTCATTACGCTGGGGTCTGGGGGAAACTTGAAGAACCTCGGATGAATCGGAGAATTTGGTTGCAAAACATGTGAAAATAAGAGTTTTTAGTCTTTCCAGAAATTAATGAAAGTGCGCTAGACAACATAGCCACCTAACCAAGATTTACTACAGAGAAAGACAGGAACAGGACGAGAAAGAGGAGTTGGATAAGACAATTGGGATAGTACCCTGAAAGGGTTGTCTTCGTTTTCTTTCTATAATTTATAGGATGTACACCATAAATTAAATTCTTGCCCCCTACTACTCCGTATATACCTTTAGTCCATCGAGAACAAAACATACAAGCATAAATGTTACATATGTATAGTATTAGGGAATTAAATCAAAATTCTGCGCACATACCCAGCTCTGCTAGAAGGTCCGCCGCCGTGACATCGATACCGCCAGCATCCGAATCCTCCCTGCCAAAAGCTAAGAATAGTGTATCATCAATAAACCCATGGTCCTTTTGTCCATGATTTTTCCAACTAATGCTAGTCATGTAGAGCATCTCGGAGGCATCTCCCAGTAATCCCGTAGAAGAATCTTCATCTGACTTCTCTGCCCCAATGCTGCGACCAAAGATCCAGATTGGTTTTGACGAGACCGCATAGATCTCAAACGGCATCGAACGCCGCGTCAGCACCACATAGGGCTCATATACAGGGTGAAGACCGTGTAAGGTCTTTTGCTGGATGATGAAGAGCACAAAGGTATTGGTCGCATCAGGTAGGCAAAATTGGTCAGATCGCGCACATAGAGTCACAGCTAGCGAGTTTGTCGCTTGATGAATCTTTCCCGTCTCAGGCAAGAATCTCTTGAGACATTCTTGGTCCGAAGCAGCGGTCGTCAGCGCCAGGTTCGGTCCAACAGAGCCATCTAGCTCGAGTTTCGAAAACACACGCGCCGGTGTAATTTCATGGTGGAGGAACATCTGTCCCGAATCGTCCCAGAAGAGAAACCAATTCTTCTCAACGGCGTTCCACGGCATTGGACGTTGGAGCTCACGATACTGTCGGAATTCGCGCTCGTTTATGGTGTCTATCCCCCAATCCACCAAGATCCGAAAGTCAGAGATCCATTGTCCGAAGCATGTAAAGAATGAATTGGAGCCGTAAATGGTGTACGGGATTTCGGGCCCGTAGAATACCCTTGCATCGTGAGGCCCGACGCTGAGACTAAAGTACGAAAGGTCGCCGAGACACTTGCTGGAGTCACCGAAGGTTGCTGGGATGGGCAATTGCAGTGGTGGCTCCAGACAGCTCAAGACTCGCTTGTCATCCGAAAATGCGGCGTTGCAGACGAGTTCGGCGTACCAGACTGAGGTAGTTCGAGCAGAAGGATCCTTGTGAAGTTGTGCTGTGACGATCCAGGTGTCAAGTAGCTCAGGGTGGGGGATGATGCTGGGGTTCAAGACGGATCTGCTTCCGAAGTCGATCCTGAAATACTTTCCATCGGGATTCGATACCGAGTATATTACGTGGTGTGTCCGAGACATATCTTTGTCGGATCCAGGATATCTTCGGTCCTCCGTAACTTGTCCATCCTGGCAGTGGGACAAAGTTTTGCTATGAGCGGCTGAGCAAGCTATGTCGGGTTGTCCGGCATCAATGTGTGATTTTCTATATGGACCTTGGGGATAGTCCGGAAATAGAAATCTCGATTGCAAGCCGAGATTGGATTGAAATTTGGCGATGAGGATTACCGCGGACAATAGCCCTGCAATAAGTATCAGGTGTGCTATTTTTTTGGCCATGTTCAGTTGAGTGTAGAGTGTAGACGGGATGGAACAGTAAGACCTCGGGAGGTTATAAGTCTTATTTCAGAGAAAGCCCGAGATTGGTGACACTGACTAAAAGGGGGCTTTTGACTGACACAGGCAACTGGATTGAGGGGTTATATACTTTGCCTGGCATGGCGATTACTGCGATGATCTATAACTCTTAACAATCTTTACCACATGAAACATGTCTTAGTGACCCGGGTATTTTTGCAATAGGAAAACTGCTTCCAGCAGAGAATTTTCAATATTGCAAATAGTACTGCCAAATTAGTATGGTGAATCTATGCCATTACAAGAATTTTTTATGAACTGGTATGAACTCCGGTCCGCTTATTATACAGCAATTTATCATTTAGAAGAACGCTTTGCAGTAGATACTCAAAAACAAAGGCAGATCATGGACACATGGGGCTGTCAGGTTTCGTCAATCAAGCGCCCTTTGGTAGATCCACTGAGAGAACTTCACCGCGGGCTCATCAACTAGTCTAGTCGCGACTTCTGCCAGCCAGATAGTCAAGGGCAACAGAACCAGGTTCGCGACGAGAAAATTGACTTCAAGCCCAAGAGGACCAACGTTGGGCAAGGGGAGACGATTAATCCACCAGGGACAATTCTCATGGTGTGAATCGCGTACGAAACCCACTGCAGCATAGAGCCTATCACCCAAAGTCCACAGAACCGGTCCGTGAACCAGATAGAATGCAAACGAAATACGGCCCAAGTACTGGTTGAACGGGGCGGTAAAGAATGTCTTGAGCCACTGAAGGTGAGATGTGCATGCGACGAGAAAGACAGCGGCCCAGAACAGGTAGAACCACTTGTAATCGAACACAGCCTGTGGCTTTAGGAACGATAAGAGGTACCACCCTGGTGAGTCACGTAATTGTTGCAAATTGTCCGTGTGCGAGGGGACTCCTCCAAGATAAAGGCTTGCATAGAAGAGAACAGTCATGATGGCTGTCTTAAAGGGACCCAGTCGGAGAAAGAAGCGTGGCAAGTCATTTCGTACGGCGAGGAGGTCGAGATCTTGTAGAAGCATGCCGGCAATGAACATAGCATAGTGTGATCCATCCGCAATGTACAAAAGGTACACAACCAAGGCGACTTCGCCTAGGAGCCGGGCATTGCGGCGAAATCTCGAAAAGGCGAGAACGGCGGTATAGACGGCCAGAGAGCCTCGGTGTTCGACGGGTATAGACCACGCATGGAAATTGTATGTGAACCAGGGCTCGCCGCCTGTTCGGAGAGGGAAACTGAAATTCTTGAACTCGGCGTACCAATTCCATAGCTCCGCGCGGTAGCTTCCTTGAAGCTTTGGGACAGCGGTGACCTGAAACAAGTGCAAGAATGTAATGTAGCATAATGTTGTGCAAATGACAGGAATGTATAGACGAAACCATCGGCGGAATACGGCGGAGGAAAGGCATTTACCTAGTCCAGCGTAATCGCCATCCTGGATGTTTACCAGTGGCCTCATTGAAAGAACGTACCCAGAGAGCACGAAAAAGACGCTGACGGCAAAATGCCCACCGGAAAATAATGTTCGAATACCAGGAAGGCATGCGAAATAGTACTTGCTGTCGTAACCGTAGGCCAGCTCGAACGCATGTCCCACTCCGCCATCGTGGGCCCAAAGTTGATGATGTCCCCAGTAGACTAGTAGAGCCGCAAAACCTCGCAATCCATCTCAGGTATGCGGTGGGCCTGCTTGGTAACCTTTGCTTTTCATTGTGGCTATTTGTCCCAGTAAGGAGTGTGGGCAAGAAGGGAATGCAAGAGAGTGACATTCCATGTCGAGAGCGCGTCATATGGGCAAACTGTGGTTTCCGTCCGTCCTCGAGGGCTCGCTCTGGGCTTGACTTCAACAACTGTGAAGAGGTCTCGATTGAGTGTAGCATAGGGATTGGATTAAAGTTGAGAGAGTCCTTTTGGAAATTTGAAGAAAAGATCAAAGATCAATAGAAACCCAATTCCACTTTGAGAATGACACTCTCAGGTACAACTCTGTAAACATGTGAATATCCCCAGACAGTGAAGTAGTCCTTTGTTAGCAGTGCCCAGTGCCGAGGCCCATAAAGACCTGCTAGATTGCATTTTAAATTAATTAGAGTCGGATCCCCCTCTTTCCCCCACAATTCAGGGTCTGAAAGGGGAGTATGACTCGATGTGGCTGCAGCCACAATCTGCAATGTCAGGCTTGGAGTCACATGTGAATGCGCAACATCCCCGGATAACATCCAAGTCTAGGCGTTTTGAACTAAATCCATAATTGACGGTCTCTACTATTGGCGCTGCCATCCGAATGGCTGAAGGTGTTTCACTGCTCTAATGATCCAATCAGTTAAGCTTCAACCCTTGACCATTTCCGTGCCAGCGATACCATTGCGTTCAATGTAGAATTAATGAATACCACATGTTAATTACGATAACACTGTATGTAATCTACTTATCAATGAAATACCTAGGTAAAGCCCTGTCTTCAATGTTCTTGTACTAATCTTTCTCCTTTCTCGACTTCGTTGTCCCAGACAGGACACTGAATTAGATCATACAGGCCTAGTCATGTTGGAGAAGAATCTCGCGTTGCCCAATCTCTTTCCGAAGAAGGCACGCAGATTCACACATGGGAGTCTGGTGGCTTTGTGTCTATTCATCTACTTTTGTCTCACCAGAACGTCGCATGAATTTGAGAATAAATCGTACTCTACACAGCTGAGCAATATTGGCGAACAATTTCCCAGGAAAATCTGGCAGATCTGGAAAGTGAATCCATTGGAATTCGACGAGCGTGATATCGGGGTAGCGCGCAGCTGGATATCCAAAAACCCAGGCTATAGGTACGAGGTTCTGACCGACCAGAATGACCTCGACTATGTGGAAACAAACTTCGGACCGCTTGGGCTGAACCGACCAGACATCGTTGACACATACCAATCTTTAACGGCTCCGATCATCAAGGCCGACCTACTTCGGTATCTCGTTTTGTACATGGAGGGAGGTGTCTATGCTGATATAGACGTGGAGGCATTGAGACCAGTGGAGCGATTCATCCCAAGCAGCCACGACGAAAGCGAGATCAACATGGTTATCGGCGTCGAAATCGACGAGCCACACTTCCGCGACCATCCTATCCTAGGTCCAAAATCTCAATCCTTCTGTCAATGGACATTCATGTGCAAGCCTCGACAGCCCGTGATGATGCGACTAGTAGAGAATATCCTCCACTGGCTCAATCAGCTCTCCATCGAGCAAGGGAGGCCAATCTCAGAGCTTCAGCTGGACTTCGATGATGTGATCACAGGCACCGGGCCTTCTGCCTTCACAGGCGCAATACTATCTGAAATGAGCCGTGCGACGGGCGAGGATATCACATGGAGTATGTTCCATGACATACCGGAGTCCAAAGTTGTTGGGGGGTTTCTGGTTCTCACGGTTGAAGCATTCGCCGCTGGGCAAGGTCATTCGGACTCGGGCACCCATAATTCGCGCACCGCGTTGGTCAAGCACCATTACCATGCATCTGCGTGGCCAGACCGTCACCCACGGTTCTATCACCCGATCTTTGGCGAGGTCGAGAGGTGCAATTGGAATGTGGACTGTGTGAGGAAGTGGGACGAAGAAGCAAGTGCTTTTGCTGCTCTGCCTCAGGAAGAGCAGGAACGACAGATTGCTACATTCCAGGCAATAGGGGAAGCAATAAAAAATATCGAACCCCCCTAACCAGGGAATGTTTTGATTTTCTTTTCTGACAATGTGATTATGTGTTCTAAATATAAGCTGTACGCCCTCGGAGAACCCTCACTAGAGCCTATCGTAATATGAGGCTGGTGCAGGCCAGGAGGAAAGCCCCGAGGAAATGAAGTACATATAGTGACATAGGTATCAAACGGCAATTCTATTTAACAAACCCCCCCTCTTCAATAAAACGATATATATAGTCCCAAAGGGAGACAATTCAAGAGAACGAAGAAACATGCTATACCGAGCATGTACAAGATTACAAAACAGGCACATTGAACAGACAGCGTAAGAATATCGATTTGATTGTATGTAAGAACGAGCCACAACCCCATGCTAAGTAAAATTGTAAATTGCCAACTCCATATCCGAAGAATAGATGCAAGTATCCGATGCACGCAAAAAACAATGCGATGCAAACAAAGAGAACCACTAACCCACCAACCCCACCAACTCCCCAGGCCACCGCTTCGCCCATATGATGGCGCGTGGAGGCATTCTCCCGCCAACAGGCGCAAGCACACGGATCTTTCCCTTATCCACGTCGACGTCGGCAACATACAGGAAGCCCATGATGCTCGCGTCACGGACTTCAGCGGGGGATGCTGTGGCAGGTGCATGGGTGATTGCAAGGAGGGTATTTGCCAGAGCAGAGGGAGGGGGCGGAAGCACTTTCTTCAACGGAACGCTGCTGCTGCTGCCGGCGTTGGCATTAGGGTTCACATTGTCAGCGGGCTCTGAGAATGAGCCCACGACACCAGGTAGCGGAGCAGCCCGGTCTGGCTCTTGCTTTGTTTCTGACGCGTAGTCATCCATGCCGTCGCCGCCGGGGAGGAAGGAGGCGCCTGTTCCCAGCTGGGAGGGGTCGTATTCGTCTTCGTCTTCGTCGTCTGCGGAGGAGACGGTGTAGTTGTATACAGGGAGGGAAGCGAAGTCAAGTTGTTGTGCGTGGGGAGAGAGGGTGATGGCGGAAGAGGGTGACGAGGAGGGGATGGGATTGCCGAAGAAGTAGGAGCGGATTTGGGACTCCCGTGTTGCCTTGCGGAAGGCATCATCGCGGTCAACACAACCACCCGATTTAGAAAGCTTGACGACGGAAATGTGCTCGTCAAAGACAGCGGCTGTTGCGCTGGAGCTGGGCTTGTTGTCATATTGTTTGGCAACGGTGCTGTACAGGCGCTCCGAACCCAATACTAGGATTGTTGTAATCGAGAACTCCGTAACAATGTGGTTGATGAGTTCCATAGTGCCGGGCTTATCTGTGCTAAGGATTCCGGGCGTATCGACAATGATTCCTGTTTCGCGCGCGTCCTCGTCTTCGGCCATCCGGCCCGTCACCGACAGTGCTAGGCGCGAGACGACTGGTCGGTACACGGTGCCTTCACCATCCAGCGGGCTTTGCATCGGATAGCTGTACACAAGCGGCAGCTTGACAGGCACAGGGCTGGGCCCCGACATGGGACTGCTTCCCCAGCCGTCTTCGACATCCAAGATGGTACGGAACGCAGTCGCGGTCAGTGTGCCAGGGACGCCAAGCATACCTTCCGTAGGATCGAGGTTCACGACCAACGGTTGACGGCCGATCTTCGTCGCATATGCGGTCAATATCTTAGCCAAACTGGTTTTTCCCGTGTTTTCAGGACCCAGAAGGAGCACGCGTGGGCCGTCCTTGCCTATTGACTGGGCTTCTTCGCGCATTGTCTCTCAGCGCAAAGTGAACATTCGCATATTCCACCATTGGCGTCTCCTCCGCCGTGTATTCGCTTTGGCAACCTCCTGCGCCGTTACCCGCTGTCGGTGTGACTCCGTCGGATGTGGTTGATGCCGTCTCAACTGCGGTGATCTCAAGTGCACAGCCATGCCATGTGAAGATTGCCGCCTTTGTGCCCGTGAATGTGTATGTTTGTGATTCGGCAAGCTCTGTGCCGAAGAGTTCGGCGGTTCCATTAAGAAGCTGCACAACTTGAATCAGAACAAACCCCGAATCATATCAGAGAGTACGACATACCTTTACTTTGATAATATGTCCAAAGGCGACCTCAAACCGCCACTCCGAGCCGGGGTTCAGGCTAATCTGTGATGGTGGTGCAGGTGCCTGTGACCTCTCCTCCGAGGGCTGCGTTAGCTCGAGACCCGGAAGCGACATATTACCGGTCAATCTGAGAAGCCTCGGAATATGTGCAAAGGTTGAAAAATGAATAGAAGCATTGGGATTGTTATCGGCGGAGCTTCAGCATGGATGTTTGCATGTTTGCATTAACGTTTGGCCGTCATTGGCCGGCTGACCCCGTACTATGACAGACATTGTTCGATGTCGCTCGAGTCAACGCACATCTGAGCGACAATAAACGTGGCTCCGACATTGACAATGCCTGGTCCTTCCTACATTGTTTGATTGAGCAATACTACGCTATGCTCAACCGTGAATGGCATTAGGCTCACTTCTGCCTCAAATGGTAGCAAAATAGCAAATTAAATGTTATAAATTTTGGACATCAGCTGTACCAAGATTGCATTAAATCAATATACAGGTTATAACCCTACAGACACAAACTGGTAACATCAAAGCACATCACTGTCATTGAGCGAATCGTCCTTGACTACTTGGAAGGCTGCCGCAGGGCAGTAGAAGGTGGGAGAGGGGAAAAGTTGGTATCAGGAGAGCAAGGGTAAGGGGCATAAAATGAGCTAAGAGGCAATCCAAATAACCAAAGTCTGGTACAAAACACAGGGAGAGGGAGGGGAAGGGGAGGGGAAGGGGAGGGGAAGATATTAAGAAATGGTGTCAATAACAGGCACTAGGCACTCAGGATCGCCGGCGAATATATTTATGATAAGGACAAGGGGAATTGGGCAACAGAAGCGAATATTTGGGTAGCTTGGCCGTCGCAAGCGACAGGCATGCCGAAAAGAGACCAAAATTTCAAACAGACTGGATTTTGTCAAGCAAAACCTCTGTTTAGAAAAAGTATGGGATGGAAGCCCTATATATGATGTTAGCGTTGATTCGGGATCTTCGCAGCACAGGATGACTTACGCAAGGGCAAAGGCGACGGAGACACCGAAGATAGAGCGGTTACGGACGCGCTCCTGCTTGAGTTTGTTCTCGAGCAGCTTGGCTTTCTTGGCTCGTTGCGAAGCTTCGGCCGATGTCTCTTCATCCTCATCATCCTCGGCCTTGCGCTTGCTGGTCGTCTTAACAGATGTCGACTCGGCAGTGGCGCCCTCGGCTTGCGCCTTGATAGCTTCTTCCACCATCTCCTTGGCCTGAGCAATCATCTCTTCAGTCTCGGCAGCAGAGGGCACTTCGGGGAGACTGATCGGCATATCCAAAGAAACAGTAGTGTGAGTAGGCTTTACAGCATCGGTGGCATTGTCGGCCACTGATACCTCGACAGTCTCGTCCTGTTCCTGGATTTCCTGCTTCTTCTTTTCTTTCTTCTCCGCCTTCTTCTTTTCCTTCTTCTCCTCCTTGGTCTCCTCCTTGGTCTCCTCTTCGGGCTCCGCGGTAGCAGATCTCGCTGACTTGCGCGCTTTAGTCTTCTTTCCAGGGGATCCGCTTAACGTCACTTCCGCTTCGCCATCCACAGCGCGCAGCTCAGGAATCGCTTCCGCGGCCAGGCCTGAAGCTGTGTCTAATGCCGACTGAAGGCTAGCGTTTGCAGCCGTCGTGGACGGGGTGCTAGTGATATCCTTGGTGATGCGGGTGCTGCGGGGCTTTCGGGGAGACTTCTTGCTCGGAGAAGCGGACCGACCTCTACGGTTGCGTTGCGACACGGGCGGCTCATCGGAGGGAATTTCGAATTTCGGCGGGGGGGGTGATATGCTTCTTTGCGCTGGAGGAACTTTGAACAATGTCTGTTGGGTCCAACAGTGCTCGCACCCAATCGTACATTTGGTATTCCTTGGAAAGCTCAAGAGCTATGCGGAAGGTCAGGATTTGTTTGATAGAGAGGACATCCCGGGGCAGAACATACCAAATGCGGGCGAGATCCACACATTGCCGGCAACCTCCTCTTCACTCGTGAACTCGCGAGCCTTCAGATACTCGCGCTCTGTCCGTTCTTCCTCGGCCTTGGCCCATGGGAAGGCAATTTTGAACATCCCTGTCGCGCTAACAAAGCCATCTTTACTACGGCGCTGTAATGACGAAACCCGAGATTAATGACCGTTGGCATCCAAATATATAAAGGGGTCTCACCATCAGGAAGTAACTTTCGGGTTGTTGCTGGGGACTGTGGGAAGGGAAGATCTCGGAGCCCTCGAGGTCCTTTGGTAGCGGAGCACGGAGGTGGGCATACTCGAACACGCCCAGGTTCTCTGGCTTGGTCGCGTTTGAGGTGCCAATCTGAGCAGGCTTAACGGAGAGGTTGGTTTGTCCGAGACGACGGCGGGCAAGGAGCTCGTCATCTGTAATCAAGAGTAACACGAAATTGTTAGCGACGGCCTCGAGGCATTAGGGGAGCACGAGGCGGGTAGATAGCCGATGCGCGCGGGTGCGCCATCACGCGCCAGTGTTCGAACTTACAGGAGGGAGCAACCTCAATGGTGATAAGAGGATTGAACTGTTTTGGAAGTGTGCGCGACATGGTGGGGGATGTCGAGTGTAGTGGAAGGAAGATCTTGGTGAAATTGCGGGTGACTTGAGGGAAAGATGCGCCAACGTTGGCCACGTAGCAGGCGCGTCAAGCGACAAAATTCAAAGAATCAAATATCACCACCAACAGATCTTATATCTTGGCAAAAGAGAAGCGCGCGACCAAAATTACGATTGATAACAAAAAAAAAAAAAGTCGACAAGATAAAGAAGACAATCAGGAGAGATGAGAAGATGCGAGTCGCGAATAATTGCGTCGTTCTGAAGCTTGACTTGTTCCGGTAAGGTCCGGTAAGTGGTTGGTCATGTGTAGTATTTGAAGGATTTGGTTGGTCAATCACACCAATACAGTGTATGTGGTATCTCCCACTGTATTGTAATTGTTGGCCCCGTGACCTTAACATTCCGGGCCAACACTTTCCTTCTTTGGACTTGATCTGCGTCTTCGTCTTCGTCTACTTCGTCTTCTTCGTCTTCTTCTCTTTGTCTTTGTCTTTGTTATATTTCTATTATATTTTCTAGGCACTTGCTTCTGCATACTGAGTATGGCGGGGTGATTATATACAAGGCCTCCATACTGGATTCAATTGTTTGAAGGAGTTCTCCTTTTTCTCAAGGAGTACATGTAGGTAAATATCTTCATATATATCGACCTCTATACCATTATCTTATATGCTCCCTATATATATTACACTAAATCTACAAACCTACAATCTATAATTATATCTTTCTATATCCTCAACGTGGTCTACTACGTACCTCTACTCCGTACTCCGTACCCAGTTGTATGATCGTCAAGTCCCCACACCCAGAATTGGGGCATAGTTGGGGTCTACATACTCCGTAGTCTAGAATCCTTCCAATTCTCTACATCTACAATTGAACACATTTACACTAGAAAGCATGATCTGATCCATACAAAGCAATCCATGTAAACAGTCAATATAACCGTGCAGGATCAACGGTGCGTAAATGTGCATACAGAAGTGGAAATTCGAATAGCCTCGCCCCTCTCCCACCGCCTTTCCACCCCCACCAAGGTCTCAGGAGACGCTTCGAGCTTTAGCCCTTTTGATTTTTCTTTATCATTTCGAGTTTTTGAGGGTTTCTTCTCTTTCCTCACTGTGCTTCCCCCCTTTTTCTCGACTCCTTCCCGAACTCCAATCCTTAGTTCCGTGCACCGCCTTCAAAATCTGTAAACAATGGCCGACCACCACGACGACGAGCTCGCTGCCACCACCACCGAGGGTTTCAAGGTCGGAGAGAAGAAGACCCTCGATGAGTACAACCAGCTCGGTATGTTGATTCAATTCCAATTCATTGGCAATATCCAGCCCTCGGTGATTTTCCAACTAACAATCTTTCTCTCCCCCGCAATAGACAAGGACGATGAAGCTATGAACCGCTGGAAGGCCTCCTTGGGTCTCAACTCCGGTGATCCCATTGCCGATCCCAACGACCCTCGCAAGTGTATCATTAAGTCCTTGGCTCTGCAGGTTGACGGGCGTGAGGATGTTGTTATTGACCTGTCCTCTCCTGGCTCTGTCGACAGCCTTAAGGATAAGCCTTTCACGATCAAGGAGGGCTCCAAGTTCCACATCAAGGTTACCTTCCAGGTCCACCATGAAGTCCTGAGTGGCCTCAAGTACTTGCAGGTCGTTAAGCGCAAGGGGATCCGGGTCAGCAAGGACGAGGAGATGTTGGGCAGCTACGCACCGAACACTACCTCCAAGGTTGACTACTCCAAAGAATGTGAGTATTTAAACCTGATTTCAATTTCTTGATTTTAAGACCTGGCTTTTATTAACTATCCCTTTCTAGTCAACGAGGAGGAGGCCCCGTCTGGCATGATCGCCCGTGGACACTACAACGCTGTCTCCAAGTTCATCGATGATGACCAGAACACTCACCTGATGTTCGAGTGGTCCTTCGACATTGCCAAGGACTGGTAAACATGGGTTGAGAGCTATCTCGTTAAGTTATTGAGCGGCCGTTTGTTTTCAAAGCGTGATGAGTTTCCTTCTTTGACAATACTGTTAGAGATACGTCCCACTGGGCCGATGCTTTGGATCCCAGTTTTGTTGTTTATGCGTCATACCGAGTCTCACTTATTGGTGTATGATATTTCCATTTCAGATGCCAAGTAGCACATCTAGCTGCTTGTGAATGCACAGCTTTATCCCGAACGCCTGTCTAGTGCTAGGATTAAAAAAGAGGAAATTGAAATACATGAACATTAACATCAAGCAAAACATTAACAGTAACCAATGGGTATCATGAGAAGATTCAGAGATTCACAAGAAGTAGTCAATCACTGGACTGGAGCCATCCTTGATCTGCTGCTGCTGCTGACCCAGCTGTTCAAGGCGGTGGGCGTCATTTTCTGGCGCAGCGTCAAAAATATTGAAAAATCGCTCGCCAGAGTCGCTCACTTCAAGCACACTAGCCAAGTTCCCACAGCGGTAGCAGTAGTTGGGTGCACTCCAGACTGTGCTCAGTCGATCATCGTAAAGCACCTGGTATCCTTCTTGACAGAGTTGGTGTGCGCGGAGGATGTGGGACATGCTATTCACCTCTAGGAACTTCCGCACAACCTGTGCTCCAAAAGTGTACCCAGCTCCACGGGGTGAAAGCGAGAATTCATCACGTTCTGTATCAGGGTCAGACCAGACCAGATCGGCCATGGGACCTTCATGTGGGATCTCTCGGAAACGGTCGATAATTTTGATCTGGTCGATGGAATGGATAGAAGGTGACAAGCCGCCATGTACACAAAATATCTCATCATTAATCACAACGCTCAGTGTCAAGAAATCGAACATGTCGGTGAAGTAATGCCAGACATTGGCGTTGCCGTATTTGCGGGCACACTCGGTGTAGAAACCGTATGATTGGGTGACTCCGCGTGACTCGTGGTTACCGCGGATAAGGTGAACTCGTTGGGGGTATCGGAGCTTGAGACACACTAGGAGTGAGATGGTCTCTACACTAAAAAGACCGCGGTCGACGTAATCGCCTGCCAATTCTCTTATTAGCAAGGCCTCACACCAATAGCGGGTACCAGATCTGTTCAAGCCCAAGGCTTGCTTTCATTCCCGAACAGAGCATTCTCCGGGTGTAACTAACCGAGGAATAGGTAGTTTGTATCGGGACAGAAGCCGCCGATCTTAAAGATCTCGATCATATCAAAAAATTGCCCATGGATATCTCCAACCACAGTGACCGGAGCAGCAATATGTACCACATTGCTTTCCTTCATCAAGAGTTCCTTTGCCTTGAGGCAGATCGCCTCGATCACCGAATCCGCGAGCAGCTCTTTTCGGTATAGCCGGGCTATGCACTCGTCTAGATCGATATTCGCTGTGACCCACCAGGTTAGCATAGCCATGGAGATAACCATATCATGGAACCGAAAAAAAGAGCCATGCACATACTCGGTAGACCAGGCATTTTGTCGAGTTGTAGATATTTTGACTTCAAAACGCGACAATGACTCCTTCTGAAAATAGTACTTCTTCTTGAATGATGGAAGAGCTCCCTGTACTTGGTTCCTGTGTCAAGGTGGGCGAGTGCAGAGAGCTAAAGGAAAGTGAGATTCGAGAGGACTGGGTCGAGGTCGAGATGGAAGATTAAGACGACAATAAGAGATATGTGTGCATCGATCTAGCAGCAAGCATCCTGAGTGCAGCCGATCCTCGTTTCGAGTGGGGAGGGAGGGCTCTGGAATTGAAGACCGGGGCGACATCAAGGCCGATTTGCGCGGGATGAGCTCAGGCACACGAACACGGTTAAATTTACACCGCCTTTGTTCCTGGGCGCCTGAATTATAAGGCCACACTTAGCCAACTGGCTAGTTAAATAACTACTGCTATCTACCTAGGTACCTTCAGGGTATGTACGATGGAAGAATATACCGCAGTATCGCTCAATTAGCAAGAGTTGCCAACACCTGCCATAACTGCACAGAGACTACAATCGAGGTATTATTAAACAACGAGCGCCCTATCGCCATAACTCAAGGTGGATAGCCCCAGCTTTTTGCATATCAAGGCTTCAGCTGGAATAGTATGTTGAGGGAAAGTTCTGTCCTCGTCACTACAAATATGTTTCCTTTCGGTTAGAGATAACATCTCCGAGTATAGACAATCTTTTTCGGCATGAACGGCGAAGTTCGCCTCCCCTTTGACTGCAGCAGCTCTTCGATTCCGTATTGGTGAAGGGCATGATGAAACGATGACTTCGAGAAACAGTATAGAACAATCGACCAACGTCGTATCTTCAAGCACATAACTATGGAAAGATACAAGTTTCGTTAGGGTTTTGGGCGGACGGGAAGCGCCCCGCCCCGATCCCGGACAGGATTAGCCCGATTTTCATAGATCGGAGTCTCAAAGATCTACGTTGACTTTGTCCCACCGAGAAGTGGCAACCCTCCCATCCTTAATCACAGTCAGAATGTGCTCCTCCACTCGATCCAGGATAGTGATATCCTCCAACGGATTTTCCTTCAAGATCAAAAGATCCGCCACAAATCCCTCATGAATCTGACCCAACCTATGTTCCTGCATAACAAGACGAGCAGCATTGACAGTAGCACTGCGCAGAATCTGCACTGGAGTCAAAACCGAACTGCGCACCGAGAACTCCTTGCTCTGAGCAAAATGCATCGGACCAAGAAGATCAGTCCCAAAGCAGACGGTCACGCCCGCATCGACAGCCATCTTCATTGCCTCCAATCCCTTCTCAAGAACCTCCTCATTCTTAGCAGCGCCATCAGCAGATAGGAAGTTCATTTCCTTGGACATGACATGCGTAATGAGCGTTGGGGTCAAGAAGACATCCATCTCAGCCATCATCTTCGCCGTCTTGAGGTCAATAAGATTCCCGTGCTCGATACCGCGCACTCCGAGCTTGATAGCCTGCTGAATCGCCGACGGCGTGTAGCTATGGCTCGTAACATATGTACCTGCATTTCGTGCAACAGTGACAATGGCCCTAATCTCATCTGAGAACTGCACATGTTCAATACGGTCCGTGGGGCTGGCAACACCACCACCGCCCATGATCTTGATAAAGTCCGCTCCCTGGCGCAGCTCCTCGCGCGCATATCTGTAACACTCCGCAGGGCCGTCGACAATCCTGCTGATTCCAGAGATGGAGCCGGCGCAACAGAACTGGGTGTCGTGGGACACGCGCAAGTCGCCGTGTCCACCGGTTTGGGAGAGTGCGTGTCCAGCGATGAAGAGACGAGGGCCTGGAATCACACCGTCCTCGACGGCTTCCTTGATTGCGAGGCATGCGCCGCCACAATCCCGGATTGAAGTGAAACCGCGGTCTAGCATGGACTTCAGCACGTATGGCTGCCGCAGGAGACTGACTCGCTCGCTCATCTCTTTGTAGGCTCGTAGATCGGCTTCGCCGGGGACTACTGCGACGTGGACATGGCAATCGATCAGGCCCGGGCACAGGTATTTACCGCTCAGGTCGATCACATTTTCTTCAGGGAGGTCATCTGTGGCGGTAGGTGAGCCGTCTGTGACGATTTGAATTATCTTGCCTTCTGCGATTTGGACTTAGCATTCCGGATCAATTTTCCCTCGGCTGGGTCAACAATGGTCGCGTTCACAAAGACCAAGTTTCTTTGAGGTTTGAGTTTCCAGGGCTTGATGACTCGGGAGATATCCATGGCGGGTACAGACAATCCCTATTCGACTAGGCGACCATTCAGGTAGTAATGATAACACTGTAGGAAGAAGCAATGAGGGCACAGATCCCAGCTTTTAACTTGCAGTCCGGGGAGACCGAGGAGACCTGGTCTTTATGTAGAACCGGCGTCCCGCCTCCGCTGTTTTGATGTCAACCGGTTCTGCGCTGAATTCACTGGATTGTCTATTAAAGGCACTTACTCGCCCACATTGAAATTGGCTGATCTAGCCAATCCAACCAGCTAAGACAACATGCAGCGACCGGCTTCTTGGGCAATCAAGCTCACTAGCCGCTGCTTGGCATTCTGGGGATTCTCCCGTGTTGTTAACAAAAGATCCTTTACCTATATGTAGACAGGTCGAGGTATGTATCGGACTCCGCCGGCAATTATTGAACCGGCAAGTTACTAGACTCTCAGGGGTAGGTTTGTGCAGTGAGCATCTCATTGAGATGTAGACCAATGATAAGAAGAAAGAGGCCGGAGAGTGAGAGAGCGAAAATGAAAAAGACAGTCTAAGTGCTTACAGAAACCGGGAAACTGCAACCTGTCCCTATATACCCACTGGAACAAGTCTGTTGAACAACCCTCTACCTAGGTAAGTGACTATATTCCAGAAATATCATTCGACTTCATTTCTCATATTTTCAAGATGCCCAAATAGGTTGTTCAATCAAATCAGCATCTATAAATGTGACCATAATTCGAACAAATCTAACCAAGCAACTGCTGTGCCTCTTTATGGACAGCTTCAGTTTCAGAATCAGTCTCTTCTTCAGACTCATCATCTTCCTCCTCCGAGCCTGACTCTTCTTCCGAGTCCGTCTCCTCTTCCTCCGAATCAGTTTCCTCTTCCTCGGAATCCGTTTCAGACTCTGTCTCAGTTTCTTCCTCTTCCTCTTCTAGCCATTGGTCAAGAGTCTTCTTCCCAGCTGGGTCCAAAGGCATAGCCGGACCGTTTCGGCCCCGGCTTGGAATAGAAGTGGTTTTGTGCTCACGAGTGCTTTATCAAGACGGTCACCTGCAGTCATGGAGGTGGTGTTGCTGGATGTGTCTGGTTTCACATCTTCGGTGCGGAGACTGGGGTCGGGTTCTTGGCCTAGCTCAACCCAGTCTGGGAGATTCGTGTAGCCTCGAAGACCGTGGTAGCCAGCGTCGGAGCCGACGACGAGAGTGGCGGAGCCGATGAGCAGGTCTTTGCGTGTCTCGGATGGGCTGGGGGCGTGAGGTACCGGCTTTGGTGCCAGGAGAAGGAGGTTGGCAAGTTGAGTGGAAGAAGGTGTTTCCAAGAGGCTCTTGTAGAGACGTGCACGATCACGTAGGTCATAGGAGGTGTCATAACGTGCAAGAAGGAGGATATACCTCCATAATAACGTAATACGGTCTTCTGTCGCTTCTTCTGTTTCCTCTCCCTCTTCAGTTCGCTTGGTATCTTGCGATTCCTCATTCCCATTGTCAGACCATTCGTTCTGAAACTCTTGTTGGGGTTTGGCAGGGGCTTCGGGAATGATAACGATGCAAGTTGTTCTGACTGTTCTTTTGGTGGATTCTGCAAGAGATGATGTAAATACACCTTAGCACCGAGAAGAACAACCTGCTGTTTGACAATCTCATTTTCATCGGCAAATCCTTTGATCAATATGCGGAGGACATCAGGCGCGATATTGTTCTCTGGGTCAATTCCAGCGAACTCGCCAACGAGCCAGATAATGGTAGCTCTAGCGTCTGGATGGGTTGTTGAACCCAGGTGCTTGACGAGCTGGAGAACAGTCTTTTTATGTGAGGATGGGTCTTGTTGGATCAAGTGACGAATGACAGTCAGTGACTCTGATACGAGGTTGCCGTCTGGACTAGATATCTGGCCGAGAAGGATCCTTAGGCACATGCCTGCGGTACTTGTATCCCCTTGCGCGCAACGACCAATGGCCCGTACACTCTCTCTTACCAACTCGGGGTCTGTGCCTTTAGAGAAGTGCTCTAGCTCGCTGATGATGACCCCCTTCCAATGTTTTCCGCAATGCGGGAACAAGATGGTTAGCACCTCCAGTTTGAGGCGCCAGATATGCGGCGGGTCGTTGGCGTGGACAAGGAAATGGGCCGTGTATTTCGCAAAAGGCTTGGGAACCCTTAGAGCAACGGCAACAATGTTGTACAGAGCGATGAGTTGCATGTCCTGCGGGGTTCGTAAAAGAGCCACAAGGGGGCCAACTGCTGACGCGATATATTCTGATGGAGCAAGGTAAAGGAAGCAACGGACAACGCTGACAATGACAGCGGAGTTTCGGCTCTGCAGTAGAACCTTGCAGGCTCGGAGTAGAAGCTCAAGATCAGGATCCATTACCGGTACTTCATACTCTTCAGCATCATCCTGGGCCTCCTGTTGCTGCTTTTCATCGTCGTAGAATGCCTCCGGGGCTGTGCGCTTGACCTTCTGAGTTCGTTGAGGGAAACATTTTCGCGCATAAAACGTCAACAGGCGCAACGTTGCTAGCTGGCCCCATTCATCCATGTCAACCAGCTTCTTGACTAAGCTGCGATAGTGCTTGTGGACTAGATCAATCTCATCCGGGCACAGATCCAAGAATGCCGCGACTGCGGGGCCGACGACGAAGTATTGAGAATCACCCAAAAGGGTCTCAAGATACCCCATCAGCTGTGGCAGCGTGTTCGGGTCCAGACGATAACACTTTGGAATAGCCAAAGCGGCAGCTTTGCGCACGTGTGGACTCATATCCCCACATCCTCTCTTGATGGCCAGCGACACAATCTGGCTGATCACCGGAACCCGGATTCCTGACATAGTCCGAAGCGCCATTGTTCGAACCTGTGGGCTTGAATCGGTCAGCGATTTCTGGATCGCGTTGATGGACAGTAGTGCCAGATCCGGCTCCGCCTCCGCATGATGGACCAAGTAGATGTAAACCAATTTCTTGACTTCAAGGTTGGCGCTGGCTACATTCTTGACAACTGCTGAAAAGAAAGTAAGAGAGGGTTCGGACCGGTACATCAACTATAACAGCAAATTAAGTCAGCTATTGCGTTTTCCATAGTTCTTGCTCACGGTCCCCGTACCGAGATCACCCTCCGCATTCCATCCAGGACCTCCCGCTCATGGCGACTGTCAAGGAGCTTCTTGATGTGCGCGGGGCTGTAAGTTCGCGAAGAATAGTCCGTTCCTGAGGTCCGATTGATAGCAGCGGACTGGGCAGCTTCTAATGTGAGCTCTCGAGCTATGCGCACAGTCACGTTCCTCGGTCAGTTCAGGCCAAATAGAGCAGATTGCAACCCAACCCGACATACCTGTTTCCAGCATCGAGGATATCCTGGAAATTGTTTCCATCTTTCCAGTCTCTGAGCGCCCAGTCCAAGGGCTTTGGGTGAGTCGAAGGAAATGGGTGAGAGGTGAGGGGAGGAAAGGCGGAGCAGCTCCGCGGAAGTGGATGATGTCGGAGTTCAGCTCTTCGCCCGCCTTCGATCTGCATCATCCAACGTTCTACTGTTACATACCAACTGACTCAAGATCTACGACCACCATGGCTCTTTGTGCTTGATGGATTATGAGTTGATGACAAAATGATTCATTTCTCGTTGATGATCTGGGAGGGGCAATAAGTGGGAGCTACAACACGGCTATCTCAAGCAATGGGTCCAACATGCACGATCGCTCACTGCGATCTGGTGTCCGATCTCCTGCAGCGACTGCTTGAAGGCAATTCAGACACCCACCTTGTTGTCTGTGCAACCAGAGCCGAGTTCTTGGTGCAACTCACAGCAGCCATTCGCTCACGCCGCACTGATCCAGACACTGCAGGGAGCCATGACCTGCTTACAAAAACCATCGGGCTACTTGCAAGATCCAGCAAAATCAGGCTGGTATTCTGCCCGAGTTTAGAGTCTCTTCGGGCGTACCTTGCCATTTTCGAACCTGCTGCTGAGGCGGCTACTGAGGACGAATCGCTTTCTCATGACCGACAACTCCTTGCTGTCCTTGATATGGTGGCTTTGCATGTTACGACTTCAGAATTCTCGGCACAAGGACTGTCAAGAACACTTGCTTCTGTTGTTGAAGCTTCCTCCAGGGCGGGGATGGATCTCCGACTTTATGAGTGCATGAATGCTCTAGACCCTTCAAGTGCTGCCAGGGAAGAAAGCTATGGGATGTGAACATTCCCTTATTGAATGGGTCAGTTCGAATGCGATCGGACCAAAGTACCTTGGGTGGACGGGGCGTCACCGTGAGACGGGTTGCCGAACGCTGGTTTGAATTTGACTAGAACTATTGAACTGGAAAAGACTGGAATACGCTTAATGTTGAAAGCAGACATGATATTGAAACATAATAAAACTCCTGGGAATGAATTTGTACTGTCCGGGTATCCTATAGCTGACCGCTGAACTCCTGTTTCGCACATAAATGACAACTGATTGATCATAGAGACTTCTCCATCTCTGTCATGTACAGCTTGATATGTGACTCGAGCTTTAGGTACTGGTCGTGGGCTGACTGAATCTCGGTCTCAATGTTCTCCTTCAAGTCGACCATCTAGAGGGGTGCATTAGCAATGGTCCATCTCTTAGGTGGCACAGGGTAAAACATACCTTCTTTTCTGTCTGTTCAATGCGAATACGTCTCCGCTCCATATCGCGTTGCTTCTCTGCACGTTCCTCGCGCAGTTGTCTTTGGACATTGCGGAGTTCTTCCATGCGTGTCTGCGCAAGTTCGGCTTTCTCCTGTGCATTTTTCTGAAGTGCCTCGATACGCTCGACCCAACGAGCCAGTTGTCGCTGCAAAAGCTTCTCGGTCTGCTCGACCTCGCGGACGCTGTTCCCCCTGTCCGAGATAGCCTCTGTAGTTCTGGCAGCACGAGACTCCTCTTCATCCTCTTTTTGCAACTCAGCTGAAATGTCATCGAGTAATTTAACACATCCCTGTACATCGTTGGAAACCACGGTGAACGTATCCGATGAGGTCTGCAGTGCGCGTGCTCGTCTCTCCATCGCATCAATGGAGGCTTTTTCGCGCATCAGATTCTCCGATAGTTCAGCCAGTGATGACTGGAGGGTAGCCGGAGACTCGAGCACATAAGGCCGCAGTTTCTCCGCTTCTTGTCGAGAACGGACGGTTCGTTCAGTCTTCTCTTCCAATTGCTGCTGCCGCCGGGCTCTTTCCGTCTTAACGCGATCGAGTGTTTCTGCGACTCGCGACTGCTCCCGGCCCAATTCCAATAGCCGCGCCTTGAGCGCGTCGTTTCTGGAAACTTTCTCCCTCACATGCGCTTCATTAGATTGGAGATCTTGTCGCATCTCTCTCAGCCTTAATTCCATTTCCTGGTTTTCGGCAAGAAGTTCGTCAATGCGCGTTTTCGTTTTCTCTGTCTTGTTGAAGTGCTCGTCAATCACCGGTGTTTGCGATTCGCGGAATCGAACAAAGTTGATCAAATACGAGAAGATCTTGACGAGTCGCTCATGCGTTGGTTTGGTCAGGTCTGTGAAGGTGAAGTCGTTGACACCGCACTATTTCGGACCAGAAGCATTAGCATACTCTTCAAGGTTTTGGTAGACAGTGCTGAGCAAATACCTCCGCCAATAGCTTTCGGAGCATCATGAAGAAACCCATGAGGTTGCGGGTGTCATTGGGAACTATATCAGGGTAGTCGCCGCATATATCTTCTGCAGCTGCATGCATTGCGGGTTCAACGGTCTCCCGGGTCGTGTTCATGAGCAGTTCTGCGAACCATTCGAACACCATCTGGATTTGCTGGGCATTTGGTTTAGCCAGGTCGGCGAGTGTAAATGGTATACCGATATCGTTGATACATCCCGCAATCTCTTTGTCGGGCTATTTTATATTAGTACTAAACGCAAGCTCCGGCAAAATTCGTGCTCACCAGGCGCATGAGGGCGTCATTCTCATCCTCCTTCTTGCGACCTCGACCATGGTGCTGGTTGCCTTGGAATTGCTGGCTCATACGGCTGTTATATCCCATCGCGGTAGAGTTGCGCGACATGATAGTTTGGGAGCCTGTCACCAGGCAAGGGGCTTATTGACAAAGTGGGTAGGCTAATTGTTGTTGATCGGGCTTGATTATTGTTTACTTGGAGACAATCCCGCACACCGCCCGATCGAGGTTAGCGCCTGGAGGGGCATCATGCAAACCGGGCAAACATACCTAGAATTCATGACTCTTTCTCTTCCTTCGATATTGCTTTGTTCTCACTCTCACATCCTCGACACTCATACAACATGGCTTCTACCACCTCAAATGCGGCTGTGGCCGATACTAAACCCTTTGAGTAAGTAAAATACGCTCCCTCGAAGCCCTCGCACCTGCTCACCGTTCCTTCAGCATTGTCGCAACCTACAATGAACTCCTCCGCTCCGATGCCGACCTCACCATGCCTATCGCGGCCATTGAAGCTCTAGTCCTTCTTCTCACACATTCAGCCTCTTCAACGATATCAGAGACCTTGGATCTACTTGAAAAGTCTACCGCACACCTGAAACGATCTATTCCCAACCCTATCGGTCTCTCTGCCGGAACCGATCTTTTCCAGCGATACCTGATTACCACACTACAACGTCCTGGACAACTTGGCCCTGCGGGTGATTTCAAGGCCATCCGCACACATCTCTTGTCAAATGGACGGCTGTTTATCCGACGCGCCAAGGAAAGCAGAGACAAAATTGCAGCATTCGGCCGTGGCTTCATTCGCGATGGTAGCACTATTCTCACAAACGGTGGCTCCCGAGCTGTCGCCGCGCTATTGCAAAAAGCCGCAGATGAGGAAGGCGGCCCTTCCGCTGTGCGGTTCCGTGTTATCTACGTTCTGTCTTCGACTGCCCCGGAGAGCAAGCACCCGAATGAAGAACCGGAGGGTATGGAAACAGTCCGTGCTCTGAGAGCAAAGGGTGTACCAGTTTCAACTATTCCGGAGTCTGCCGTGGCATATTCTCTCGGCAAGGCTGATATGGTTATTGTGGGTGCGGAGGGTGTGGTGGAGAATGGAGGCATTGTCTCGCGCATGGGAACCTACCAGATCGGTCTTCTTGCCAAGGCTATTGGGAAACCATTCTATGTGGTAGCAGAGAGCCACAAGTTCGTCCGCTTGTACCCTCTTGGTCAGTACGACCTGCCAATTGAGCAGCAAGTTGTTGAATTCAAGTCTGAGGAGGACCTTGCAGAGGAGCGCAAGCAGCAGTCCTCCGTTGCTGACACAAACGGTGACACCCCAATCAAGCTACCCCTCTGTGACTCGGTTGATTTCACTCCCCCTCACTTGATCTCTGCACTTATCACAGATAGTGGTGTCTTGACGCCCAGTGCTGTCAGTGAGGAATTGATCAAGATCTGGTTCTGAAGAAATCACATGTCATAGCAGAGCCTTTTCTGCTGTGTATTCCCCAATTTCTCAAAAAGTTTCATCAAGATGATATGGCGGGGAAATAATTCAATGTGACACCGCATTTCATGTGGCCCTACCATGAGGAAGGATCATCTCAAGCGAACAATACTGGATTGCCTCTCTTCCCACGTCTAAATACAATGTGGATATCTGTCACATTATTTCCAGTATGCAGCACAAATATACGCTGCAGAGACGCGGGAAAATCGCAGCCCTCTCTATTCCTATCATCGGACACCTCGATATGTATGGACATGGATACGGAATGGTTTTCAATTGGGGGATTTTTTTTCCCTTGAAAAAGACTTGATTGAACGCAAACAGCAATAACAAAACGTGAATCTCAAGTACTTTTCAACAAAGTCCAGAACTGTAGTCTGTTCTCCCATGGTATCAAACGCCTTCCCTCAAAGTCATGCAGTCATCATCATCAATAATCATAGAAGACTCTAGTTGCAGAGCCCCTTCGTCGCTTCACACTTTGAACAGCATGCATCCAACCCATAGAAGGGTTACCCTGTACAGGGATGCTTTCTTTGTCCAGGCCTTTCAGGCCTTTCAGGCCTTTCATACCCTTCATGTCTTCATTTAAAAAGTAAAAAAGTCGTAAGAATAGTCGTGGATCGTGAATCATGATTGGCCATTCAAGCCTCCCAAAAGGAATCCGCACAATGCCAATCCGCAGCCGAGCATGAAAGAATTGTTCACAAGGCTACAATTCAGCCGAGGCAGCCATTTCCAAACTCGCCTATCACACCATGGCGAAAAGCTCAATTGGCAATGCAGTTGACAGGAACACGCCATTCCTGTGATTGCATCGCAGCGAACGCATACAGCAGCAAGTAGCCAAGAGCCACAAATATCCACAACGCTGCCATGTTTAAATGATATCAATAAGAAAGTCGGTGAAGACGAGTGAGATTTTTATGTGATGAGAAAGGAATTTAGATGTCAGGCGACCACGACGGGGTCAGGTAAATGATGCCAGAGTTTGGACAGTGGAGTTCTTGTCTCCAGTATGGATGCTTTAAGGAGGGTTGGGGATAATGTGAAGTACTCCGTTAGAATAGGAAATGGAAAGAGAGACTCTTTCAATAGGATCTCATGCTCTCCAGACATTTTAAACACAACCAGACCGACACTTGACAAATTCTAGACATTTTCAATTTTTTTTAACATGCTTTCTTCCGGGTTCTTCCATCCAATACGAATGCGAGCTCTATTCTGTCCATTAAGAACCCTTGGGGCATGGGACACAGATGCGGGGTTCTTACAAGGTTGGGAGAAGAGTATTACTTCACACGGTGCTTTCGCTAGATAACTTGGAATAGTTCTAGGTTTCTCCATGCGTCACGCCGGGGATTTCCTGTTTGAGTCATGGATCGCCAGGTCCATCACGGAGGGTTTGAAGACGGGATGGACTTGGCTATGTATTCCGCCAATTAGAATCCGGAGTATGATCAGTTTAAATTACTCAGAGAGTCAATCAATTCCATTAGTTATGGGCCTCCATTTTTCAAGTACCTCATACACTATGCCATGTAGGTTTGCAAATATCAAGCAAGTGATATAGAACTGCACACAAAACATATCACGCGAGCCTGGCATGCTTAATGAACTTTAATCAACCTTGGAATACGAGGGTATCGACCTTGGAAGGAACCCTGGGCCAAGTCACAGTACAATTTGCATTGCAATGTGATATACGATTTGAATATATATCGTTGCCCCATAGGTCCACAGGTAAGAGTATATATCCTGATCAAGGCCCTGGATCCTCAAACAGAAATGGATCACCGTCATTTGCATCACAATCGTGTCACTTGATATCGAGTGAAAGTAAGGTCTAAACCGGCTTGGTTGCCTATAACTCCTGGAACAGAAGTTTCAACTGGCCACATCAGGTGTTGGAGTATGCAGCTGCATATCCACCAAACACCCTGAACCCTGAATGCTCTACATGCGAGAAAGAGAACAGCGAGTCACTTGTCTACTCGAAGAGATCAAAGATCAACCAAGACGAAAGTATCTCGTCATGTCCCCACAACATCCAACCCCGCTCTCCGGTCCCTAACCAGTGCATCAACCTCACCACCAACCCAAACGAGATACTCAAAAATAAACGCCAAAAGCAAACCCTTTCAAACAAAACTACTGCGCCCACACGCGAAATCCCAACGGCCGCCTGACAGATCCCAGCCACCCCCGCTCCACGCCTCAGCGCCATACCACACGCCATACCAACCTTACCAACGCCCCCGAAGACAAAAATCATGGATGCCCAACCGCCAACAGGCTCCCAATCCCACCACAAGCTCCACCTAGGACCTGAGACCCAGGGTTCCAGTCCGCGGTCTACATCCGATGCGCACTACCACAGTGGCTGGTCTATCAGACGCCTTCTGAGCCGACGGGGAAGCCGCAAGTACAGCGTCCTGGAGCGGGAGCCGAATCGACTGAGGAAGCGCATGAGCGACTGAGATTCTTTCACGGCTAGAGGGACTATGTTGTATTAGTCGGCGGTGGTGATACTTACACCGGACCGTGCGAATGTGGCTAGTGTCGGGAGGGACATGGGAGAATATCCGTTTCAAGTCGACTTTGCTGTTGGATATCTGTCCGGTGTCGCATGGAATGCGGGTCTGCATATTGTGATTTCGGCGTTTGGGTAGAATTGGCGGGTAGGGGCATTTTTGGGAGGATTTTGTCTGTCTCGACTATCATCCTTTTTTGGATTGATCTAATTGGGCTATGTGTACTCCGTATGTCAAGTGCAGAAGTCATTGGTTGTGAGTTGAGTTGTTCTGACCGATTTCGGTATCTTGCGGTGGCGGTTGCCTTCGTGGCGAATTCTCAATGGCTTGAGTCGTTCTTTCCTGGTATTGACCCGGAATGGAAATTATTTTTAGAATGCAATGTCATTTCGAATTGAGAGTGCAATGTGTAGAATCCTCTACAGTGTCGAGAGAATCTTGATGTATGCTGAAGAATGCGGGAATAAGATCATCGGATCCATGGATATTCCAAATTCTTATGAGCTTATGTTTTAGCGAAAACCAAAAAAATAAAATACAGGAATTTGATTCAATGTGGTGTCTGCTCCTTGCAGATTTGGTGGCTTGTCAAACCCCTGCCAAACCCGATACTGGATGTCTCTGAGATGTTCTTGGCATCGAACAGCGAGAGGAGAACGCGGTCAGACCAGTGCTATCGTTGCGAACCACATGCAGGAACCATGGTGGAACAATCTGAGACCGGAAGTGGAGTATTATGGAAAGCCACGTTATTGGAAAGGTACGGAGTACGGAGTACTCTATAGACGGGAGATAAGGTGAAGACAGGAATACAATATAACAATATATGTACTTTATATTATATAGGATTAATAGAGGCAAGGAGAGGCTCTGGACAATACCCTGGATCTATAATATGAACCTTGAATTGAAACCAAATAATAGCGCTGATACCTTGCAACCCGCTGGATTCTCAATGGGATATAATTAGAATCTCCGTATTTCCTATGTCGTACTAGACTGCCCTTGAACATCAATACATATTGAATAGAACCGAGGTAAAAAAAAATGAAAGGCAATATATAATGCCTAGTTAGGCATCAGAAATAGAATTAGTAATAAATTGTAATCCTTCAGGACTATAGAAGAAACTAAGACATCCACAGTGAAATTTGCCGATCATTTCTCTATTCAAGCGTGTGCACGATATCCTTCCCCTTACAATACTAGACGTACAGTCCCTGCAGGTTGTCACAATAGTTTGAAAACTGCAGAAACTTTTCCAAAAATCGACGATCCCATAGGCCCAAGTGTGGGAAAGTGCGTAAGATCGACTCCATTCCCGCGTGTCAAACCCAACGAAAGGCTCCCACCGTCAGGCTGGCCCCCACCGGGCGTTTAAACGGTGGCTTGGCTTTAGAGGGCACGAGGAACATGCATGGGACTGGGTTGTACAGGAACAATGTTACTTGATTACTTTTCATTTCCGAGATATATAATATTATATTCCCATTATATCCCCATTATATCCCCATTATATCCCCATTATATCCCCATTATATCCCCATTATATCCCCATTATATACCCATTATATATCCAATATTATAGAGGATATCAATAATACACACAGGGATGTGTGTATATTTATAACACTGCGTCATTCGGGAGTCCACAGTGGATATCACCTTTCCCCCACAGGTCAACTGCCAATTTCCAGTGAAATCTAGACTCTCTGTGTGACGAGAGAGTTTTTAACGAGATTGTCAAATTTAGGATCAAGGTACCAGGTACCCGTGCAACTGTAATAGACGTACAATATTGTATAGATTAGAATAGTTATAGAAGAATATGTATAGATCTCAACAATATAAGTAAAAATTAAAATAATAAAAAAGCAAACGCCAAGTCTTCCACTTATTTTTCAGGCAAAAAACAAAAAAACAAAAAATGGACTTTCTGATTGCCCTTTGGGCCTATTTTCTTTTTTTTCTGCCTTTTCGATTTTCCTTTCTCCTTCCTTCCTCTCTTCCTCTTCCTCTTCCTCTCTCTCTCTCTCTCTTTCCCTCAGATAGAACTTCCAACTTCCATCTACCCACTCGATGACGCCTGTGTCATCACCCTGACTCCCAGTCACTTTCCTAAACTCTCCTTTCTATCCTCCATGAGTTCAGTCAAACTGTCGCGACACCGCACTGATAACGATAACTGATCCCACTTGTCCCTGGGCTCGTGCCCTCAAAGCGCCATGGCGATATGGCCCTTTAATCGCAAGAGCAAGCGGCACACCATCCAGGTGACCGGTGCCGAAGCTGCTGATCTTCAATCCTCGTTTGCTGAGCCAACGATCGAGCCTACATTGGGCCGCAAACCATCCAAACGCCAAACCAACCGCACGTCACGGGCGGATGCTGCAGACAGCCGGCGCAGCTCCGCCTCGTGCCGTCTAATCGACCTATCTCATCTCTAGACCGCCCTGCTTCCATTGCCGATCACTCACGGAACCCCCCCATCACGCGACCCTCCACTCACGAGAACAGGCTCGCTGCTGAGGCGGAAACCGAGCCAAAATGGAAATGCCCCGAATAAATTACGACGAAAGCTGAGCAAGCGCAAAGCAAATGAGATCATGCGTGAGCGTGAAATTCGTATGCTCTCGTCCACCCCTATCGATATCCCCCGTCGTCCGAACCCCGGCAGCGGGGATTATGTACTGGAACATCGTCGAAAGGCAAATGGTAGACGTGCCGACCGGTACATGTCTGACATCAGCCTGTCCATTCGTGACTCCGCCACGTCCTCCACGTCTGACATCTCCGACCCTTACACTTACAAGGTCAACGCTTTTGCTGCCTTGACCCCACGCCCCGTCGTTCGTTACGTCGAAGCCCCTCGCCTGCAGACCGCCAGAAGCAACAACCCGCCTGCTTCCAGCCGCCAGGATAAAGAGAGGCTCCAGGCCCTGACCATGTCTGAAGATGATTTCTACTATTCCAAACGACGAGTAAATGAGCTCGCTGATTCATTAGATGCCGGGGCTTTGAGAGAGCTGCTGGATCGCGACCGTCGCCGCCGAGAGAAGAAGCAGGTCGACGACCAGGAAAGACTTCGGCGTAAGCTGCAGGAGAGGGCAGATGCTCAGCAGGCCCAAGAACAAAAAGTCCAGGTCGAAACCGAGCCCCAGCCCGAGCCCGAACCGGAAACCGAGATTGCCCAACCAGAGCCGTCTATCGCTGACGTCGCTGAACCTGAAGACGTCCCGAACGAAGAGGCCACCGTCCCTCAAGTTGATGAACCGACGGCTGTCGCACCGGAGAATGAATCGTGGTTGCTGGGAACTTCCAAGGGCAGTGAGAACCTTGGACGCGAATCGCGGGAAAGCTCTCGCATTGTTGGAAATATTGATGATAGTTCCATTCGTGAGCGGAGATTGGTTCAACGTCCTAGCTTCGCCCCATCACACGACATTTCCATGTCCCGGACTACTCTTTCCCCGTCTCATTCATCTCTTCGGCACGGGCTAAATAGCCCATCCCACTCACAAATCTGTGGACCCAGCTCCACCTCGGACATTTCCAGAGGAGTCGACTCAGAACGCCGACTTTCTGACACCAGCGGTCGCCGGGGGAACACTATTACCTCCCTGTTCAGACGTGGTTCGTCACGTCTCAAGCGGACGTACAAAGAGCGATTCCATGACACCACCCCCGAAGTTTCCAACGCCTCGCATGAATCTTTCTACAAAATTCAGACTCAATCATCACCTCCTCCGCCCTCGGTTATCCCTCAGAGAATTTTGTTGCCCACTGGAACCGTGAAGCGCTCTCAATCCAAGTTCACTGAACACTTTGGCGACGAACCTCTGTCGCCTCCTGATTCTCGCCTACAGTCTCCAGATATCCCGGAGGAAGTTCTAGAGTCCTCTCTCGAGCGGGATGAGACTTTCCTGCGTGAACCAACACCTAGCCCCGGTGTGGACATCAAAAACCCCAACCGAAGCCATCATCGATCGTGGGCTTCAGACAGTATGGACACCGAGGCCGATAACGTGCCACTTTCCCAATCTCTGGCTTCAATCGATTCTGAGGGATCTTGGATGTCAGGCCAGTTTTTCCGTCGGATGTCACAAAAGCCTGGCAGCCCTGTTCGATCGAATTTGAACTCCTTTGGCCGAGACTCAGTGGATGGCCCGGCAGATGCCCCCGAAGAAGCGGAATCACTGGATGAATCCCGCCGTCTTAGCAACAATATCCTTGGCGAGCCCGAGCTGGAACCGGAAGGCACAGAAAGCTCGGCAAGCAAGCCTGCTGAAAGATGGCACAATGAAGTCGGTCGCCGCGCTGTTGTGGTGAACCCGGCGGTCCGTCCAAAGTCTACACAAGCCATGCTCAGAGGGTTTCCCTCATTGAGCCCCATCTCCGCAGAGGAAGATCACATTATGGAGGAGACAACTCCTTCGGAACTGCAGCGGATTCCCAGCGCGAAAGCTGAGATTGGTTATGCCGAATAGACCGAGTATTAGTGATTGCCATTTAACAGCAGTCCAACCTGGATCTATCATTTATCGTTAGCCCAGTTATCTCTGTCGTGGTGTCGAACGGGCATCAATGGCCCATCGACCATCGCCATGACTAAGATACGATCTGCCACTTGAGGTCTTTTGACCCTTTCCTTTTGTCACTTTCCTTTGTCACTTTTTCTTTGTCAAAATATCCATCCGTGAGCCTTGGATTTACCCTCTGGCCACCTGTACGATTCTGATATCCCCATCGCCCTGTATCCCATTATTCCCCCTTGCGAGCTCATTCTCATTCGATCTGTTGATACCCCCTCATCGCCCCATGTTTTATCTTTACCATATGCATAAATTCTATTCCTTTTTATTCCTGTTGTTGAATACATGACCAAGATGATAAATTCTTGTTTTCTTCCGGCGCTTTTCTTCGTTGCACATAGTTGGCGGCTTCTTGCCGTTTTGATCTACCCTTCTTCCATTGCTGATATTGTTAAGTCATTCTTTTGGGGAATTTACTGATTCCAATTTTCCCAAGCAGTCTTTATCTTACCTTACATTAAGATCTAGTATCAAGATGGCATTTCCGAGGTTCGCATTGAATGTATTTAATGAAGCCTAGTAGCTATTGCTGGCAACCTACGCAGGCGGTTATTGTATTTCTAATCTTATACAGTATTCAGCGTCGATATTTTCCCTTGCTTTTACCTGGAACCTGCTCTACAACTTAGATAGTCTACTAGAGTGAAGGATGATTTTGGGGTGGCGGCTCAGCCTAATTCATACATTACTGCCACTGACTGATGAGTTCCTTGCCTTGGACTGGGGTGCCTTGTGCAGGAAGGCACGCGCGATAACTTTACGATCCTCCAGCCCTGGAAGGCTGCTCGGTGTCTGTCACTGTGGAATCCTCCAAACGCCGTCTGGCATATCCCGGGCTCGACGAGAATAGTCGGTGGATTTTCGTCCTGGAGGCTGATAAGATTAGCCTATTTATGTCTCTGGCCCTTATATTCGCTTATATTTTGACTTTATATAAGTAAGGTACAAAGATACCTAGGTAGTGAGTATCTCTGCGTTCTTCTTAGGTCCTATACTAGTAAGACTCACCTAAAAATGCCAAGACCGGGAAATGCTGACAGTCCAGACTCCGTCTAATTCGTAAGCGACCCGAGGTCAGTCCGGTCGGGAGCACGTCATCCTGTAAGCTTCACCTTTCTTAGATCCCATTGATACTATTTATCTATCGGTAAAGAATACAAAAAGTACTAGTACTGACAAATCTCACCATGGTAAGTCCCAATTGACATCTTCCCCTTGGAAGAACCCCAGTCAAATCCCCAGCAAGCTCCAGAGACTTCCGGACCTTCAGACGGGGCTCCGACCCATTATTCAGCGCGTCTTACCTAATCCCCTCTGCTGGCCCCGGCGAACGTCATGGCCCTATAAAAACCTAGCGCCCCTCACTCTACCCCTCCAATCGAAATACTCATATCCACTCCAGTTCAAGCCTTCAACTCTTCGTTCTACCCCCAGAACCATCTCCGGAGTTTCATCGCTACTCAATCGATCGACTTCCGTCCAGCGTACCGCTTTCCGACCCTTTTCTTCCACACCTATCCCGCGCTTCACGCCTTCTTCTCTCAAAATGGGTGTCACTCCTATCACCTCGTAAGTCCGACCTTACTCTCATATTCCCGCTTTCGCTTTTGTCTCTGGATCCCAGAAACATGTCCTACACACTCGTGATTATCTCGCAGAACATCATTTCGCACAACATCATAGACACCCCAGCTAACACTCCCCCAGCGTCGCTGAGTACGCGGAAAAGGTCACCTCGGCCACCGGCCCCGTCGTCGTCGACTTCCACGCCACCTGGTGCGGTCCCTGCAAGGCCATCGCTCCTGCCCTCGAGAAGCTCAGCGAGACCCACTCCGACATCCAGTTCTACAAGGTCGACGTCGATGAGCTCTCTGAGGTCGCTGCTTCCAACGGCGTCTCTGCTATGCCTACCTTCCACTTCTACAAGGGTGGTGAGCGCGTGCAGGAGGTCAAGGGTGCTAACCCCGCTGCTATCCAGGCTGGTGTCAAGGCTATCCTTGAATAGATTTGAAATTTGAGATTCGTGCTTGTTCATACCATTCATTTATGATCTTTTTTTTTCTGAGGAATGGGCGATCTAATTGAATACTGAATACATACCATTCCACAAGTTTCTGCGATGTAAACTCTTCGCTTGCTTTTTTATCTGTGGGGTTGTTGGACTTGGCTTGGAAGCCAGATGGGCTAATTGTGCGTAAATGAAGAAAGAATGACCCAGGACTTTGGTGAGTTACAAAAAGGAAAGTGCATTCATACAAGTTCTGTCCTATGTTGTGCAGCTTGCATGCAGCCTGATCGACGGATTACCTGCATCAACCTGTGGAATTCTCCACAGGTCTCTGTAGAACGGCCGTTGAACAGCTGTGATGTCCCATATGCGGGCCACCTGAGTCCTACCACGATAGTATATGCCCCATTCCCATTTGAATATTGAGCTCTAGTTACCAATATGCCCACGACATTTCAACAAAGCCATGGAAGGTAGACAGTCATAGAAAAGGTGTCAGAACGTCCAATTGCATAGCGCAATTGTGAAGTGCTGAGTTGCCCAGCTAGACGACAAACAATTCAATAGCTGCTATATAAACTGTGAATTGTTGTAGCTTGTCCATCATCTTTATCTCCATCTACCATATCCTTCCACATCCCCAGCCTACTTTAACATATCATCATTCACTTCAAGTATGGCTACTGATTCGGACAGTGACTATGGCGAAGAGCGCATCTCGGACGCGTTCCAAACTAAGTGCCTGGAATTCATCAGTTACGATCCTGCAAAACATAATTGGTTCTTCAATTCTATCCAGCAGTTCCCATCTTCAATCATCAATTTCTGCGCATCCAGCCCACGACCGATGGACATAAAATTCACCTCCAGCGTTGCCAAACATCTCCAGAGGAACTCAAAATTGTTTGTGATGATCTACGCAAACGGCAGGTACAACGACAGTTACGAATGTGTCGGTACACTTTTCTTGGAGTCGTCTCATCGGGATATGGCCCACCACCGATGCTCCAAGCTTGGAATCGGTATCTTGAAGAACTTCCAACACCGTGAAGCTGAGGCAGTCAAGTGGGCCTTGAACTGGGCGTTCAACAGTGCCGGTCTACATCGGGTGGAGATGAACGTCCCATCATGGAATATGCGATTGGGCGAGGTGTGCGAGGAGATCGGGTTTCAGAAAGAGGGAACAAGGAAGGAATGTCTTTTTAAGGATGGCAAGTGGTGGGATGAAGTGAACATGGCTATTTTGGAGAAGGACCGGAAGCAAGCTCACATCAAGATGGAGAAGTAGCCATCCTGGAAATGCAGTTGAGACACGTAGGGCGCTTTCTATGATTCAATGACAAGACCTGGGTTTTGATTTTGGCTTTTCCATCAAGTATAATAAGTGTAAGCGAGAGAAAGATAGAATGTCGAAGAGACAGAACTGACCTATACCAAACCTTGCACAAACGGCTTGATATTTGACTATCCCCAAAGCCACTATGAAGTCACCGTGCATCTAACCCCATTTTTTACAAGAATTGCTTTTTCTACGTATCTTATTTTATGCATTATAAGCACGCGATTGACAACTGGCAGCGGCAGTTCGTGACTTCGCTCCATTTTTCTTATTTTTTTCCTTGATAGAGGTATCACATCCACCAAGTATATTTGGAGTACCGAGGATAGCATTTAGGACCTATCCACTATATTCAAGGTGCCAAAGAACCCCTCCTCAAAGTGGGCATAGAGGCGTTCGCCAAGTCAAAATAGTGTCTACCCGAGGCGATGCTACGATCCGAGTGGACCCGAAAACAAGACTGATCAGAACTTTCGTCTTTGGACGAACTTGCTTTTACTTTCCTGTGATTCATCGAGAAAAATGGAAAGCAAGGAAGCGCTTCGAGATAGGGCTTTTTTATCCGGGAATTTAATCTACATGCACATCAACAATGTGGGACTTACCGGATTTTCCTTGGCGTGTGGGGCTTTCCTATTTAATCTGCCGCCGCTTTTATAAGGATGCTTAGGCTCAGGCTCACTAAGTAGATGTTAGCACGGACTCAGATCAGTGATTACCTAGGTATACTTAGTTTAGTCACGTGCAGAATAACTAATACCCTGGACCCGTCGACTTAGTGAGTGCTTAGTAAGTGCTCATTAGATACTCGAGGTCCCTAGTTAATTACTTAGTGATACGGAGTACTTACCTAGGTAGTGTCTAATTAGTGAGTAACCCTAATACCCGTGGACACTTAGCCCACCGTAGACTATACCTAGAAGGGATTAGCCCCTATAGGGTTATTTATACTATTGAGATCTGTTGAGCTCTGTAAAGTGCTTAAGGCCTAACAGAGCCCTGGAGAGTTTTCTTAATTTGCAAGGAATAAGAAGAGTATCCTAGGAGTTACCTCAGCTCCTATTAGGGATATATATAAAGTATATAGGATGTACCCACATAGTATATCTGGATCCCCTGTCTCTTTTGCTTTCTCGCGCTACGTCTTTAAAGAGTCGAAGATAGCTTCTATCAATATACACTCTTCATCTGGAAGACGTTTTCCTCATCTATATATACGTGAGACCCTTACAGCTGCCCTGGGGTCTGCTTGCTGCTGGTGACTAAAGTTAGAGGTCCCATGGGCCATGGCCTTTTAACAGTAATATTGAAACCACTTGAATAACTCAACGTCAATATTTCTCTAGGTTCTGTCACATCTGCTGGTTCCTCCTTGTTTCCTCTGTCAATTTGCCACCTCATATTAGGCCCCATCCTCACAAAGAGGTAGTGATGCTTAGTACCACGACTAACTTGACAGTTTATCTCGCCTCACATAACCAAAAATAACACATATATATCCACAAGGGTAACACTCTTTCCAAGTATAATATGATGGGTGCCAAAATATCCGCACAAGATCTAATCACAGTCCAACGTGCCTACGAAGAAATTCATATCCATCCTGCACAGCTTTTGCTGCCTGCAAATCATCTTTGTAAGATGGGTAGAGATCGAAAAGGTGCTCTGCACCGTCGAGAATGCGGAGGTCTGCAATGACGCTGCGTTGTCGCAGTGCTTCAAAAGTCCTCACTGCCTGTTTCCAGGGAATAAGATCGTCTTCCGTGCCGTGAATGATGAAAGTAGGGGTGGTATATGCGCCACGGCGTATCTGAGCCAGCGGGCTCACAGCCTGGATTTGTTCTTGGGTTGGTTCAGGGAGCTCATCGCTAGACATCACTCCTGAGTGTTTTGACAAGCCATTCAGCAAAATCCGCAGCGTATGACCCTTCCAGTTCATGTGCAGCGCGATCAACGACCGGTCATCGCTAGGTGCCATCCATCCACCTAGAGCCCGCCTCGACCTTGGTGGGTTATAGGCCGTGATAACCTTGTCGTGCACGCCATGCAAAAGGTCGTGTTGCATAAGTGTGCTCGGTGATGCACTATCCCCGAAGGGGAAATTTGGCTCGCTCCAGAACGGATCCTCATAGTCCAGCGGACAGTAAAACACGAGAATGGCGTCAGGAGGTCGGATTGTCCTCAGCGGGGATGTAAATCCCAATGTAAGAGCGAGATGGCCTCCAGTAGACCAGCCAATCCCCACAACACACTCGCCATCAATGGAAATATCACGACGTTGGAGTGGAAGACGGGGCAGAACAGTACGTGCCCATGCAAGAGCGTCGTATACATCGGTCATTGGGCCCTCCGACAAGGTGATCTCCGGACATAGTCGGTAATCTATACTGACAGGAAGAAAGCCGTGATCGAGCAGTGTTTCAGCCTGCGAGGGGCGGATGTCCTTCCGCGACAGCATGATATGACCTCCTCCGTGGATCATTAGAGCTGAAAACCCATCATGTTAGTCAATCATAGACTCTTTTTTTCTTTTCTTTTTTCTTTTGGCATGTTTGCAGTTCTCTCTCACCGACTGGAAGCCTCTTGTCGCGGCTGACGACATTTCGGGGATAGTAGATATCTGCCTTAAGGGACAGGTCTCCCACTCGTTTGAACTCCACCGTCTCTGTCGTAGTGTGAGTGACATTAGAGGGCGAGGCAACAATGACACGGAGAATGCTCGATTCCTCCGTGATGCCTGCAGTCCAGTCCACCCACTGGAACCCTGATCGCGTGAGACATTTCCTCCACAAGGTTTCGCTCGCCAATGCGTGTTGACGGCCATCTTCGAAGCGCCACCATCCGTCGAGGAGACCAAAGACAAGGTCGAACCAGAACAAGTTTCGAGTGAGCTCCACCAGACACAGTAGGCCGTTTGAATGCAGCAGTTTGTTGATATTTGTGCAAGAGACGGTCAGGTCTTTCGTGGCATGGATACAATTCGTTGAGATAACGATGTCGTACTGATTCTGGTACTGTGCCGGTGGGTCTTGCTCGATGTCTATAACTGCGTAATGAAAGAAGCTGTGTTGCGCAAACTTTCTCCGCGCGGCGGCCACGAGCGAGGCCGAAATGTCGGTGAATGTGTATTCGAATTCTTTTCCAGTGGTTATGAGAGCCTCCACAAGGCGCTTGGTGGTTCCTCCTGTGCCTGCGCCAAGTTCTAAAACACGGATCGGTCTTCTTTCGCCAAAGGCTTGAAACACGCCCACAAGATACTGTGTCAAGCTCATGGTGCCCGTTTCAAACATAGGGGCGTGGGTGTAGACATTTTCCAGCAAGGCTCTGGATTTGGTACTGCCAAAGAGTATCTCCAGTGGGTCGGCTTTCCCGGTAAGACATTCGGCGAGTTTGGAACCCGTGGATGCGAGTAGAGTGTGCTCAAATGCATGCTGCGGGAACTTTGAGATGATCCACTCCAGCAACTTTTCAGGCTGCTCGAGGGGCGCCGGTTTCTTGGTCCGTCTAAATTGACCAGAAGCGTTGCATTCGATCAGGCCCTGTTCTGCCAGTAACTTATAGATTTGGTTCTTCACCTTATGATGTCTAGGAAGGACTGATGTGTCTGGGAGATTTTGACCAACGTTCAAAGCGCCCAATGGGCAGCCCAGACTATCGAACGCCTGGATGACGTATGCCACCACAAGCTCCTCCTGTGCAGGAAGTACACGCTGGCAGAAGCCGGAGTATTGTGTTAGGTTAGACATCTCTTCCATGCTACTCCGAGCACTGAGAAAACATTCCTGGGCAACTGATATGAATGAGCCCGTTGTCCGCGTTGGTTCCAGATTTTGGACTTCTATCCGCTGATTGGGAGGATCTTGTCGTGACTTCATGCTTCCGTTCTGGTGCCCATTACGAGGCCCAGGAATGGAAGGTGCAGAGTTTGGTGCCTGAACGCGGCGAGAAAGATCACCAACACACTGAATATCTTGGAATCCTTCCGTCGTAATGGCAATGCCAAATCGTTTCTTGACCTCGCTCAAGAGTTCCGTAGAGACCAAAGAATCCACGCCCAGATCAGCAAGAGACATATCAACAGAGATTTCATCGACCGACACTCCTAAAATGTCACCAAGGAGTTCCTGAGCGGGACCAAAGGAAGGTAAGTGGACTTCGCGTCCATTGACCTTGTTTTCTTTGATATGCCTGGCGTTGGACTCTGCTTTGGAGTGTGAATGAAGGGATTCAGCGACAGCGAGAACAGTGTCAAGAGCGATGAATTCGGAGACCGGAATATTAACATGAAACTGTCGCCTTATATCGCTCAAGACTTCCGTACTCATGAGCGAGTCGATACCAATGTTCGTCAGATAAGTGGTTGGTGCGATCTCGTTAACAGGAATCTCAGTCGCTGAGCTGAGTAGTTGCTGTAGTTCACTAAGAATCCAATCCATGTTCTGTTCAATACCAACAACGTTACCACTATCCCGGTTATTTGCGGAATAAAGATTGGTGTGTACGGAATTCAAGGTTTGGCTGTTCTTCACCCCCTTTGTTCCATTTGTCGCAGGTTGGGTAGTTTGAGTATTCGCCAGACTCACACCAGGCGTATTGAGATTCGCCAGCATGGCGACGAGTGACTTCACAGCGACACTATGAAAGGTGGCCCCAATGACCATGGCAAACAGTTCACCTGTGACAGGGTGAAATACTAGGATGTCGTTCACTAGCTTCTTCTCGGAAACCCTGTCGAACGTCGTATAGACATCCCAGGACTTCGTTTCCCCCGTTTGACGAAGAAATTCTCGCTCAGATAAAGGTGTCCAAGTTCTGTGCAGATATAGATGTGACCGTCAACACTATCCGAGAGACAATTGACGAGGATTCCTGCAACCTGAAGAAAGTTGTCTACCGTGATTGGATCGCATCGTGCGCTTTTCATGACCGGGTCCTGGGCTGATGGAACGTGCACCGAGCCCACAGCCTCGTTGTTCTTGGAAACCAGATGTTCCACTCCCTGGTAGAAGGGAGCATAGTTAACGACCTGTCCAAAGAGTCGATAAATAATGGCCTTGTCATTTAGCATATTAACACCCGGAGTTCCAGACACACTGTCTTGCCGTACCTGGCTGACTAGCCGTTTGAGCGACTGAAGCCTGCCGGTGGGAAACTGGCTTTCGGGAGTGTCCATGCAGATGGTTCCGTGGGCATGTTTCGTGGACGGATCTCTGGTTTGTTGGCTCTCGCTGCGAGAATTGAAGGGTGAATCCCCACGCCGATTGTTCGCGCTCGACTGATTTTAGCTCAATGAATACAATGCGGCTTTGACTGATCGACAACGGTGAGGAGATATGTAAATCTCGTACATGGAGACCCGCTGTAGGACCGCCCCCACCAAGCTCGGTCACTGCATGTGCGGCTATCTCCACGTACATTGACGCTGGACACAGACTTTGATTGAGAACCGCATGCCCATTTGTGCAAAGCACGAACATTGGATGAGAGCAATTAACTTGGAAGGTTGCACTCTGGTGGTCGCTCTCGAGCAGATTGAGGAGTTGTCCCGGACCCTGTTCTGATGTGGTAGGAGAGTCCTCTTTGGGAGCCACCACGGGAGGGTTATATTGCAACCAATGTGATGTCTTGCGGAACGGATAAGACGGGAGATTGATCCACGGAAATTGAACTTTTTGAGACTTATGAAAGGGCCAATACTGAATCCCCACCCCGGCTGCCCACAAGTTGGCTGTCGCTCGTGAAAGATTAGATACGCCCTCTGGTTCGCACAAGCTCAGGGGTTGGAAGACACTATCAGAGCTTGCTTCAGTGCTTCCCAAAGCCCTGCGCACCATTGGAATAATAGGAGAAGCTGATCCAGCCTCGACCCAGACGCAAGAACCGAGACGGCGCGCAGTTCGCTGTACCGCTTCATAGAAGTAGACAGGCATTCGACTGTGCTGAACAATAATTTCAGCATTGATAGGCAGCGTCCAGTCTTGGTCCTTTGAACACGACTCAATCCGTAACGATGGTACTTGGAATTTGATGTCTGCAGCAACTTTCCTGAGACCAGGTACAATTGCTTCAACGAGTCTTGAATGGAAGGCGTGCGTATTCCTCAGCCTCACAAGCTTCAAGTGAGAATAAAGTCCATCTGCTCTTGATGTTTCTTCAACGGCTTCTATAGACTCCGTTGACCCAGCGACGACAATTGCGTCTGGGCCATTAAAGCATGCAATGTCGTGAGACAGCCCCGGATGTAGCTTATTTGTAGTATCCAGGAGTGACCGAACTTTGGTGTCCCCTCCTTGAATTGACAACATGGAGCCTGGGTCACCGCCCCAGCAAGATTTAAGAAGACGGGCACGTTCCGAGAGTAGACGGAGCCCATCCTCTAGAGACACGGCATCGGCTACAACCAAGGCTGTAAGTTGCCCAAAGCTATGACCGATGATAGTATCGACCTCCAGACCGGTATCCAACCATGACTTGGCGGAAGAGTATTGTATAGAGAAAAGAATGCAGTGCAGCGAAACGAGATCTTCAATCGGTTGAGACTGGAAGATACTCGGAAACAGGCTCGGAAGCCCCAGGATCTGACACGTTGCTTCACAGGCGTCCTAATAAACGAATTAGTGTACAAAACCAAATAAGACAAGGATAGAGCACCAGCCACATACCAGGTGGTTCTTGAATAAGCTGCAGGTCTCATAGATACCAGGGTCAATTTGTGCTGTGCACCCATTCTGGCCTCCAATGCACAAGACAACAGGACGATTACCTTGGGGACGTTTGCGGAAATCCCGTTCGTTGACGCGATTAAGTGCAGCCTTCAGTTCATTGACAGACGATGCGCTGAAAGTGTAGTTGTAATCAAGTTGTCTGTTTTGTTTTACCGACAAGTTGTACGCCAAAGCCTGAGTTGCCTGAGCACCGAACTGTTTTTCCCAGGCTAACGACAGCTGCAGCGAGAATGATGAACAGTACTCCTGTAGAGCTTCAGGAGATTTTGCGGATATGAAAAAAGGGGAAGAGGGAATGACCGAATATTCTTTCACTGCATCCGCGATCACCGCTTTGCTCTGTATAGACGTTGGGTCGTCGACAACAATTGCAACATTGCTGCCAGCCGCTCCGTAGTTATTGACAACGGCAATTCGTCTCGCTGGCGTCCATGGGATTGTTTCCTGAGGAATGGCCATGCAGTCCGGTTCCAATGGGGGGGATTTTCGGATTCAATTTGGTAAAATTGGCTTGCTTAGGGATCGAGCGTTTCTGCATCATAAGAACTGTCTTAATGAGAGCCGCAGCACCGGACGCTGACTCGGTGTGTCCGATGTTGTCCTTGACCGACCCAACGAATAGTTCATGTTCGCGTTGTGGCCCTCCAAACGCCTGGCGCACACTTTCGCATTCGATTGGATCGCCTACAGGCGTTCCTTGAGAAATTTGTTGTCAGCTTAATCGTTGTCTTTGCATGGCGAGGGGGAGTAAATTACCTGTTCCATGTGCTTCAACATACGTGACATCTCTTGGATCAACTCCAGCCGTCGATAGTGCCTTCCGGTATAACGAGGTTTGGGACGCTGAGACAGGGACCGTGATGGGGCCGCAATTCATCGCCTGATTGACAGCCGACGCTCTGATAAGCGCGAGAACGGAGTTACCATCAGCAAGAGCCTGAGGGAGTGTTTTGAGCACCACTACCCCGACACCTTCTCCTCGACAGTAACCGTTGGCGCCTGCATCAAAGGCCTTTGAGGCGCCGGTAGGACTCAGAAAAGATGCCCCAGCAAGGTTTTGATACAGAAACGGGCTAGTAATCACGTTCACGCCTCCGGCCACAGCCATGGATACCTCTTTACTTTTCAAAGCCTGATTTTTGTGGTGTCAGCTGTTGGCAAATCCCTAAATGTATCTCATCTTGATTGCTTACATTCACCGCCGAGTGAATTGCTACTGCCCCCGAGGAGCACGCAGTGTCAACTGTGATCGATGGGCCGGTCCATCCAAAGTGATGACTAACTCGGCCACTTATAAAGGCTCTCAGTGACCCGACTGCAGAGAATGCAGTAGTGTCATGGGAGTTGATATTTTCCTCATAATCGACTGACCCAATGCCGATGTAACATCCGACGTCTGAGGGATCTGTGTTGTGTGAATTGCGGAGGCCAAAGTACCCAGCCGATTCCAGCCCTTCGTACGCTACCTGCAGAAGTAGACGTTGCTGCGGATCCATATATTTTGCTTCTCTTCCAGAAATGCCAAAGAAGCGATGATCAAATTCGTCCGGGGCGCGAAGAAAGTTACCCCAAAATGCTCCGTTTGGGCCACGGCTGAGGTCTGAGGGCTTGAACCGGTCCTCAGACAGCGGACGTACAGCGGACTTCCCGGATTGCATCAATTCCCAGAATTCTTCCAGGCCTTCAGCTTCCGGGAAGCGGCAGCCCATTCCAATGACCGCTATAACTGGCGGATCTGCGGCCACAAGAGATTCAATGCTGTCCGATTCTGCACTGGCAGTCGCACCATGTGGGAGTGTATGAGAAGCTCCGTTCGTCGATCCATTCACTCTAGTACTTCTGGAACCGACTGCCTCCCCGTTCGACACCGGGTGTTTAACCACCGAACGGGGAATCGGAACCATAGAGCCTATCGGCACGATCTGCTTGGGTTCTCCGGCATTATTGCCAAACGCTTGCCGTACTGTTTGGACCCAATTGCATTGTTCTAGCAATATGGTGTTGATCGCAGCGTCATGTAAGGACCCGGAAATGATGCCTCCGTCAACGTTGGATCTCAGTGGTAGGTAGAGATCGTTCAAATTGGGAAACTGGAAACGCGGATCACGATTGCAGAGGCCCTTAAACCGGTAAACAGCCTCTTGGTACGTACCACGGTGATGATACCGACCAATGAGACCAATCGACTGGGCAGATAACCCTGTGTGTGTGAGCTCTTCCAGAAAGGGATCGAGTTCAGGGCCAGGCAGAGTGACTGTGACGCGTGCGTCATCAGTAATACAAGAGATGTAACTCTGTTGACATTAGAAAATCTTTGACTCATAGGAGTCGCACGATAAAAGCTTACCTCCGCATATTTCTCACAAAGGCCTTGTAGCGCTTGCCGCTCTGAATGTGAGCTCCAGCCCACTGAGATAGACGCGGCGGCCTTTGTGGTACTGTCATACTCTACCAGGGCACCCACACCGACAGCAATACGAAGTGAGACAGCGATATTTCTCCTGAAGATCTCCCCAGACATTGAACAGGAGACGGCAGCAGCAGTCAGAAAGCCGATGCAGAGACCCTGGATGTCGGCCAAATGCGAAGAGCTATGAGGGAGTGAAGGGAATATTCCACTCTGTATTTTCGTCGCCGACGCCCGCCAGAAATCAACGACATGGAATAACACTGTAAGCACGTTTAACTCAATGCTCCGCGCTACTGACTGGTCTAGGCTTGGGCAGTCGTCTCCATTGAGGAAGCCAGCGACTCTTCGCAGGCCAAATCTCCCGGTAGTGTCTCGAGTTCAGGGAATGTTTCCACCAATGTCGGCCATATTGTCTCTAGCTCATTGACTGCTTCGAGGAGGAAAAACAGTTCTGCAGTGTCTTTAATGGTTGAACGAAGCCGGATTACATCGTTTGCAGTGACACGAGATAGTTGCGGGCCTATCAAGAGCAGAGCTGGGCTTCCCCTATCCGTTGATTGATTGGTGGATGTAGGCATATTAACAAGGGCTGGCGTATGCTGACGTTGAGTGGGCGTACTGGCACGGAATTGTGTCTCAGGGATTGTAACAAACCCCGCGGTGAAAGAGATATAGAATGATTGTTTAACCAAGCACGGTTGAAATGCCATATATTGATATACCGTGGAGGAATTGTTATTGTCAAAGTGTACCAGAGTAAATTCACGAGATACAGTGGCTTATCATCATTACTACTTTCCCAGCCATCGTCTAAGGGAGCCTACCGAGGAGGATTTTGCTGACATTTTACCCAGTCACTTCGTATGCAATTACCCTATCCAAGCCTGTCATGATGAACGTGCACAAATTGGGCGATAAACATTTCGGTGGGAGCGGTATCCCAGCCGTTTCCCGTACTTTGCTCTACTCAGTGCCACTCGGTAACACGGCGACGTTTACTCGGGGCCACTTCCATGGATTGACACGGATTATTTGAAATTCGTATTATATACATAACTAACAAAGAGGAACAAAATATCAGGAGCAAATACGTTTCACTGAATGCTCTGACGCTTGCATTGAGATCAGTCCTGGGAACTTAGGCGTATCTCATCTGATTACGCCCCAGGAATACTTCAAAGGGACAGGAATATTTCAAATCCGTTTGAAGATGGCATCTTCAGAGCCTTGGATATTTGAAGGTACTCAGTGGACTCAGACCTTCGTGGTACTGCTGTTATCTTCGGTGTTCGTTCATCTCTTCCGGACTTATTGGCGACTAAGACATGTCCCGGGACCTTTCTGGGCCCGGTTCACCAACATACAGCGAGTTCTTTGGGTGAAGTCTAAAAGGGCACATGAAATACATCATGTGGTGCACAAAAGGTATGGGGAGATCGTTCGCTTCGGTCCAAATATGGCTTCTCTAGCGAATCCGGATTGGATTCCAATTATATACCCAATTCGCCCAGGATTTCCTAAAGTATGTGTCAACAGCAACCAACTCGCTAGCGACGTTTTTGGGGCTGATTGAATTACTTCCCAGAGCGATTTTTATAGAACCCTCATGCCTTACACGAAGAAAGGAGGGCATTACCGGCCGTTTTCAACACCCGGGACGAGGAGCTTCACAGGAGAATTAAATCACCGATAGCACCGCTTTTTTCCTTGTCAAATGTCCTCCGTCTCGAGGAGTTTGTTGACGAGGCTATTCGGGTAATGATTCAACAGCTAGATGAACGTTTTGCAGAGACTGGAAAATCTTTCGACCTGACCGACTGGTTGCAGTATTTCGCCTTTGACGTGATGGGAACCTTGACATTCTCAAAGAGATACGGATTTCTTGAACAAGGAGGAGACGTGCATGAAATGTTGGCTACCATCTGGAATTATATGAAGACAGCCGCACCGGTAGGATTAAGCCTCTGCTTGAGTTTCAGACACCAGCCTGACACACGGTGGCACTTTCCTTGCATAGATGACACAGATCCCATGGTTTGATGACATTTGGTATAAAAACTCGTTTACGGCCATGTTTCGCAGAACTACTGGCTTCTCTATCCTCAGCATTGTCGGCAAATTCATTGCCGAAAGAACTGAAGCACTTGAATCCAACCGGAAAGGTGAAATTGACCTGGGTGGTCGGGATATGCTGTCGCAGTTCTTCGAGATCCAAGCTAATGATACGTCCCTTCCAAAGTGGTAGGTACTGGTTTAACTATTCTTTGCTATAATGTGTCTTTAACCCGTCCGCGTAGGTGTGTTACTGCCTGGACGTTTTCCAATGTCATTGCAGGATCGGATTCCACGGCCGTTGTCCTGCGAACCTTGTGGCATAACCTCCTTTCTCATCCGGAGACGTTGCATTGCCTTCGAGAGGAGCTCCGGGACGCAGAGGCAAATAACCCCAAAGGGTTCTCGAAACCTTTCCCGTCGTGGAGGGACATTGCAGATCTTCCCTATCTAGATGCTTGTATCAACGAAGCAGTGCGGCTGCATCCTCCCTTCTGCCTCCCATTTGAACGAGTAGTCCCAAAAGGTGGGATAATGATTGACGAGACGTACATACCAGAAGGTACCGTTGTCGGAATGAGCCCGTATGTGATCAACCGCCACAAGCCCACCTTTGGAGAGGATGCCGACCTTTGGAACCCATCCCGATGGATGGTTCCCCTGAAACACAGACGAAAACTAGAAGCCAGCGTCCTGACCGTGAGTGTCCAAAGTGGTTTTTACATTATTATTATTACTAGGAATGGCTGACAAGGGTGTGCATATAGTTTGGGGCCGGAAGGCGTGTTTGCCTTGGTCGTCAGATTGCGTTGCTAGAGATGAAGAAGATCGTCCCCGTGCTGGCGCTTCGATATAAGGTACCGTCATGAGCCCGTTCTACAATCCCCCGGATTTTCGCAGCACTAATGGAATTTAGTTTGACATTCTGGATCCGCGGAGGTATAAAGTGGAGAATGCTTGGTTTTTCCGACAATACGGACTTGATGTTAGGATCAATCGGTATGAAAAGAATATGTCGACGGATGGCCCCCAGTGACTTGTGTGAATAAGACTTAGTTGGCTGGATCTATTATTACCGGTTATGCCCCGAAGCTCGTAGATATGTTTATGAAGTGTACCTACTTTCTTCTTTCATCTCTAACGACATCCCTGTAAAATGATATCCTTTAGACACTTAAGATTGCGGAAGTGCCATTTGCTAACCTCTAAACAATATATAACAACAGAGCTTAAACCGATTATTGCTGGCCAACTTAGCATTTGAGCATTACACTGAGGGACGCGGAGGGAAAATTGGATGAAGGTTAATGACAGATACGAGAGTCGAGCACTCAAGCCGCTGTAGTTTTTCTAATGTCATTTCATCTTAGTTTCCGCTTAGTTGACTGTCTAGTCCTATATACAAGTAACACCCACTGCCTTAAGCGTATCTATCTCCCGTGGCGGTATATCCCTACTGTCCCTGCTTGATGCCCTCTGCAATTTTTTCGGCTAGCATATCTATTGAGACGTCAGTTAATTCGTCTAAGTATGGTCTTGTTGGTGCAACAGGATGTATAGGGGATATTATAGAAACACTTACAAATTGTTCCTTGTGGGAGATCTGAAATGGTCAGTCCAGCCGCTGTATACAATGGTCTGGGAAGGAACTTACTGGGCGGGAGGAAAGGGAACACGGAGGCGTCAACTACTCGCACTGTTTCACATGGCATGAGTACTGAGATTAACGCGAGCAGAACGACATTTATGTGAACTTACGGCGCTTAGTTCCGTATACAAGGCCATGGCTATCCACAACAGCCATCTCGTCATCCGGTTTTCCCATCTTGCATGTCGCTGCAGCGTGATACATCGTTTGAAAGGCGTCTTGAATGAAATGATGGATCTGTTCGTCGGTGGACACTTTGTCTCCCGGGTAATACTCCGGCCCAATCGTCAGGTTCTCTTGCAGGACCGAGGCTTGGAAGATCTGACGCAGTCGCTTGAATGCCGCCGTGAGAAGTTCCACATCGGCCTGTTGGGTCAACCAATTTGGGTTGATCAGCGGTTGATCGTGCATGCTGGAAGTTGAAATAGAGACATTTCCACGACACTTGGGGGCGATCAGAGTTGCCATAATGGTGGCGTAGTTCCCATCCGTGGGCCCGCCAACACCAGGATTCCAGAAATCACCCACATACGCAGGAAGGGTAAAGTATTGGATCTCGGGCCAATCCGACGGAAGACTGTCAAGGTCTGTATGTTTTGTTAATAAACAAAGAAACATTGAACAGCCCAACAGCAGCAAGTAAGAAAAGGATCCTAGCTGATATTTAGACCTACATTCGCGTGTACTATCTGAGAAATTCGCGCGGAGCTCTTTTGGTAGCTTTTCAAACCCACAGTAATCTCCTCCAGGACCAGCCAGTGGGCCGGATTGCTGATCTCGAAATAACAGAACAGCTTCTTTGTAGACAGACGGGTCAGACAGCGAGGTTGCAGTCTGGACATTTACCTTGTACGTGATGCCAAAGAATACATGGTCCTGCATATTTTGCCCCACGCCAGGACGATTGGCAACTACCTTGATATCATGCTGGCGTAGTAGGTCCGCCGGTCCAACACCGGAGACCATAAGCAACTGAGGTGACTGGAAGGTACCTGCGGACACAATGACTTCTTTTCGCGCTGCTAATAAGAAGGTATGGCCTTCCGATGTCACTTGGACTCCCGTGGCTACATTTCCCTTGAAAACAATTTTCTCAGCCAGCGTGTTTTTGTAGACCGCCAGGTTGGGGCGGGTGAGAAAGGGTCTTAGGAAGGCCGATTCAGAGGAAGCTCGGAAGCCCGTTGTCTGGTCGATAGTATGAACCAACCAGCTCGAGCCATTGAGATAGCCGCTGGTAAATCCAGGGATGTGTGGAATACCAACTTCCTCCATGCCTTTCGCTGCCCAGGTGCTGAAGGGCTGGGCGTAATTGGGGTAGGTCAACGCCAATGGGCCGTTATGTCCGAGGGTCGACTCATCGTAGCTCGGGGTGGAATTGGTAATTCGTTTCTGCATATTCGGCGGAGTAAAGTTGAGACTCTTCTTATAGTAAGGGAGAACATTATCAAAAGTCCACGACTCGTTGCCCACAGCTTCGGCCCATCTTTCCATAGCACCCACAGGAGGGCGTTGGTACGCCATGTAGTTCAGCGCTGTACAGCCACCAAGCTGCGGTGAAGTCAGAAAAGGAGGCCTTCAGGATGCCAGACTGACACAGCTTACCGTCTTACCTCGTCCGTAATGGACCTTTTCATTGTTGGCGCCCTATGCCCCTTTATCAGACTCTATTTATTTCCCTCTGAATTTCCCAGCCAGGCGTGCAAGACGGGGTTAGATGGGATCGACTCACTGCCTGTGGTGTTGTCATAAAATCCCATTCAACAAGCGGGTTGGTGTTGGTTGCGGCCTTGCCATTATACAGGGCGTCGTTGGCAGGAATTTGACTTTGATTGCCCGTCACTTCTTCATAGAAACTGCCTGCTTCAATGATAGCGACTCGTACTTTCGCGTCCTCGGATAGGCGGGATGCAATGGTCAGGCCAGCATTCCCGCCGCCTACCACGATGTAGTCAAACGCACTGTTGCCCCTGTCTACCAGGAAGCTTGCGGCAGCCAGCTGGAAGCACAACGCTTGAACCAATAAAGAAACAGAAGAACTGATCGACAACATTGCAGTGCAGGAACGAATAAAGAGACAGCTCTATCTATAGCCACGGGACAAGAGTGCATATGCTTCGATACTTCCGGGAAGTACTCCCGTCCAGACGGACTTTATACTAACGGACAGAGCTCAGCTTCATACAGAGCCTTCATTGCTACACGGATCACTTTCTCTCCTTGATATTATTAAAATAGGAGCTTAGCATATCCACAATGGGGAATTTTAATCTCAGTCTGATCTTTCCCATCTCACTGACCAGTAATAATACAGTATTTATCTAATATTATCCAGCGTACCGTATATTCGCTCGACATGGCGGATATGTGGCTTGGTCGGGTCATAAGCTGACATGTTGGAAGTGAGTAAGAACGATGAATACGAGCATGGCCTTAGGTTAGTGTTATTTGGATGTGGGGCTATCGTATTTTGTGCCGACTCCAGGTGAATGTGGGAATGGCTCGATAAGACTGTGGATTTTGTGCTGGTGGCACCGAGTAAAATAGACATCAGGGGGTGCCGAGTAATTAGCGGTCATGAGCAGGTCTTGTGTCTCCGATTGGCTTGGGATTTGAACACTGCTGCGGGGAGCACCGGCCCCAAGGTTGAGTGATTATTGAAGTTGAAGAAAAGAGATTTGAGCAGGTAGGTTGGAAGATAATCTGCAATTCTGATTACCACTAGTCAAATTTCTTGGACTCCTTTGAATAAGCGATACAGCTGATGCAGTCCTCGATATCATAATATAAAGCTTTATATAAAAAGGGAAAGAGAAAACGGAAGACGGCATACTTTCGCTCGAACAGCATTTCAATATTATCTTTACGCTATTCAAGAGAAGAAATGATCGAATCCTCCCATCTGGTGCCACCAAAGGCGCCGCCACCACTACACATTCCACCGTCAACCGCCACTGTAACAGTGCGGGTGATAGACTCGTGGGTATCTCTTTGCCATCTCATATATCCCTTGTTGACGGCACGGCCCCAGGACAACTTCTCTCTTGCTGGACCCCCCGTTGTTCTGGCAACCGGAGATTAAAGGGCTGCACGGCCTGACGGTTTCGAACTTCTGCTTTTTGGTCTCTAATGGCAATCGACATGTGCTGTTCGACCTGGGCATGCGCGTGGACTGGGAGAATTACGCCCCCAAGGTGGTCCGCCTGATTCAACAGACGACGCAAGTCCATGTTGAAAAGAACGTAGCGGAGATCCTGGATACGCAAGAAGAATGGCCCGAGGATGGCCCTGTCGTGCGGAGCAAGGATATCGAAGCCATAATTTGGTCGCACCATCACTTTGATCACATCGGGGACCCGTCCACATTCCCAGAGTCCACTGACTTAGTCGTGGGCCCCGGAGTACGGTCTGTTTGCTGGCCGGGATATCCCACCAATCCGGACTCGTTGGTCTTGGACAAAGATATTCAGGGCCGCCGTGTGCGGGAAATTAGTTTCACGAGCAGCTCACCTCACCACTGCCGAATTGGCCGTTTTGATGCGTTTGACTTCTTCGAGGATGGTTCATTCTACCTTCTCGACGCACCGGGCCATTCGGTAGGACATATGATTGGTCTGGCGCGGGTCACAGCGGCAGATGGGCCGGATGGACAGGACTCCTTCGTCCTCATGGGTGCCGATGCCTGCCACCACCCCGGTGTCCTCCGGCCCACTGAGTACCTGCCCATACCTACACTCGTAGAACCGTCACCGATACAGCAATGGTCGGCCTGCCCCGGAGACTGGCTGCAGCATCTTCATCCCCATGGGAGCGCTACAGAACCTTTCCTTAACGTCTCTCCCATCCTCTTCCGGAATTCGACGCAGCAATGGACACGGTAAAGAAGATCCAAGAGCTGGATGCTGTGGATAATATTCTCGTTATTTTGGCTCACGATGAGACCTTGAAAAAGTATATCAAGCTGTTTCCTCACCGGATTAACGACTGGATGTCCACTGAGGTTGGCGCACAGACACGGTGGCTCTTCTGTGGAGATTTTGAAGCATCTATCAAGTAGAGGGTGGAAGTGGCATGTCCATCTGTCTGGGAGACCGAGGAGGATGGGTAATGAAAACCATATCAGAGGTGTCCAATTGCCGATACGTGTTAATTAGTTACACTATTTCATAAAGTCACTTCTCTCACAGTGTAACAAAGGTCTTCTTCCGAATCCGCTCGCCGAACCTGTAAAGGAGAAACGGCAATAGGCACATAGCCAGAGCGATAAACGCCAAGACAGAATTTCCCCAGCCCAACCCTAGGGTTTTGTACATGGGACCACCCGCCAAGGGAAGGACGGCTCCAATGATAGATCGAAGGACGGTCGTTGCAGCGATGGCTGAGGCTGCGTACTCTGTATATGCATCCACCAGGTAGGTGGAGACGGCTGTAAAAGCGTTGACCATGCCGAATCCCATAAGGGAGGTTGCAAAAATAGGCGATATCCAAAGCACGTCTCTATTCGCCGTCCAGCCGTACCAGAAGAGCGAGATCGGGATTATCCAGCACGACAGGAATAAAGGTGGCAGGCGATATTCGGGCTTGGGGAAGCCATGTCGGTCCTTCAGCCATTGGAATACTGCATCGGAAGTCAGGCTCTGAAAGACCATGCCAACAATGGAGCCGACTCCAATTCCCAGATAGGTTAGTCCTACATTCCCAGAGGAGAAATGGTAGACATCCAGGAAGACAGACGGGAAGGTGGTGAAGAGGAGGTACAGGTATCCGTAAATCACCGCAATATATAGGGCCAACAGCGACACGATCGGCGAGAAAAATAGCATTTTCGTGGGACGGAGGATTGAGAACATAAAGAGGCTGGAAGCAGGTTGCCCAGCCTCGAGGGCAGACCGGAGGTTGCGATTCCCCGTCTGCCTTTGCAGGGCTTTCGTTTTTCTCCGAAGCAAAGTGTAAGGGTGAGTTTCGCGCAGGCAGATCACGGCAAGAATTGAAAACGCGCCGGCCTTTTTTTTCCTGTCAGGAAATGCCTACATACACAAGCTACTGAGTCAGATGATGGACTTACCAACATAGCTAGCACCCAAAACGTCCATCTCCAGCCTCTTGACTCTACCAAATATCCGCCCGCTGTCTCTATCAGTGTGCTCCAGGCGTCAGGGGACCGATTCTGGGGAGATACGCACCTATGGGCGCTATGACCGGTCCAAGCACAGGACCGAGCACCCACGCCCCCATTGCCAACCCGCGGTTCTTTGAGGGAATAATATCCGCGAGCGATCCTGCTCCGATGGATAATGGCGCACTGCCAGCCGTGCCGGCCAGCAGACGACACACCATGAAGCCCGGAAGGTTAGGAGCCAGGGCACACGCGATGGTCATGAGGAGGTAGAGTACATTGCAGATATGGTAGACGATGTTGCGTCCATATAATTCAGACAGAGGGGCGAGTATCATCGGTCCAAAAGCGTACCCAAGAAGGTAGACCGAGACTACAAATGCACTCAACTCATCATTCTGCGGCTGCTGGAATTCCTCCATGATCTGGAAGGCAGCTGGTGCTACAATCGATGATCCCAGTGGCCTAGGATTTATCCTTGTTTTAGTTCCCGAACTACCGACGAAGGGGGCTTGGGAATCAGTCTCATACGTTAAAATGGTGAGCAGTGCCACGGTGATGGTTATGGCGACTTTCTTTCTCAGGGGCCAGTTCATCGGATTCATGGGATCATCTGGGCCTTCCCAATCGACCAAATCGGGGTTGGTGGACTGAGGGATTGAGGCCATAGTTGTATCGCCCATTATTTCCCACAGAACCTTCTGGGTGGGTGCGAAAGTCTTCAGGATATGTATATGGGCGAGGAGAGACTTTGTTAGGGTTGTGACCGCTGGTGGCTTGCGTCCGTCTATTCCATACAAACCGCATGAGCCCGGGGATGTTGAACTATAAATACTGGGCTTGGGCTTAAATGGTGGGGCTACCGCTGTGATCAGTCACTCAGTTACGGTAAGACAAGTTACCTGGTAACCTGCCCCTGAGAAGATGTACCAGTTTTCCCGGACCGCGTTTGTAAGGGACCGGTTACTCGATTCTTTGTCATTTCCCAATCACTATGGCCTACGGGGTATGTATTCTGCAGTAGTTCCATGTACCGCAGTGGCCCACAGATGGTTGCCATCACGGCGCTCCTCGAGCGTCCCAAGGCTTTACTAAAAGGCGAAGAGATGTTTGATGCCTGAGGCATCATTATGTTAGAACCCACTAGATAGCTCTCTCTCCTTTCCTTCTATGCCTCCTCTCCCCGTGCGAGACCGTCAATCCACACAGTGCTTTCTCCATCTGTACCGCATCTCCATTAAGAGAGGGTACATGAACTGAAGGTAAACGCAAAGACTTGATGGCGTAGCGCTCTCAAACATAAGTAGCATTCATTCTAGCTGGTCTCTAGGTTATCGAAGAACGCAACGTTCTCGATCGTCCACAGATCTGCGGCCTGCCTAGGGCTTCCCACCACGCATCATCTTGGAGAGGTTCTCGAAGGCAGTGCGACGGTTGTCCACGATCCCGTTGAATGTGTCTACTGGCCCAATACTACCAATTACAATCTGATCTTTGCCCTCGGCCAGTCCCTGATAAACCTGCTGCGTGAATGCGTCCAAGGGCATTCCCAACTGGCGACCCGCATCCTTGCCCATATAGTCGTGCAATTCCGCTATAGCCAAGGGTCAGCACTATATCAACATTATAGGGTTAGGGTTATCTTACTCTGGACCGGTGGAGGGGAAATCTCGACCACTTTGGTGTTCGAGTGCCTTAGCTGCTCCCGCAAACAGAGGGTAAAGACATTTAGGGCGGCCTTCGATGCTGAGTACGCCGGAAGCGTGGCGGCAGGCACGATGGCCAAATTCGAGCCGGTACTGATATATCTATTAGCTCTTACCGCGGATTGCGGCCGGGTAGGCGTCTTACAAGATGAAACTAGTTGGGTTCGTGTTCTTCTGAAGATATGGCAAAAGGGCATGGGTGAAAGAGACGAAGCTGGAAAAGTTGATCTTCACTTCCTCGTGGAACGCCGTCAGATCAAACTTATCGAGATCTGTCAGATCGTACGGGTTTTGTACCCCGGCATTGAATATAATAGAATCAATATCCGGCGATTCCTTCATCACCCTATTTGTTGTCCATTACCCCGTTAGTATGTGGAAAGCCCCGGGGTATGTGGAAAGCCCTAGGGGACCTCGGGAAAGACACCATACCTTGTAACAAAATCCGGAATCTTTGCCAACTCTCCAATGTCGAACCGCTCGCCTTTCGCATGTGCAGCCCCGAAAGTCTGCACGAATTCATCCAGACGGTCCTGCCGCCGACCCACGGCGGTGACCTTAGCCCCCGACTCAATTAGACGGGTCGCGAGGGCCTTGCCGATTCCAGCTGTCGCGCCGATAACCAAGAAATGCTTGTATGGGAACGCCATTCTCTCTCTAAAAAAAAAATCCGGGGTCTCAGCCGTGGTTGATTTGGCACTGTAGTAGGGGTGTGTTAGGGGGAGAATTACGAGCCTGCGGTGAGTCGCTGCGCTGTGGCCGTTTGTATTAAGAAGCACCTCTTAGCGTCGCATACCGCAGCCACTAGAGGCTCATATAGCCACCAGCTGCGGGGTTCGGTCTTACGGTCTTATCTTTCTTGTCCCCGAGAAAGTCCAGACCAACATCAGCAAATGGCCTCGCGGTTACTCGGTGACGCTATGGTTAGCGTTGCATTGACCTTTCTGCTCTTTGTCAACTTATCAAGGCCTGGGACCGAGTAAATAGGCGGACATCCCTGCAGCGGCTGTGTATCCTTCCGAGATGACGCAGGTGCTTCGGGGCTGTTCTCTTACTCGAGATCAGGTCGAGTCCAAAGATATCCACCAAGTCTTGTGAGAATCGACTCCCGGGTCAGATTCACATCGACCCTACCAAATGGGTTCTTTGGTCCCCTATAGGTTGGTCACCCGGAAAGTCAGGGACCCGCACCTGCATACACTATGGTAGGATATAAGCATTGCACATCGATACAAAGATGGACATCCGGGAAATTAGGTGGATAGTGGATACGTTTTTTTTTTCTCGGCTTTGTTCAAAGATTGGAATGCAACCTGCGACTTAGCGGGTCTAGGTCAGATTGACACGAGCAAGAGCGTCCCTCGACGTCGAGCGTGTAGTGCCACGGAGCGGGATTCAGCTGTACGGCAGTGCGCCATAACATATTTTTGCCTGTAGTTCACAGAACATTTGTAATACGTATTTCATACTCCGTACAGCAATTAATAGTTAAAGTAGACTAATTATCTCGTAAAGTAGCGTTAAAATTGGATTCAAAAGAGCTCATGTGCCGATTGAATGGTGTATACAGTAATGAGCAAATAAAGAAACCCCGGTGAGCTAGGTCAAAACTTACTATTGGAAATATCGTGGCGCACTGGCGGTTATAGAAACTGGCGTGGCTGGCTTAACTCGGGGAAACAGTACCGAAAGGGGGCCAGCAAGATAGCGTGATGGTAGAATATCAGGCACCCCGCTAGGAAGGAAGAATAATGGGAGCTATAATTGTCTGGAAAAACATCGGGGGCAAGGGTGATTCCTATCGCTGGCTCGAAATATCCGCCAATCGAGTCCGAAGTTCATCCCGAATTCCGAATCTTTGTACGAAGTAGCTGGGGGTTACATGCCCGACCCCTGGACTAATTTATGTGCTGGCCCTCTTTTGGGCCAAAGACATTCCGGGCTACCCGCCAGAAATACGTGGTCAACAGGCAGTTCGAGCTAAGCATTCGAGCCAAGAATTCGACCAAAGATAAGCATTTATGCCTGTGTAGCTTTCTAAAGGTCGGACAATTTTGTAATTCCATAGTCCGTCTACATACCCCATGGGAGGTCGTAGGCATTAGTAACACCCGCATGTCCACCTGGGCACTTTTGACCAGCTTTGATAGACCGCCTATTCCTAATGGTGAAGCTTTCTACTGGCAGAATAAAGGTGGGTCCGACGCTTACTACGACACTAAACATGTTGTCAGATTGGAATATGCACCTCCTAGGCCCTAAATAGGAACCTGGATTTTGTTATGGTGTAGTGGTAAAAATGCCGTATTTTATTCCGACACAAACACACACTCACAAACACACCGAAGATGGCCATTGACGTTCTCAGGTCCTCTGACACGTCGAACAAGTTCTGACGGCGGTGGCCACGATGCCACGAGAGCGACGACGTTGGACGGCCGAAGAAGATGCATGTCTCCAGGAAACAGTTCGATCAGGTGAGCATCTCTGGCGTCCAATGTTTCGCAAACGCTGCAGTTCTGGAATATGCCCTGATACGTGCATGACAGCTATCGACCAATCCCGCCCCCTTCTATGGCGCGAGATCGCGAAGAGCGTTTCCGGAAGAAGCAATAAAGATTGCCGACGACGCTGGTACAACTCCCTCTCGAGCTCCCTCGTCAAGGGCTCGTGGACGGAATCCGAAGACGAACGAATGTGGACCGCAGTACAAAAGCATGGTCCACATTGGGTTTCAGTCGCTCGAGACGTCCGCACGCGGAACCCGGACCAGTGCTCCAGCCACTGGAGCCAGACGCTGAATCCAGATATTGATGTTAGTGAGTGGAGTCTACAAGATGTATGCGACATGAAACCGACGCCTCGGGTTTTTATACTCATTCGGACCTAGGACGAGGCGCTCTTGCTAGCAGTTCAGCGTCACGGCACAGCTTGGGCGACCATTGCCGTGAAGTTTTTCCCGGGCCGGACAACATTGGCGATCAGGAACCGTTTCAACGCGTTAAATGCAAGAAAGAAAAGTTCCAGTTATACACCTCCCGCCGAACCGAACGACATGCCAGGAGTTAAACGCCGTGTCACTCGCGGTTCGCGCAATCGGGACAGTAGGCCGTATTCAGGTACAACATCTCACTCAATAGACGACAAAGATGGCACTTCAGAAGATACCGAAGATGAGGATTCAAAAGATGCTGAAGGTGGGGATGAGGCCTGTGCGCGCTGGCAGGATGAACCCCTGGGACTAACCAGAGGACAGCCAAAGACTGGTAGCTCCTTCGGTTGGTCGCGTATATCGTCCCTCGAAGAACCGGACAGACCCCTGGATCGCCCCTACACTCCAGATATGTCTTCTGTCTCAATGCTCACTCGAACGTCCCAAGACTCCACTTCGGGTATCCTCGCCAGCGTTTTTGGATCCGACTTCCCAGGCTACAATGGCTATGTCAATTCTGCAGTGATGTCCACGTCTGGGCCATTTCAGGATCCTACACGAAGCTCTAGCGGTGAGAATGACCGGCAGTTACTCCACATGGAGGCATCATCTCTTGACAACGGACGCATGGGATTTCTTCCCTTCGAATCCTCCCTAGGCTGCTGTTCCCAGCCACAACCAGTGTTCCCGGTCCTGACAACAGGTGAACTCCCAATCTCACAGTCTGATCTCGGGCTAGGAACTATGCCGTTTCTATCTGGTTCCCTGTCCTCCCGCGAGTCGACTGGCGTGACGGATCTAACAGCCGATGGTGGTTTAAACGCACCGGAGCAGGGCAAACCAGACGGACAACTCTGCCGTATTTCTATAGACATGGAATGCACGCCTCAGGAGCTGTCACAAATCATGAATACTATAGCTGGAATCGCTCGGAAAGTGACGCTGAAAGTGAATAGTTAGAAGACCAAAGTCCACTATTGAGCTATTTGCTCTCTATCACAACGCTGGAGATTTATATAAATGAATCCAACCCAAGAAGCACACTGGCATATCAGACTGGCAGTTTCTTTCGCGGTGACATTTCATAAATTGCTGGCCTTAAACCAATAGCGCGGACTCGGACAGAAGCGTAGATCTTCCTCAAGAAAGCATCCAAAATATCGAGTCCATTCTAGTTTTCTTGAAGGCCATTGCCAATTCGCCTACTGTTCTGCGTTCATTGGTTCCGCTTCAATTACGCTCTGCGTCGCAAGGGGTGAGTTCCAAATGCGAATCACGTTGAATCCCACCGACCGAAGCAGTTCCCTCCACATAAATTCGGTACGCTCGAATGCAGACACTTTGACCATCATCGTCAGATCATACGCCGTGGCTTGAGGATGCGAATTCCTTTCGGGGAGAACGTGGTCGTGGATGAGGAGCTTGCTATATCCCGTTGTCATCGCGTCGCGTAGATGGCTGAGGATTCGTCCGGCCTCAGCATCGGCCCAGTCATGGATAACGCCGTGGAGGTAATAGGCCCGCGCTCCTGTCTGCACATCAGCATAAACTTTCCGTGTCGTTCTTGTTGATTGACTGACCTTTCACAGGCTGCGGTGTGAAGAAATCATGGGCCATGACAGTCACGTCCGGCGGACATTTGGCCAAACGCACCACATCGTCTCGATCCTGAAGAACAAGGCGTGGAGCCAGGCTTGAGCCCTTTGACAGCAGCTTATTGATGTCATGGCCTACATTACCACCCACATCCACCAGCAATGCTGTTTCTCGGTCGTCTCCCGTGGGACCCATTAAGTTTTCGAGCGGATATATATCCAACATGCCCGCTTGGTTGGCCATCACCCCTCCCATGATGTTGTTAAAAGACTTTCCTTCCTCTGGATGAGTATCGTAGTACTCAAAGAGACCTCCCGTAAAACTCTTTGTATACTGGAAGATTCCATTGCTTGGGTCAGTTGGGTTCTTGTATTCCGTACGGGCAAGATATTCCGGAGCCTTGTGAAAGCATGGAATGAGCGAGTCATATCTGGTGAACTATCAGCACTGTTTTGAGGCCACTTGCGGCCATCCCACTGTATCACTGACAGGTAATTGATCCATTCTCCAAAAACAGGTTGGAGAAGGGCCTTGGTGAACGCGGTCGGTTTGTACTGTCCATCGGCGGGGTTCTCGAGCATATTCGTCGCGGCGAGGTGCGCAAGTACTCGTCCTATCTATGTTAGACTTATAACAGTAATGATATATGCTCGGGCGGTGATAAACGTACGAAGCAGAAATGCATCACAACTGACCAGATTAGCCAACTCCACGTCCGAGCATACAGCGTCCTCCTTTACCCGATGCCATTCCTCAAACAGTTGGAGGTCTCGAGCTATCTTCAGGCTTGCAAACAACGCGGGCTCCTAGCTATCAGCAACAATACCATTTATACTGAAGCGATATGCCATATCCTACCTCAGTCATGCAGAGACGAGCCACAGTATCCCACGGGGTCTCCAAGCGGCCAATCACGCGGTACGCTGCTGCCAGCGCCTTAATCCTCTCGCCGTCGGATGAGAATGAAGATTGATCAACTGCCTCCACAACGTTGCAAAAGTCATTGAGGCGAACATGCGAATCGTTCACTTCATTAGTGGCGGACATTGTGACTGAGAATAGCCCAACGAGACTGGGGTGACAAGGTGGACCACTTTTGTATGCTACCGCGCTTATTGAGGTGTGCAACGGATACGAAACCCGCAGCCCCGAGTAAATTTGTCATGTCGCCGAGTATTTCAAGTACCCCGAATCAAGCTTTGTGTTAAGATCATACCTGCAACTGAAAACAACTGGTGGCCGAAGAATAAATCATGTTCAACACCGATGGTACCCTAAATGCATAGTGACTAGTTTGCTCTCGCCCTTCAAACTAGCCATACCCCCCCCCCCCAACGTGTCATTACCGAAATGGGTCTGCTCCAGAGAAGTATAGCCTCACTCGTGGCGGCTTCATGGTGGGAGATCTTTCTTCTTTTCCTTCTGGCACCCGCTTCACTGGCTCTCTATCGTGTCTGGCTGTCGCCACTGTCCCACGTTCCTGGGCCTCGTTTTGCTCGGGTCTCGTCCCTATTTCTTCACACTGTCTGCTATCTGGGCATAGAGGGCCGTGTCCTCTTGTACTATCATCGGAAGTATCGCACGCAGGTACTTCGAATCGGGCCAAATGCCGTTTCATTATCTGACTCTGAAGCCCTTCACACGGTCTATGTTGCGAATGGAGGTTTACCCAAGGATCCCCGCTACAGCAACTTCCGAGTGGAAGGCTGCGACACCATTTTCTCCACCCTCGACCCACAGTATCGTGATGTGCGAGCTAGGGCAGTTCTTCCACTGTTTGGACCTGGCCGACTGCGCGCTTCGGCAGAGAATGACGGCATAATCGGGGAATTGGTGACAAAGTTTGTCGAAATCATGAAAATGGAGAAGGACATGGCTTGCCAACAGCGAGTCCATGGCGAAGGGACAAGAAAGGTCGACGTTCTGGACCTTGCGTCAAAGCTGTCTATCGATGTCCTGACTAAATCTCTCTTCAAGAAAATTTACGGGGGCCTAGATGAGCACTTGAGCGCTCCTGAACCGACGTCAGGCGCAACGACAATCGGAAAGGGACATAAACTTTCCGCGACGCCCTTCGTTCTGGCAATTGTTGCCTTCAGTCGGTTCTCTCTCCTCCCAAACTGGCTCTTCCGCATGGTCTTCTCCCTCATGGTGGGTCCCACTCTGTCCAAGCCTGAAGTCGCGGCGTCGTTGAATCATATCTCTGAATATACAACTGGGATTATGGACCAGTGTGCCGTCACCGACGCATCTTCTGAGCGATTTAATAGAGATACATATCAATTTCGACTCCTCTCCGCAGGCATATCATATTCAGAGACTCTCATTCAATGCAAGGCCGCCATGTTCGCAGGCGCAGACTCGACCGCGGTCATGCTTTCAACTATTCTCTTTCATCTCATCCAACATCCAGACGTGCTTCAGAGGCTGAAAATCGAAACCAACCAGCATCCGCTTAATGCTAGTGACCAAGTATTTCCATATCTGCGGGCCGTCATTCGGGAGGGTCTTCGACTAGGGATGGCAAATCCAGCACGCTTGACCCGGATTGTACCCCCGGAGGGCACAGGGCTCACCGTCAGTGGAATCTATCTGCCACCGGGTACGATTGTGGGTGCAGCTGCATATGTGTTCCACCACAATCCGCACATTTTCCCGGGCCCGTTTGAATTCCGTCCCGAGAGATGGATGTCGGGGCGTGGGGAAGGACAACAGGACGAACAAGCAAGGCGGATCATGGATAAAGCTACCTTTCCTTTTGGCCTCGGGTCGCGAGCATGCATTGGTCGAAACCTGGCAATGCAACAGCTATTTGCCACGGTAAGCGCTGTTGCGAAGAGTGGGGTACTGGAAGGAGCAACGACCTGCACCGAGAAGATCGAGCTGGTTGAATGGTTCAACGCAGAGATTAAAGGCCATCGCCTTGACATACAGTGGCTGTGAAGCTGGAGGGGAAACATTGCCTGAGACCGTTTCAGCGTGGAGTTCTTTTACACGTACTTGATATTGTTCGAAACTTGAAAGCATAGCGTGGAAATATCGTCCTTGTAGATATTCTAGTCGGAATCCTTCCATAGCCATTCTTGTTCCTCCGGAAACGCTAGCCTAGGAGCATAGGCTGAAATAGTAAAATGGTAGGTTAATTGAATGGCCCCACTATAAGATTTTTTACTTAGATAGGATCTAGGCCGCTAGGACGAACGGTCACGTCGACTACGCCCGTCCTTTTTTGATAGGCGATCTAAATGGGAAGTGTTACAGGCGATAGGGTTAGCGTTGATAGAGATGCTACTATGGAATGTAGGATACTCTGGAAAAATGAACAGACGCGTGGATAGAGAAGAAACTATCTAGGTGAGAAAGTATATAATGTGTGCAGGAGCAACAATTGAGGTCACGTGACCTCGAACAAGCGTGTCGTGTTTTATTAATGTAGCTTACTTTGGCCGCCCATCCCTACCTAGGTATGTTATACATTAAGTGAGCACCTAGTAAGCAAATCAGAGTGCTCAGATGATGATTAGTGAGTGGATCAGGGTCCTGGATGATCAGGTGATGCTTAGTGAGCAGATCACGCTGATTATATAATGGCCCGTTATCAAGTCAGGGTACTCAGGGACGTGCTCAGTTTTACTCAGTGATCAAAAAGCGGCAAGAGGTGAGCACTAAAGCGGAAAGGGAAAGGTCTCGAGTCATTATCCGGTACATATGTGGCCCACTTTGATCTGTTTTCTCGGCAAAAAGCGAGATATTTTTAATTAATTAATTGGCTAATCATCCTTAGATGCATATGTTGTATACGAACTCCCAAGCCATGCAGTCTACGGGCACATCCCTGTCTCTGGATTGCTATTCTTTTCGGCTCTCGGCGTTCGTGTTGGAATGTGATCAATCAATATCTTTAACCTATCTGGAAGAACGGTTTATATTGTATGTCTTGTTGTATTATAATATACTTTTGAATACTTAATTGTACGAAGTAAGAAAGACCAAAGTGGTCCATCCAAGTGGGCCTGTAACTTTTTCTTCCCTGACTGCAGCTGAGGTGCAGCTGAACTCGCTTGTTAGCTTGATCCGAGGCTCCAGTAATTAATCTAAATAGAACAAACCCCAACTCTTTACGGAGTATATTGTATGGAGTACTTCCTATAAGGAAAAACAATCTCGGAGACTCCGTCCAGGGATCTACATTCCATGGTTAATACAACCCCATTGTCGGAGTTGTCTCAAATCCAGACACAGAAAAGTATATCCCATAGGATTAATAAAGCATTGGCGGTTTATTAGGGCTCTGATACGCCTAAACAGCCATCCTGCCCCCACAGTTCATAATCCGCACCGATCCGATCTAGATCTCACCGAACGAATCAACATGGGATGTAGGCATCGGTTGCAATGTCACACCAAGCCCAAATGGAGTCTTGGGGCCTTACAACCCCTGCTGTTGATGCATACTATTGGATTCAATTAATTTAGTCCGAACTTATTCTCGCAGGTCCGGGCCTCGGCACTCACTTTCTGGTTTTTCCTTTTCTTTTTTGTGGTTTGTATGCCACGCGAGTTGTGGACACGGGATATCACTTGCAGCCCAGTGCACGGCTCTTTCGGTGGATCTCGCGTCTGGATCGCACTAGGGCGCCATCTTGGTACACATCAGCTCATTTGTGAACTTAGAATCGGAGGATTTTTGCGTGGAGCTATAATATGCGGCTAGAGGGGCTGGCTGATGTACCTGGTGTTACTCCGTATAAGATGTTTACATCTAGCCTTATCCCATTAATTTTGGATTTTGTGATCTTTCATATCTCTTGTTTTGCTCTCCATACTTATACTAGGAAGCAATCCTCTCCATGTCGTCGCCTTTATATTGATTAGAACAGTCATCTTTGACTATCGTGCCCTCCAACTATACGTGGTACTCGCCAATGTGCGAATAACGAAATACCAACACATATTCTCCCTCTTTCTTTCGCAATGTCGACGACAGATCATGAACCGCTTGTCCGAGTCAGATATCTGGCGGGGTATATCATCCTCTCTCCTATGTGATTAGTGCAATGGGATGCACAACCACATTGGAACTGCTCCACCGGCGGACATCGAGGTCAGGTCTATACAACTGGTACGCCCTAAATCCTACCATTACCAACTCCAGAATCCAATGTAACTAATACAAATATTCAAAGGTACCTTCTCCTAACTTCGTCAATCACAATGGGCGGCATAGGAATTTGGTGTATGCACTTCATCGGCAACCGCGCCATCGTCCTGGGCGAAGGCGAGCCCCACGTGCAAGCCATGTATAATGTCGCCTTCACGGGTACCTCCTTCGTGCTCCCCGTGGTAGTACTGCTCTTTGCCTTCTACGCCGTGGGTGTCGAGGAGAAGGCAGGCTATATCCGCATCCTCATCGGAGGCTTGCTCACTGGTAGCGCTGTCTGCGGTATGCACTACATCGGTCAACTCGGGATCTCGAACTATAGGTGCTCGTACCACGTCGCCAATGTCGTGGGCTCAGCAATAATTGCCATTGTCTCCAGTACTGCTGCCCTGGGCATCTTCTTCCGCTGGAGAGCTACCTGGACTGATAGCTGGTGGAGACGAGGGATCTGTGCTTGTTTATTGGCGGGTGCGGTCTCAGGCATGCATTGGACTGCGGCTGCTGGGACTATCTATCGGGATCACAACCGCATAAACATGCATGGGACTCAGTTGTCGAGGAGTCAGGTTGTCATTATCTGCACAGTTCTGGTATGTTTGAGATGTCTCCGAAGGTATGCGAGTTTGGAGACTGATAGCTCTGTCTAGGCCTGTGTTGCATGTCTCATTTTGTCGATGTGCGCTATTCTCGCTGGGCGAAATCGCAGAAGGTCGACGACTCGTGCTCATCAGCTTGTTCTCGCTTGTGCTTACTTTGATCCCACTGGACGAATCATGGTTACGCCGCAGGCTTTGCTTCCTACGAGGAAGATTGTCGATCATTATATCGGACGGGTATGTCTCTTAGCCAGATTATAACAGGAGTTTCGAACTAACGAATTGCGAACCAGACGTTCAAAGATGACGATCTCACCCGCACCCACCCTACGTTCCTGTGGGCCTTTAGGGCAACTCGGAACTGGCCTGTCGTGAAAGACCTGGTTCCCTTTATGCGAAACCGCCTTGATTCCGAAGAAAGCGCCATTGAGAAACACATGCTATCCCGTGGAGTAATTATGGACAAGGATACGGAGTTGCAAACTGACTTTGATACCTTGTTCAAGCAACTCTTCTGTGTCACAGCCCAAGAGCTCTCAGATCAACTTTCTCTGCCTCTCCACGATCTAGGTACACTCTACGACGATGTTCTCTCCACTGCTATCCCCATCTCCCGACTTTCTCGGGCTATGGGCCGTTCGTCCCTCCGCACTGGCAAGGGCCAAATGATGTTCACCGTCCGCCAGCTACAAAAGCATGAGGCAGCGCGCCTGGGATCACAGGGATTTCGGTTCGCAACCATTGAGCATGTCACAGGAATGCTTTCCCGTCGCATCCACGTTCCCGAAGCAAACCTAGTCACCTCCCTCCGCGACATGCGGGACTACGCAAGCTCAAATCGCGGCTTCGATGAGGGAGTACACCTCGTCTCATTTATGATGCGCCCAACAGTACACGATCACTTCGAGATCCTCACCGCAAAGGGCGTCGGCAACCCCCCTCCCATCCACAACCCTCCCAATGAGACAACTCCATGTCCACCACCTAGAACTAATCTCCCACATGGATGGCTGGTCCATGGACGCATGCATACTATACCTCCAGTCCGCCGACGCAGCACAAGCCTTCCCCAACCTAGTCGACTTCCGCACCAACCTCACCAAATCCATCATATCCCTCTCGAAAACCATTCCCGAAGACATGCGTGCAGCAGCAAAACTCTCCTCCCGCCCATTAACAGCCCCCTGCCGCAGCAGCTCCTCCAACCCCGAAACAGCCATGCAAAACAACTGCACCCTCCTAAGCTTCTGCGTCGTCGGCACACTTGACACCCAAGTCTCCAACCCAGACTACACCTTCACCCCCTTCCGCCTCTTCCGCGTCCAGCAACAAGTAAACGAAGCCCTCACAGACCGCGACGACTTTGCACGCGAACTGGGCCAAGAACTCTTCTGCACAGACGTGCGCTCAGGCTCGACCGCCAGCGAGAGCGACCTCACCTCCACGGCTAAAATGGCCATCTTGCGTCTGTGGCCGTCGCGCAAGAGCGCGCCGACTTCGAACTCGGGCTTCGCCTCGCCCTACTCCCAGGAGTCGTTTGTGGATCATACTGCGACTGCGTTGCGGGATATCACTGTCCGAAAGGAGGTGCGTGTTGATTACACACATCTTCATGAGAAGTCGAGTCAGAATAATCTTGGTAACCGGGACACGAGGGCGGTTGTTGCTGGTGGTGATAGTACGCCTGCGACTTATGTCGATGAGTTGTATAGTCTTTGCTATGCGCCGGGTATTCGATTGAGGCCTGATGCGTCATTGCAGAATATCTCGCGTGGATCAACTGTATGCTGATTACTTTTTGGTTGGTTTCTTTTTTCATTTGTTGGATTGGTTTTCCTTTTGCGTATTATGGCTGGCGTGAGGAATGCATGAGGAATTGGGCCTGGTGTTTTAAGGGGTTTGTTATGAACATACTTCTATCTATGGTACCTGGGAAGGAACAAGGTCCAGTATTGTATATATAATTCTTCTGACAAGTATATAGATGATATCAGTACGAATGCGTGCGTGTTTCATGTTCTATACTTCAATGGGGGTGGTAGTACACTTTCAGCTTTTCCAAGTCTTATTATCAATAAAGAGCCAAAATAGAACCTTTTTATACATGCGATGAACTCCAGTAGGTCACAGAAAAGCAGAATATCGTCACACGTCAAAAAAGAGACTCGTTAACCAAACATGTAAGACATGTCATTTACTCCTTACTGCAAACCCGCCGAGAGCGAGTCAAGGACAAATGCAATCCGAAAAGAAGCACTGGCCAATCAGCTAAAGACCAGCCAATCCAATGCTCATATACTATAGAGCGCAGATCCCACAGATCACACATTAGTAGTAGGATCCTCACGCTCCAAAAACGTAGGATCCGCCTCAATGCGACGCTCAAACTTCGCCCACCAATTATGGAAGCTCTTCAATGGCACAACATCCTGACCCTTATCACTCTGCGCAAAGCTAGCGAGGAAATTAAATGCATTGCCAATAATGCGTTGCGCCAGCACCTTCGTTGAAACCTGTCTCTGCGCCGCAGCCTGCGGAACCAGCGCCATAGACATCTGACCCGAAGGACGCTCCGCTTCCAGCGCAGCAAGCTGCGGCGCGATATTCTGCGCATCTTCGATCGAAATGCCCAGCGTCATGACGCCCGCAGCACCGCCGTTGGCACCGCCCTCATCGAGCATGTCGTCTTCTTCCTCGGCTTCTGAGCGGCGTGCTGACGCGCCCGGTGGGCGCACGGCGAAGATACCCGAGGGCTTTTCATTTGCCAATGCGCCGATGAAGCGGAAGTCGGACGGATGGCCGGTGTTCGGGTCTGGGAGTTGGGCGTAGATTGCGGCGCCGGTGTTGGGTGGGAGGGTTGTTCCTGGTAGGAAGAAGACGACTATTTCACTGAGGGACGGGCTGAGTGGGATTGTGAAGGCGAATTTGGTTGCTTGCCCGTTCGGTTGGCTGTCTATTGCGATGATGTCTGTTAGGCACGGGCGGCCCGGGACCACGACGGAGAACATGGTGGGGTGGTAGGGGTTGGACGAGCTGGAGACAGCTTGAGCAGCTGGCGGAGCGGGAATTGGCAAGGTGAGTTGCGTTCAAGATTCCTTGTCCAGTTCTTTAAGCTTCTTCAAGCTTCCTCTTTGTTCTGTTTTTCGATGATGAAATGACATAAGAGGGGGCTGCCCTTATCGGCGGTCGATAAGGGTTTGGGTTGGCTAAACAAAGGTCTGGTATATCAACTTCTAACTTCGACTTCACAATTGGGATCAGCTTCTGCATTCAGAAGGCATCATGGGCAAATCCAATTTAGACCTGGTCGGCGAATGCGATAAGTAAAGCTATCCCAACTTGATTGCTCCCTTCACTCGCGTTTTTCGTCTTACACCCCGCAGCTTCCCTTACTACGAGGATGATCGCGCCGCATACACGGAGAACCTGAACAACTACCATGCATTCAGAGTATCCGGATACGACTGTACACTCGGCTACATTCTCAATGCAGTCGTCGAGAAATTCCCCTGGTCGGAAAAAAGCTGGGTCATCGATTCGACCGCGCAGACCGTGACACTAGTGACACCAGAGGGGGTCACCCCCGCCCACCGGAGCAAGCTCGTCGCCGCAGACATAGCTGAAGCTGTGAAGCAAGGTAAATTCGAAGTTTTACAAGGCTGGCGCAACGAGAACTACGCCGTCTACGGCCCGGGCGGAGAATTCCTCCTGGAGATGGAGCGCGCCGCAACCCCGCTCTTCGGCATCGTCTCCTACGGCGCCCATCTAACAGGCTACGTGCAGGATGAATCCGGAATCAAGATCTGGGTCCCACGTCGCGCAAGAAACAAGCAGACCTACCCAAGCCTCCTCGATAACACCGTTGCCGGCGGCATGTGCACCGGCGAGATGCCATTTGAGTGTATCGTCCGCGAAGCTATGGAAGAGGCATCCCTGCCTGAGGCAGTGGTGCGGGCTGGAACTGTCTCTGTAGGCTGTGTTACGTACTCGCATGTGCGGGATGCGCGAGCGGGCGGCGAGACGGGTCTCATTCAGCCGGAGGTTGAATATGTATATGAACTCAGGCTTGATCCTGGGATTATTCCGAAGCCTGGGGATAATGAGGTCGAGGAATTCAAGTTGTTGTCGATTCCGGAGGTGCAGGCGGCTTTGGCGCGTGGCGAGTTCAAGCCCAATTGTGCTAATATCATGATTGATTTCTTTGTGAGGCATGGGCTGCTGACGCCGGAGAATGAGCCGGATTTCTTGCAGATTGTTGCTAGATTGCATCGTCGCTTGGAGTACCCGACTGCTTCGCATTGCGTGAGGTAGATTATTCGTTTCATAACCGGAGGCATATTCCAAGGTTAGGTATGGTGAACATAAGATCTGTCAACTCAACTCAACTCAACTTCGCAATTAAAATCTGCGTTTGCGTGGATTCCTTTCCCATCCGCAAAATGAAGGCAGTATTTGTAGGACTTGCAGTCCCCATATAGCTAGGATTTCGAGTCTTGAAGGCACAGCAAGGAAAGATATCGAGGCACACCGTGCTGATGGCAGCAATTACAGCTATACGCGGAGCCAGCCCGCCCCGGGATGTATCAAACGGGCAAGGTTCATCTCATCGATCCCATGAAAATCATGTTATGATAATCTATTGGTATCCCCAAATCAAAATGCAAAGAACGCCTGCGCTGCACCCCATAACAACGATATGAACATCGGTCCGGCTTAAATACACCGACTTTTCCACCATTTTGGCTTTGCCTCAAGATCAATCCAAGATCCATCTCATCCCGTGCCAAGGTCGTAAGCTAAAAAAAAAGAGATAATTCCAACAAAGGCAAGCTTATTTCTTAAGCAGCAAGTACACGTGATCGATTCTCAACGGAGCAAGCTTCTTGTAGGGACCCTCCAGGTAGAGCAGCAGACCTCCGAAGGATACGAACACAGCCCTGGAAGTGTAAAGATTAGTGTCCGCAAGAACCTGGACATCAGTGACCAAACTCACATGGTATCCTTAGTGGCACCCTCCTCAAAGCGGTACACCTTGCCGTGACAAACGTAATCGTAGTCATCCGCCAGGGACTGCTCACCCATGCTGACCTCCCTCCAGCTGGCGCGGGTGTCCTCCTTACCGTCAAGAGAGAGAGTCGAAGCCAGAGCGAGCGACAGCGACTCGCCAACCGCGCATGGGTACAGCTCAGTGTTCACGTCCAGAGTGAAAGTGAGGGAGGCATCGTTCGAGTTGCAAGTAAGACGGGAGACACGGTCATACTTCTGGGCGTTGACCGAGGTGATCGTGAAGGTGTCTTCGAAGAGGAGCGGGTCGGACATGATGAAGGTTGCGACGGCTGGCTTTTCTGTCTATGGATGGGGATTTGGGTTGAGTGGTTTATCCACAGGTTATTGCACACAAGTTATCGTAGGTATAAAGGCCTGCAATGGCTGGTTGGTGGTCCAAGACTGGTGAAGAGAAGAGTTGGAGTCGGAGATGGAGAGGTTGATCGGAGAATTGAAGCTTTTTTTTTCTGCCGCCTTTTTGGTCCCGCCGATAACGATTCCGTTGGTTTGACATCAGCCGCTTGTCCATTGCTTTACTAGTTCTTTTTAACTTGATTTGAGCTTTCCCTCATGTCGTTTCGCAAGCGAAACATCGGTCTTTCTTCTGGAGTTGACCGCAACGCTGTTCCCAATGCTACCGCACAGCCCGCTGCGCCAGAAACCACGCCGGGCATCCGCCCCTCCCCCCGACGATGGACGGCCAACAACCTCGACAGGGACTCGCTCTCTAGATAATCTTCTTGCAGGCCATGCGGGACTTCCAATGGGAAAGATCTTATTGGTTGAAGAAAACGGAACTACAGATTTTGCAGGCGCATTGCTGCGTTACTATGCGGCGGAGGGCGTAATCCAAGAGCAGAAGGTCCATGTGGTTGGAGTACCAGAGCAATGGGGCCGAAGTTTGCCTGGTCTGATTGGCTCAGCGGAGTCTCTAGATGAGAAGCGATCAGACAGGCGCAAGGATGATCGCATGAAAATTGCATGGAGATACGAGCGATTGGGCGAGTTTGGGGCAGTGGCTGGTTCGCGGGGTGGTGAGTATTGAAACAAAACACTGCTTCTAGTTTCAATATGCTGATCAATATAGCCCCTACTAATCCTGGGGAACAGGATGCAGCAGCAAAAGAAGCGCCCGCTTTCTGTCATGCGTTCGATCTCACGAAACGTCTCACCCATCCGTCTATCACAAACATGTCCTTCATCCCAGTTATGCCTTCAAAAGAGTCACCATTCCCTGCTATCCTTAAACGACTCCAGACCGCAATCACATCCAGCGCCGCCAATACAATCCACCGTATCGTCATTCCTTCTCTGCTCAACCCCACAATTTATCCGCCGAACGCCTCCCAACCCGAACATGTGCTCCAGTTCTTCCACGCCCTTAAAGCATTAATGAGTGCGTATAACACTCGTGTGACGGCAATGATCACCGTGCCCCTGTCTCTCTATCCCCGCTCGTCGGGGCTGGTTCGCTGGATAGAACTGCTCAGCGACGGCGTCATTGAGCTTTGTCCGTTCCCGCACTCTGCGGATGCCATGGCTACCTCGGGAGCGGCGACCTCCCAAGAAGAACCACCGCAAGGTATGCTCAAGACGCATCGGCTTCCCGTTTTGCATGAGCGTGGGGGCGGAAGCGATCAGAATGTTGGACAAGATTGGGCGTTTGTTCTAAGTCGTCGGCGATTCGAGATCAAACCGTTCAGTCTGCCGCCCGCCGAAGGAGACACAGAAGCGCAAGAGGCATCGGCTCCAGGCGGAATGCCTAAGAAATCAGATCTCGAGTTCTAAGACAATCGGTGATTGGTGTGATTCCCTAGACTCAATCGTCCTCCTCAAAGTGCCGTTGGGTGCCTGGTTCTGATAGCATATCTTCCATTTCGATCTGCTCGGACATAGCAGGACCTGAATTGGCCATTGTGCGGAGGTAACTCGCTCCGTACCCATCCAGTCCTGGTCTTACAGCACGGAGGCCATTCCCCAGGCAAGATGAAGCTGCAAGCCACGCTGTTCGGTGTTAGTAATGCGGTCGGGACTACCTACCTAGGCAGTTAAGAAAGGATGCGCAATACTGACCAACAAAGAGTAGCAGTGGTGCAAAGAATACCAGGAACAGCAGTAGTAGGAAACCCATGATGCCTCGGTATAAAAGAAGAAATATAGAATACTCAATGAATGCGAATGAAGATGATGATAAACAACATGCTCAGCAGCAGTTCGCTTGCCAAGACGACTATTCCTAAAACAGGCTAGCGCATAAGCTCAGCATTTCCTTTTCTTCGTTTTTTCTTTTTGCTCTTCTCTTCTTTTCTTCTCTCCGCAATCAACCCTGGCTTTGCTGGTCAAGTCCAAAGGCAAGTCTGGGTGTTTGATTGTCTTCTCGACACTCTAATACTTCTTTAATGGTAAGCTTCACCCTCATCTCTCCTACCCCCACTTCGCATGATTATTTAAATACAAATCTGTCAATCCCCTGAAGCTCTTTGATACGTCACTGAGCGCTTGCTGAGAAACGTACTGGAAAATGATTCGCGATACCCAAATTTACCTTTCTGCAACCTCCATCTTTGCATATTGGACAAGCGCTAACTGTCCTTGCCATAGAATCATTGAAATAATATCCCACAAATCTCAATTCAGAAAGCAAAAAAAAAATATGGATTTCCAACCAGACCTTCCTATCCCGATCTCCTATGTATCCGGTAGATACCTGTTGTTCTCAATTGACGCCGTGACATACCTGCGACGTGAGCATCACATCTGCGGTGTGCTCATCGGGACGCTGCCCCAGATCCCTCAGCAAAATGTCTTCCTGGGCCTCCCATTGGAGCTGATGCCCGAGGAGGCACGTCTGTTAGTGGACAAGGGTGTAGCTTGCATCGTAGACGAAGCCAAGGCACACGATGGCATGAACACCCTCCTAGAAGAGGATCGCAGACGGTACCTCCGCGACCTCGAATCCCAAGGCCTGCATGTCTCGCGCATCCAATCGGATCGCAAAGAGCGCAACCGGGAACAGACCTTGAAGAAATTAGAAGAAAAGAAAGCAAAAGCCAAGGCTAAGGCCAACACCAGTGCTGCTGCCGCCCAGACGCCTACGGTTCCTGAGGAGGCCACTTCCATCCCGTCGCCGAAGAACGCTGCCATCGTTGACCTCTTCAACGCAGAGGATCGCTCATCGTCTCCATCGACCGCCTTGACGAGCACGCCCCCTCAAGGCGCAGTGGCCATTACCCCCGCAACATCTTACCCGCCCCTTCCCACTCCTCCACCATCGAGCCACCTTTCAGCACCCGCGGTGCCACCCTCCTATCCTCTTTTCGCCCACCTCCACTCTAAAGGATACTTCTCTCTCTCCCGGCCTTCGCTTCGGGTGTCAGTACATGGCCTACCCGGGTGATCCATTGCGTTTCCACTCACACTTCCTCGTGGTGTCCTACGGCTGGGACCAAAATATCGATATCATGGATCTTGTTGTCGGCGGAAGACTGGGAACTGGTGTGAAGAAGGGTTTCTTGATCGGCGGAGCACAGAAGGGAATTGATGAGGTCGATTCGGAGGCTGACCGAGTGGATACTGTGCGTGCTTTCAGTCTTGAATGGGCTGGAATGTGAGGGATGAAGGACGCGAAGTGTTGCACGTCCTTCGTTTGTTTTGACTTCCCATCTATCAGGCTTGTGCCTTTGATTTGCCCTTGGAATGATTCCATGGCTCATGCACCACGCTACCGGGCCGGGTCGTCCGTGTCTGCCTTGCGGGTTCTCGAACCAGATGCATGACTCTACTGTGTCTGGTCTCATTGAATCTAGGCAAGAGGAAACACGTCGCTGGTAATTTTTGATCATCCCCGGTCAACGAAGATACAGATGACATTCCCGGCCCAAGGTGATCTACCATCACTTCACCTTCTTGGGTAAGACATGCGCTCTTGCATCCCGGCCGACTTTGCGGAAGGCCGTTTTAGTATTTTCGTGCCTGTTCCTAATGATATCCTTCCAGTGGTTCGTTTTGATCTCGCTCGCTGTAGGTCACCACTCGGGAACTTATGTGTGTACTGGTTGTGCCTTTATGCTGCATATCAGTACCCGAGTGCTGACGAGCGAGATTAAAACAAATCAACAGAAAAATATGATTGGCAACAGGTATGAGAACCCGACAACGGCCTTCCGCAAAGTCGGCCGGGGCGCAAGAGTGCATGTCTTACTCAGACTGTTCAGGCTCCTGAGGAGATGGACCAGAATATCTTCAAGCTCATAGTTGGCTGGGGTGATTTGGCCCTAGGGGGTCTTCTTGCGACTCCGGTCAGAGGCTTGTGAGGGCAAACAGCATGTGGTTAAGAAGGGCCGTTCTGTCTCCGGTCTACCCATGCATTGCCCGGCTCACAATAGCATATCATATGACCGTGATGCCAATCGCCAAAAAGCTCTTCATCAAATAACATCTACACCTTACGCAGATGGTCCTAGTAAATCTGTAGTATCACGTCGCAGCTGTAAATACGCTTCGCCTGTTAAAGAGATCCGGCCAACTTATGGGTGATAAAGGGTAAAATTTCTTCATTATCGTTATTCCAATTGACCATCCTGGTCAATTCATGGGTTATCAGAACTGCAACCTTGTGCGCGATGCTCTTTTCTTCATCGTGTGGGGTTTATGTATGCCTTTCCATCTTCGGGTGTCAGGCAGTGGGCTTGGTGAAACAAGAACGAGTCTAGCTTCATAGAACACCGACGTGCCTCCGCAAAGTGTGTCCATGAAGCTCGAATCTTAAAGATTCTCGGCAGCAAGCTCTTATGACAGGAGCGCACTTGCACCGCTCGAGGCCGCTTCATGGTTGAGCAGTCAATTTCATCGGTAGTAAATTGAGAAGAACCATACAAGTCACCGCGATCTCATATGTAATCAATGTTCCTCCACTTGAACTTCTTATTAGCTCTGTCCACAGACCGATTCTCAAACTGGTTTCCATGCAACTCGAAAACCAATGGCATGGGAGCTTTTGCATCAGATTGAGTCTGCTGGCCCTGCGCACCCTCGGACAGCGCTGGCACAGGCACTGTAAACCGGAAGATAGTATGCTCCTTCGGTATAGCTGTACAAACGAACCGAGTCAGCATAATCCCGGCACCACATCTCCCACTCCAAAATTCAAAACTCACTCTTCATCTCATCCTTCTCAGTAACAATGACGAACGTAAACTTCGTATCCCGAACCACAATCCCCTTAGCACCAACCCTCCCAGCGCACCGACTCCTCACAACCTCGACCTCAGCCCCGTGGTAATCCGCACTGACAAGCTTACTTCCATGCGACGCAGGCGAAACATAGCTATGGGTCCCGGCCTTCACATCCAGGATCTCTTGCATATACCCAACCCACAGCTCATGCAGGCCCTTGAAAATGTCGTATTTGCATTCTTCCTTGGGCAGGTCGTACAGCCCTGACTTGCGCTTTTCGCGCGCTGACAGAGGTCGCGGTTTCTGGTGTCGGAGGAAGTATTCTTTCTTGCGTAGGCGGTGGAGGCGACGCCGGGAGCGGTTGTCGGATGCTGAGGGGGAGGTGGCGCGGAGGAAGAGTGGCTTTTGTTTGATGCGCTCGGTGAATTGTTGCGATGCGCTGTCTGGGGAGTGGGCGCGTGAGAGAAGGGTATGTGCGATGTGGGCTTTTGGGGCTGGAGAGGAGACCATTTTGTGTTATCCTGGATGCTGGTGTGGCTTTCCAGGAGATGGGAAACTGGGAGTCGGGGGTTCGTGGAGTGTTGGAGGTTGGAGAAAAATTATTTGATGTCACACACCGATAAGATACCTTGGTAGGCTATCTATAGATCAAAGGTATAACCACTTTATATACACTATTTGAACATGATCCATGTCTAATCTTCTATTTTTTACATTCGTATCTATTCTCTGGCATTAAACTATCTCAATAATTACCTAGGTAGGTTTAGATTGTCCCTCGGCTCTTTGATGCTTCCCCGCATAGATCATCTTTAAGGTAAATATATTACAGAGCCACACCCGTCTCAGACGTTGAAAATGCGACAAATTACCTGAAAGACACTTCGAGATAACTACTATCTGCTATTAATTCCATTGGACTTGCTTATATCAACATGCAGTCTCAGACCGATCAAAGGAACATCCCCAACAACTTCCCAGGGCTTGCGCCCTTCCCAGATGACGTCTCTGCAGCACCTCTTCTACGACTATCGTCGGAGAAGCTGCTAGCAGGTAACCCTACAGAGCATGAAAGACTGTTCCAAGCATCTACAGACATTGGATTCTTCTATCTGGAGCTATCTGACTCGGAGCAAGGCTCGTCACTCCTCGGCGACGCAGATAACCTGTTCCAAGTCGGCGAGAGACTATTTGAGCTGAGCCTCGAGGAGAAACAACAGTATGATTTCAGTGGACAGAATTCGTACTTTGGATATAAAGCACAGGGAGCTGCAGTGGTTGACAGGCAGGGGAATCTAGATCGGAACGAGTTTTACAATGTACGTTAGCACATCCACCTGGACCTCCACAGCAGCTGACACAAGTTCTACAGGTTTCTAAAGACGATATTCTGGGCGTCAGTGATCCTCTACCAGCACCAGAAGTCCTACATAAAAGCCGAGCCCGACTGACATCCTTCATGCGGGGATCACATGCAATCGTAACCCTAATTCTGGAGATCCTAAACGACCAACTTGCCCTACCAAAAGACACGCTACCCAACCTGCACAGACAGCACGCTGTAAGCGGCGACCAGGTGCGGTTCGTCAAAGCTCCACCACAGCCAGTAGACGACAGACGTACCGCGCTGGGCCAACACACCGACTTCGGAAGCGTGACGGTTCTGTTCAACCGACTGGGCGGACTGCAAGTGCTACCGCCTGGTGCTGATGCCGAATGGGTCTATGTCAGACCACTTCCTGGTCATGCTATTGTAAATCTTGGGGATGCAATGGTCAAGTTCACGAATGGACTTTTCCGGTCGAACATTCACCGGGTTGTGGCACCACCCGGGCTTCAGGCTGAGTCGACGCGGTATAGTCTCGTGTACTTTGCACGACCCGAGGATAGTGTGATGTTGCATCGGTTGGAGGGATCTGATCGGATTCCTGTTATGGAGGATGGCCAGAATGAAGAGGAAATCAGTAGCAAGGACTGGATTATTCGGCGGGCTTTGGGGCGTCGGGTGGACCGTGTTAATGATGTTGATTTTGAGAAGTCTGCGGGGACTGAGCAACTAAGTCGGAGGATCAAGGTTTAGCTTTGCTCTGAGGTTAATCTGTGAATAGTCATATGGCATCTTGGAATGGTTATGACTTGTAGTTCAACGTGTTTGCAAGTAACGTGTTAACGTAGGCACCTCGTTACCTAGGTAGAAAAGATGACTATCCCTGTAATCGTTAACCGGAGCATGGACGTAAAATGGCCTGACTATTGGATGATCTTGGAACTAATACGGACAATCTTGGAAGGAAACAGCAATAACCTCCATGTTTTCCAAATCGGGAAGGTACCGATCCTCTTGAGAATATTGTTTTAGTTGGGACTATTTGTATATGTGAAACTCCTAAATTTGATATAGCCAATCCTACTCCGCACAATAATTGATCCATCGATGTAGATTACCAACTAGAAAACGCATAAAGCATAGGCTTCACAAGGGGCAAAACTAGCAGAAACAACCAAATCCACTGAATCCACCAAGCCCAAGAGATGGGCGGTGTACTCCGTAGCCCGTAATACATACTACTACAATATACACTCCTCTGGGTGGGTCTACTCTAGATCAGCCCCTGAATCATGAATACAAACTTTAAGTAGATTAAGGCATATCCTTCGAATGCGCGGTTAGAATCTGCTGAAGATATGACAGCTCCGAATTCTTCAACCCGACGCTTTGGTAAAACAGTTCGGTGGAGAAAATCTAGGCTCTTCCCAAACAGCTCTGCTTCTGTATTTATTATTATATTTTTTAGAGTCTCGGCGATAACTGTCCAGGGGTGGGAATGGCTGTAAAAGTCGATACCTCTGTACGGAGTACGGAGTATCCTCTTTCAATACAACATACTACTGTAGATGCACAATGTGTATATTACACATTCTCCCCAAACCAGAAAACGCATAATCCAATCCGACATCTTGTTTTTACGTGCCAAGATCTAGATGTTGTACGGAGTAGGCGTTCTAACCTCATCACAGTGGCTAAAATGGTCGACGATGACAAGGACATGATTGTGCGTGGCCTTTGGGTCACCAAGCCGTGGAATCAGTGTTTCCCGCTATCCTTGATTAGGCATAGTGTCATATCAAGTCAACATTGACTCCAGCTCAAGAATATGAGCATGGTGCGTACAACATACATCAGGAGTCGGCTGACCCTTCCCTTTCGTTGTTACCTTTCGATTTATTCTTTTATTTTGATCTTCCTCCTAGTTCAACATGAGCGGCTATCCACGTTTGTTGCAGCCTGCCGGAGCAAGATTCATTGCCTTGGGGCAGCAGGGGCTGTTTTTGAAGATAGCAATGGAGTCGTCAAGACCCCTATCACCCACGATTTCACGGGATGTACTGAACCAACCATCTCAAATATGCAACACATAGAATATATCTCGGATCTATGTATTACCCGCGAAAAGCTCATCTACCAGACTCTGCCGAAGAACCCAAACATCCTCGATTGCCTCGACATTACAGAGCAAGGCCTCCGCTTTCCATATTATCGATTTGGAAACATTCGCACCTATTTACGTGATAATGAGGTGTCTCAGCATATTCGACATAATTGGATCAAAAATGCTATTGATGCTGTCGCTTTTATCCATTCCCATGGTTTCATGGTGATATCAGCCCACGGAATTTTCTCGTAGCCGATGACCTATCTACCACACTATGTTGTATGCGATTTCGCTGGGTCAGTCATTGGCGATATGGAGGCATACGTGGAGGAAGAAGAAGACCGATATCGCTTAGCACCGTGGTCACCGCCGTCTGTTAACACGGACTTGTTTGCCCTAGGATGCCTGATATATGAACTTTCCATTGTCGGAATCGACCCCAAGCTACTTTTGTAGCTCTCTTATCCCATTGACCCTCACCACATTCGTGATCCTTGGAAATTCTGCTCAATACGGTGTCCTGTAATGTCCCACTCATCCACTCATCCCCTCATCCACTCCTACTTTACAGACTATAGCCGCTAAGTACCATTGGACGAATACTTTACGGTACGCTCTAGAAGAAGCTACGTGTAGCTTCGGTCCGCTTATATATTCTCTTGCAATAATCGCTTTCTTGGCTTGCGTTTCCCACGTTTTCCAATGAACCACAACTCAGTTTTCCGATGCTTGGATTCCTCTTGAAAGCATACTGGAGGCTCAGGCGCTTCGATGAAGAGGTGGCATGAGTGATAGACAAATGATGCGGGAGTCATGTACAAAGTTGTTCAAGCTTTGTTCGTAAATCTACAGAGTATCGAGAAAGGATGAAATCCCACCAAAAGTTGAGGGACTTATAGCGGCACCCACACAGACGGTAAAGGGGTAAGAGCACGCTAACCCCAACAAGGCACGCTACACCGCATTCTTCAATTCACCGTCGCCATCACCAGAGTACAACATAGAGAAATGGAGAACAAAAAGACCGAAATAACTTCTTGATTGGGTTAGTTGACCGTTGAGAATGGATTCCAGCCCCAGCTACTATTTAACAAAAAAAAAAAAGAAAGAAGAAAGAAAAAAAGAAAAGAAAAGAACGCCTTTTCTCCCAGCCGCTCAATTCCCAGCGCTTCGGACCCGGGTTGTCCACTCTCGCTCCGAAGCGACCATTAACCCCCCTGACTTATTGGCGGCATAATGCTCCGTGCATATTTCAGGTACTTTTGACCGAACCTTCATCTAAGTATTCCGCACTCCGTACAATATACTCCGTAGGCTGTGTCTGAGACCTCGGGATTTGAGAAAATTGCAAACCCCGCGACCCAACAATCCGGATGTTCTGTGCGAGAATGCGTTGTGACAGCGGGTAATCCGTTCGTCTCCGGACTTCCGGGTTTATCTCCTGGCGAGTCATTTCCCTGCAGCAGTTTCCATGCAGTAGATTCCATACTCGGCTACTCCGTGGTGGGTACGGAGTAAAAACGGGGGAATCTCTAGAATTACCCTGTAGGGATAGGTGACAGGGGTGAGTGACAGGGGTAGGGGGTACTTTTGTTTAGTGGGAAAAAGCAAAACCATATGTTGTATAGATCTTGAACCGGGCCATTTCGAGAGATCAATGGATGAGCTACTCGCTACGCCGTATCTTGAAAACATCAAATACAAAATCCTCTTCAAACCTTCTATCCATCAAACCATACAGATCCATACTACAATAGGAAATATCTGACTGAACTCAAAGCGCCAGAAATCGAGATATCAGCGGCTATGGGTGATTTCTCCAATCCAATAACCAGCGCTCATGAACTCCGTGCTATTTTTGCCCCACTATGCATTCTTATGCTTCTGACTTGGCCTTTTAATGCACTCCATTCTGGAATAACAATCCTTGCAACGAGACTATGTACCTATATCGTAAACCATTAACCGAATATCCAATATTTGGTAATTCCCGTCAATAGTCATGCACCACTCTCAACTGGGTTCAATCTATATATACCCAAGTAAAATAAAATAACAAAAAAAGGCTCGGACCGTACAAACGGAACCACACGGGCTGTGTTGCCCACATAACCCACCCTGTTCCAGGTCACTTTACAACGCTAAATACTCTGACAGCTGGAAGGAGTATCTATGTTTCAAACGTGGTACGATGCATGTCCTCTTCGGCCGAAAATCACTCTTCTATCTGCGATGCGTCTACGGAAGGATTCCGGTTTGTGCTCATCTTCCGTGGCGCTGTGCCACCCACATCATTTGACGGTAGATATCAGCCCTGAGATACCCGAAGAGATAGAGTGGAATTTGGAATCATTGAAATGGACACCAAGTTAATAGAAGGGAAGGCAGATAGTCGGCAAGATGCACGATGTACTTGGACGAGGCAATTGCACATGCATGTCTGCGTGTCTCCACTCTGTGGCATGACGTAGAAAGTACCTAGGTGCCTAGGTATGTGGGCCAGACCGCGTGGTGTAGAATAAACGCCGTTGGGATTGTGGAGGGGCTCGATGCGTTCTTTTTCCTGGGTGGCCGGTCTAGAATGACGTTGCCATCCCAGGAAGCGGAAAGTGGGTGCGATAGTTTATTTGGGTGGCTGAGTGGAATTCCTGGTTTATGTCCCTGTTTTGCATTGCCACCGGGTTCTGTATTCGGAAAACTACGACTATTGCATGTGTACACCAGGCCATATGTCCGTATGTTTACAATTTAGCGGGTAATATACGATATGCGGCCGTCATGGAAATGTACACATCATCGGGTCCTGTGTCGGGTATGCAGGCGCAGGTATGTGTAACCTAGGCGTTGGTAATTCAGTTCCGATGCAGAATCCTGGAGCTGACCCCGGTCAGAGAAATGGGTTCGTTTCAAGGCGCAGATGTTAATGCCATCCTAACTATGTGTATGTTATGTCTGTTCTGTCTTGCTTGGTAGGCATGTAAAAATGACAAAGCCATCATCGGATAGATCATAGATCCACTTCGAGGCAGTATAAATAACACGGGAGACAAAATCAGTGGCAAATGAGGGATATCATAAAGGAGTGTTGGTCTTGGTCGGCTGTATAGATAAATCGGGTAAACGACGCTGTATGTTGAAAGCTCAAGCCGCCGCTTCAGCAGTGTCTGTTGGTTCAAGCGCCATAGCTGCTAGCTTCTCTTCAATGCTCTTGAGAACTTCAGGGTCTGTTTCTCGTTTGAGCTTTTTAGGTCTGCAAAAAGAAATTGAAAGTTAGCAAAGCCACATAAATGTAGGGTTGGTATCACGTACGGGATTCGTTTAGTCTTCTCACACTTCGCCTGACCACAATTCGAACAAGTTTCCGCATTGCCCTGGAACCAAGTCTCACAGACATGGCATACATAATGAACTCTCTGCCGAGGCTTCTTCCAGGTGCGCTCGGGTCTAGGTTTGGGCGGATCAGCATCGCCCGGGTAGCCATCAGGATATTTGTCGAGTTTAGCCGGGTCCCGCGGACATATCTTGCAGCGCACATGACTGCAACTGGGGCATTCCTTCGTGCCGGGGGTAAAGAGCGAGGCGCAGAAGTGACAGTAACGGTGGACACGTTGGCGCACCGGTCGATGGACGAAATCCGCGCCGCCCGTGGGCGACGCCATCTTGATTGAAACCTCCTTGGTGGTGCTGAGCTTGAGATTCGTGGTCCTGGGGTACATATAGGGTTGGGGGACGTAGGTGTCTGAGTTCTTGGGCTTGCGGGTTGATGGTTCGCCATCCTTGTTGCGGGCGGGTGGGTGGCGAGGACACTTTGTGCAGCGGGTGTGCTGGCAGTTGACGCATACTTTCTCTTTGCCGAAGGTTGTTTCGCAGCGGTGACAGGTACGGTGTACTCGCATGCGGATTGGTTTGGTTACGCGGGTGAGTTGGAGGTCCGGGGGTGCCTTCCAGTCGCTGGTGTCGACGGTCAGGCCGTATTTGGCGAAGAGGGCGCGGGCCTTTTCCTGTTGGGTCGTGCTGTAGTGGGTGATCATGACTGGACCTGAGCTGAACTCTTCGGCTGGTTCTGATGCTGATGCCGGTGCTGGTGTGGATGCTGTTGCTGTTGCTGATGCTGATACTGGTGCCGGTCCCGATACTGGTGCCGGTGGTGATGTTTCCTCTGCACTATATTTAAACAATGCCAGTCAGCGTCGAGTGTTGAAGTAGAAGAATGTTGTATATCGTACGTAGTTTCGGCTGGAGCGGCTACCCCAGGCGTTATAGATTGTCGTTTGGACATTGACCGAGGACGGAGGACGGTCTTCATCCGCTTAAGGTATTTAGAGAAGCCCTCAGGCTTGTCTTCCCGACCATCTTGAGACATTATTCGAACTGGAATATAATGGATTTAGTTGATATCCAGAGTGTCGGGATTCATTCCACACGAGATATGTCAAGTGTAAAGAACATCAAAGTGGACCATGGAATTTCCGTGCAGAAGTTGACAGGAGGGAAGAACCCAATTATTATAGAGAAACGAGAAATCAGACGATAATACCGAAAGAGGTATTGTATAACAGTACGGAGTACATATAGAACAAAAAGGGCCCAAAGCTCAGACGTGGGGATTCCGGGACTGTGGTTCTGTGGTTCTGTGGTTCTGTGGATTTTGGGATATTCCGTATTGAATATTTCAATTTTATTTTATTTTATTTTCACTTTACGAGTATCTGTATTTATTTTTGCATTTTAATTCTGTTTTTTTCACTGTACAAATGAGTACTAGTACTATTTCTCATTAATACATAGGCAAAAGTATTTCTTCATACTAACCATTGTAGGGAGGTACCGACAATCAGGTACTCCGTACCCGAGCATATGAAGACGTAAAGTCCTAACTCCGATTTAGTCTCTGATGTGCATCCCCACTCTTTCTCCTCCAACCCGGTGACACCTTTGGTAAAAAAAATGGCTTTGGCCTCGAAACTCTGTGGCTTCAGGAGATTCTCTCCATAACTCATATCCGAGAATAGTGTGCCACTTAACTGGCTCCGTAAGACATCGGACCCCCTGTTTCTTGGCACGTCATTGGCTCTACTTTCCCGTTCATGGGGCAATGTCTGTGTTTCGTTACGCTCTCAGTACAAAAGTACAATCATGAACATTTATGTCGCCTTCCCCATTGATGGCGTGGCATATGCTTCCCTATATCTGGCATATGTTGTATGAAGTTGAGTCCCAAGGGTGGGCCGGGGAAACCGGGAAGGAGTGACATCTGGCTGGTTTCCCTACGGCAGCACCCGCCATCCCGGCTCCCTTTCCAGAAACAGCTAAGTCTCCAATCTATCAGTGGAAGCGGATCGGGGAGAAGAATAAGTTGAGGGGCACTGAAGCGATGAGCCTTCAATTTACTCGTTATTGCGGTCGATCAGGAGGTTTGAGTCAGTTTCCTTTCCCATTAAGAGCGGGATTTGAAGTGCCGTGGAGATGCCGAAATCGTTTACGTATACGGAGTAGAGTTTGGTTTCTTCAAGGCCTTTGTGTCTACATATGTAGTAATTGTATGGGCAATCGTACCGAATTATGTAGATAAAGGGATTGTTACCTGGAGATAAGTACTCCGTACCTAGGTATGTCCATGGCTATAATGTAACCCATTATTTTCGTTGATAGGGTATCTTTCCTTTTTCGTCTATACGGTACCTACAATTGTAGGTAGTGTTATAGTGCTGACTGGATTATTGGTTACTGGGATTGTGAAGAAGTTTACGCAGAATCCAGAAGCCCCATGCAGAATCCCTCACGCATCGAAGGGTGGCAAAAGCAAAGAACCTTTGACACACGGGCATCTCTCCGACGATTGGACCAAAACAGGCCATGCATGATGCATGACACGGGGATCCCAAAGCGCAAAGTACAAAGGTATAAACACGAGCAGTTCGTCTCATGATTTACGATTTACTCCGCAAATGATGAAATCCAAGAGATCAACTAAAAAGAAAAGAGGAGAAAAAAAAAAAAAGAAAAAAAGAAAAGCAGCTAGGGAGAATAATGGAAGCGACTACGACCCGAGGGTTATGCACTACTGCAGTAGCTGCAGACGTAACCGTTGATCATGCCATTTTGGAATTTTATCCCCCAACGGGCTTTTTAGCTTGCAAATGGGTTTGTTAGCCTTCTGTCAGTTTTGAATTGCAATAAAAAGTGGACACGCTTAGAAATCGATTATAAAAAGGGAAGAGATAATATCCATGGATGTTTTTATAAAATGATAAAATTCAACAGAGCTGGGCCCCTTTGGAAAACAAGTAAATTTCCCTTGTGGACCCAAAGAGGTGGGACGGGTTGAGAAGTGGATTGTTCTGGGTTATAGTATGGGTAATACGGAGTACGGAGATGATATTGATATCAATTGATACTTAGGCTTCTTTTTTCTTCTTGTTAATAGTCTGGCAATCTACTAGATACTTCGAGAGACCATATCATCACATATATTTAGAACAATTCCTATACTTGATTATCCCAGCGGGCCTTCTGCATGCAGAAAGCATGAATGACCCGTCCCATTCCCATGTGCACGGAAGTATAGACCTGCACAATTTAATATGAAGAAAGGAACAATACATACCGAGTACATATACTGTACTGTAGAGTATCCCGTACACTGGAGTCCGAAATCTTGCCTCTCATCTGCCATATGATCACACAAGAGTTACAATATATGCTATGATGCTCTGCAACAATTACATTGGGCCTATATTCTATGTTGTAAGTATCTATGTTGTAGATACTTCGCCCCCATTTACATACATACGTATATGTACTGCATATCACTCTTCCAAATACCCTGCATTATTACTCGACCCGGTGCAATGGCCCCTGGGTAAAGCCACCAACGGATGACACGCCCGCTTTGCCACCGCCATTCCAGATATCACATATTATCCTCGGGATTCGGGCCCTTTGTACCATCCAATTGGTACTAGAATGCATGAACTGTATTGATTTTAGTATCACTGTGCATTGAAATTATTTGGAGTGGGAGACAATTCGAGACCTAGTACGGAGTACGGAGATACCAAGATATCTATTAGCCAAGCACATTGTTAAGTTTTTTTTTTTTTTGAACTCTTCACGTGTAGTAGCACATTCAGACAAGAAATCAGGCCATGAACTTCTAGACCATACCTGCACAGGCGAACCAACCGACCAACTTCGAAACAAGAAAATCAGAGTTCAGTGAACGGTGGAGAGCAAGGACATCTCAGAGTGGACGGTCACATTTGAAGGTGACCAATCAACCATTGCCATATATATTGCATGTCCACTTCAAATAACCCGTTGCACAAAACAGGAACACGTCGCTAATTGTATCAATCAAATGACACGGAGTCTTTTTCAGCGGCCATCTACATGGAAGGATGGGCGGAGTCCTACCGTATGAACTCCAACTACAAAGATGATCATCGGCCCCCAACAGTCTTGTGAGATTGAAAGGGTTTTGCGCTCGATCGCTAGGCTGGTTCTCTGGCAAGCGCTAGCTTTAGTTGCATCGATCAGCCTAGCTGTTTGTCCGTGGCTGGGGGCGATCGATGGCTTAGCTGGAAGGTGCAGGGCACATCGCCCCTCTGGACAGGACGACTTGCTATTCGTGAATGATGATGGTAATGATGACCAAAACCAGTACAAGCGTTCTGTCATCACGCCCTAGGCCATACAGTGCCAATTGACTGCAACGTTGGCCGGTCGAGCCCGGTGAATATCGGCATCCCCGAATGGCGGGCCTTGGCCACTCACTGTCTTTAAACAGGAACAGCACTACCCGAGAGCACCTAACTCGTGAGATCTACCACTAGCTCCGGTGTACGAACTGCACCGTTGAAAATCCTCCGCGATAGATCACAAATTCGGTTGTTGGGAGTATGCTCCTGTGTGATCGACGCGAGCTTGAGATCCCGGCAATTAGGTTCTTCCAGGTAGCCAAGTGCATGTCAGATTTCGAATTCCAGAAGTACATTCGACACCGCCGGGTGTCTGTGTGTGTGCATGGGCGGCATTTACAAGCCAATAGGATTCAGTCAACCCGCGGAAAAGGAAAAAAGAAAAAAAAAAAGCAAAAACGCCCTGTCCTCTATACAAAACCCACGCCCTGGGTATATGCTCAATCCACTGACATGACCTCCAACCAAGAGATGCATTGGCTAGCATAGTCGGCTTAATCCGAGCCGGTCAGCTTGGACTGGATGTTGATGATATCTTCATCGGCTTCCACCTCAATTACCCGGTTGACTTGGGCACTGGTGCGCATCAGCTCCACTGCATTTGCATACGACATGCGTTGCATCGGGTTGCAATTCTCGGGGAGCCAGTAGAGGAGAACGTATGGGACCGAGGGACGTCCGTCTTTCTGTGAGTGCATATCTCATTTAGTACAACGTATGTCGTAGGACTGACCGAGACTTTATATTCGATAGACAACTTACGGTAGTCATTGGGTAGCTGAGGAGAATGAACCGCGGCGAAGATTCGGGGAGATCATCGGCCAGATCTTCCATCTTCGAGTAGACTTCGTCGTCTTGCGGCCGGATCTCTTGGGTCTTCGCGTCAATAATATCTATCATGCATGACTTGTCAGCTTCGGACGCAGGCAAGAATATCGCTGTGGTTATGTTCGGCAGTATGTATGTGCTATATAACTCGGCTTCTCTCCAAATGCGTCGGAGATGTGGGAAAGCGCAGTTTTAGGGGCCCATACAGATGATAGCTTGCGCATCCTTGGCTCTCGATGTGCCCAGGCGGAACTTGCGTAGCTTCTCCTTGGTCTCGGGCGAGAACGAATATAGTCGTGAATCAGACTACAATAAGTTAGCATCTGGCGGGGAAAATTGCGAGCAGTTCGCATAGCCTATGCCAATGAACCTGGTGCGGGGAGACATCTCACCATTTTGGCCGTCAACTGTGGGACACGCAGGTAAGTCAACTGAGCGATAATCGTGAGCCTAGGGCTAATAATGCACTGGATAAAGATGATACTGGTATATCCGACCTGAAAAACTGAGAAGGGCTTTAGGAATGTGAGGCGAGACGATGAAAATGCGGGCGGAGTGTCCCCGTTCCCCCACTTTCACTTCCTCCGCGCTTTGAACCTTGGAACAGACCCAAATCACTCCCGACACCTCTATCTTCATGCTCAACCGACTGAATCTACTGACGCGACACTTCTCACGCCCATTCAGCCCTTATCGTCCTACCAGTCCTTCCTTCTCGACCCCGTCCCTGGCCCCTCGCCCAGGTCCGTCCGCGATGACATCAGCCGCGCACCCGAAGCCCATCCACACGGCAGCATGCCTCATTATCGGCGATGAGGTTCTCGGTGGAAAGGTAATTTGATATATCCACAGACTCCTCACAGACAGAACAGGAATTCTGACATTACCTCAACCCTTAGACCATCGACACCAACTCGCCGTACCTAGCCAAGTTCTGCTTCTCGCTCGGCATCGAATTGAAGCGAGTCGAGGTCATCCCCGACGATGAAGATGATATAATTGAAGCCGTACGACGGATGAGTTCCCGCTACGACTTCGTCGTCACCAGCGGCGGCATTGGGCCCACGTGCGTACAACCCCGTCCCTAGTTTCTCCGCATAGAAAGAATACAACGCCGACAATGTCCCAACACCGCGGTCCTTTATACAAACCAACATCTAACATATCTTCCCCTACAGACACGATGATATCACATACTCCGCAATTGCCAAGGCATTCAACCTGAAGCTGGAATTGCACAAGCCAGCCTTCGAGCGCATGAAGCGCCTCTCCAAGCCCCACCCCATGCAACTCGACTTCGACTGGGAAACACCCTCACCAGGCCTGACCGCCAAGCTGCGCATGGTCGAGCTGCCCTTCGACCCGAAGCTCCCCGCCGAGTCACAGGCCGTGTTCGTCGCTGACGACCTGTGGGTGCCGATCGCAATTGTGAACGGCAATGTGCATATCCTGCCCGGCGTGCCGCGGCTCTTCGAGCGTCTGCTTATGAGTCTGAAACCATCTCTTATCCCTCGTTTGACAGACCCCGAGGGTAAGGGGACGCACCGCTTGATGTTCAGCACGCCGATGCCTGAGAGTGCGGTGGCGCCGTACCTGACTGAGCTGGCGGCTAAGGTCGAGCCTCGGGGGATCAAGGTCGGCAGCTATCCGCGCTGGGGTAAGAAGCGCAATACTGTTACCTTGGTCGGAGCGGATAAGGCGTACATGGAATCTTTGGCTAGTGAGGTTGAGAAGAATGTTCAGGGTAAGTTGGTTGCGAAGGAAGATGAGCTGGATCCTCCGTCCGACTCGGAGCATGTTTATAGCCAGTAGATTGTTATTATATCTTGGAGAGTAGACTGCGACGTTTGAAATACGCGCAGCACATAGAGCATGACAATTCGGAATGTCAATATTGACCTGGACTATCACATGAAGCTACAAGCAGTACTCCTGCATTAAGGACACCACATAATCTAGTAGCTGTCATAGCAGCCGTGCAACAAGGGAACCCTTGTCAACAGGTCATTACTAGGACGTTGATATATCAAAGCAGTAGCCGTAGGAATCAGACGGAATAGATTGCACCACCGGGGGTAGACCGGCATATATATTCATACGCAGAGCACTCGACGGTAGATAGAACAATCAAGATACCAGGAGAACCTCAAGAACAAAGGTACACGCCGCAATGATGAAACGCAAGGAATTCACCTTGCCATGAAAGAGCATATATTGACAGCCGTGTCGTCTCGGGGCGACAAGGAAAATGATAATAAGAGGCGATAGATAACAAACACCAGGGATCTTTTGCAAAGAGTTAAACAGTAAAAAAGACAATAAAAAAAAGGGACTAAAACAAAGACGCAATCGGACAACAAAAGGGGAATCAAAATGTTTCGTGAGACGAGGTTGGGCGTCAAGGTCGGCAGTCATCAAGAATGCGAGTCCATTGAAGAACCCACAAACATCCGTAACACAAACGACAATGCCACTTCTTTGGTAATTTTTTCTGGTTTGGTTGTTTTTCTGTTCTGTCGAGGTTGCAGTCTTTCATGCAGTTTCCGTATGTTCCCATTTGTGATCTGAGTGGCGGGTTGCAGATTAAGGCCATTCAAAGGTAAACAAGATATCCAACTTTCGCAAGGGTGTGCCACCCTCGGACATATAAATCCTTCCCCGCGACTCTTCCCGATATTGTGCTGCGTAATTTCGGATTCCGGGAGTTTGTTTCGAGATTCAACGGGATCGCAGCGATTCGGATCATTTTTGTATGTTGGGGCTTTTTTTACATGATGACGCACTTTCCGCAGCAGCCAGCGTTCTCGGCCGGATCGCTCACGTCCATCTTGCCCTCTGGTGCGCGGGCGCCGAACGCGCCGGAGCCGGAAGGGGTACGAGGACATCTCCTTGTTGTAGCGGCGGATCTCGCGGACGAGGTCGTAGAAGGCATTCTCGACGTTGATGCGGGACTTGGCGGAGGTTTCGATGAACTTGCAGCCGAACTGGCGGGCGAGCGCTTCGCCCTCTGTTGTACGGGGTGAATTGTTAGCCACGGGATTCGGACTCGGGGTTGAATTTAGGGTTTGAGGGAAAATGAGAGTTCAAGGATGTTGAACGTAGAGACGGAAACATACCCTGCTCGGAGACAACGCGCTCCTTCTCCAAATCGCACTTGTTGGCAACAACAATGATGGGGAAGTAATCCTTGTCCTTGACGCGTAGGATTTGCTGTTGGAAGGTCATGATTTCTTCGAAGGATTGGCGCGACGTAATGGAGTAGATGAGCAGGAATCCCTCGCCGGTTCGCATGTATTGTTCTCGCATAGCCGAGTATTCCTCCTGGCCGGCTGTATCCAGGACATCCAACAAAGCGACTTCATCATCGATCACACACTGCTTGCGGTAGGAATCTGTAGGCGGAAGAAGGTTCCGAATCAGCCATGTTCAACTGGGGCCGACACCCCTGGGAAAACGCGACACGATCCACGCGGCTGATGAAACGGGGCTTCGAGGTGCTCACCTTCAATCGTTGGATCGTACTCGTCCACGAAGTGACTCTGGATCAGCTGGATGGTCAAGCAGGACTTTCCGACGCCACCACCGCCGACAACCACCAGCTTGTATTCTCTTAGGAACTGTTGATCAATACGGGGTTAGCCTTAAAGTCCCTGAACACGGGGAAACATCAATTCTCTCACCTTTGAGGCCATTATGAGTTTCAGTTAGAGAAGATAGAAAAAGAGAGTATTAAAATCAAAAAGGAATCGCACAATTTGAGGCGAAATCCCAAGTCAGTTTAAGAAAACAAAGGGAGAATTAGGGGGAGAGTTCGGAGGTTGGAACGGGAAGAAATAAATGGAGAAAACCGAAAGCTTCCAAGGTTCTTCTTTTTCTTCCTTGGAGAATCTTCGAATCCCAAGGTCTGGGGTAAACAAAACGATTTTAAAATAATAAAAAGAAAAAAACAAAAGAGATCTTGTTTCTTTTCTTTTCTTATTTCTCTCGAGAAAACAGCAAAAAGAAGAAGGGAGAGAAGGGGCGAAAGGGAAATTCAGGAGATAGTGGGGAGAAAATGGTGATTGGGCCAGAAAAAGGGGACATGCGCGCCATTGAGAGGTGCTCGATGGCTTTTATATTTCCTTTCCTTTTGTATTTTATTTTATTTTTTATGAGCTTTCGGATACTCATTCTTTAGTTCTTTGCTTTTTCTATTGCAGCCTGATCTATATAGCAGTACTGGTCTTGCTATTCTCCCTACCAGCTCCTTTCTCGATTGGGATTCCGTGCTTAATATATTCATGATGGCTTTGGTACGCTACTAAATTGTATCTCTACCAGGACATTGATTGGCTTAAACCCCAGCCCCATTCAGGAACGTGCAATTAACAACAATATATAGCGGACATTATCTTACACCTTCTCCTTTTACTCGCAATCTACACTAAGTTCACAATTACCACATCACCGTCTTGTCTATCGGCGACAACATATATATGTTGTACAGTTCGAACAGTTGTCCAGAGGTCAAGCCCAGCTCCTCCAAAGTGGATCTGCCGTCCCGGTGGAGCTGGGTCCATCTTTAGCGCTTTTAGGGCATTGGCCGACAATGTCCATACTGTACGGAGCTATATTGTACTCCGTATGTTGTACAATAAGTTGGGCTCAGAAATAACATGCACGAAGCAATCACTCAGATAGTAATTCAAAAGCCGAGGTTGGGCACCAAACTAACAGTATGGTTGTATGTTGTATGGTTCCCTCGACACCGCATATTCACCTTGGCTTTCTTATACGCCTGGATGGCTTGCAGTAGACGCCCGCCTTGCATAATTGCATCATCCCGCCGCAACACAATCACCTCTGTCACTTTCGATCATTGGATACATCGGAAAAATTCTTATTCTGGTCAACGTTCCACTCTTGGAACCCCCACCATATAGAAACCATCGGAGAGTTCGATGTCGATCAATTGATTTTTTTTTTTTCACTATGATCGCCATATGCCCTCCTAAGACCCAAGTCACGCCGTTTTTTTGACAGATGCCAAAGCTGCATATCGGAAATTTTGATCCGCACAATTTCCCACGCTTCTCTTTCAATGTTCCCTTAGGCCCGAATAAAGTTGCTGCCCAGGTGCTTACGAACTGCTTATACTAGCTTTGACAGGTGGGAACCCCGCGATTTAGGACTTGGATGGGGCCCCAAGGATATATGCAGAGTCACATTTGAGCGTGGAACACCTCGAGTTAGGTCATCGTTTATAACATGCTTCACCATACTTTTACACTTTTGGAATTTCACCTGTTATAGACTTCTAAGAGCGATATCAAAGCAAAAAATAAAAATAAACAAAGCGCCTTCCAAGGTTACCTACCTAGGTACGCAATATGTTCTATCCATGGTTCTTTCCCGGGCGCGATGCCTGTCTTGATTTAAATGAGTCTCTGTTCTTCCCTTTCCTATGGATGACCGGAACTCAATCCCTTGTGTACGACAAAGGTAGGTACGCATTGCTCGAATGTCTCAAGGTTGGAGAAGAGCCGGAATCAAATTTCGATACTCAGTTGACATCCGTATTTCGGTATTGAATCCCATGGATTATTCTTCGAAGGTGAGATTTGATAATCAGCAAGGCTGCATCCGTCTGGTTTGCAATGTGGGCTGATCCTGATATGACCCGTCAAACGGACGCACGGTCCGTGATTGATCATGACTCTGGTGACCATGCATCTGTCAGCATCCAGCAAGTAGTACGACTGTGTTTCGAGGCAGCGCTTAGAAGGAACTAACGATGGGATAATGCCGACAGAACCGATAATGAGCCGCACAAAGAGATGTGATAGGAAATGCCATTGGTAGGCCTTGTCCAATATTTAGTGACAAATCTACATGTCAAGTCACACAGACGTGATACATACCAAAGTAAGTCCCTAGAACTAACGAGCACGAGGCTTGCATAGCGCCCAAAGGCCAAGTGCAATTTGAAATCGAGTCGCGCGGAGAACCATCTATATAGAATCCTTTTGCTAAGATATCAGCTAGATCGATGAATGTGAACTCTGAATTGCAGTTGGCATCGGAGATAAAAAGAACCGGACAGATACCCCGGGACCATTCGTCAGCTAAGAAAAGACCCGAATCACACTCGACTTGACTTGGAACCGAAGGCATCACCAATTGCGCGCGACGTGCAACAGGCCAAGGGGGTACAAGTGCCTGGGCACATGAACAGAGACAACTAACACAACGTGTCCAATCTGTCGAAGATTTAAGTACCTGACTCTGGAGAAATGACTGTAATACGTCTCCATTGTGAAGATAGAGCGAGAGCTACCCAACTCGTACCTAACCCAACGTGCAAGCAGGCTAAGCAAACTGCCAACACGCCAAAAGTTGAAGTTCCCGAGTGCCAGCCAATTATCTCCAAATGTCATTTGCAGATCTCAAAGTCGGCGGACTGTATGTCATTCTCCAAGCCCGTCAGGAACCACCGGAGCCCAACGAGTTCTACTGGGGTCTGTATCTCCACTCAGATTCCATTGGAGGGATGGCATACCACGTCGTGGACACAGGGTCTGGTCTGAGGCCTGAGCATGAGTACACTGGTCGAATCTTCGACACTCCGCTTCTGACGGGCCTATTCCGAATTGCCGATATCACTCGTCCCTTGCACCCGTTTGTCGACAGGGTAATAAGGTTCCTACGACAGCAGCCTCAACTGTCCCGGAAGAAGCAGCAACAGCAAGTTCTGGGTTTTGAATGTCCTTGCACTATTGATCCAGCCTACGTCCACGGGATGGCTTCCAGTGAATTGTCATAACCTGCCGATCCTGGAGCAGGAAATTCGCGATTGGGGTAATCGAATGTCCCAAGGAAGGTGTATTTATCAACGACCCAAGCCAATTGGATCTTCGACGATCTGTGGGTTGCCAGAATGGAAAACACAGCGTGAGTTATCTATTTCCCTAAGGCTCTGAGTGTGGGTGAATCATCGATTGACACAGGCAATGGAATATATAGCCGATCATCCAATCTATCCAAACAAATGATCCAATCGCTTTTAGTATGGTTTCCCGTGTTGAGCGCCAATTGACCGGTGTATTATTTCGTGTTATCAAATCGAGAAATTGCAAATTATAACTGTCAATGTCTTTGAGTCTAGCATAGAAAACTCCCAATCTAAAGCATGCCACGTTTAAGCGCTACAATTGCCTCCACCGTAATATCCCTGGCGGCTCAAGTCCCGTCCAGAATAGAAACTGGTCGAATGCTTGTGCGAGCAGTACATCCACACCCGTAACCCTGTCTCACCCCTGATTCCGCTGTGCTGCTGCCAAGGGCGGCGTCTGTCCCGGCTTGTACAACGTATCGATTGACTATTCAAGTCTGAGAAGTATATAGATGATCGGAGTCTCTCGACAACAAATTTGGCCGTATGAGAAGGATAAGCTGTTGTCGGTGATCCCGAATAAGTTCCCTACCATTGAGGTGCAGAAGCGCAACTCATATTTGAAGGGATATAAATGTTTGGCATATTGCCAGGAGCTTACTATGGGGGTCTCGGTGCCGAGGGATATGTTTGGTCATCGTCGACATGCGGGAACTGTTTGTGGGGAGAAGCATGATTTGTTGTATTGACTTGCTAAAGAATGGCTGGATGGAAAGGTAATTGGCGTATAGAATGATGAGGTGCTCGGAAATATGTCTCATCAATAACACGTATAGTCCGGTCGCGAGTCTGTCTTCTTCGTGTTACACGCATTAATTGGACGGCAACTGATGAACAGGTATGTGACCTCTTTCTCAACTGCCTTCTGGTCACCGAACTTCCGTAGGCAACAACCTATATTTGCTCAGGATGTAGGTTTACGCTGGGAATTTGGATAAAGTCTCTCTGAGCAACCTCAACAGCCACCGGACTGTTGGCATCGCCAAAGCTTGGTTGTAAATGTTTAACCACAACAGTGAAATTATGGCCTATCGAAATGATATAAATTCGATTCCTTATCTGGACTAAAAGCCCAGCTCACTATTATAAAAGGAGGGAAATATGCAGCAAGGGAAAAAAAAAAACCAATCTGAGACTCCACACCAGGATTTCATGCGAAAGACGAAGCAATCGAAAGCCAACTCACACCAACTGTTGCGACTTCAATCCCCTTGGTATCCTTTTGCGGGGGATAGCTGACGCGAGCCAACCTCGACAACTGGACCGCAAGCAAATGCTCTCTGAAATATATATCCAAACCGCCGACCATGTGAATACTATGATCAGCACCGTTTCCCCCCTTCTTCTCTCCCCCAGCACAGCCTGGGACCAACGGTTTCATCTTCCATCTTCCCAGTCCTGCTTCCACTTTTAGCCCATACACGCTTGGTCTCGTACAAAGTCTCCCAAGAGAAGCCAAAGCTCCCAAACATACCAGCCTCCTTCTTACCCTCAGCCGCTGCACTCTTCCAAACAAAATTGCGTCCTCCGTACTCGAATCGTCGCGGCGACCAATCCTTTCTTTGCATCTCTCCATCCGGAATCTCGGTTATTGCGCCCATGTCGGGGATTGTCCGTGTTATCATCCGAAAACTGCCTCCTTTGGTCTTCTGCAGTCTTACACTCGTCGCCCCGATTCCGGGCAAGAATTCCCCGGCGCGTCGGAGGACCGTATTGACAATGGGTTCTTCGTTGCTCCAGACGAATTGGAGGGCGTATAAAACGTGTGTGTTGGTCGAGTCTTTGACGAAAAACCAATATGAGCGCATACCCAGGTTGACAAGCTCCGAGGAATGCGTAATCCGGTAAGTGACGGTCGGAGTCGAGGGAGAAAGAGTCAGCGAGAAAGAAGGGCGTTGCGAGGTGTCGGTATTGAGGAATGGCTGGAGGTGGGCTGGAGCCGTGCTAGTATCTTTTGTAGATTGACTGGGATTATCTCCACCGAAAGTATTAAGACTCTTGCGGATCTGGCAGTTCACAAGAATGAGGATTTGGAAAGGTGTGCCATGTTCTGGAGTTTGTTGCTTACCTGGGTCAATGACCACGTCTTTCCATCCTCGCTTTCCACCTCCTCCATCGCATCCAGAATCGTTGGTGGCAATATTATACCGTTGAAACTGCCCTTGCGCTTTAGGTCTTCCAGATAGGCCAGGCGCTCTCGATGAACTTGGACCTGTCTCTCAAACATCTTTCTGTGAATTTTGAGGGCATTTCCTTTCTTGTATATTTTGGCCGCTTCATCCAAAACAGTTATGGCGCTCTTGTACGCTTTGATGGCTTCATCGTAGTCACCCTTGCGTTCCAAGACGAAGGGCATTGCGGCGAGCTTGTAGACTTTATTGTCGGCATCGACTTTTCCTGCCATTGCGTCGGTAGAAGAATAGTTGACTGATTTGAAAAATGGTTCCTAACTTGTTTGCTTTCGAGGGGTTGGATTATGGACCTTTGCGAAGATGGTCTCCATGACGCACCTTTATAGAACCGAAGACGTCGGAGGTTTTCTTTGTAGGTTAAAGCCAAGGTAGAAATATGCCTTGCCAAGGGGCTTCCATGCATAAAACTGAGCCTGTATAGGATATGGGTTCGTGTAGCCGTTGTCGCGAGCGATTGTACTCGAATCAGGTTGCATCGTGGGCATCCTTCGGGAGAGACAACTGGAAATTTGTGGGAAATGATCACCTGCAGCATCAGCCACAATGCCAGCCTGTCTTAGAGACCCTTATGAACTGCGGTTGGAATACACATGGTTGGCACTTGAAGAGAAGGACCCTAACTAATCGCTTAGCATTACCCTCTTCGAAGCTTGGCAATTTTATGGGGAGTGGATACGGAGTAGATAGCACATGGCTACCAAACAAGCCACCCTGAATATGGCTACTCGGTGTCCATGGAGTATTTTCAAGAGGCTGTGTTTACGGAGCCTCGGGCTAAATCAGCACCTGCGAAGAAATCGGGTTAGACGGGCTCATTTACGTTGCTTCAGAGCTATGTATGGATATGGGATCTAATAGACTAGAAGACGCAACAATAGCAACCGCCGTCTAAAATCGAACTATCCAGTGTAATGTCTGACTGTCTTGACTCAAGAAACCATGTATCCTGCGATAACATGAATCAAACATGTGCCTTCGGAGTGAAAAAGGAAAGGGAATCTTATCTTATAACCCCCCCCTCTTAAACAACCTTGGAGATATGTAATATTGGATAAGTGCTAAAATGCCAAAATGGCTATGAGCTATTGAAAACTGAGGAAAGAAGAATGGTCATTATCGACAAGAAATCCGACACAACGGTGAAGGTTGAGGCTGAGGGTCCCACGGCACTGGACTAGCTTGGAAATTTGCCCTGACATTCCCACTGCCCAATATGAGTTCATTTGGCACAAGTTATGTTAGGATATTTCAGCATCCTTTTCTATCCATAGAGCTATTCGGAATTTTAAATTGGTCGAAACCCCGTTCAAGAGATCCGTTTTCTTGCTGCGTCTGGGCCCTGTAGGGCTACTCTGTAAGGGGTTCATATGGCCTAATTGGGTATGGCGTTATACCTTTCACAGAGACTATCACCACGCTAGTACCCAAACAGGCTAGAAATCATCTCAGGATATAAAGAAATAGCCAATAGGAAGGCTCCGTTTCAACGCCTTCTGTTCATTATCCTAATCGGTTTTAGGCTGTTCTCCGTCTCTTGACTCCTGCTGACTGCATGAAATCTGAAATGATTTCTCATCTTATGTGAAGACGGTCGCTCGATCTCTTAAGTCTATTCTCTTATTTTCTTTTCGCCATTTCAATTTCTGTCGCTCATTTGACGCCCCCTCACATTCGTTAATCAATTCAATACAACATGCGTATCCAATCCCTCGCTCTCCTGGCAGGCGCCACTACCGCTATGGCTGCCGAGACAGTCACTCTTTTCCTACCCGGGTTCGACGAGCAGCGAATTGAGGGCAAGGTCATTGGCACTGTATGCGCAATCATCCCCTGTCATTTAGGACAGAACATTAATTGACATTGTTCCAGAGCGGCTCCATGACCAAATATTTAATCAAGTGTGCTGCCGACGTTGATTACACCGAGTGTGGCATCCCCGCTGATGGCATGACTGTGGCCCAAGGCTCTTCAACCGTCAGCCTGGGGTACAGCATGGACTCTATGTGAGTATCCAGCCCTACAAAGATTCCACTTAAACCCCCACACTGATAGCTGATCCTTTCCTGAAATAGCACGATCGCTGAGAGCTGCAAGTACGATGCGACAAGCGTGAGCTGCGGCGCAACCTTCGACGAGAGTGGCACAACTTCCTCGTGGCACTCAAAGATCGCTATCACGGAAATTCCCGGTGGCGCATTGATGCCTGTGACTATCACCGCAACTGGTTCTGATAGCTCTCCCGCCACCACTGGTGCCTCGGTCTCGGCTTCTACTGCCTCCTCGACTAGCGGTGCGACGTTGACCACCTCCGCTTCTACTTCCGACAGCACTGCTACTGGCACAAACGCCGCTACTGGAACTGGCACTGCTAACGATTCCTCGGATAGCAGTAGTGCTGCTGCCACCAGCCAGACTGAGACTGGTAACGCTGCTATGCCCATGATTACTGGAAACGCGTGCTGGGCTGCCGGTGGTGTTGCAGCTGCTCTGGCCATCGCCGCTCTCTAATTGTCGGGTCATCCTTTTGAAATGAGCGTGGATGCCAATAGCCGTCGCTCGGCTAACACCCCTGCCTTATTGATAGATATGTACTTTCCTCATGTATACTATGCATTATACGAAGCATGATACCTTTTCTGTACTTTGGCCTTATCGACCTAACTTGAATCCGTATTGTTAGGGGTCTAAGAGGTATGTACTTCGTATTTACGCCACACAACCCGAGGCCGTGAAACATGTACAATGAGCGCTATACAAACCTCCTCTAAATCTTCATTCAAATTCGCGGGTGTAAGTTATGACCTGCGGTGCATCACACCAGCCGCAGCCTATAGAATAGTCAGAATATGTCCATAATAAATTCAACCGCAAAGCAAGCTTACTTGGTGGCTGGGGAAAACCAGGGTATCGGCGATCACAACATTCTCACGACGACCAGCCGCAAAGACAACAACCTCGGCAATGTCATCACCAGTCAAAGGCTCGACGCCCCTATCGATGGTTAGTTATATTTTGTTTCTCGGCTTATTTCACATGACTTACTTGTACACAGCATCAGCCTTGGACTTATCTCCATAGAATCGCACAACGGAGAACTCCTAATCAAGGGTATTAGCTTCATATCAAAGACGACTATGAATGTATGCAATAACCATACAGTCTCAACTTGACCAGGATCGATTTCAATAACACGGATTCTCGTGGCGATGAGCTCCTTTCTCATCGCATCGGTGAAGGAGCGGACAGCCGCCTTGGTGGCGCAGTAGATGCTACCGCCAGAGTAAGGCTCGCGACCGGCGATGCTACCAATGTTAATAATGTCACCACGGCCACCATCAGAGCGCTTCTTAAAGATGGGCAGGACGGCCTGGGTCATGTTAATGAGACCGGTGACATTGGTGTCAAACATGACCTTGATATCCTCGGCAGCGATGTCAGGCGCCTGGGCGACACCCTTGACCAAGCCACTGCACCGCGAATATCAGCACCAATCGTGCATATCAATCAGCTCCGCTTGATGTGTATGACTCACGCATTGTTGACAAGAACATCAATCTCCTTGAACCCCTCCGGTAGGGAGGAAACAAAGTTATTGACTTCCTCTGGGTTGCTGACATCCAGCTTGACGGGAAGAACCTGGACACCATCGCCAACTTCCTGCTTGATCTCCGCCGCGACCTCCTTCAATGTGTCGATACGGCGCGCCGTGAGGATCAACTTCAGGTTCTTGGGCGACGTGCGGGCGAACTCCTTGGCAGTGCTCTTTCCGATGCCCGATGAGGCACCAGTAACGACGATAGTCTTGCCTTCGAGGCGCTTTGCCATTGCGGAAGCCATAGTGCGTCGGATAGAAGTTCGGTGGGCCGCGAATAGGAAGGAGGTGGGGTTTGCGGAGAGAGCTGGGGTTGTAAAGGGGTGTGAGAGTCGTTGAAAGCGTCCAATTGATCTGATGCAAGCTCTTAGATGGGTCATGGATCGAAGGCTCTGTTTTTCAAGGAGGAATGAGACGTATAACAAAAAATAAATAGAATAATCACGAGCGAATGCGGGGACTCTGGCGTCATATCGTGCTTATGTAATCTCATACATCGCCCGGGGTTGGAGCCGGGCCCACGGCGAGAAGGCCGATTCCTCGTCTCCGTATTAATTCATGGACCTTCGCTATGTTGATTGGCCCTTGGGCGCACCACTACGACAATAAGGGTAATGTTACTCGGTTTGCAGAAAATAGTAAGCCACTCATTACCTAGGTACTACATAGGTAGATAGCCGTGGGGGTCATTCACCCACATATGTACATGTAGGTACCAAAGCTACTATTCATCCATCCATGGTACATTCAGCCCCGGAGGTATCCTTGGTTTGACCACCCTTTACGGCAAGGTATTAATTCTAAACATGAGGTAAAGGTACAAGTTTTGCGTCGGTGCTGTCCATCAGTATATACCCGCGGACATATGTAGATTGGGCAATTGAGCAGTAAGAATTAAAGGAAAGGTATATCCACCAAGATAGTTTTAATAAGTAAAGCATAATTGTCATCCATGCCGTTAGGATAACTTCTAAATATTACGACTAACTCTACGTCTTACCTAGCTCATATAGAACCCTAGACACAAACACAGCATAGGTAAGATGCTCTCTACACTGCATATCGCATATCTAGAATCGGTCTAGCAGTACGCCGATTGAACCAGATGTACATTGTGGCTTTCCATTTTTGTTTTTCCTTTAGCTAGTTTGAGAGTTGAGATAAATTAATGTTATGCTTGTGTTGTGTTGATGTGTATCTCCATGGTATTACGATATAAGATACTCAATCCTTATAAGTTGCTATACGGTAGGGCTGGTCAACATAGCGAGGGTGTCTTGAACGCTTAGAGGGATTATTCGGAGACAATGCACATAATGGAGTCTGTCTTTGAATGCATCCCCAGGTCTCATTATACTCTTTATATGCGCCTGGGGCTGACTGAAAGAAGAGACAAAGCCTCATGCCTCATTGGAATTGGTCAAGGAGATAGTTTATCTTTGAAGAAAGACGCCTTAATTAGGATGGTCATCTTCAACTAGACAAAGGGATAAGTGCACCTTTATGATCAATAACACGAGACTCGTTGTAACTGGACAAAGATCAAAAGAATGCCATTGTCTCTATTCTCTTGGAGGACATCGATTAATAGTTCTTAAGACCGGTCACTGCCCCCGATGCATCTAATAAATAGCGTTGATACCCACCCAGCAGTGTCCAGCAGAGTCACAGTTTTGGCGCTTTCCCTCGAGTGCTCTGATCTTTTTTGTTCAGACAGAAAGAGCAAAGGAGTGCGTTCCTTCCGTATCCAGCACAAAACAAACACGGTAACCTACCTCTTCCTAGCTATAGCCTTGTTTACATTCTAACCTTCAGTTCACATACACATACCGATGCTAGAGCTAGTACTCTTTGAATACATCCATCAATTATTCAAATGTTACTATTGCTCGCATAAAGTTACTATCTATCTTGATATTTCAATCAGATCTATCAGATAATACAAGATATCTTATCAACATGCCTTCTCCGGCAAAGGTTTGCTATGCGGATCCTCTGAACATAGTGTCAAAGCGTAATACAAACTTACATCTCTCTTCTTCAACCCAGGACGCCTCCTTTGACGGGCTCCTTCGCCGGTGTGACTTTGACTGGGCGGAAGATGTTGAAGACGCTGATATCAGCGGTAATTTGCCCATCACCGCAACAGCAGACCCTCTTGATTACTGCTTGTCAAAAGAAACTCTCTACGACGAAATCCATTACTCTCCTCGCCACCTGGCATATCGCAAGTACAAGCCATCACTTCCAACTATCCCCGAAGAAGTGTGGGATGAGCCATGGGGTTGGGTGCATGGCACCCCAGATATAACCTCCAACCCTTCGCAGAGAATATTGGCAGAATCCCACGACGATACTACCCAGCACTCAACATACGAGGGGTCTCGAGGCAATAGCGAGTCAGATCTCCATCTGGTTACCCAACAATCGATCAACAACATCTTTGCTGATCGCCAAGCCTGGATTGAAGCAGATGAAGAGATCCATCACTTCAACTGGATGGGATTGCGTGTTTACGCACACAGCTCGACCTCCCCATCTGAATCGCTAGCCATTATCTTTGCAAAACCCAAAAGCCTACAGGGAAGTGCTATGTGGCGAGTCCACTCAGTTCTGAACCGAGCTGTTCGTTACATCGACCCGGTACTTGTGCTTTTGGATGACGCAGACGAAAGCTTGCTCGAACTACGGGGCTCAGAGCTTGTGCGTGCATCTACCGGACGTGTTTTCAAATTTTACTCACCGCACGGATCATGGTTGGAAGATTCCAATGACCCGAGTGAAGAAACGACTACTGACTTCGGAAATGTACGGACATATGAGGCTGCAGATTTAGTCATTGGAAATGGCTTTGTAGAATCTGCCCCTATCCCTTCAGTATTCCAGTGGGTAGAGTCTCGGCATAAAGCCTGTGATACCCATGGGATTCAGCGTCCACGGAGGATGACTTGGGAGCGGAAGCCCTCGCCGTTGCGGCATTGCGAAATAATTTCGCCAGAAATAACCCCCCCAGGCACCACAGCCTATTACCATCAAGAAGCCAAAGAAGCCGCCACGCAAGATTACCACTTGTGTTGCTGGAGCACCACCTGAGGAGTATTTCTCTTTTCCGACTCCTGTTTTTGGTCGTCGTAGGCCGATCAAGCAAGCATTTGCAAAGGCTCGGCGGGGACTGACATCTGCTTTCACATCATTGAAGACCAAGCTCAGTTAGACATTTATTTATTTTCTAACTGGTCACATTTACTAGGCTGGTCCTGGTCCCTTTGTTTTCTGAATCTCATTTCATTTTCACTTTGGATTCTGGTCACCGCACTCTTGCGCGAGATCAGATTCAGCTTACAATCATGCTCCCTTCGGGATAATGTCCTATTTCCGTTTGATATATCCAGACATCATAAATATTTGGATTCTGCTGTTGGTGAATTTTCAAGTTGTCTTTCATTTCTTTTATCTACCAACTTTCTTTTGTCTTGCTTTCATACCTCGGTAAAGCTGAAAGTCCGTCATTCCTTCGTTTTATTTTTCTTTGTACGATCAAATGGCGAAGCGTCATTGTTTATATGCGAGTGATACCCATATTAAGGGGTATGTGTCCCTATCAAATAAGTTTCAATAACCTTACAATATCAAGTAGACAAGCAGAAAACGATTACGCTTTGTAGTTTAGATCTCATAAGCAAGACAAATTATACACTTCATGAGAGGTCTTCCGCAGATCTTGCCTGGCAATCAACGTTTGTAGCGGAATGACAGTTCATCATCAAGTTCCGTGCAAGGAGCAGTGAGTGTAGGTAGTGTGTCGACACGCTTCCACCATTGCTGTCCCATGCGTTTGTAGGATTTCTTCATTTTCCCTATCCAACCTTACGATGACAGGGTCAATGTACCGAATTGCCCTGTTTAAGATTGAATTGACTCGAAGCTGATCCCTGCCCTTTGGAACTTTAGGGCTAGCCTGCATAAACGCCAGGGAAACTGCAGGCGGGGTAGTGCTTCGATTGTAACAAAGCCAACCTTGGAAACCTTCGAGAGTTAGTAAGACAAGAAAGAAAGAACCTTACATCTGGTACGAACCGGTGTTGGTTGAAAACGGCTTTGATGAAATACCTAACTAGAGTATTGTTAGCCTTTGTTCCCTAGCGCTCCCTGTCTTATATTCACATTTCAACGGCGAAGGTTTCCGCTCCCAAGCCACATTCCAACAGGTTTATCCGCTAGCTGTAGGATCGTATATGGAAATAAGATATAACAAATGATCAAAGAACATATATGCATTTATAAAGGGAGGGACGGATACGGAAAAGAGAGGGGGCAAGAGAAATAGGGGGGGGGATATGGCTGTCTATCTGTCCATATACCTAGATCCTGATGCATGGGTGCCTTAGGCCATCAGACATTCTTTCAACACATATGACAATCATGCCTGATTCACTAGCCAGTAAAATTGATCAATGGGCCTTGGTTCTATATACTTCCTCCTCAATCCGGGGTCTAGTGAAATCCATACTTGAGTGTTGTGACCATGAACCCATTACTCTGTCATCACCGACCGTCGACACAAAAGTTCATATCATTTATTTTCGCCAGTGAGACTCTAAATTCCCCTGGTTTGAAATTACCTTATTAAGATGGCTAGTTTGTTTAAACATCTGTCACGTTGTGCCTGCTAACGGATTGCAGCCCGCACCTAGCTATTGCGGCCCTCTCTCAAACCGACGACCGGACCACGAGCATAAAACAGTGCAGATTACTATGTTGTCCTACGACCATCCTGCCCTGTGTCCGCAATTGTGGCACATATGGTTCGACGATGAAGTAGCCTACCATATGGTGTCCTATATGTTTCTTCGAGCGTAAACAATCTGCCTAAGTACCGTGTACCAAACTTACAGGGAATAATGAATATCGGAAATCAACAATCCTTTTTTTTTAGGTTTTTAGTAGTGAACTCTTAGTCCTCATCAAGAGGTCACCTGATAGTGACAATGATAACTGTCAAGAAAAACAAGCATCTCGCTGGAGATCAGGATATTTACAAATGAAAAGAAAGAAAAAGAAAGAAAAAGAAAAAGAAAGAAAAAGAAAGAACAAATCAACTCCAGGAAGTGAAAGAAATCTCACCTTAAAGTGAGCCCATTGTAAAAACAAATCTCAGTCAAACCTCACTTCCAAACTTCATCAACATTTCAGCATTCACCTTGCCCCCCCCTTCCCAGAACAGCATATTGACGTGCTCGATGCGAAGTGGAAAAAGAAAAATGGAGTCACCTTAGTAAGATGCCCAAGAAAGAACCTGCGGTAAGAGCCGGTTAGGGGTGAAGATGGCTTTTAAAAGATGGGACACCTTCCTGATCACTGCCCCCATGATCCCAAGGGAGAAAGCGAAGGATTTGTGAAAGGACTAATGGTAGTAGGCCAAGCCCTTTTGACTAGATGGTGAATGATGCTAACTCGGGAAGAGGAGGTTGTAGTAGGAATGACTTTGGGCCCAGGCCAGGCCTTCTTGATCAAGGTCCCCATGATGCCAACGGGGAGAGAAATGGGTGTGTGAGCAGTTCCCTTTGCAGCAAGCCAAGCCTTATTGGTGGTCTCGCTCACAATTCCAAGGGGTACAGAAGAGCACCTGGTATGGGGGCGGTTTTGTGGGAATGGCTGCTTTGATTCCATGGCTTCGATTTTGAACTTCGATGGGGTGGGCTTCCATGTCAGCTTCCGGGGGAAGCTGCCAGGGCCCTGGCTGGCAGCAACCAATTCAGCTCGCCGCCACATCCACTCGCCCCGAGAAATGAGAGGCCCATTCTCAAAAATCCCATTACTAATGGCAAATGGCCATCGCTAGGTGTGCCAACATCCGGGACGATCCTTCTTCGCATGGAGAAATCGTCGGTCATCCAATTCCCGTGTAGGGAATAATGGGTATAAGTAATTTGCCCACACGCTTCCACCATTTCGGATCCATGCACTTGCAGTATTGCTTCATTTTCACTGTCCAGCCGTACAATGACAGGGTCAATATAGCGAATTGCCCTGTTCATCATGGAGCTCACTCGGAGCTCATCCCTGCCCTTTGGGACTTTAGGGGTAGCCTGCACAACGGCCAAGGAAACCGCAGGCGGGGTCGAGCTTCGATTGTAGACGGGGCAGCCGAACCAATTCCAATGATGGATACTCTCATCCTGACTGCCAACGATTGAGCGGTACTCATATTCGTTGATGAATTCTTCTGAAAACGGTGGAGTATCTGGCTCTGAGGCTTGGACTGACTCGGAGATAGAAGCGGGAGTTTGGGGGTCAAGGCCTTGGATTCGCTCGACTGGCTGTGGGGTGTCGCCAATGTCGTGGGAAGACTTGGTAGTGATACTCATCTCAGGCTCGTGGTTCAAAGGATCGGTGGGGTTAGTGTCCTCAGCGAAAATGGAGTGTCTCGCGGTGAATGAGCTGAGCGTTTGCATGTTCCTGTATGGTGAAACGACAGTTAATATACAAGATCTCGAAGAGGTAGTGGAGCTGGGAGTGGGTATAAATACCAATTCACCGGCTGCGACAGGGCCATCAGTTGTATTGTGACGTTTGTGGTCGATCTCGAGATCCTCGACGTCCATGTCGAGATCATTCTCATCATTGTCGACCAAGTCAAATTCATCGGGGTGCGGAAGGTGGGTATGTGAATCGCCCTATACAGTGAAATCACGATTAGTTTCTTAGGTCTCGAAAATGCAGGTGAGCTAGGCGTGAGGATAAATACCAGTTCAACGGCTGTGACAGGGCCGTTAGTTACAGTGTCAACCAACTCGAAGGCCTCGGGGTGTGGGAGGTCAACACATGAATCGTCCTATACAGTGGAATCAACAATTAGTTCTTTACTTCTCGAAAAGGTAGATGAGCTGGGCTTGAGGATAAATACCAATTTAGCGGCTGTGACTGGGCCGTTGTTTGCATTGGGAAGTTCATTGTGGACAGCGAGGTAGCTCTTTTCCTCGTCTGAGTCCCGATGAACAGGAAGTTGGGCATACTCATCACCCTATAGAGTAGCCATTATTAGTTTCCGAGAACTGAAAGAGCGAGCTAGAATTAGGGATATTTACCACGTGATGACCGGTGGTAGGGCCAGTGGAAGTGATATCCACAGCAATATCATCATTGGCACAGTTCGACCGGTTGCGATCAACGGGAAATTGAGGGTACTGGTCATTCTATAGTGCAGCCATTGTTAGTATCAGACCTTAAAGAGATAAGTGGGCTGGAAGTGGGGATATATACTTTTCTCACAGTAGCAGAGCAGGTGGAAGCGGCATCATCCTTAGTATTCTCCAGGCAGTGATGATTAATGGGAAGTTGGAGGTACTCGCCATCCTATAGTGTAGCGGTTGTTAGCCTGTGAAGTTTCAAAGACATAAGCGAGCTAGAAGTGGGGAGACATACTGGTTCAGTGGCGGTACCATGGTCAGTGGAACTGACAGTGAGATTTTCAGTGTTGACGGTTGGGATGTCAGTATCCATAGCGATGGATTTGTCTTTCATAACGATATCATTCTCCACATCTTCGCACCAATCAAACTGTTCCCTCATAAGAAGGTGAGCATATTCGTCCTAAATAGTGTATCAACTGTCAGTACTAAGAGCTCAAGTGGATATGTTGTCGCCAAGGGGATGTCGTTCTCTACATCCTCCCACCAGTCGAACTGTTTACGCACAAGGTGTGCGTATGGGTCAGCCTGTATAGTATATTTATCGTTAGTACCCGGTCTTTTGTAGCAATATGCCAACTGAAATAGGGGCAAAATACCATCATAGATTCTAATCTGCTATGAGGCTTAGATATGTTGATGGATTCAAATGAGGATGGAATACGGAGATTGTAGATGAAGATAGATAGTTGATGAAATGGTGAACAGGATGAAGGAGGAAGTAAACAAAGACAATTACTGATGAGACGTTTTGTCGTCAAGTAAACAACTCCAAACAGGAAGGGCCTCGACGACGCGCTTGCCTCCGGACAAACATTGATCTAAGGTGTTCCATGTGATCTATGGCTACCATATGTTGACAAACACATGGTTGTGTATAACTGGCCCAGCGAGACCACAAGGTTGGGGTCTGGTTGTCGTAGAACACATAAAGCAAACAGATCACCTATTGGCAAGGTGTTCAGCCGTCTACGCTCTAGACCAAGATGATTATACATGAACAGGGCTTTTAAAATTCATATTAGATAAACCTGAACAGATGGTCATAAGAGAAGTATAGGGATAATAGATTCATTTCCATTCTATAACCTTGAGTGGAGTCTGAGATCTCCAGAACTTGTTTCCACCAGGGACAGTAAAGTTAAGCATTGTGCGGATGATCTTCCCGCTCTGCCATTTGCTGTTACATTTGTTCTCGAGGGCAACCCAGACCTCACTGTATGTGCTGAATGTCGCTTTTGGGGCGACGACAGAAGGTGCGCTCATTACCAGCCAATCCCTCTGGATAACATAGAAAGGGAGCGCCGAGACCGTGAAGTTGAGGATTTCCGGTTTCCGGGAGCAGATTGGTCGACTCCAGGAGCGAACCATCAAGATCAACATGGGCCTTGATAAAACGAGGCATGCGACGAGAGTCCTAAGCCAGACCACTCAGGGTAACATGGCCATTGATGTAAGTCCCACTAATATCGAACATAATAACTTTCTCTACATATATATTAGACCATCTGTGGAATAAATGACTCTCCTTCCAAAGTAGTACTATATTTACATTTCAGGTCTACTCCGGCAGAATAGAAATAAATGAACCGCACGACAATTAGTAGGAAAATCAACCTTAATGGCATCATCACTTCGTTTAGATTATGTTCGAGCTACTCCGTAGGGATCACACTAAATTCGGAGCTGCCAGCCGAATGTTATACTGAGATTAGGAAGTTTATATTCAACTTCAGCGAAATAAAATATAAATTCCCTAAAGAAGTAACTGCATTAATCTTAGAAATATATGCCGTTGTCTTATCACTTTTAATCAGATATAAAGTGCCATCCCTTGAAACTATGCATTCCTTATATTGAATACAGGGAGACGCGTAAATGCTCGCAAAAATGACATCTTTTCCTTGAATCGAATCAGACGCTAATTTATTACTTTGATCAGTCTAACGCCGGATTTGAAGGCGAATGTACTTAAGAGAATCCTGTAGAGATAAGCTCATCACGCCGCCTCGGCACGCCATCAATAAATTAAGCACTTGCCACACCGAAGTCGCACCGAAGATGCGCCTTTTAGCGCACTTGGCATGTCTTGGTTGAATTGTAAAATGAGTAACCCTTTTGGATCAATTTTTTTGGCGATGCCATTCCCACTGAGCTATTCTTCCTGCTTTGAAATTACAATATTTCTCATATATAGGTGTTTGGGGAAGATTCTCAACGTATAAGATTCCCCACCTATATAAATAAATGTGTTGGATGTCTAGACAACCCCTAGGGAGAAAAATGGCCCTCGACACATTATTTGCAAATGTAGTCTTGTTGTAAGGATATCAGTAGCGTAATAAGAAATGCTATACGCGGGTCGAATCCTGTGAGACATGCCAAACAACACTGTAAACAACACGGCAGTAAGCCCAAGTCTTGCTAAGGTGCATCAAGCAAGCGTTCATAACTCAGCCGGTCATACTACCTAACTTAGTAAGAAACAATATGGCTTTAGACTTACATTAAAAACTTTGCCATATTTCCATGTCGCAAGGAAGTTGTTGCCATTCTGGGTGGATCTATCGTCACCCTTGCATCCTGGCTTGGCATAAGGCGCAAGAGAATAAAAGGACCGGCTGCGAAAGGACATCAAACTCGGCTTCCCGTGTTTTTCTCTCTCATACCATTACCTTTCCTTTCTGCGCATCAGCTTGAAAGTATTTCAGCTATGGCGAATTCCAAAGAGCCTGCTAAAGATCCAAATATATCGCAGGCGTCTGCAGCAGATCTCGAATCCGAACATACCAGTCAGGATCCGGGAGAATGGCTCTACAAATCCGACAGAGCAGAACTCACAGAGCTCACACCAGTTGAAGCCTTTAAATGGAATGTGGAGGGAGACCAGTCGCCTTGTAGGTCGACAGTCGACCCATGTATCTCCAGAGCAGATGTTAATACTTCTTAGTTCCGGAGGTTGCGGCTTGTGTGTCCAACAAAGATGATCCCACTATCGCCTGCAATAGTACGTTATGAATGTTCTCGGTTAACTAGCCTGAATTAACTCTCCATAACAGCTGTTAGGGCCTGGATATTGATGACAATCTTTGTTATACTTTTCTCCGGAGTCAACCAATTCTTCGGCCTACGATATGTATGTTTCAATTCGCTTCGCGCTTGACATCTACTAACATCTCCTAGCCGTCCCTCGTAATAGGCTATGTTGTCGCTCAAATTCTCGTTTTTCCAATTGGCCGAGCATGGGAGAAGCTTCCAAGGTGGAGGGTTCCTCTAGGAAAACTTTCATTCGACGTCAACCCAGGAAAGTTTACTATCAAGGAGCATGCCTTCATTGTTATTGTGAGCAAGAGCAAATTTTTACATTTTCATAATTGGGAACTGCATCTAACATACCAAACAAGTGCGTCAATATCAGCGCTACCACTGCTTATGCGCAAGGTGCCTTGGTAGCAATCGTCAGTCCTGTATATTGGAACCGCGACCTCGGAGCTGGCTTCTCATTCTTATACCTTTTGACAACCCAAATGATTGGGTAAGTAAATCCTAATCTTTCCATTTTATCCAGTCACTGATCTTTCCTAGATTTGGCCTGACAGGTCTTGCCCGCCGCTGGATTGTGTACCCTGCTGCATTGGTCTGGCCTACTTCGCTGTCATCCACCGTCCTTTTCCGGGCACTACATGAGCCTGAAAGCCGTACGCCAGCTAATGGTTGGACAATTACCCGGTACCGCTTCTTTGCCTACACTACGGCGTTTGCTTTTGTTCTGTTCTGGTTCCCGGACTACATATGGACAAGTTTGGGCGCTTTCGCTTTTGTGACGTGGATTGCGCCTCAAAATCAGAAGGTCAACACAATATTTGGAGTAAGTTTACGGAAAATTCATCAATACCTACCTGAATCTGACCGTATCCTTCTTAGATGAATTCCGGATTAGGGTTGATACCTATCAGCATTGACTGGACGCAAATCAACTACGCTGGTTACCCCCTCATGACCCCTTTCTACATCACATGCAACGCTTTCGCTGTTGTTGTGTTGTTTTATCTGTTCTTATCGCCGATTCTGTACTACTCTAATGTGTGGTATAGCGCATAGTAAGTTTCCAGTCTCAACGGGGAATTCTAATATACTGATGTTCTAGCCTTCCTCTCTTGTCATCAGGCACCTTCGACAACACGGGAAGCACCTACAACGTATCGCGTGTGCTCGACTCAGCTTTGGACTTCAGCGAGAGCAAGTACAAGGAGTACTCTCCCATGTACATCTCAATGTCTTATTCTTTGACCTATGGACTTTCTTTCGCTGCGGTTACCGCAATCGTGGTGCATACCTACCTTTACAATGGCACTGAAATTTGGGCCAGGCTTAAGAATGCCCAACATGGAGGTGAGGACGTTCATCGTCGACTTATGCGCCAATATAAAGAGGTCCCAGAATGGTGGTACGGGGTTCTCACGGTGGTGGTGTTGGGACTTGGTGTCTTGACGACAAGATACTGGGACACGGAGCTGCCAATTTGGGGCTTTATCGTGGTTTGCTTCGGATTGGCAGTCCTTCTGATTGTCCCCGAGGGTATTCTGCAAGGAACGACTAATCAACGCGTGTTCCTCAATATCATTACCGAGATGATCGCCGGATACGCCTGGCCGGGAAAGCCTATCGCTAATCTGATGGTCAAGTGCTACGGCTATAACGCAGTCAAACATGGCATGGACTTCGCTCAGGATTTGAAGCTCGGGCAGTACATGGTATGCTCTTTTTATCCTTGGCACTCGTATTTTACTCATTATCTAGAAAATTCCCCCGCGTGTTTTGTTCTTTGGCCAGATTTATGCGAGTGTCCTAGCAACAGCTACTCAAACAGGAGGTACGATGCTTCGTAAAATATGCACATAATTTTGAGCTAACGAGGATAGTCTTACGATGGATGCTTGGACACATCTCTGACCTTTGCGAACCGACGAACAAAGAACGCTTTACATGCAACGGCGCTAAAGTGATGTACAACGCTTCCTTAATTTGGGGTACCATTGGTCCACAGCGGATGTTCCAGCATGGACAGGTGTACAATGGCCTAGTCTATTTCTTCCTCATCGGGGTAAGTTATCGAACACTTTGATTTGGTCTTCTTTACTGACTCTCAAGCCCGTCGTTACTGTAATCGTGTACTTCATTTACCGCCGCTACCCAAACAGCTGGGTTCGCTATATCAACGTTCCGATTTTCTTTAATGCGGCGGGTAATATTCCTCCTGCAAACACCAGTATGTCTCTTGAAACTCTCGTCGCGGGGGTATCTGAATCTGACAAAACAGCACAATACTCCCTGTGGTTCATCGTTGGTTTTATCTTCAACTACCTGATCCGTAAGCGTGCATTTGACTGGTGGAAGCGTTACAATTGTGAGATCCTACTTTTTCAATTCCCCACTCCTGAGAATATGTCACTAATTCAAATCTTGCGTAGATTTGCTCCAGGCAGCCATGGACACCGGCACTGCTATTGCGACGATCATCATTTTTTTTCGCACTGGGCTACCACTCCATCACTTTCAACTGGTGGGGAAACACAGTAGGATCCGATACGGCTGACGCGAATTCAGTCCCTTGGTTGACTGTTCCCAAAGGGAGCTTTTTTGGAAAGGGACCCGGCGAATTTTGAAACTTGTATACGATTGAATCCTATAAGGCAGACTTCGTCGGAAGACCCCATTATTGGCCCCAAGAAATTGAAGCATCAAAGAGCGAAACGTGGATGTCTAGTCTACTCACAATTCTTTCAATAGTCATTTCCCGCACACCTAATAAGTTAGCAGAAATCCCATCATCGAAACAAGTTGTATCCGGCCGTTCCCAGGTACGTAATTGTGAGGAGGCGGTTAATTACCTCCACAGCAAAACACCATTCCTCGACTTCGATGATTGAGACAGAACCTTTGTGCTATGACTGCAAATGATTCTTTATGACAACCCTTGAAATATATATCTGAGGTAGGGACCTTAAGAGGCTCAGTGCTGAGTACCTAAGTATATATGAACTCCACGAGTCCCCCGGCCCCGGGAATTCCGTGGTTCAACCTTCGAAGGTACCCCGGAAGCTTGTTCTTCTCTTTATCTCAACGTCCAAGATGCCTACCAGCAAGGTTATTCGACGGAATGAGCGGGAGTCCCTAGGCCCTATCGCAGAAAAATAATTTACTTAGCTGACAAGTTCTCAAAATTCCGACATAATATCTAACGGGGGTCGAGCGCGGCCGCCAAGCCAAATGTATATTCCTAGGATGTTGGAAGTCTCGCTCAGATTCCGCAGAAAACAAGATTTGAACCTAAACCGACGATATTGCAGGGGCTTTTTTTTATTTCTTCTGCGGACACGGAAAATCTCCGAGCGTCAAGCCAATTGCGACAGGATTTAGATGGAAGTTGCTCATATGGCCCAAGAAACGCGCAATTGCGGCGATGATGTCGTGATTCTCGGATGGCTCCACTCACGTTTGAACCACCGACAGTTCTCAGGTATGTTCCGCCTACTAGAAACAGTGTACAATTTATTGTAGGTAGATTAGAGCAGGGATAGCAGTGTACGTTATGAGACACTCGAAATACCGAAGTTGCCAATCAAGGCACCCATCGACACTATATATTTCACTTGCACGCCTCTAGAACCAAGAATTCTATAACATCGCAGAAATAACCCCGTTGGAGCTTAGCACGAATCTTATATTCCCACTTTCTCCATATAACCTTCCCTGCTAGGTTTTGTGGGTCGTGGCTTCCAGTATTATTGTGCAACTATCCACCTGGACCGTGCCGTCACGCGTATGGTTTTATAAAGCTATGCCTCTTCCCGTATTTTCATTTATTTTTAACCTGTTAAGATTGGGAAATCGAGCAAAATCGACAGAATGGCAATGCAGAAAGAAGCAAAAGTAACGGTATCGCCTCCTATCTCATCAACCACATCAGAACCGGATGAGAACTATGAGTTTTATAAACAACATCGAGGCCTCGAATACACAACAGAGGAAGCGAAAAAGGTTCTACGCAAGATTGATATACGCCTCATTCCATTGCTGTTTTTAATCTACATGCTGCAGGTGGGATTATCGCGTGTCTCGCTCATTGCAATCCAAGTACTAATGCCATTCAGTACCTGGACAAGAACAGCATCAACTTTGCGTCTGTATATGGCTTAAAGCAGGGAACACACTTAAAAGGACAACAATATTCATGGCTCAGTAAGTCTTTGGTTTTGAGAACGTATAATGCAGGTCACTGATCATACCAGGCTCCATTTTCTACTTCGGATACCTCATTGCACAGTGGCCTGCGGGATTAGCGATGCAAAAGCTGCCTGTTGGCAAATTTCTTGCCATCACCACATTAGGTAAGAGATACTCCTATAAGAAGTAGGTATGTATTCAATACTAGAACTATGCTAAGAGGAATAGTATGGGGTGCTTTACTCATGACGACACCTGCATGCTACAACTTCGCTGGGATCGCAATCAACCGCTTCCTTCTAGGAATGGTCGAAGCAGTTGTAACTCCTGGATTTGTGCTTATGACCGGCATGTGGTACACATCCGAAGAACAACCCCTGCGGTTAGAGGCATGGTACTGCACTAATGGTATTGCGACAATGTTTGGAGGGTAAGTGACGAACAACTTCTCCACCCCTGCCCGGTTATATTGGAAGAAAACCGAAAACTAACCAAGGATAGTCTTATTGGCTATGCGGTTGGACATATTACGACTGGCCTTCCACGATGGATGTACGTCTTCCTCATTTTTGGAGCCTTCTCCGTGGCAGTAGGGATTATTGCCCTGATATTCCTCCCGGATCTTCCGTCAACTGCCAAATTTCTCAGCGAGCGCGAGAGAGCCATAGCTGTTGAGCGTGTCGCCATCAACCGGCAAGGTGTCAAAAGTAGCAAGTTCAAATGGTATCAGGTCCGACAAGCGGCCGAAGATCCGAAGACCTGGCTTTTGTTCATCATGGCGATCGGTGCGCAAGTCCCGAACTCGGCGTTAACCAGTGTATGTATTTCTGTGGTTCTGTTAGATGTGGTTGAAGCTAACATGTGAAAAAGTTTACTTCCATCATCGTTGGCACTTTCGGATTTGATACCCTTGGAACTCAATATCTTCAAATCCCGGGTGGTGCGGTTCAATTCATCACTCTCCTTCTTGGGGGTTATATTGCAACAAAGTTTGATGGCAAATTTCATTCACGATTTGCATGCATGATCTTTGCCTGCACGGTCTGTATCATTGGATCGGGTCTTCTGGTCGGTCTACCGGACACCAACAAATGGGGCCGCCTTGTTGCACTCTGGCTATGCTATTTCCAAGGGTTGGGATTCAGCATGAGTCTGACCATTGTTAGCTCTAATATCGCTGGATACACTAAGAAGCAAGTCACGGGAGCCCTGTTGTTCACTGGATACTGCGTGGGAAATATCGTTGGACCTCAGACTTTCAAGTCCAGCGAGGCCCCTGGGTACAAGAGTGCTTATATTGCGTACGTTGATATTCGTCCGGTGTAAGAATTTCAACTGACCATAACTTTTACAGAATGCTCGCTGGCTATGCGGTAAAATTGGTCTGCATTGTCGCGTTGTATATTTATATGTACCTGGAGAACAAGCGTCGAGACCGCGAAGCAGTTGATGGCCAGGAGGTCGAGGCAGAAGGTGTTGAAAATGGCATGCTGGTGGGTTTTGAGTTCCATGGAGCCTTGAGAGAAGCTAACTCATATTTCCTAAGGACCAAACGGAGATCGACAACAAAGGGTTCAGATACGTTCTGTAAACGAAAACTTCAATTTTTTAATGCATTAGTTTCAAAATTATTATTGCTATCTTGAAAATATGACAATCGGACATCGTACTTCGTGTTCACCCCATGGGACTCCATTCCTCCTGGGGACTAACATTGGAAGGTACCTACCTAGGTAGCCATGGGACCCCCATGGGATGGTGGGGCTTGGGACTTGGGATTGACCTAGCACTTAGTCCCATGCGAGTTGGTGAGGGTCTATATCCTTGGTGCTCCGGGCCAACGGACTGTTGTCACATCTGCTCCGTATAATCACCCAAGAGACACTAGTCAAATATTGCATGTCTGGGAGGGTGTATGTCACGAGTTTCCTAGCCAGGCGAAAACAGTCACTGGTGGACTTGAGGGGTGGCAGGGCATTTGGAAACGCACGGACATCAGCAGTTGGGCCAATAATGTTCAATAAGCACTATGCTTTCTTTTTGCTGCTGACGGTGAGGTCCTGTTCGCCCCGCTCTTCCTGATCTCCCCAGTCGAATCCCCCAGCACGCTCAACGCGGCCATACTCTGACTCCGCCAGTTCCAGGGCAAACCCGAAAGACAAAGGCAGGATGGAACTGCGAACTACGTTCTCCAACCCAGCCGAATCCCCTGCCCGAAAGGACCTGTGCCTTTTGGTGCTGGACGGGGAGGCGTCCGTGGCCTGTCAATGCTGCTCATCCTCAAACGTTTGATGGAAGGCATTGACCCGCTGAACCCTCCAAAGCCATGCGACTACTTCGACATGATTGGCGGCACCTCGACTGGCGGGTTAATTGCTCTGATGCTCGGCCGAATGCAATTGAGCGTCGACGAGTGTCTCGAGGCGTACTCAGCCCTGGCACCCAGGATTTTCACTCACGTTCGACACCGGATCAAGCTCGCAACAGGAGAGACCCAGGGGAGGTTTGATCATGAAGCGATGGAGCAGGGTATCAAGGATGTTCTCGTCCAGCACCAAATGGATCCGGAGGCTCTATTCAAGTCGCCAGTCGCAGAGGACTGCAAAACGTGAGTGGGCGCTTTTTCAAATTTCGATCAATTGAAGGCTTACGATGGCTCGCGCGGATGTCAGTTTCGTATGTGCGACGAGCCAGTCCACCGGTGAAACAGTTGTGCTGTCGAGTTACTACAATGAGCGACGAGGGTCGGACTTGTTAAACACAGCCAAGATCTGGGAGGTGGCGCGCGCCACATCCGCTGCAACAACCTTCTTCGACCCGATAACCATCAGCGATGAGGCCTTTGTCGACGGAGCCACAGGGGCGAACAATCCCATCCAAGAGATCTGGACGGAAGCCGCCGATGTCTGGGGTCTACAGCTCGGGCAGTTGGAAGAGAACGTCAAATGCTTGGTTTCCATTGGTACCGGCATCCCGTCCCTCAGCGCGTTTGGTCCTGGCTTGCGCGAAGTTGCCCAAGCACTGAAGAGCATTGCGACGGAGACAGAGGCAACGGCGAGTACTTTTTGCAAGCACCACACGGGGCTTTTCCAGTCGGGAAAGGCGTTTCGCTTCAACGTGGTGCGCGGTCTCGAAACTATTGGGCTGGAAGAAACATCAAAATGGGGGAATATCAAGGCAGCCACAAGAAATTACGTGCAGAAAGAGGAGGTTCGTGTGGAGATCAAGAAGTGTGCGGCGAATTTGCAGGAGCGTGAATGTCTGTCATTCGCCTGATCAGTTCATAGTGTTAGTGTCAATTTCCATGTTCGCTGATTATTTTTGTAGGGTTAGAACGAATGGAGAAGTTCATCATGACGACGATAGAAGCCCCTGTGTCGGATTTGAACGATGGCGACTCGCTTGAATCCGCAGATCAACTTCAATGGCTCACGCACACAGTGTCCTACGAGACATGGCACCAACGTGGTTCTGGTATTCTCTGGTACCAACTCAACGCGCGACAAGTCCAACCCGTCCGCAAGAACGCAGGGGCATCTGTAGCCCACTGCCTGGCAAAGAAATACGAATGCTCCGCAGGCCTGAAGTTTGGCGCTGGTGACAATCTCGCTAGGGCGCTTTATTTCCAGTGCGACAAGTTGGAGCAGCCGGACGGACAAGGCAATGATGAAAATTGCGCCGAGCCACAAGATATTTTGTGGTCGCTAGTCTGTCAACTGCTCATGATTGACTGCAAAAGCGCGGAGGCGTTGAAGCGTCGACTTGCTCAGCTTGAAGCACAGCACAAATCGTCTCTTTGGGAGTGGCTGAACGGCCGTGATACGAAGATGGTGCGTCAGTGGCATCTTTTTGAGGAATTGCTTCTTTCGTCAAACATGCCTGATGCAGTGGCTCTTGACAATGTCCACAGGATAAACTCATCTAAGCGAAATGCGTTTTTGAAGTCTCTGGTGACGTTGGCAGAAAGTCTGCTTCCTACACGAGGTCGAAAGCTTCGCGTAGTGATCTCGGGAGATCCATCCCAGATGGAACTGGATGTGGAAGCCAACATCCTCACAGTGAATGACAGAACCGAGATAGAGGGTAAGTGGCTCACCTAGCTTGATGTTCCAATTTTCACACGGTGTAGAATGCATGCGCTCCCTGTATTTCCCAGAATGGAATGCTCGCCGTGACCAAGTTGCCGACGCTGATGCTGGCACGAACGCCTGGATATGGACTCACGAACAGTATCTAATGTGGGAGCATGCCACATCAGGACTGTTGTGGGTTGAAGGAAAGCCAGGAAGCGGCAAGTCTGTGCTGGCAAAAACCTTGCAAAAGCGACTTGCATCAGCGCGCGGACGAACACGATCAGCGACGGATGGTTTGCTGGAGCATCCAGCTGTGATCAGATCCAAGGTCCCCGAGGTGGTGACAGACTGGTTTTTCAACACACGAGGCGGAGAAATCGGCATAGCCTACTCTTCTTTTCTCCAATCTGTTGTATACCAACTTCTGCAACAAAACGAGGCGGCGTTCGATGTCATTAACCCATTCTACCGCAATCGGCCATCCTTCAGAGAGGAACGATGGGATATACAAACTACGCAGTCTTTGCTTGAAGCAATCAGCGCGACTGGTCTATCCATAGTCTGCATTGTCGATGCAATGGATGAGGCTGCTGGAATTACCAATGCCTCCAAGGCCTGCCGCAAACCTAGGGCCCGAAGCGTTCTGTATCTTTTGGGGCGTCTGCTGTCTATAATCGGGGACTCTAAGCTGAAGTTCATAGTACTCAGTCGCCCCGATCCCGCAATTGAAATGGATTTCAGTGGTATTCGTAGGCGTTGCTCTGACACTTACAAGGTTGTCCTGGAACACGAAAACGAGCCTGATATCCATCTCGTCATTGAAAAAGGTCTTCATTTATTGCAGGAGACAATACATGCCTATGACTCGGATGATGACACCAGCAGAATCACGACAAATGGGAGTCGGCACGAGGACCCAAAAGAGTCTTGTAACAGCCTGGCAGCTAAACGGGAAGAGAGTGCCTTCGAAAACATTCGACTCTATCTTAGAGAGAACGCAAAAGGAGTGGTTCTCTGGGTAACATTGATTCTTGGAGAGCTGCAAGACCAAGCGGCTGGTGGAATGCTGAAATTTGCTGCACTGGAGGAAACAATGAAAAGACTCCCGCTAGAGCTCGACAAGCTCTACGAGTACATTGTTCGGGGACTGGAAGACCGGCTTGCCGATGAAGACCTGGAGATGGCGCGATTGGCCATGATTTTGATATCGGGATCCGCCGCCCTTGATAGGCCAATTCATCTTCAAGAGATGTGGGAAGCATTGGCAGTTCCAGCAGATGTTAAAACTGCTCTTACTTCGAAGGTGGACCCGATAATGGAGAATAGCATCCACATTATATCCTGGAAGGAGTTTTGGCGCCAACTCCGACGGAAGTGTGGCCCACTTATAGAGCTAGTTCGCGGTGGAGAACCCGAACCAGGAGAAAAGCTGGACGCTGAAATCAGCCCCACGCTTGTTGTTCAATTCATGCACCGCACCGTGAAGGACTTTCTGAACCACCCAACCCGGGCTGGACCCCTTCACTTCGCCGAAGCAGTTGCTGTTAACGAAGTGAAAGGCATTTGCGCAAGATACCTTGAAGTGGCCTTCCCCCAAAGCCAGACCGCATATGGTCCCCACATCCCAGCCCGCGAGGGTAGTTCTTGGAAAAAAAAATATAGAGGAATACGTTGACTACCTAGACTCAAGGAGCCTGCTTCAATTTGCGCTGAACATAATGGGCCCTCGCGAGGCCGGTCCCCAACCGGACCTTGGGGTGTATGCTTCGATTGACAAGCTGATCCATTTACCCTGGCCAAAGAGCGAATGGTGGAACATTGAGATCTCAGATGCAGAGCGGCTCGTCGGTAAGAGGTACCTCTTCTACCCAGAATCCTCGTCACAGGGAAATCGAGGCCAAGTTGAGATTATCAAAGCGGCGGTCTTGGGGCAAGCCTTTCGTTACGCTTGCACCCGCGGACGAATAATAGCCGTCAGGAACATGCTAGAACTGTGCCGGAACTATCATCCGAATTACTGCGAACTGCAGGAATATGTTATAGGAAATGGTGTCCTTCTAGCATGCATCGAGAAGGATCTACTTGATGAGGTCAAATTCTTGACCAGGAAGCACAGACACTTGTCGCAATACATCCATGGGACGAACAACATGCCTGGTTGGCCGATCGGCCCTCGCGCGCATCGCACCGAACTGGATCCATTTATTCAGCTGGCAGTGCGCTCGGGCCACGAAGAGATTGTGGAATTTCTGTTCACTCAAACGGACCATTACTATGCTAGAAAGAATGCAGTCGTAGACTTCGCCGTCACGGAGGAAGACCTTGAGCGCCATTTGCACACGGGCTCGGACTCAGACTCAGACTCAGATTATGGGATTTACGGGCCGGACCCAACAACCAGCAAGTCCAATCTTCATTTCGATATGGAACTTCTCATTGGAAACGAGTCGGAGGGTGAAGAGCACAATCCTGACATCCAACATGACCTTCGACCAAGCGAGATCAATGCGACCATCCAGCTGAGGCAAGGTAAAAAAAGCTCACTCCGAAATGAAGACGACTCTAGCGATTACATCGAAGTAGTCTCTCATAGGGTGAAAAAAAAGAAAGAAGTAAAGACGAACAAAAGACTGTACTTGCTTTTAAAGGAGTCATGTCTCACACTGGCTAGGGAAAATAGGGCAGCTCAAGCAGATGACGCACTGCACGAGCCGTGCCTTCGTAATGTCCGGGGGGCAGTTTCGATGGTAATACCCTGGATGGTGAGTAGGCGTCTCTAGTTTCGAATACAATTACCGTCAACGGGGACGCTAACTGGGACAACTAAGCCAACCGAGGATGATATAGAATATGGTGAAGGGAAGATCGAGCAGAATGCGTTCAATGCCTTTTTGCAGCATTATGCGATGACAGATTTGCCGGACCTGCGAAGCGAGCATGCCGTGCCCACTCGCTCAACGTCGCCAAATGGACCGAGACAACCGAGAGTGCATGAGGATAGAGTGCGTATTCCAACGTGGTCGCCAAATGAATTGGAGCAACCGAGAGCGCATGAGGATAGAGTGCGTATTCCAATGTGGTCGCCAAAATGTTGCACAGTGTTATGATAGGTGTCGGGCTACATGAGGTATGTGATCGTGAAGGGACACAATCCACCTCAACGCAGCACTTACTGTATAATATCCTAATGCATTTATAGTTGTGCTCTCATACAGCTTATAGCAGATCTTTCTCTACTCATAGAGCGTTTCTGCTAGATCTTTCCAGGCTTTATGCCTTTGTTTTTTTACTTATCTATAAAGGTATATAGATATAGCTTTATAGCAGCTAGATAGAGATCATATCAGCCGGAACTACACCTAATCCATCCTATCTTTTATATATTTACTTTCTTCATATAGTAGTCACCTAAAGCATCAAATTCTAGGGCTTAGCACAACTTTATAAGCCCTAATAGGTTAAATATCCAAGTAGCATCCTCCTTTATATAATACACATTCATTTTACTGTCTAATCTTCTACCTATAAGGTCGTAGCAAGTTCACCTCGGTTCCTATCGTTTAATATAAGACACTACTCCCCACTCTCTTTAACGCCTATTTTAAAAGTAGGATACCATACCACTCCCCACTCTCTATATTACCCTTAAATATACTCGCATATTTATCTACGTAGGTCGTAATTTAATAAGTTGGTAGTATTCGAACTTATATAGCTAACTGGATATAGTTCGCACTTTAATATGAATCTCCTATTTCCTCCCGTCCCGTACGTACGAAAAGGTCAGTGGCCGCGCAGCGCGCGGCCGGCAAACCTTGCCAAGGATAATTGGCTAGGTTGCTTGATATCATATGCGAAGTCTAGGCTAAATGCAATAGCATACTAACCGATCGTTACAGCCACGATCTGGCAGTGTGAAATGATAAGCACGGGTCCCCCAAGCCCTTCGGGGATTAAGAGGTACTCAATGACACGGGTTAATGCGACGGCATAAATTAAAGATATAACAATTGCTAGAATAGCTCAATTAAAGTGTTGCTTTGAGCGATTGTAAATTTCCGCTTCTCAAAACTGAAGAGGGTCATGCAGAGTGTGGAATGTCCCACTGAACCATGCATCAAAATCGACATCTTCTGCAGTATCCCACGCCGGCTGCATTTCGTTGAAGTGCGCACCGATCACATCTTGGGCATCGGCATTCGAGAATTTGTTAACAGATGTCTCAGGGGTGTCAGGGCCTAGGTTCATTCTCGTAAAAGTTGAGAACTTGGCCAAAATTTGACCAAAATCAATCATGTTGCCAAGCCCTGAGCCCGATGCCGTGTCGGCAGTAAAGATTGCATCGATTAACGCGACGCCGCGCTGAGCAAGGACGTCGTTAGTTCGATCAGCAAGGCGGGTGCGAGCGGCGACTATTGCGTCCTTGTGACTTTGTGCAATAGCGACTTGATTCTCTGCAGTTGCATTAACTTCAAAGCACATAATGACTGCAGCGGTAATTGCAAAAGCCGTATGTGTCCATATCGAGATATCCCCTTCTCTTACGATTACCTCGTGCTCACGCAAGATTGTCATTGCAGCGGCAACACAGGTACGCCTTGAGTAGATATATGTTTGGTCATTGAAAGAGCGGAATAGAAACGGCCGATGGATCATGATAATCTTCTCAGCTGCAGTGATAGCGAGACTGCGTCGAGCGATAGCAAGCCATGGGATTTGTGCTTCTTTTGTTTTATCCGAGCGTAGAAGGAAAGAGGGTATGGCTTTCACAATGCCTCTCATTTTCTGGTCTATATGCAGAATATGTTCGTATTGCTCTCGCATAGGCTTTCTGGATTTCATTGGACCGAGTCCGTCAACTAGACCGGGCATCAATTGTGCCAAATTCACGAGCACGCGGATGTAAGTGCTTATGGTGGGAGATGTGATAGGCATATCCGTCAAGTCATAGTCATCTGCGTTCATGGGAAGAGCTGTTGAGAAATGCATCGGCGAGATACTGTAGGTGTCTGTAAAAGGTATGGCGAAATGGTCTTGAATAATCATTTGGCACCATATCCTCTTTCCCACTTCCGATTCCACCTTCTCATTCCATTCCTCTTTGTTTTGAGTAAGTCTCGTTGATTGATCCTGAATCTTGTGGATTCCAAGGCACTCGGCAATGCGTACCGCAGCATTGAATAAAGTCGCATTCAGCTGACTCAAGCCAAGATTGTGAGCAACCTCGGTTGATATGACGATTGCTTGGACAGAGTATATGGATAGATTGCTGAGAAAATGTGAGTTGTAGAGGGTCTGCACCATAGCAGAGAACAACTGTTGTGCAGATTGTATTGCTTGTAGGTCGACATCAACAAGCTCTCTTACTTTTGTACTATCCTGGATTGAGCTGACGGTGGAACTTAAGACAGAAAAGTAGAGCGCTTGCCAGAGGGGATCATCGAATTTCCCAGTCTCCCAGAATAACTCGCACTGCTCGAGAAATGTTGGACCATGAATGCAATTATGATGCCAGGCCACATGACGTAAATGAAACTTGATCAGCTTCTGGGCATCCGTAGGCCGGGGAATGAAGAGATCAGCTCTGGACTGGGCCCATAGACTGGAAGAGGGCTCGTCCTTGATAATGTTTGAAGTCCATCTTTGCGATACTGGCACGAGCACGTCCTGTGAGGGAAGCATCCAGCAGAATTACGACCCCAAGCAAGATGCTCAATAGCCGTGAGAAGCGACGAGTCAACTTGATGTGTGTTTTCTGCCGAACCGAGTGATACTTTGCCGGGTGTACGGTCCTCAAGTGTACTTGATTCCTGTGGTGCCGAGGCGGTGTTGGATACACCCGATTCTGCGGGATCCTGGCCGGTCTCCAGCCGAAATATTTGATTTTTTATCTTTTGAACAACAAGGGGCGCTGGGTCAGATATTGATGATTCGAGGTCTGCCAAGAGCGAATGCAAAAACTGAATCTCTGACCCATGTTGCACAGCATTGCGTCTAAGCTGGACGATTTCTATCGAGCACTTGAGATTTAAGCGTTTACATCTCGAGCAGGGATTTTGTTTGTCGCATTTGCGTTTGCGCTTCGTGCATTCTGCATCGTGTCAGTCGTCTACTGGACCTGAGTGACAGCAGAGGATCTTTACCTCGGCAGGCCTGCGGCTGACGCTGCGATACACGGACCCTAGCCGCTTGGTTTGACGCGGTAGCGTTCATTGTGCGTCAGCATTGCATTGAAAGACCGTTTTTCCTTTAATGTGAGGAGTCGATAACCCAGGCCTGGAGTTTCCATGCCAGGAGAAGTGGAATTTGTGGAGGTCGGGGGCGGGAGAGCGAGTCAGCGGCTTGGCATTGATAAGCACTTCGGCAACTACCGACATTCGAGAGATGAGTGGATATAATACACAGGCTACTCAGAATATAAACTGGCTGATGCCGATATTATAATCTCGTTACATCGTCGCTTGGGTTATTGCTTGGAAAATTTCGACTTGAGCTTTCTATGAAATCCCTTAGTAACGGACGCCCCGAGGTTCTACCCTTCGACAAACATCGCATCACCGCCAGATATCACAGTAACTTCTGTCAGACTTGGATGGGGTCCCTAGGCCCTAGGCAGGAAACGAGGTTTTTGTTATGGTCTAGTGGTGAAATGTGCTGTATTTTTCCCCACAACTTCAGCCAGATTTCTTCAAGTCCCGTGACCCGACCAGCGGACTTCCTTCAATTTTGGAAAAGTCATGAGCGTCGAGGCACGCCTGTCTAGAGTTGAGGAAGCTAGGCTCAGCTCGTGTGAAGACATCATTCTCGTATGCTGCGAGGGAGGATAGCAAGGCTCCGGAATCGAAGGAACTGGTTATCGCAAAATCGATCATTAGCATACGCCGAATGAAAAAAAGTTGGCAGCGTTCAGATAGCCATACCTTGGCTGGCACATATCGACACGCGTGACGAGATCCAGCACATCGACGATCGCGTTGTTGGCACCTTCTCCGCGGACTAGTTGAAGTTAGAAATGCGCGTTCTACCCACCGTCGCATAGTCATGAGACACTGGAGGAGTCACATACACATTGTCATTGTATGAGCCGAATCACCCATCAAGACCGCCCGGGGATGCGCGTGTTCCCTGCCTAAGCGGAACATCCAGTCTTCGATGCGAATCGAGCGCACTTCCACATCGTCGGGAAGCTTGTGTACCAGCGAGCGGAATGGTTCCGACCAGTTATCAGTCAACTTCTTCATCAGCGCGATGCGCTCGGCGTTCGCGTCCGGGACGGGGATTTCCTTTGAATCGGCCCACGAGATGATGATTTGACAGTGGTAGCGGTCCTTGCTACTATTCTCGAAGTTGTTCGGGGTATCCAAAACTATGAAGACATCAGTATCCCGCAGAAGGGAATGGGGTTTGGCAGACTCACAACTGAAAAATAGGAATACGTTTGACTCAGGATGCGAGCCTTGGAATATAAAAGGGTCGATTGACTTAACGCCCCCCAGTTCCTCCGCGCTATACAATGTCGACGCACCTAGAAGTTGCACTGGTAACTGGTTCATCTGTACATCTGGATATAGGATCTCGCGTGTGCGCGACCGTGCACCATCGCATGCGACAAGTAGCCGCCCGGTGTACGATGTGCCATCCTGAAAATGCGCGGTGATTTTATCGGCTGTAGACTCTATATTTCGAAGGGTTTTGTTCCACTAAAAGCGCGACATTAGCACCTATCAAGTGTCAAGAATGGAACTTCGTCAAAGACGACGATATCCTTACTTGAACATCAACGTCGGTAGTCAGTAACTGTCGCAAGCGAGCGCGACTGACACGAATGCGCTCCGCGGCGGGAATATTGTATAATGCATCCCCCGACCTGAGGTCAAAAAATTGGAAGCGACCGGTGTCACCCCGAGCGGAAGCTTCTTTGTTGACGAAGGTTTCAGGGAACCGTGTAACGAGATGCTCTGGTAATAATTCACGCAGGGCAGGAAGTGACCAATGTAGCGTCAGACCCCATCCACCACTACGGGCATCGACTGCGGAGTCGCGATCGAAGATCTTGAATGCAACATTATGGCGCTGGAGGTACTGGGCTAGTACGAGGCCACTGATGCCAGCGCCGATAATCAAAATGGGAGAATCAGACATGGTGAACAAGATAAAGTAAGCAGTTCTAGTAACAACCTTTGTCCAGTTTGATTGAATCTATCAACTCGGCCACGTCTTACCCCTCTTGTGGTTTACTCTGTACCAAGCCACACAATAAGTCGTGCCACCAGGATCCGGTGGAACAAGCTCCATGGTCGGGAGTTTACGTGGGGTATCCCAAGGTTGAATACGAAATGCAAATCCTTCTAGGGGCCAACTAACCCGAAAGGATTAGATTAAGATTTGATGCTCCATTGACTTTCAGGACGGCTCGGGTTCTATCTAGGTACGGAATAGTTCGGTGAGACTTCCAAGGTTATAAAAAAATTAAGTTGCCTAATTCCAAGGTTCTAATTCCAAGGTTTCTTAGCAACCTTGGAAGACCCTTAGGCTTAGCTTAATAAAGAACCTAGGAAGACACCCGTGGACCCATTTCATATCATTCCGTGCTACATTCCCTATTAAGATCCTTCATTCTAAGGCATCACTATTAGAACCCATCACTTTGGGACATGTATTAAGGCCCCATTATAATCGGACATCGAAGAAATGTAAGGATTCTAATGCCACGCTCCAAAAATTTCGGGTCCCTGAGGTCAAATTTTCGGTCCCCGAACTAGCCGACGGTTTGCGCCATATAACAACAGAATGATGTGGATTGGGGCGGGGGATTGCCCAGTAATGATAACTATTTATTATTGGCTGAGAAACATATCCAGTGCCAAAGTGCATACGGAGTACTCCGTATGGAGTACGGAGTAATATAGGTCCCGCCCATGACCCCTTCCATATCTGAAGCATTCGGGAGTTACCCTAAAATTATCGCTAGCTGATTTGAGTTAGTTGGCTAATCAAGGGTTGGGACTATGTTACATTTTGATTATCCCGATCTAACCCTATCTCAGACGCATTTCCCGTATTGGCTCCGTGTTCCGTACGGAGAACAGGTGTACTGGTACACGCGGATCGTAGGGGCCGAAGCGTGTTGATCCTGTGGACCCCGGCCCGTTTGGGCATTATTCGGACAACAATTTGGAATCAGAATGACTTCGAGAACGAAGTTTCACGCAGAATCTCACGACGGCAGGTTTCTCAGGTCAGCCGAGCATTTTGGCTATCGGTAGAGTGCGAACCTTGTGTGTCTCGGAGGTTGCAACCACAATATGTATTAATGCCACGAAGTCAAACGCCACAAAAGGCAAGGGGTGCAGGGGTGCGAACAAGGATGAGAAAACTGAAAAATCTAAAAAGTAATTATTAATACAATTTGTAATTGACCAAGAACTATCCACAGAACGAAAGGATGTGCCCCAAGCCATAATTTCCAAGGTTGCGCAAGTTCGTTGGCCGTCCAGCTTCCTAGTTGGTTGGCCTGCCTTCCGAAGACACTCGATACTCTATCGTCTTCTCAATACCCCCATGCTCAGGCTCCCGACTGGACAAAATGAGCTCCTCGCTTGGCGTTCGTTTGGGCTGTGTACGCGCGGAAGCAGTGGACTGCATGTGCGACCGGTCTTTCGACCAAGTATCCATCATGTAGCTTCTGCCTTGACTGTCATAGTAATAGTTCTTTCTGTCACTCGTCGAGCCGAGTCCTCGCACGAAGCCCTTGAATAAAGGTGCCAGATATGGAATGCAAGTGACAATGTTCTAATAAACGCAAATGAGCCATTAGATCGCACGGAACTGGTCATTTTCACTTACGCCCACGTTGAATTCAATCGTTCCCCATAACACGAGCATTGTCGAGTTTCCATCTCCGAATGCCACACGTTGGATCTGGGTTAGCCGCATGATGGAACAGATGGTGGTGAAGAGGCCGAGTAGGAAAAGGCATACAACACCAGCCTTCTGTGCGGTTTTTATGTTGAGACCAAGGAGCAATGGAATGGGAAGCACGATAATGGTCACGTCCGTGATGATGGTATAAATCGCGAGACCGTAGAACAGTCCTCCCACCGGAAGACATGTGCCTGGTACATGGGGGTTCCATGATCGTCGAACCTGTTGCGACCGAGTGGTAATCAGCTTGTGGTCGGGTGCCCCTCCGGGAAGAGGCTCTACCTACCGGTGTGCAATTGAAGAGTAGGCTCAAAGCACCAGCTATATGACCCAACGTAGACGCGGCAATCACAACCCAGATCACAGTTCGATAAAGACGCTTCGAGGTTCCAGAAATTAGTCGCAGGTAGCTAAGGCAGAGCGAAGCCTTGAAACCTGCGATGCCAATCTGGTAGAAAGGTCGTCCTGCGTAGTTGATCTATTTGGGCTTTTGTCAGTTCACCAGTAAAATGTGATAAGCACAGAGAATCAAACTGAAATGTAGAAAAAAGATATTGACCTTAGTATACGTGGAATAGTTCGGTGGGGGTCGTAGCTTTAATGGCAGTCCTAATCCATATCGACTTTCTGTGACTGTGAGTAAGTTCCATACGGCGACAAAGAGCGAGCGGTGCCTACGAGAAATGCAGAGTGCACTGTATATAACACTAAATATCTGCTCAACAGTCAGTTGTATTACCCCTCGTGTCACACTCAGGTCAACTTACCATACTAGCCACCATCACATAGTCTGCTGCTGCCCATCGACTGGCTCGCGCTCGGAGGAAAAGCCGCACGGAAACTGTGATAACCATTAAGATAGTAAGACTCAAACATACGCCCAGGATGAGCCGGTACTGCGATGCAGCTTCCACCTCGGGCGAGGCATTGTGTACCCAGCCCATTGTTGAGGAGAGAGCGTGCGAAGGGGTATGGGAAAGAGAGTGAACGAGAACATAACCTTGGAATCAAGCGCTTTACCTGCCTGTGTAAGCAGATTGAAGAGGCTTATGCGTAGAAATCCTAAAAATTCTAAAAATGTTCTCACTTGAACTTTCTCTTTCCTTTTCGGAAATAGACCGATAATGGTCATTTTACTCGCTCCTCCGTACTCGCCCGGTCTTGCAAGGTTGTTCTTCCAATGCATATTATTGGCATTTAGCTCACCCCTTCATATATGAAGTTTAATTCCCCCACAAAGGATCTAGTGCCTTGGGTCGTTGATTTATTAATTCTTATTCGTTGCTAAGTGTGAAACGTGTCGCCACGCGGACTCCACGGTGATTGCGACGTTATTTATGCTTTTTGTTGCATGAACCCATTGTGTTTCCCACCTTTTTCCCACTAACATTGTCGCTCATTTTCTTTTCTTTTTCTTTCCCAATTTCCCTATTATCTATCTTGTCTCTTGTCTTTCACCCTATTGTTTCCGCGATGGGTGAAATTCAACCAGAGGTAGTTCCACAACCTCCCCAAGGTCAAGTTGATGATGCTGTGGTATATCTCAAGGGCCACGAAAATGGGGCAGTTGACTCTCAAATCGATCTGCGGGCTTTACGTCGTAAGGTTGATCGACGTTTGATGCCTTATATGTTTTGCTGCTATATATTGCAGTTTTTGGACAAGGTCATGCTGAACGTGAGTTTGACTTATCCAATCGCATAGGCCATGTGACTAACACAAGGATGATCTATGCATACAGTATGCAGCCGTTATGGGAATCAAAAAAGACTTGGGACTCGTCGGCAATGATTTTTCCAACGTCGCTACATGGTTCTTCATTGCTTATTTGATTGCGGAGGTACCAAACGGTGAGTGTGTAGATTTATTTTGACGGAATTGTCTTTGATCGACACTGCTGATCCCTGATTTGCAGTATATTGCTTGCAAAAAGTACCGCCTGCCAAATGGCTTGGAGGAAATGTTTTCCTCTGGGGACTCGCAGCTGCCGCCTCTGCTGGTGCGCGAGGATATCGGACCCTGCTAGTAGCACGAATTTTCCTGGGTATTTTCGAAGCCACCGTGGGACCATCCTTGATGCTCATTAGCAGCCAGTACTACACGAGAAGCGAACAAGCTCCTCGGTTCACTGTGTGGTATATGGGTCTTGGCGTGGCCCAGATTCTTGGAGGTATTATATCTTTTGGATTCCAGCATGTACACAATGCCTCACTAGAGGGTTGGCAAGTTATGTTCCTTGTTCTCGGGCTGGTCACAATGGTTGTCGGAACTTTGACATTTTTCTTCATTCCTGATACACCAATGAAGGCAACCTGGCTGTCTGATAACGAGAAGGTGGCCCTCCTTCAACACGTCAGCGAAAACCAAACTGGAGTGTGGAGCACAAAGTTGAACCTGAGGCAAATCTTGGAGGCTCTCGGCGATATTCAGCTGTGGCTCCTGACTGTGACAACAATTTTGGTGCGTCTCACATTCTATCGTTCACCCCCTTGCTTCAACCATCCCCTGCAGTTCCATTAACCAATATTGCATAGATCTCCGTGTCAAGTGGTGTGGTGACGACATATTCCTCGACTCTGATTGCCGGATTTGGTTTCTCCGGTCCCATCTCAGCGCTTCTCAATACCCCATCAGGCATTGTTAGCATTTTCTTCACACTTCTCGTTGGCTTTGGCATCCGAAAGACTTCCAATCGCTGGGCATGGAATGTGCTCTGTACTATTCCTGGGATCATCGGGGGCGGATTACTATCCTTCCTGCCCAAAGGCAACAAAGCTGGTGTCTTGATCGGTATTTATCTTGTCAACGCAATCGTGGCTACTCTTCCGATCCTATACCAATGGACCATGGCCAACTGCGCTGGACATACCAAGCGTGCGTTTGCTAGTGCACTGGTCGCTGGGTCTTTCTCGGTCGGAAACATCATTGGTCCTCAGACATTCCAGTCACGCGATGCGCCGGAATACCGACCAGCTAAGATTGCTGTTCTCGCAACCCAGGCTTCGGCGGCTGTTCTATCCGTCGTGCTCTTTTTATATTACAAGTGGCAGAACCGCCGCAGAGATCAGACTGAAGGCCACGTTGATGAGAACAAGATTGACGAGACGAGGTGGGCTGGGCTCACTGATAAACAGAATCCTTCTTTCCGTTACGTCTACTGAGGCACTCTGCAGTCCACTCTACACGTCTGGATACTCAGCCAACTGGCATTTTTTGCTACAAAATTGTTCGACTTGCCTGCCTTCTGGGAGGAAATTTATGTACATTAGATTTCAGCTGTAGCTCAGCACATCCCCAATACCCCATGGGAGGTAGCAGGCACACGGCCTACACCTCCTCATCGCCGGACGTTAATTAATGCATGCATACGTACGTACATACTGAAATGCTGACGGATCATGGCCTGATAATGTACGCAGTAGTGTATATCACTGTGGTGTTTACCCTTGACCCCTTGGCCCAAAAAGTATCACTCGCTTGACCTTCATGCGTCCTCTTGAATATTTATTCCCATTGTTCGAGATGAAATTGCTAATCTTGCCCATAAAAGCGACGGCGAATCGGCCAATCTATTGATCTTAATTCACATGCAGGTGTTGCCTCCGTGTAAACATGTAGTCCTTCGGGAATCCAAGAAACAAAGCTATTCATCCAGTTGTAATTGCAAAAATGTCGATCCGTGAGTAGCACAAAACACTTTCTTGTTATCAATGATGTCCATGGGTGTGACACGTAGTAAGACGAAGGAGGCACTTTACCTATAATGGAATTCGGCCCATAGAAAACTTGATAGCACCGAGTGTCTCAAGACGGAAGACCATAGCTGCTCAACCAATCTGTCGGCCACCTAGATGTCACTATCTTCTGCACCAATTCAACCTCTGTGTCTTTCACGCAGTGGAATCCGAGCCAGATGACAGCTGGTATAATTCAGAAACCCGTCCGGTAAGCTAGGGCGAATGTTGATTGGATGCTCCCCACGTGGAACCGACTTTCAGCTTCGGATTGTTGTACATGACATCGAGTATGCTCGTCAACATGCCCTCCGATCAAAATTTCATGTTTCCGGCTGTTGAATACGACGTCGAGTGCTCCGCACCCATGGTATTGGGTCAGCCCCTAAAATGTAAACAGATTTTCAGCCACGGATTGAACGTATAGTTTTCAACATTTGTGTTGCAGCAACCAGATCTTGATAGCCAATCTCTCGTAGCCTGTCGACGTCCAGCGGACCTGAGTGACTTTCGCAGTCTGCCGATAGTAATGTAGACGTTAAAACGCGTTGAAAGTTGCGAAAGCGTTCGGCTGTGCTGGCATTACACTGTACGTGTCTGTAAATTGTTCACCGAGTAAGATTGTGCACATCGCGGTTGAGGATATAATGGTTTCCTCTGTCCACACCTCGGCAGGGGACTGGTCCCAAAGCTCACTTCTCACGACAAGTAACACCTCTCTGCGTGGTGAAAGTGTCGACTGGGTGGAACCCAAGCACATAGATGCGGGGTTCGTACCAACCACGATATCGTCGAGTCCGTCCTGGGCATCATTTTGCTGGCATCAATGTCGAGCTATTGGAGTGTCTCACGAGCTTGATTGAAGAAGCAGCCATAAAGTCGACGGGAAGCGGGCTGTATCTGTCCCTTGTTCTACTTGGATCTTTGACTGGTGCGCAGTCGTTCATCCAAGCAGTCTCGCTGTGTATATCAGGGCCGTGGTCAGTTGAGGGCAAGCGGAACAGAACGACGAAGCATCAAGTGATGTCGTGTACGCTTGCTCCAGAGACCGATATTGTGTAATGGGAACGGGGAGTGTTGACACTGGTTGGATAGGAACCTAGACCGGAAATGGAGACAAGAGTGAATACCCAGGAATAACAACGCGTTAGCATCCAAAGAGAATATGGAAACTGAAAAAGTAGGAAACACACCAATTTAACCTTAATTGGTACAGTAAGCGTCACTTGAGGATAGAACGGAAAAATAGATGTAGGAAGGTAAACAAATCTCAAGTTGAGTGTGGGAAAGATGAGCTTAGCATCAATATGGGGAGGATGTTGGGAATGAAGGGAAAGCGGTAGGGGGGCTTGAGGCCATGATAATAGAGAAGAAGGAAGTGAATAAGAGAGGAGAGGAAAGCAACTCTGGAAGACGCTGGGGATAGCATCAAGAAGAAAGAGACGTGATAAAATAAAATGTGAATAGCTTCAAGAACAAAAAAATCCCCATTAATCTAGACCGTTCCTAGACCTCAAGACAGGACATGGTATACCAGAGTCCTCAGAGAGGAGCCCGGCACCTCTGTCCCCTCCTCCGGACATTCCCTTATATGGCCTTCCGCTATCTGGACCTACAGTTGCCAAGCATCCTGGGTATATAAGAGTCCGAACCGGCAGTGGGGAGGAGGCTATTCTCTCTCCTGCAAGGGGCTATTCCCCTGGGCCACTGGGGGGGGGGCTGGTTGAAATATTAGTCGTTGTGTTCTTCATATAGGACCAAACACTTAAAAGCGATGTCACTAGAGAATTTTAAATTACATTTTGTCTACCCTCTTGGTGTCGTGATAGCCTTAAATTTGAAAGGAAGAACCTAGATAGGGTCAGGCTGCTATCTGCCAAGTTTGAAACAAATCTGAACACTCGATGGCGGTGGTCGATGAAGTCTTTAAGTGTAGGGTACATGCATATAGAGTCAGAACATGAAGCTATCCAGACACCCATTTTAGGAAGGAGGGATGAAAGTGAGCCCGAATAGTAAAGTCATGCGTTCGATTCTTGGCCTCCTTGAATAAATTATTAGGTGCACCTTTTTCATTTCCTGGCTTTTTTCCCACCAAATTGTGAGCCATTAATATTAATATCAATACACCCTCCCATCCACGCCGATCACTCGACATCCACCGTAAAGAAACCGATCCCACCCAGGAGTACAGCATGACGGTGCCCTACATCCCATACCCAAGCAGAAAGGCCGACCCAATTTGAAACCGACGAAAGTCCTCACGCTTCGTACCCAACGATTCGGCAGGCTTTGGCCCGGCAGAACCATCCGGCTCTTTATTCACCCCTCGTCCGTCATTCTCCATCCATCTTCTTTGACAATGCGGGAGCGGCTACGGATACTCTGTTCATTATATATGGGTGCGACTTCATCCAGCTAACGAGACTGGACGTCTTGAAACGGTTGCGAGAAGGACTGCCCGAATTGTGCGTGACATAAGGCATGCATTGCTATCTGTCTCCGCCATTGATCCGGTACCTCATAAGCTGCCGCAATCATGGCAGCTAATGGTGGACGATGATGAGATTTGATGCCGCGTTACTGGAGAAATACATCTTGGTTAGCTGAAAGCACTTCATATCGCCGAGGCCGGTCACGCACCCCCACAGCTGTGGCCAGGGCAGATGGTGAGCACCATATGAGACAGTGGGAAAGGGAGCTAGCGTTGCTATACGGAGTATGCTGGTCGCAACAGTTCTGGAAGAACGGCCAGCGGTCGAACGAGTGTGGATGCAGCCTGATGAAAGTCACGCGCAACCAATGATGAAGACGACAACAACGCAGAGCTTTTCAATTCCCGGCACCGAAGTCCCATTGCCACTGAGGTGGCGAGCAACATCGATTCTAGATCAGTGAGATATTCGTCACCGCCGTTGCGATGTTCAGAGCAGTGGCTCCGAGGGCTGAGCACTATTTATACCTGGTCATCTGATTGTATTTTTTAGAATCATTTGGGATGCCTGACGCAAGTCTCAGGTGTAGTCGCATGGGCAGCTCTCGGCAAGGTACCCATGCACAGGGCTGCAACAGCTGCAGTGATACGCATGGTAGAAAAATGTATGGATATTCACTCAGATTTTCTGCTCGTCTGTCAGGTGTGTAGTATCCTGGGCATTTGCTGCTATTATAGGTCCAACAAATGAGCTAAACGAGGACTTTCGGTATCGTAACTAAGGTCCCACATTGTTGCATAGTCGACCAGGAAACAGACTCCACTATTGACACACTAAACGATGAACTACAGGTTTTAGCGAACGTATACATACCGGCACGTATTGTCTTTTGGCCCCATTAGTGGGTGGGGACAGACAGGGAATGCCTTAACCGCCATTTAAAATGGAGATTGCCCAGACGTGGCAATTCATTTAGCTGAAATATGAACTCATTCAAATATGAATGGCACCCATCTCAAGGTGAGATGAGTACTCAAATGTGTAATAGACCCGCGCTGGCGAGATCCCTCTGTGCCCCTATATTGCAAGGCGAGTCCGGATATATATAGTCGTGACATGAAACGTCCATTTGGGATCCTATCATTTATTTTCCACATCAACATCAGTCCCCATAACCTTCCCGAGACTTTTCTCTGCTGTCTCCCACTCTTTATTGATAACATCGAGTACCCAGTCACCCCTGGGCCGGAGTTTGAACTTGACCTCCCTCGGCATTGTCATGAACCCTGCCACGACCATCGCCCATGGATCCACCTCTTCCCCATCAGCAGGCTCGATATCAAACGCCCACAGCAGGCAAGCAACATGCATAAAAGATCCATCTGTAGCGACCCTCTTTCCTTGGCAGATACGACGGCCCTGCCCAAAGACCGGCAACGGAAGGTCCGTTCGCAGTCTTTCCTCTCCGGCGTCATCACGCTGGAGCCACCGCTCAGGCACGAAATCCTGAGTGTCTCCAAGCGCGGGATCAAAGACCTTCTCATCCCGACCGATGGCCCACGCGTTGGCCATGAGAGTGACACCCTTTTTGATCTTGACACCATTGAACTCGTCGTCCCGGTCCGCCCTACGAGGAATTGAACCTGGCGAAATAGGCCGCCAACGGAAAAGTTCATGCATAATAGCATCAATGAAAGAGAGTCCCGAACGGTCCAAAAACCGGGGGAGGCGATCACGGCCGACGACCTCGTCGAGCAAGGCGTGCGCCCGCGCCATGAAGGACGGCTGGTGCAGCGCGGCAATGAACAACCACAGCAGCTGCCGCGGTGAAGTCTCCATACCACCCTGGATGGATGTTGCAAGAGTGAAAGCGAGGTCGAGATCGGGGACACCGTTTTCAGAATACTTCTCCGCTGTGGCAATGGCCTGCTTGGTGGAGTTCCAGCCTGCCGAGTCCCTTCCATGCCGGAAGAGGCGCATATAGAGGTCCACCTGTGTGGCGTAGAGCTTGTCGGCTGCTCGCTTCCATGGTGACAAAAATTCCGGCAGGTGGCGCAGAGGCGGGATCATATCTGGAATACCGGGGTTCGCAGCGAGATGGGTTACTTGGGTTTGGATGTCGATGATCTCGTGCAGGATATGCTCTTCGAAGCTTGGGATGCGCATACCATAATGCAGAGCAAGTATGACACTAGATTGAGTGCGCTCAAGAAGTGGATAGATAGTTTCTGTGCTGATGCCATGGGGAAGCTTCCGTGCAGCATTTGAGAGGTCAAATAATAGCTGTTTGGACTCAAGCTCCATCAATGGATGGTACTGTGGGGCGGCGAGGGCACCGAGACTGGGCGCCAGGATGCGATGGTGGAACTTGAGGTGATCATCGTAGTCGTGCATCAGAGTGAATTTTGACTGCCCAGGCTTAGCCCCCGTGATCATCTCCATGCTGACGGAGGGCGGACGATTGCTGTACCATTGGCTGCGGCGACTGAACAACTCAGTTACAGCCTCATAGGAATTCAAGACCACAATTGGTATGATCCCGAAGAGCTTCGGTACTGCAATAGGTCCATTTTCTTTCGTCCATGAGTCCCAGTTTGAAAGTGGCTTGTCAATGGGGGAGCTATGCAGGTCGCCGATTAGGGGAAGCTTAAGGAGGGGTTTGTTTACTCCCTTCTTTTTCCCTGTAACAATGTAGAGCAATGTCAACAGACCGAACGCCACCGCGACCGCGATAGGTGTTGTAGTCATATTGGTTACAGAAATGCAGGGGCTGAGGAGACCACGTTTGACATATCAGACGTATTGCGGAGAAGAGGGAGACGCAGTTTCACATAGCGTAAAAACATTTGCATGACTCGGATATTATGCCAAGCTCTATTATTCCTTCTAGACCTCTTCATTGGTTTGAGAGGTCAAAAGGCGCTAAAAAGCGACGGACTCGTTATTAGTACAAGCGGGACTTGGCCCACCAATAAGTGTGCTTCTATTGAGGACCCAGGGGAGACGTTGAGCTGTCATATGCCGAAGAGTGGAATTGTCTTTTTATCATTGACCGTGATATCGTTGTTAATTTCGGTATGATGTGTCAGCCTCCATCTTAATGAACTGCTTGTCTTTGCAGAAGGATTTGCCAAATTACTGGTTCTTGCTTATTTATATTCATTCCACAAAATGTGAATTATCTGGTGCAGAAGTGCCAAAGCTAAAAAATAAACCGCGTATAACCCCTGGCCAGTTTAGGATTTTGGCCCCCGGGCTATCTTCGACATCCCTGCTAGCTGCAGATGAGCTGGTTTCAGGTTATCTATTTAATAACGTTCCCCAGGTTTTTTTTCCCACTTAATAAGTCTGCGAGAATGGGAGATGGTTGTTACTTTCCCTATAGAAACGCCAGCCCAAAGGCAGGTCTTGGGCGTGGCTATCGCTTTCTCCGTTCTAGCCGTAGCAGCGGTATGCCTGCGACTGCTAGCTCATCATCTTGCGCGTAAGCGATGGATCTTGAGTGACTATTTCATAATTGCCGGTGGCGTAAGTATCTGTCCAGTGAATTTATCAAAACTATGCTTACCAATACAGATCTTCGCCGTTGGCCTCCAGTCCATCAGCATCACCGGCGTGATACAAGCGGGCATCGGTTATGATCATGTCCCTGCAATTGCAATCAAATTTGGCACCCAGCCGATCACCAAACTCCTTCAGTTAATTATCCCATTGCAATTTCTCTGGGTTCTGAGTCTCAGCTGTACAAAGATCTCCATCTTGTTCTTATATCTTAGCATATTCCCTGTCACTTGGGTCGTGCGAGTATCCTGGGCAACGATGGGTGTGATTGTCGCCTGGACTATTGGGACAATACTGGCTGGATGTCTGATCTGTCGGCCCTTCGCTTTTAACTGGGACCAGACTATTCCTGGGGGATCGTGCGGTAACCAGGTCACCTCATTCACGGCGACAGGTGTTATAAACCTTGTTACCGACGTTGTTGTCCTGGTGACACCGATGCCGCTGCTATATAAGCTGCAAATGGCCAGGTATAAGAAAGTGACATTCATCACTATCTTCGGGCTGGGAGCAGTGTAAGATTTACACGGCTAGTGAAGGAAACGCCAGGAAGCATCTGCTAATTTAGAATATAGCACATGTATCATCAGCATTCTTCGTATCTCCATACTCTCCACGATGGATTTCACCGACATCACCTACTCGATTCCACGTGCCAACATCTTCAGTGGCCTAGAGCCCTGTCTCGCTGTAATCCTCGCATCGGTCCCTATGATGCGCCCCCTCCTAGGGCGTTCAGCATACACACCTGAGGTGACAGCTCGCCCATCGAATAAATGTTCGTCTCCGTCTGGAAGATCCAGGTCTACTGGCGATGGCGAATTCCAGCCGCTGCAGGATGACTCAAGTGAGCTGTGTTTACGACCAATCGGGCCAAAGCATGAGGTTGGCATCGCAGTTCAAAACCCCGCAGAGACGGGAGGGGTATCCCGTAGGAGCGGAGAGTCTCTTGAAGCTGGAGAGAGCAGGGATATGAATCAGAGGGAGAAAGGAGGCTTGGGGATTTCAGTGAAGCAGGAATGGGCTGTGTCTCATGGACTGAAGTGATATCAAGACCTCTTTCCTGAAACTTTCTATATATATACTAAACTAGGAAATAAACGCCTTACTGGCCAGGCATCCAATGGCGATTCGCTCTTTCCAATCATTTGGTCGATTGTTTTCCCCATTCACATTGTTCGATTGTTTATGCTACATTGTTTTGGACCTGCATCGCCTTTCATTTCAAGACCTCGCGTGCCAAAAATATTTCTTCTGCTGAAAATTATCTGCTCCAGAAAACGCTGCTCAAGATCTCGTCAATAATCTACAAAATGTTATTCAGATATCTTCTCGCGTTGGGTATCCAACTATGCTGGGTTGCTCTCGGGTCTGCCCAAGACGCGACAATTGTTTGTTTACCTGCAAAGCCACCAATATAATGAGGAAACTAACAACATACAGACGGTTCCATGGGTCACAAATGCACCTGATTACTTCCAGGGCTATGGAGGCAAGGCCATAGGTGCCGTATGTATCTTGTCTGCTTCTGCTGTTATTCATTGCTAACAATCAATGCAGAAAGATGCAACCACAACCTACGGCATCAACTGTCTCTCGGACCAAACAGCCTGCCACAGATTCACTCCAGATCTGACCGTTATCTACGGACCAAGCAGTAAGAATATAGCAGGCCCCCAAACACGGCTTTACACTGACTTGTACACATAGCATATGACATGATTGCCAACGGCTACAAATTTGACTTCACTTCAGGTTGCACGCTCATGGGTTCTCCAACACCCACCGGCGCATCTTGCACAGAAACAAAGTCCTCACATCTAATGAGTGCTATCACCTCGGCTACAGTGCTTGTTCCAGCCACAGGTGACGCTTCCACCCTGGGGATTTTCCCGGCAACCTTGATTGTGACAGATACCGGAGACTTCCCCGCGCCTGCTACCGCAACCGAAACCAAAGCTTCTGCCGATTCTCATGTTTCAACTAATGGCACAACCTTGACTGCGCCTGCGACCCCGACCACTGATCCTGTTGGCTTAGGCTTGGTTGGATTCCTGAATTCGACCGCCATGACAACTGATGGCCCAACATATTTCGGCAATGGAACTTCACCGGGTCACAAGAATGGCACGACAGTGACGGTGACTGTTCTTGCTAGCTCTATCCCGTGCCACTGTGAATGTGACTGCGGACAGAATCAGACCCCTAGGGCCACTGTCACTGTGCCAATGGCGATGAAAAACCACGGAGTCAAGACGGCTGCGCCTGTGGCATTGATGTGTGGAATGGTGGCTGGCGTCATGTTCTGGGGTTGAACTTGAGGTGTGAATTAGGGACTGGATTTTTATTTTGACCGAAATGCCATGGTTATATCGACCATATCAAAATTTGGACCTATGGTGAGGTAGGTTGGATTTCAGGAACAGAATAACTACAACATTGTAGTTCGAATCTGATGATTTGATTGGCTTGCGATTATTTCTCCACACTTAGGAATAAATTCCGCACAGATTTTGGGTAAAAATAGAAAAATGCGCACGCGAGAAAATCCGAACCGCTTACATAATCATCGCGTTGTTGCCCACGGAGGTCCAATGTACTAGAATAGCCTCTACAATCCCTAAATTCCATAGATCCCTAATCCTGACAGGGCCCTAATAGAGATATCTTCAATGAAGGGCCCTAATAATAGAGAATAGTCTTATAGAAGTGATAATGATTGGAACGATGTAATCGGAACCCGGAACCTTTCAAGTAAATATCTCCGGACTTGATCCCGGAAAAATGCTTGGTAACGTATTGATAATGATGTGCTGACATTTGCTTACCTACAAGCCCCTCGGTCGGGACTGTCAAATTCCGTTCGATCTGCAGTTTTTTTGCACTGTGATTGGCTGCGAGTGGCCATTTTTTACTCCGAGATGGGCCCAGGCACCCAGGATATGGCGGGAGAAAGCGATAGAAAAACATTTTGGGGATCGTGAGATCCATAAATCCACATGTATAAAAACCCCATCCCAGTTCACCTGTTGTTTCTCTTCCTTGGAATCATTATATACCACTTCACTCCACTAATCATCCACCTATCTCCCCTCAACACCTTCACAATGGGCTCCACTCAACCCGAATTCAAGAACCCGGCTACTGCCTCTCTTTTGGAGTTGGCGAAGTCGCGCCGCACCTACTACGGCCTCAAGGCCGAGAGTCCCGTCTCTGACGATGTCATTGAGCGCATTGTTCAGGACTCTGTGCTCCATGTCCCCAGCTCCTTCAACACCCAGACCTCCCGTGTTGTCCTCCTGCTGAAGGAGGAACACAAGAAGGTGTGGGATATTGCCATTAATGTCATGGAGGGTCTGGTCGCCGCTGGCCACGTCCCCAAGGAAATGTTCGAGACTTCCACCAAGCCCAAGTTGGAGGCTTTCCGCGCTGCCTATGGAACCGTACGTTTGCCCTCCCCAATATGACTCCATTCGGTGCCAAAATGGCGAATCATCAGCTTACACAGTAATCCAGGTCCTTTTCTTTGTCGACTATGAGTCGCTCGCTCCTATCAAGGAGAAGTTCGCCATCTACGCCGACAAGTTCGATCCCTTTGCCCAGGAGTCGAATGCTATGTCTCAGTACCTTGGTATGTACTTTTCTTCGGCCTTTGGTCAGAAACAAGTAACTTGAAACTAACTATCACAAAGTCTGGACTGCCCTTGAGTCTGAGGGCTTCGGCGCCAACCTTCAGCACTACAGCCCTCTCATCGATGAGCCGATTACCAAGACTTGGGACCTCCCCGCTTCCTGGAAGTTGGATGCCCAGCTGGTCTTTGGTGTTCCCACTTCTGAGCCTGGTGAGAAGCAGTTCGCTCCTATTGAAGGTCGCTACAAGGTGTTCGGCAAATAAGCACATAAAGACGCATGCATATAAATTTAGCACTCACGAATGAAAGAGCAATGACTTGGATTTTCAGTTTCAACGCAATTTTGCAAATCTCAAAATTAGTAGGCTGGACTGCACGGTCCAGACTCAAGACTCATCTCAGAAAGGGGAGGGTATGCACGATATGACGTCGGATGCATGCAGGGAGATCGTGATCTACAGAGCTTAGTCGAACATCCAAGTTCAGCCTCCATAGGATCTAAGACCCTAAAGATTAGGCGTAGATCAGAAGGATCCTCAATGATCATCACGGAATAGCGGTCTGATAATAACCGAGGATCAGCCTGATGCAAGGTCCCGTTGTCTCCCTTCGGCCTCGGAAATCGGATTCCGCCATGCCGTGCATCCGATTGGATGAAAAACTCGTAGGAAGAGCTTGGGCATCAAATTATCGTGTCAATCACTGACGATCAAGGCTGGCGACATTGATTTACACTGGATTCGCAATTCATTCTCTAGTGGCATTTGGCATTCCAAGCATGATCTCGGGGGTAGATCTACTGCTCCCACGTATTTTGGAAGTAATTGCCACGTTCCTTGTCAGATTCTTTTATCTGGCTGGGAACAGAAGCGAAGTGAAAGATCTCGAGTGCCAATATGGGTATGACTATCCGGAGATCTTCGCGCTAGAACCAAATCGCTAGGCATGACTATAAACATACCTGTCGTTCTCGAAACAAGAACTAGATCCACTATTTAAGAGTGTACGCAAGCTTCCGCAAGGGATTCTGATGACCATGGTGATTTGAATCATCGATATGCAGGAGGTACGTTGTATGTTGTACGTTATAGGTCGTAGATGTTATACATTGTACATCGTACGTACTTTGTAGTTGAAAGTAGATGCCTGACCTTATTCTGGATAAAAAATCAAAACTCCACCCACTCCACTCCATGTTATCATCAATTTAGCCGTTTTTCGCCATCCTCTTTTTTTCTCCCTCTCTCCCTCTTCTTCAACTCCCTAAATTGCTCTCATAGCACCATTAGGACTGTCGGGTTTCTGGTAAATTGACAATGTCGTTTGAACCGCCCGCGGGTGCAGACTCTCGTGCGAATGAGCCCCACCATCTAGATCAGACCCGCCCAGAAGGTCAAGATGGGGACTCAGCACCAGTATCCAGTCGCTCTTCAATGTCCTACACAAGGACATACTCAACACCAGCGACCGGGGCACAAACCCCTGATCCATTGATGGGCAACACCAAGATTGTGGACAAGATCGCCCTTCAAGACCTTTCCATCAATGGCCTGGGTCATGAAAACAACGAGAGCTACGCTCTCGATACAACAAGCAAAATGAAGAACAGAAAACATGCAGACTCGGTATCTCGCTTTTATCCGGATAGCTCCGACGAAGAATCGGGATCCCCGACCCGCAGCAAGCAAGGCATCCCGCCCGAGCTCTCGAGCTTCACAGCCGAGCTCATCCTAATCTTCGTCTGCTCAGCAGGCCTAATGCTCTTCTCTTTCCTGCTAGGTGACATGCTCGCCCCGCAAGAACAAATCAAAACAGCCCTCGGCATCACCAACACCGAGCTTCCTTGGGTCGTCGGCGCCTTCAACACAGCCAACGGCCTATCGGTCATCATCTCCGGCTCGCTAACAGACTTAATGCCACCAAAGCTCCTCATGGTCGGAGCCTTCGCCTGGCTCGCCGCATGGAACCTAGTCGGCGCGTTCACCCTTCACCCATCCCGCTATGTCCTATTCTTCGTGATGCGCGCCATGCAGGGTCTCGCCATCGGCGTCCTCGTCTCAGGAAGCATGAGCATCCTCGGCCGCGTCTACACACCCGGTGTTCGCAAGAACCGCGTGTTTTCCGCAATGGCCGCTACCGCCCCGTTCGGGTTCTCTCTCGGTGCGATCCAAGGCGGAGCCTTGTATCAACACCTCCCGTGGATCTTCGGCTCAAACGCCATTATCTGCGTGCTGTTGTGTGCGGCAGCTTGGTTCGCTATCCCACCCCTCCGACCCATGGCCGATGCCTCCGGCAAGGAAGCCCCGTCGATCAAGCAATTCGACTATATCGGCGGCTTCTGCGCGGCCGGTGGTTGCGTGTGTCTCCTATTTGGGCTAACTCAGGGCCCCGTCGCCTCGTGGTCTCCTTACACCTACGTTTTAATCATCGTGAGCTTCCTGCTCTTCGTCGGACTCTTCTTCGCGGAGCGCAATGCAACTCGCCCTCTCATCCCTAACCGTCTCTGGCGCACACCGGGCTTCACTCCGTTGATGATCGCGTACTTCCTTGGCTTCGGGTCCTTCTTCGGCTGCTGGCAGTTCTACGCCATTCAGTTCTGGCTGCGTATTCAGCACGCTAGTCCCATTGCTGTCGCGTTGTATCATATCCCCAATGCGCTAGTCGGTGTCCTGGCGACGTTGATCGTTGCCCGCACTTTGCACCTCGTCCCCGGTCACTATATTTACGCGGTATCCATGCTAGCCTTCACGCTTGGACCGGCGTTTTTCCTGCCGCAGACTGCAAACACCATTTACTGGGCGCTTTCGTTCCCGGGTATTTCGCTGGTGACTTTCGGGCCTGACCTTGCTTTTGCGGCAGCTTCGATCTTCATTACTAGTAATGTTGAGCGGTCCTATCAGGGGAGTGCGGGCGCTTTGTTGGTTACGAATCAGAATCTTTCGTCGGCAATTATGACCAGTGTTGCTGATGCTATTGGGACCCGTGTTGATCGAGGGCCGTCGGGGGAAATTGGTCTTGATGGGCTGCGTGCTATTTGGTGGTTTGCCCTTGCGGCACAGTTGCTTGCTGCGTTGGTCACAGTTATTTGGGTCAGAATTCCGAAGGAGGAGGAGAAGGAACACGTTACTTGATTTGGATCAACTCGGTTGTTTTATTTAGTTTTATTTTATTTTATTTTTTTTTAAGAGATAGATTTCTTAGATCAGGCCCCGGATATTACCCTCATTTGATACACATTTTACAATTGTTAAAGCCAATAACACAGCGTAGGTCCGTACGTAATTGAATTTGCAGTGACCGGCATCCTTTTATCACTACTACAGCCCAATCATATGCAAAATATGTACAGTAAAATTGGTACTGGTATCATCCACAATATCCAGCGTCCTTTGCGTTTTCATTCTTACGGCATCTTAGTTTGGCTACGTCTTTCGATTGAGGAATGATCTACCTAGGTATGCAAATCCTGTGACATTATTAAAGAAAAAAGGAAATGATAGAATTGTCAGTTGGCCACCCATCCCCCAAATATATACATCAAAGTACCGAACCCAAGCTCGTAAGTGAAAGAGAAAGAGAAGTTGCCCCCAAAGAATATCGCCCCAACGCAATCATAGAGAATAAACAGCACAAAAGGTCGGCTGTATATCCGAACAAATATATATACATCGAAAAGAAGGAATAAATAAAAAGTCATCACGCATCCATAACAAGGGTATGCTCACTGCTCTTCTTCGAAGTCGCCTCCTGCATAACACTCATCTCGGTGGTAACCTCGATGCCGCCAAGCGAACTGTGGCTGGAGTGGTCACCAGGCTTAACATTGATCGAATACATATCATAGTCTTTATCCTGGTTCTGGCTATAGAGCTGAGTATGACGTGTCAGATTGCGAGTTCCGGTGAGGTTCGTGACTGTGGTTTTGTTGGCAGCATAGCGATTTGAGCTTCCTGCCGAGAGAAGCCTGGGGAAGATGCGGCTGATAATTGGTCGCAAGAATGGAAGACAGGAGCACATTATGGCGACATTGCATTCTGCGGCGGTCCAGTAGGCGGCTCCGACATTGCTATCTATTTGGTGGATTAGCCTTGGGTTCCATGGATTGGGAGACACGAAAGTGACGCACAGGAAGTGTCGGGACTTTTTGCAACTTCACGTAGACTAGATAGCCGGAGGATGCTGGTGACCACAACTAAAATACCGATAGCGAAGACGCCCATTAGGGCGATCTTCTGCGTGCGGGGCAGCTGTAGCTTGGAAAGGAGCGGCATGGGCAACACTAGTAGCGCTATATCGGTAACAATGTTCATTGAAGCATTGAAGAACCAGAGAGCCTCGAAGCTGAGACAGTTGCCGGGCAAGTCCTTGTTCCAAAATTTGGCCACGGGGACACAGTTCACGAAGCCGCTCACGAAGGCCCATGACGAGTAGGTAGCCACGATTGCCATCATGGCATAACAGGCGAGGCGGAAAGGTTTGCCGGGAAAGATGCGCAGATATTGGAAAAGAATGGAGAATTTCGTGAATGCCAAGCTGGCGTTGTACATGGGAATCGCAGCCCACAAACACTGAGAAGAAGTCAGGTTAGTTTGCCAACGAAGAGAATATGCAAAGAATAAAGAGTACCTTAAGCTGTTGCTGCAAGACATGACTGGAAAGAAGTGCTGAGTGGACACCCATCTTATAATGTAATTCTGTCATCCATATTAGTGGGGTGGTTCTTTAATTCTCCGACGCATCGTGAACTTACGGGCAGCAACGAGTGCGAGGTAGATAATGGAAAATATCTATAGTATTGGTTTATTAGTGAACTGCTCACCTAGCACTAGATGTGGCTCTTCGAGGGCATACCAACGAGATCAGAATAGCCCAATCTTCACGACCGGTGATTTTCATCAATCCAAGTCGTGCATAAAACCGCATTGCGACAATGACGATTGAGATGGTGGTTAGCACCGCAGTCACCACCAATGCCCGTCGACCGTGAGAGGCTCCATTATCATCCTCCCGAGGAAGCAACGCGTGAATCAAATCGTGCATATTGAATATCGAAAGTCCAGGACCAAATGTAGCGAGAATGGTTGTAAAACGAGCGTGTCGGCTATGTCCAGATGTTTCAATCGATCATGCCTAGTGTAGCAGTAGCACAGTGGCCTCGGATCGATGCAGCTCACTGCATTGAACTTGGGGTCGAGAGTGCCGGGAAATGTAAATCTGATACCAGGACAGGAAAATCCTTGTCGGAGACAGGGAGCGGGGACAAATTCATTTGAACACGATCTCAATGTCCGCACAAACTGCGGAGAACAATTTCACGCGTGGCAAAACCCAACCTGGGTAGGTGATTAACGCGAAATCCCCACAAGGTTCGAATAGTTTGCTCAATAGCGCGGCACCAGCTGGTGATCCCATGTTTCCATCCAGGTCACTGGGAAGCCTTGACTCGCTTAAGCGATGACTCCAGTATACGCCATGTGGTTTGGGGCCCACCCTACAGACCATAGGAGCATTTAGCGCGGGAATCTATTCACCGAATCTCCACCATGGCTGAACAATATTGCGAGGGGCTCACAGAACGGGGTAAGGATTGACATGTGGCTGCCAAGTCAGTTAAGGAAAACAGAAGGTATCTTTCCAAGTTTCCTCGTTGGGTATGGGCCTGCCCATAGGATCCACTTTGGTGGACAGTATGCGGTGGTTTCACTGGCTGAAGATGTATTTTTCATGAATAAAATTAGTGCAGGGTGGGGTGGCATCCGTCAGCCTCGTGCTGTCATTCTGATAATATTCATGTGGCATGCCGTATGACCTTAGGACCAGTACATATCTTGTAAGTACCACGGCAGAACATATATATGTGTTAAGACCAATTCATGTTAGACATTCGACAAAGGACATTAGTGGAAAGAAAAGAAAGGGAAGAAAATGAAGAGAATGGTTGGACCGACAGAGTGGTCACATCATTTCCTAATCGGGTTAATTTATGTCGCCCCTTATTGCTCCTCTATTTTGATCTCCCGAGCTATTCAATCTACTCCTGCATACGGAGTAGATAGCACCGCTTTGCCCTGCACTCTTCGCCATCCTGGACCAGTACCAGTCAGCCGTGAAACATGAATGGCTTCTTTTGTAGGGGAGTTGTGAAACCATGCAATGATCGCTGCGGTCCAATTATGGAAGTGGATGGCCCCCACACAAAAGTGTCATGAAATGACCCAGCGCACGGAACTCCCATGTGTCGCTGGCCACGGAGTATTACTACCCTACGCACCGTCCACAGCTGCGTCGCGTCACTTGCATATCAAACCCCTAAGGATATCTTGAGATGCACGGACAAGCTGATCAACGGAGACAAGACTATTTGGCACTTGAGTGCAGACCTCAAGTCCATTTTGGAGCGCCGAGTACAATACGAGATGCTCTTGTAGTATCCAAGATGCAAACATATCACTTCAGTACAATAATCGGCGGCTTATGCCGCCTTGCCATCTCCGTTTTGGACAATGTTTCCTAGGCCTTTTTGAGGACTTTTTTCCCATTCCTTGGACATCCTTCACTTTATTAGTGCTGTAGCTAGGAAGATGAGAAGAATTGGCTGCAAAATGTAGAGCATAGGCGACGACAAGCATGGTAATCTTTTCCATATTACCAGATAATGCCTTGCAATCAAGATCTTTCCCGAGGTCTCCTTCCATTTTAGTGTTAACCTCTTGCCGCTTTTTGATCTCAAGAGTAAAATTGAGCACGGTCCTGAACAGTCCGCGGGAGCTCGCGTCCATCGCGATTACTCATCCGGCCGATGCGTCCACTGGAGGGCTCCATGAAATCCCGCTTGGTTCATCTACCTACCTACTATATAATGATTGGGACTTCTTTAGAAAACCAACGATACTGACTCTCCAGGGCTGTAGGGGTACAAGTTCAAATCTTCTGAAATTGTCATGATTTCTCGTGGTTGACGAGACCCTGGCATGAAATTAAACCGTAATTATTATGTAGAGCCGTGTGCCATCCGAAAAGCCGCTGTTTACTAACTTCGGAATGTTGAGTTATCGAAAAGAGGCAGAAACATTAAATAGCATGATGGGGTCCTGCGTATTTATTGAGAAGGTTGTTTACTCGTAAAAGACCGGATTCTCGTCTACCAAAATCAGACAAACCCTCAGGATTTGATCGCAATTCCTGTTTTTACTTTCCTTTCCACTGCATTCCCTTGAGTCTATCCTCAGCCATTCTCAATTACAATCAAAATGCCACTTTGGCTCATTTACCACCCTCCCGGCACTTTTGAGGACGCCAGCTCAAAGCAAGCCCTGACCAAGGACGTGATGAAGATATACACTGGGATCGGTCTTCCTCCTTTTTATGTGGTTGTCAACTTTATCAAACTCTCAACTGAAGATATCTGGGTTGGCGGGGAAAGAAGAACCGAGAACCCGTTTATTCGGATCTCAATCGAACACATTGCTGTTCGACTTGAAAATGATGACCACGCTTATAAGCGCACCACCAACGCGATTGCAAAGGCTTTGAAGCCCCATGTTGCCGACAAGGGTTATGACTGGGAGTTCCACATCGACGAGACCGAAAGAAGACTATGGAGGATCAATGGAATGATTCCTCCTCCGTTTGGGAGTGAGATAGAGCAGCTGTGGACGACGGAAAATAGACCAAGTCTATATGATGGCGCCCACTAATTTCCCAAGATCAACTTTGGGTGTATTCTGAAGCATTGGCCGCTGAAAGGTATTTACTCACCATGTGGTTGTTGTATGTGTTCTCGGTGATTCTGTCCAGCTCGTTTATATGGCACCTCCATAATTGGATATTTCTTCAAGCATTGGACATCTTCTTTTATCTCCCTATTATTCGTAATCTTGCTACCTTGTGTGCCCTGATATTATGAAGGCCTGTCTTACCATTTCATTTTCAGTACACCAATTCCTTGGTTCTTTTAGCTTTAGACCAAGCATCAAGACTTGGTTAAGTCATAACAATGGAAACCGGGCCAAGCTGAAGCCCGTTTAACACAGTAGACGGGAATACATAATCCTAGTGTACATGTGTACTATAATTCAAACTAAAAACCTGTTAAACCACCCCAGCCCTTACTAACCTAGTACCTTGGACCAGTCCTGCTTCTTGAAGTACTCAGCCACGCTACTAAGCTGTGGTGCTCGTTCCAACTATACAAGTTAGCATTAAGAACCAAGTGGGAAATAATATATCACTCACGTCCTGGGGATGTATGACTGTTAGATCGCCTCGTCCCTCGTATCCAAACTTCTCCCAATACCCCCAGTTCTCATCAAGTTCTTCCTGGAGCTCAGGCGGGAAAGGAACAACCGACTGACCCTTTGGTAGTATGACAGGCTCGGCCTTCATACCAGTCACTTGCGAGAATATTTCAATCAATTCACGCAGCGTGATATAATCTCTATAGCCAATGACAGTTTTTCTGGCTGAGTCAAATACCAGGGCCCTGACAATTGGGCCAGAGTCTTCTTCCGCAGCAATAAAGGGTAGCTTGACGTCCGGGTCTAGACCCCCGATGAACTGGACAACTCCGTTCCCATTCTGGATAGATTAGGCCAATGCTGAAAACTAGGGTTTGAAAGGACTTACCTTTCTTGGCAGAGTGATCGGGTTTGAGACGAAGTTGCTCAAAAAGTACCCAGCTTGGAAGATACTGGTTTTCGCCCACAACTCTGGATGATTCTCTCTCCCGTAAATCTCGGCTTTGGCCTTTGAATCGAAATGATAGACGTGGGTATATTTCCCTCCAGACCACTTGGTCGCATTAGACAAAGAGGATAGCACAAACCGTTCCAGAGACTTGACCTTTGCCGCAGCATCGATAACATTCTTCAATTGCTGCGTCTCATGGTTGGCGGCCCAGGCATTGAGGGGTTGACCTGGTGTTGCCTTGTCTTTATTGGCGGGATCGCCATACAAGCCCCAGAAGTCACTGACCGCGAAAATGACATGTGCATCCTCAAATGCCGAGAGAAGTGAGGATGGGTTGTCCAAGTCGGCTTTGACAACCTCTGCACCGCAATCAGCCAAAGCTTGAGCCTTCGACCCGAGAGGATTTCTGCTGATTGCGCGAACACGCCAGCCGGATTCCCGCAGGAACGTCTCCGCAACAGAACCGCCCTGGTTACCGGTGGCACCGAGAATGACAATTAGCTTAGAAGCCATAAGAGTGCGATCGGAAGACTGATTGGATAGCTGGTAAACCTGATGTATTGAAGTGAGCAAAGAAAAGAGATGGAGTGCCTCCATTTTAAGTTACGGGGTCTAGCCAAAACTGGAATGGGGCCCGGAGACTTCTGAGCTGTTGAATAATCACGATATGCAAGGTTTCTCATCCGCTCACATTCATTATAAATTCCAAGTTAAGAGTTTCATCGGAGTGATTATTATTCAACTGGACTGACAAAGCAAATGAATCACTAATGACGCTTCTATCTATTCTATTCCATAGTGATATGATCCCTCCCAGCATAGAGCAAGCACAATACATTTCTAAGCTCTCTTCTTTCTATTCCCCCACAAGCCTCATAGTTTCCAAAGCTACTTTCTTCTCATTCCACGGTGACGCAGAACCCCAATTGTGTGTGGGTTCCAAGGGCATTGGTCGGATATATAACGTGGGCAATTTGTAACCTGCGTCTCTCATCCGCGATCATCCACGAGCTCTTCCATTGAATCTTCCCATCGACAGAACCCAAACTCAATTTCTCAAGCCTGACCTCCTCATGGCTTTCCCAAACCGCCTCCTCACTCATTCGACATGGCGCCTCATCGGTCTTGGCCTCACAGGCACCGTCTTCTCCCTGGGAGTCTTATCTATACTCGCACCATCCGTTGCTGCAGATTCTCTAGGGGTCGCGCCTACCACATCAGAAGGCCGCGAGATAACCGCAAAATCAATGGTTTTTCTTGGTATACGTGATGTGGCTGTTGCGGCAGCGCTGTTTTGGTATTATTGTGAAAAGAAGGAGAAGGAGATGGGGGTTTTGTTGACAGCGTGGACGATCGTGTGCACAGTGGATACATGGGTAACAATACAGGGGCCGAGAGGGTGGGATAAGGGGGTCTGGGGACTATGTGGGGGGGGCCCTGGTGGTCGCGGCTGGGGGGTTGGGGCTGTTGCAGTCGTGAGGAATATGGATTGCGTGGTGTTGAAGGATTTACGAGTAGAACTAGAGAGAGAGGGTAGCTGGGTACGGCACAACCAACTTGGAGATGACACAGATGGATAGATAAACAAAGTCATGTGCCTCTGCGAAGCAGGGTGGCGTTGTCCATGCTGGCTCGCGTGACGCTATTCGACTTTGGGAGCTCTCTTTACAACACAACTCTTCCTCCTGCGCTTTGATCGCTGGATTCTCTAGAGCCCATGTGGCTATATATCTTCCTTTCCAAATTCATCATTAACCTTATTCATTCGTCGGGACCCGTGGGCATGACCTGTTACCTTTTATCCGATCAACTACGCAGAGAGTCGCGGGTGGACTGGGACCCACTCTGGGGAGGATCCGAGTGGGCCCACCACTGTCAATCACACGAATCACATCTTGCAGCGGCATTTTTGACTTTCCCATCACCCAATCATTTTTACCATCGACCTCCGCATCAACCTTATTGTTGTACATCAAGAAGCTTCGATCACCAGTGTCAACAAGGCCACCGGATACAGATATTGAGATACAAAAATTGCAGGCAGCAACCGCAGTGAGTGTGCAGGACCAATGCAGGGAACACGCGGAGACCGCAGATTGAAGACATGCGAATGAAAGATTACGCCATGCACAGACCGGCCGTGGAGGTGAGCAGAGCAGTCCAGAGGCGAGAAAAGCAGTGACAGTTTGACAGGAGCTCGGATTCCGGTAAGCCCGGCTGGCAGGCATACGATCACATCCGTGGACGAAATGGTCGATGTTTACAAATCACTATTTTACATGCGATATTGCTAAGCAAGCTAGGGACGATGCTTGAAATATTGTTTATTAATCCCATCACGAAGCAAGGCTCCAAAGTTGCCTGAGTTTGTGAGCTAACATTTCAATATAAGTAGCACAGGACCTTTTCGATCAGAGGCTTCGCACCAAGCTCGTCTGTTTCCTCACCTGTCTGCCACTTGCCTCTCAGTTGAGCACCGAAGTTTAAGTATTTGATTCCATCAAAAATGGCCTCGCTCAAAAATGTTCTGCTTATTGGGGTACAAATCATCATTCTTCCCGCACCACCCATCGCCCTAAGGCTGCCGCTCGTCCATAACGTGTCCATAGTGATCCTACTGCGCATCCTGCTGACCTAAATATATCATAGGCAGGCGGAAATCTAGGCGTCCCCGTCCTCAAAGGATTCCTGGACTCTCCATATAAAGTTAGCGTCCTGACCCGCAAAGAGTCGACATCGACATTCCCCGAAGGCGTGTCTGTCTTCAAAGCAGATTACACCGACATGTCCTCTGTCAAGGGTGCAATGGAAGGTCAGGATGTGGTGATAAGCATGGTTGGCGGAATCGCAGCAGGCGACCAGCGGGTGTTCATTGATGCTGCCATAGCCGCTAGCGTGAAGAGATTCTTCCCTAGTGAATTCGGCCCCTATTCGCGGAACCCCGAGTTTGCCGCGGTCAACCCTGTTGTCTTACCAGCCAAGGCGGGTACAGTTGACTACCTCCGATTAAAAGAGTCTGAGATTTCTTGGTCGAGTCTCGTTACTGGCGCATTCTTCGACTGGGCCATGAAAGTGGGATTTTTTCGGTTTTGACCTCTCTTCCAAAACTGTGACTCTCATCGATGGCGGCACTTCAGTCTTCACTGCCACCAGCCTTTCGACAATCGGCAAAGCTCTTATTGCCATGCTTGACCACGCTGATGAGACAAAGAACCAATACGTCTTTGTGTCATCTTTCAATGTCAGCCAGAAAGACATTTTGGACGTAGTCGAGAAAGTCGACGGCCAGAAATGGACAGTAAAGCACGATACATCTGAGAAGGTCATTGCTGAAGGCAAGAGAAGACTTGCAGCGGGCGATTTTGCGGGGATAATAGACTTGACTAGGGGTGGGGCATTTGGCAAGCAGGCGCTGGGTGATTCAAGGCCATATGGGCTGTGGGACGACAAGTTGGGGCTACCAAGAGAGGATATAGAGCAGGCTGTCAAGGATGTACTCTAAATATTTACCTGAGCTAGGTTTACCTTCCACAGGGTCTTGCCTCAAAGTCCATTCGTCTCGTATTCTATCAATAACTATCTCGAAGTTGTCGGTCGTGTCGTGCTTAAATTTCTGTGGAGAGCTTATTCTGCATGTTTGTATCGACATAGTCCAAGCGGGTGCCAGAAGGAAAGAGCGGACGCGAGTAACAGCGGCCGTGCGATCGATTTTCTTCCAGACTTGCTCTTAGAGTCGGGAAGTGAAGCTATAGGGCAATGTGCTTGGGATAAAGTCGGTTTTACTGAGTCGGTCACTTCGCTCTGATTGTGTATCACATCTGCTTCAACTCGGGCCACTTGAGATAAAAGCTTGTCAGCGATCGAGAAGGGAAACAATCTGCTGGGCTGCACTTACAGTCCTGCCTCTCCTCGCGCTTTCCTCTCTTCTTCTCGCTCCTGTCTCTTTTCCTCAATGACACCGTGGCTCAGCGATTGTTTCCTCCATGCCTTGTTCGAAGCCAACGTTAGTGGATGATGGAATGAAAAGGAAATTTGAAGTCAACGTACCAGGGGTCCGCTACCTGGCGCGGGGAACAAACCTTCGAGGCAGGTATGCGCGTCTGGATGTTTACCAGATTACTCACCCCGTGGTGCTGGTGCTACCTAGGTACCTACCTAGGTAGTCAGCTTATGTCTCAAGTGCCAACATACTTTGGCTTTTGTGTTCACTTCAAAGTCACCAGTTCCAAAATATATCGCGCCTCAATGGACTGGACTGGCTTGGTGGGTACCTGTAAGTTCAGGCCTACCTCCTTTCGGTAATGCAGAATCCTAACGATTAGCTTTTGAACAGATTAGAACAGCATCTGAAGTGGATGTTGACGATCCATTTAGGCGGATACCAACGAGCCTGGGTGCTGCTCGATACCTAGGTAGCATTCGGCATGATCAATAATCCTCCCCGATGTTCGAGTCTTGGCTGCCTGTCACTCGGATGTTGGAGAATTGAAAAGAGATGGCAATCCTACTGGGGAGGGCTATTTTCAAAACAGACTGGGAGATGCACATTGTCCAACTGAGCTCTGCCTACACGATGGCATTGAACATTCCCTGGTATCGTGTGGCTCGTATCGTCCAAACATCTTTGGCAATCGCCGTTTTTGGTACTTCAGTTTACAGTGTGTCGACCCCCTTACCTCTACTACTGAAATAAAATGATTCTCACTCTTAACAGTATTATGCACATTATTGTTCACCATTCCCACGCTGTATGCCTTTGCTGTCGCAATATGCACCTTCAGTCTTGCCGCTCCTTACCTTGCCCTGGCGCCGGTTTACATTCCTCAATTTGAGCGTCAATTTGTGATTCCAACAGTAGAGATATTTTTGACATCTCTTTGGCTCACAGTACTTGCCGCACAAGCTGGTGCTTTCTCTTCGCCGCTCGAATACACTTCAAGCCTAGGTTCAGCTCAGTGTATCATTACACTGGCAGCAATTGAATTGTATGTGTTAGAAGCTAGTATCATGATCAACTTCCATTCACTTTCCGATTGCAAACCCGTTCCATTGGAATCAGTTACTTACATCGAGTCATATGTAGCGCTCTATTCTTTCTTACGACTTGTAACTCACTCATCGTGGCTGTACGGAGAAAGCATATCGTCGATTATTTCGCCTTGTCACCTTAATATTGAAAAGCTGGCGTGATCGGATATCAGTGGGGTTGGTCGTCTTTGAGGCAATTCAACTCGCTTGCTAGCGTTGGCACACTGGGAATATTGTGAGCGAGAACATGGAGGCATGATGGAAAACCACTTTATCGACATCATCGCGGAATTGCGTATCATAGGGATAAGAAGTTGCGTTATTATTAACTTATTAACTAATTATCCTGTCTTTACAATTGCTGTCTCCCCGCCATTTTTGTGTTCATTGCCTCAGTATCACGTATAGGCTGGTAAACCACAGGATTGTCTTTTGAGCAAAATTGCCCGATGGTGTACAGCTTGTGACATTCATGGGAAGTGTAGATTATTCATCCTAAATGATAGCCCGTGGACTACGAAGGGAGTAACCTTTGTATGATGTTCAGTAATCAAGGCCGACAAGCTTCGAAGGTTCAGTGGCGAACTTATTACCGTCACATTCCGATGTACACAACGCGACAATCGCTTAGTTTGAAGATGAAAGGATTTTTAAATTGGATACTTATAAATGAGTGCCTGCCAGTAATTTAATTGTTAGAGTGACCTAGCACTTTATTTCACTTGGACTTCCGTACTTCAGCCTCACTTCGTGCCAAGGTCCACAGAGTATGGCATCTTCATCTAAACGCTCCATTCTGATCACTGGGTTCGTTGCAGAGAGGGTGTTTCCCTATTTTCCCCTCATCAAAGCATTATAGGCTGACAATGCAAATCTGTCCAGCTGCTCGCCAGGTGGGGTTGGCCATGCTCTCGCCCTTGAATTTCACTCTCGTGGCATGCGAGTTTTTGCAACTGCTCGATCCACCAATTCTCTATCCGAGTTAGCGCAAAAAGGCATTGAAACATATGAGCTAGACGTGACAAGCTCGGAGAGCATCGCAGCGTTGAGAGATGAGATCTCCAAGCGGACTGACGGCAAACTAGATATGCTGTTTAACAATGCTGGCTCAAGTATGTCACGTTCCGTTCTTCCCCATATCTTTCGACACCCTGTCACTTCTACCGTCTCGCCTATGTTGACCTCATTTTTTTCTGTTAGTGTATCAAGCTCCGGCAATCGAAGCCGATCCTGCCCGTATACGTGGAATGTTCGATACCAACGTATTTGGCCTGTTCGATATGGTCTCAGCGTTTACTCCTCTTCTCCTAGCCTCAGCTAGCAATTCATCTACGCCGCCAGTGATCATCAATACTTCATCAGTCCTTGCACGGCTTCCATTTGCTTTTTCGGCCGCATACAATGCCTCGAAAGCAGCCGTGGCTTCTTACAGCGACACTCTCCGGGTCGAACTTAGCCCACTTGGTATCAAGGTTGTTACGCTATTTATGGGCGAAGTTTCGACCAAGCTCGTTTCTCCCGACAGTATCTCTTTTGGCCCCGAGAGTATCTACACTGTTGCACTAGAGGGTATCAGGGAGTGGAGTCGAAACCATGCTAGAAACAGCATGAAGCCGGAAGCGTTTGCCAAACAGGTTGTTCAAGCTATATTGGCTAAGAGTCCTAGATATGGAAAAGGCGAGGTCCTGTGGAAAGGGACCAATGCTTGGGTGATTTGGCTTTTGAACCTCGTTGGGTGGAGATATATGCTGGAGAACGTCTCCAAAAAGATGGTCGGCCTCGAGAAAAAGGAAGTCCGGAAGTCTGTTCTTGACAAAGCGAGAAAGATTTGGTCAAAGGAAATGGTGCAGGAAAGCTAATAGGGTATTCCTGTAGTATCATCTGTGGCCACTTAGTCTAATCCTCTTGCGTTGCTTGTTTGGTTATTTAGAGTACTCAGTCAAAAAGCGGGATATAATTGACATCAAAGTAGCAAAGTGAAACACTCCCACTTGATGCTAGAACGTGCCTACCAGCGTAATGAGCTTAATTCTCTCTGGCACGGTTAATAAAAAAAAGTTGAATGCTATTCTCGAATTTGGCCAGCCAAATGATAGTCTCGCGATGGATTTCATTATCAATAACATAAACCCTTTCTACAGCCGAACTCCAAAACAAACAATTACAGGAGTCACGCGGAGGGTATAAGAAACTTCATGGTTTTCCTGCGAGGCGCAATGCAGCCTCAACAGTCTGGCGTCGAAATGCAGGACCATGTCCAAAGCAAATGCACTCAGTAGCGAGGTCTATACTCATTAGCCTTTCGAACCCAATTCATCCCACAACAGGTACTCACACTGAACAAGGGCCGCAACATGAAGCGACGAAACAAGACTTGGGTGAGAAAATGGGAGACCATTCTCCTGGTTACAAAAACCCCTCTCGCTGAGGAATTTCTGTACACCGCTGGCATCTAACCATTCACCGGCCTCGGATGCGACGGCTGATCCCAATTCTTCAGTCTGGGCCGCAAGCTCTCCCGAGGCATAGTTATCTCTCATCAAATGCAACGGGGCAAGTGCGGTGGCCATGAGATCAATGAGACTTCCAGTCTTGTCATGTATTCCAGCATGAAAACAGGAGATGAAACTATCACGCTCAGTTGGACCCATTGATGTCCCGAAAACTTCTTGAATCTTCGCCAGGTCATTCGGGGTGTTGACAAGGAGCTTATACCCATTCTGACAGCACACTTTTACTAGATACTGTGAGAAAGTCAACTGCTCTTCCTTCATAGAGCTAGCGAGAGCAATGGCTGGGGAGCGACCTGATGATGATGATAGCGGAATGGGTGGCTCATTAGTGAGCGGAGCCATGAAGAAACTGAACTGGGGCGTCAGTTGGCCTTGGTAGAGGGATGCTTGTGTGTGTAAGGGCGGCAGCTCAGCCCATCCTATCGGGGTTGATGAGAGTGCGGTAGGAGCACTTTCATTTGACGGCACCCTTGTGGGACTTTCACTGCGTTGTTCGTCCTTGTCAATGGCAGTGGATGAAGTGGCGCCAACAGCCTCGTTGAGAGCCCCTTCATCAGGACTCGCACATCCAGTCTCAGCAAGCGAAAGGTGTTGCTGGGTTATTTTTCGGAGGGCTGATGTGACATGTGAATGCTTTCCAAGGAGACCAGTTTCCAAAAGGAGATCACTGAATTTGAGGAAGGACTGGCTAAGTTGCTCTATGCCAGCCTCAAGCTCGTGGACACGATCCTGCAGGTCGCCAATGGTGTTCTCTTTTCGCGTACGATAAGCCTGCTGTGCCACGCGTAGCTGTTCGCGGCGCCTCTGAGAAGAATCAGTCATCAAACTCATCTGTTCTTTAGATTTCACTCACATCTAGTGCTTGTTGGCTTTCAAATTTGCGGGGGCGCCCTTTCTTCCGCACGCCTGCCTTGTCTTTTTTTTCCATTGGATTTGAGCCTATGATGAGACCAAGTGCATCCAGTGAATAAAATTAATTAAAGGTCACAGGAGGCCCATGAAGATCTCCAGGGCTGCCTAGGTATTAATCTAGATTATTCATCATGGGACCCTAAAGGTGCCCAGGTGGCGATGCGGCAATGTTGAATAATCGGAAATACCCTTTAGGCAAGTGTATATCTGCCAGTGCGCCACGACATTTCATCAAACTATTATATGTGTATTTTATTAACCATCCATGGATAGAAATTGATAGAAATTGGCGCTATAGAAATCGGGATATTGTAGAAATTGTCCCTGTAGAGGCTGATATTGTAGGAATTAATCATTAGAGCTCAGTTTGTAGGTAATAGTAAACTGGCGGTATCACAGTCCAAATTTAATATGCATGTTACAAATTCAGCACTTCATATAGAGTATACTATGCCAATTATTTTTAATAAACACATTTTCCTAAAATCAATTGATATCGGTCTGGATAGTGTATTTCCAGGACAGAGTTAACTTCCAAGGTTAATAGTTGGTTGAGTAATCACCAGCCCTTAGAAGGGAGACTCACCTACGTCCTCATTCCAATGGTTTATTCATCATTCTCTCGCACACAACTACTCCTGAGACCCCTATCACTGATTTTGGTGGTAATCATTAAAGGATTTGCAGAGACGGAATGATTACGGTGGATCTACTCAAGCTCAAATTTGTACCTGCATGGACTGGCCAGACGCGCCAGAACAATGTTATTTGAACAGCTTTGCCCTCAGCCCCATGTAGCCTATTTGTCTATCTGTTCTAGTCATCCTGTTTCGAATTTGTTTGTAGGTTACTTCCTTCATACAGCTGCGGACCTTCTGGCTCATTCCATATAGATCTTCTTGAACCTCTCCCCCTACTACTGCAGTGACAAGACTGCAAGGGTTTGCAGATGACTCTCTCCACATCAAGTACCGACAGCAACGAGAAGTTTTCCAACCTGGATAAATCATCAGATGAAACACGAGAAATCGACGCCACGCATAATGCGACAGAAGATGTGTCCCCCGGGATCCAAACAACATGGCATATGGCCGGCGAACTGCAAGCCTTGAAGGAGCGAGACGAGCAAAATGGCGAAAAAGCCCGCAAACTTGGAGTCACTTGGCAGAACCTCACTGTGAAAGGTGTCAGCAGCGACGCTACATTCAACGAGAATGTCCTCTCCCAATTCAATCTCTTCGGAAATCGGGGTAGCAAATCTCCCATGAAAACAATCCTCGACAACTCTCATGGCTGTGTTAAACCGGGAGAGATGCTGCTTGTCCTCGGCTGCCCCGGATCAGGGTGTACGACGTTGCTCAACGTGCTCTCGAACAACCGTCGTGGCTATGCTGAGGTTAGCGGCGATATTGCCTTCGGAAACATGTCTGCCGAAGAGGCCAAGCAATACCGCGGTCAGATTATCATGAACTCGGAGGAGGAAATTTTCTTTCCGACATTGACTGTCGGCGAGACTATCGATTTTGCCGCCCGTATGAAGGTCCCATCGCAGCTACCGCCAGGAATCAAGTCAGCGGAGGAATACGCTGAACTCAATAAGAAATTTCTTCTGCGGTCAGTGGGAATCTCACACACTGAATCTACCAAAGTGGGAGACGCATTCACCCGGGGAGTCTCTGGAGGAGAGAAAAACGTGTTTCCATCCTTGAGTGCTTGACAACTCGAGCAAGCGTCTTCTGTTGGGACAACCCAACGCGCGGTCTCGACGCTAGCACTGCTCTAGAGTGGACCAAGGCAATGAGAACGATGACTGACGTCTTTGGACTCACCACCATCGTCACCCTATATCAGGCAGGAAATGGCATCTACGAGAATTTCGACAAGGTGCTCGTCCTAGACGAGGCAAGCAGATCTTCTACGGTCCACAACGGAATGCAGTGCCTTTCATGGAAAATCTTGGGTTTAGGCGTGACTCTGGTTCCAACCGGGCAGATTTCTTGACTGGCGTGACCGTTCCTACGGAGCGTATTATTGCACTAGGCTATGAAAGCAAATTCCCGCGCACATCTGATGCAATCCGTGCTGCCTACGAGTCATCATCTTCCAAATCTGAAATCCAGGCCGAATGCTCCTATCCACAAAGCAAAGAGGCGGCGGAGAACACGGCTATTTTCAAAGAGATGGTGGCTCGGGAGAAACATCAGGGAGTACGCGAGAAGTCACCAGTCACTACAGACTTCCTTTCTTAGGTCAAAGCCTCGGTCACCCGGCAATACCAAATCATGTGGGGTGATAAAGCAACTTTGGCTATGAAGCAAGGTGCTACAGTCATCCAGGCCCTGCTAGGTGGATCTCTCTTTTACAATGCCCCAGATAACTCCATTGGTCTGTTCCTCAAGGGTGGTGCACTGTTCTTCTCCATCCTGTATAACGCCCTCATCGCTCTCTCGGAAGTCACAGACTCGTTCACTGGCAGACCTATTCTAGCCAAGCATCGTTCATTTGCTCTGTATCATCCCGCGGCTATCTGCATTTCTCAGATCGTCGCAGACTTTCCCATCCTGCTGTTCCAAGTGTCGCACTTCGGCCTCGTTCTCTATTTTATGGTTGGGTTAAACCGCACTGCCGAAGCCTTTTTCACCTACTGGATCACCAATTTCATGACAGCCATGTCCATGACAGCCCTCTTTCGACTAATTGGTGCCGCTTTTCCAACCTTTGACGCCGCAACCAAAGTCTCCGGCCTGACAATTGTCTCATGTTTCGTCTACACGGGCTATATGATCATCAAGCCTGAAATGCATCCATGGTTTGTATGGCTCTTCTGGATCAACCCCATGGCATATGGATTTGAAGCTCTTCTTGGTAACGAGTTCCATTCGTCGATTATCCCCTGCGTTGGACCAAACCTCATACCGAACGGCCCCGGTTATACCAGTGGTGAAGGTGGTCAATCATGTGCTGGTGTTGGTGGCGCTTCACCTGGTGCAACAAGTGTCACCGGCCGTGAGTATCTCGCATCCATGTCCTTCAGCCATAGCCATGTCTGGCGCAACTTTGGCATCATCTGCGCGTGGTGGGTGCTATTCGTTGCCCTTACCATCTTCTTCACCTCCCGGTGGAAATTACCCGGGGAGGGTGCTCGCAGCCTACTCGTTCCCCGGGAGCAGCAATATAAGTCGAAGCATCTGCTTCTCGGTGATGAGGAATCACAGGTGTCCACAAAGACTCTGCCAAGCTCTGAAGCAAACACCTCGCAGGAGACCATCGGAAAGGAACTCAACGACAACCGAAGCATCTTCACCTGGAAGAACCTTACTTATACTGTTAAAACTTCTTCCGGAGATCGAGTTCTCCTTGATAATGTGCAAGGATACGTGAAGCCCGGCATGCTCGGTGCACTTATGGGGTCTTCGGGTGCTGGCAAGACCACCCTGCTCGACGTTCTTGCTCAGCGTAAGACTGACGGAACCATCCACGGATCGGTGTTAGTTGATGGTCGACCCATTCCTATCTCGTTTCAACGCTCCGCTGGGTATGTCGAACAGTTGGACGTGCACGAGTCTTTAGCAACCGTCCGCGAGGCCCTCGAGTTTTCTGCTCTTCTACGCCAGCCCCGCGATACACCTACTGATGAGAAGTTACGCTACGTGGACACTATCATTGACCTCCTCGAGCTGCGGGATCTTGAGTTCACGCTTGTTGGTCGTCCGGGTGCAGGTTTGTCCGTCGAACAGCGGAAACGTCTTACTATTGCGGTCGAGCTAGTCGCAAAGCCTAGCATTCTTATCTTCCTAGATGAACCTACCTCTGGCCTCGACGGCCAGGCTGCATTCAATATCGTCCGCTTCCTACGGAAACTCGCCGAGGCCGGTCAAGCCGTTTTGGTCACCATTCACCAGCCGTCGGCTCAGCTTTTTGCGCAATTCAATACACTTCTGTTGCTCGCCAAGGGTGGGAAAACGGTTTACTTCGGTGATATTGGTGACAACGCTAGCACAGTCAAGGCCTATTTTGCCCGACACGGAGCACCCTGTCCGCCCGAAGCCACCCCTGCTGAGCATATGATTGACGTGGTGTCGGGTGCTGCCTCTGAAAATGCCGACTGGAATAAGATTTGGCTGGAGTCACCGGAGCACGACCAGCTCACAGCTGAGCTGGATGCTATGGCTATGGAAGCGGCTGCTGGACCATCAGGAACCGTTGACGACGGGCACGAGTTTGCAGCTTCGATGTGGACTCAGGTCAAGCTCGTAACCCACCGCATGAACGTCTCGCTGTTCCGAAATACCGAATATATCGACAACAAGTTCGCCCTACATATAAGCCTTGCGCTACTCAATGGCTTCTCATTCTGGATGATTGGGGATCGCCTCACAGATTTGCAGAAAACCCTCTTTACTGTCTTCAATTTCATTTTCGTCGCGCCCGGAGTGATCTCCTAACTGCAGCCTCTTTTTCATCGACCGCCGCGATATCTACGAGACGCGTGAGAAGAAAAGCAAAATGTATCACTGGGCTCCCTTTGTTGCGGGTTTGATCATTTCTGAGATTCCATACCTAATTGTCTGCGCGTTACTCTATTACGTCTGTTGGTATTTTACTTGCGGACTGCCTACTGCGCCCGGAAATGCCGGCAGTGTCTTCTTTGTGGTGGTAAGTCTATCTCTGGGTTGCTGAGTGCGATGTTTGAACAAGACAACTGACCAGAGCTTCCAGGTAATGTACGAGTGCCTTTACACCGGTATCGGCCAGATGATTGCCGCCTACGCTCCTAATGCCGTCTTCGCATCGCTTGTCAACCCGCTCGTCATCACGACCCTTGTCTCTTTTTGTGGCGTCATGGTGCCATACAGCCAGATTGAACCGTTTTGGAAATATTGGTAAGCATTACTTTTGCCTTCGTTGGTCTCTGGAATCATCATTCGTGGTTTCTAACCGCAGTCACTATAGGATGTACTATGTCGACCCTTTCAACTATCTCATGAGCTCCCTGCTTGTTTTCACCACATGGTCCAAGCCGGTCACTTGTACTCCTGATGAGGTCGCCTTGTTTGACCCACCAGTCAATCAAACCTGTGGTGAATACCTTGCCACCTACCAGCAGGGCATGGGGGTAGGAACAAACCTCCTCAACCCGAGTGCGAACGCCGATTGCCGCGTTTGCCAGTACACCACTGGTGGAGACTACCTCAAGTCTCTGAACCTTGCAGAGGAGTACTTTGGGTGGAGGAATGCTGGCCTCGTTGTTGTTTTCGTACTTGGTATCTACGGATTGGTGTTCTTGATGATGAAGTTGAGAACGAAGGCTACCAAGAAGGCCGAGAACTAGGTTGCTACAATGCCGGGGCGGCAAATACGTGGCAGTGTAGTCCGGCTGCTCGCCTACTCTCCCGCCGATGATACTCTCCCCTGGCGTGAACTTTCCTTTTTCTTTCCCTTCCGCCTTTCCATTTGCTTCTCGCCAGAAATGAGGAAGATCACATTAATTATCCGGTCTTATACCAGAAAATCATGTGACCATGGTGACCCTAGCCACCATACAATTGTCATTTCAGACCATTTTGTCATTTTTAGTTATCATTTTTAGTTACGTCGAGATTTACTTAAGAGATTAATAACATGTGATTCCATACTGAAGTTACTAGCTGAGATCTGTCTTGTACAGTGATTGCATCACAATCGCTTCCACAGATATCTGGAAAAGTACTTGATGAAAAGTAACCGCATCTCTTAGCCATATATATATGACCAGGGTGTTTTTCATGGACATTTCAAGCATGATCTCAGATCCCACCACTGCTTTCGAGATCTACTCTCCAGACAACTCAATAATAACCTCCCCTTCCTGCCCAAGCCCCTCCTTCACAGTTGTTCCCAACTCCCCACTGAGCTCACGAATCTTTTGACTCGCCCACGCATGATCCGCATCTCCAGAATCCAACAAAACAGCCCTAAACCGCTCAACCCGCGTAGGGAAAATCTCCAATCTCTCCAACCCAAGCCCACCACCACTCTTCTCCCGAACAACAACCCTCCACAAAGCCCCAAGATCATTCCTATACTCTTCATTCAGGGCATAATCATCCACAAAGTCCCCGCAGCCATAGATAATAAGCTTCCCATGATAAACCTCCACACCCTGAACATGATGCGACGAATGCCCATGGACAATATCGACTCCACACTCATCGATCAAGAAATGCGCAAGAGACGTAATCCGTGCATCGGCCTCCCAAGCATAATTCGGCCCCCAGTGAACCGAAAAGATCTTCAACGCAGGCTTGGTCTCCTGCACATCAACAAGCATTTTCCGCAGCCAATCGCGTGTTTCACGCGAGTAATCAAACAAATTGAATCCTGGCACATTGACCCACGCGCGAGGGTGGTCAGAGGCCGAGTATATATGCACTGTGTGGCGGTGTTGGCCTTCGTCTATGGGTTCTGAGGCCCTGGGCAAATGTAGCACAGCCGGCTTGCGCGCATCAATGGATGTTTCACCTACGCCTGCGTATGCGATGTTCGCTGCTCGCAGTGTTTGCACGGTCTCTGTGAGACCCTCGGTGTCGAAGTCCAGGGTGTGGTTGTTGGCGAGACTGGCGTAGTCGATACCGCCGGCATGTAGAATGGGGCCTAGGTTTGCTGGGTGCATCCGGTAGTTGAAGACCTTGTTGGGCCACGGGATTGGGGCTGTTGTCACGGCGGTTTCGAGGTTGATGCATGCTAGGGTGGAGGAATGGAGGATGGGGAGGGTTGTGCCCCATGGCGAGGAAGGTGTGTAGTTTCCTTTTGAGAGGAGAGTTGGATGGGCTTTTATGAAGGTTGCGGCGATGCGTGCGTCGTGCTGGTTGGTGACGTGCTCTGGCATTAGTTGGTCGATCAGGCGCCCGAGCATTACGTCGCCTGTGAAGGTAAGAGTGAAGGCTTTTGAAGTGGACATTGTAGCGGATTGTCAGTTTGAAGAATTAGAATTGGAATTGGAATTGGTTGTTCAGAACGGATTTGATCTGGTTTCAATTGAGTTGATCGAGGTCGCATTTGGGGATTTCGACGTTGGAAGTCATTATGACATCGGTCCGCATCAAGTACAAGATATATCTACCTACATGGGCATTGAGGAACACATCAAGGGAAATAGGTCGCGATTGCACATTATAGAATACAATTCATTTGACACACTTTTTTTTTCGAAAAGAATAATAATAACACAGCCAGGGACAAGATATCCTAGTAACGTGAGTGGTATCTTTGTACGCCGTTCATCTCACGAGAAACACCGATTTGCAAAACATTATCCGAATATCATTATTTTCGTCACTGCTCGGGCGGACGTCGAATCTATCGTCTCATCTCTGCCAGCTCGCGCTCCTTTGCTCTGAGCATCTCGCGCATTTGCTCCGCTTCGCGTTCAAGTCGGGCACGGCGATCAACCGAGTCTCCAAGAGATGCAAGACCAGGCAAAGGCTGCGGTGGGTGAGGCGAAGGGGAGATAGAGTGGTGAATGGGAGGTGGACGTCCCAGATTATTATCCGAGCGAGGCTCGCCCCGAACATCTGATTGGTTCAAAATGGACGAGATTGAGCTGAGACGGCCAGGTGGAGTAGGATTGGCCGAAGACATAATCGGAGGCAGTTGATTTGACCCTGCCTCCAATGTAGATGGGGCTGGTAGAGCCTCTGTTGCAGCCTCGGCCAATGTTCGTTTCTTGGGAACGTTGAGAGTGTTTGGAGAGGCGGACCGGCGCCCGTACTGAGACACGGGCGACTGTCCCAGCCGCTCCACTTCCAAAAGTTTGGGTAGGCTGTGGGGGATGGAGGGACCATGTGCAAGGGGCACAGATGAAACATTGTAACCGGTGAAATCAACCGGCGGTGGCGCAAAAGGCAAGGCTCGAGGTGCGTCTTCAGTTTTCCCAGGCATCATCTGGTAGTGATCCGCAGGCTCGCTGCTCATATACCGATAGTGATCATCATGGCCATGCGCCAGGGCGGCAGGTGATGCTTCCGGGGATGTTGATGAGCCATTGGAAGAAAGGGTACCGGCGGTCGGAGACTGATCTCGTAGGGCAGGAACAACACGCTTGCGACGTTTTATAATAGACTTTTTCATGTTGGTGGGGCGATAGCATCCGTGGAGTTTATAGTACAATCCTGCGTTGTGTTAGAGCAATCGGACCATTAAGTCTATGCGAAATCCAACTTACCACAAGCGTTGCAAATGGGGTGGCCTTGTTCATCGCGCCGCCACAGAGGAGTCACAGTTGTGCCGCAATTCTGACAAGCAACCAAGGTGTTAGAGGCATCGGCAGGAGTAGGGGCCTTCACAGGTGTCTCCTCTTGCGTCGCAGGTTCAGGTTCGTGCGCTTGGTGACGACCCCACGAAGATTGGATGGCAGCCGCACCTCGGGTAGCAGACTTGTATATCCGGTTGTTGTATGCCGGACACCCATCGCAACCTTCTGCGCCACCAGTCCCGTTACAACTTCCACCACCAGGGCATGACCCCTTGCAACCACCACCTTCCGAGGAACCGCCGCAATGAGAGCTCGCAGGTGGCGGCGGCTTCTCAGCACCCTCTGATTGCATCCGATTCCGTTTCGTGGGGCGAGCGACGTTGCGAGCTTTGAGATAAAGACCGCAGGCGTTGCAGATCATCGCTCCGGTAGGAGAACGACGCCAGAGAGGAGTGCTTTTTGTGCCGCAATTGCTGAATAAAAGAGATGGGGTCAGCGTTTGTAACCTAGATATCCGTCGAGGCCCATCCGGTCGAGACTCACCTGCATGAATGCCCTAGGAACGGTGTGTCCTTTTGGCTATTAGGAGATGTTTTCTCACTCGGGGTTTCATTGTGTCCATTCCATTGATTTGATCCGGGTTGACCAGATCTTTGTACCATGCCATCCTCTCGGTAGTGATCTGCTAAATGTTCACGACCTGCCTGTGCTGAGGAGATCAACTGCTGCGCAGCATCCAAATCTTCCGCTGACGGTTGTCGCATTGGAACGACTTGATTCCGAGGTAAAGAGTGAAGCGCTTCCATTTGTGGGATAGACGCTAACATTACAACAGTGATCCGGGCGAGGAATCCTTCCGCCGTTTCAAGGTGAGAGATCGAATATGAATGAGCCGACGGAAGCGAAGGGAGAGTGGAAATTCTAGGATGTGAGGGCGATGTCGCACCACAGTCGAGAGCAGAATGCACCGTCTCACAGAAACCAAATGTCGGTCAAGCTGACGGTTGGAGAAAGATGGGAAGTCAGTCCAGCAGGAATATATGCAGCCACGATGATGCAGGCTCGGGGCAATCGCAGGGTGGGCGATGACCCGGGATCGCGGTCAAAAAGAAGTGAATTCGGATTTTGCCGTCACACAGGAATCAAGAAACCAAGTGTCGAGTAGATTAGAAGAGTCGACCCACCACCAAAGGTATTGATCGGCTGGTATGGAATAGTGGCGACCCGACGGGGTGGAACAGTCAGGTGATAGTGATTGCGACAAATTGACAGCACACCACAGGGTCTGGTCTGACTAGCAGGCGATCGTGGGGGACAGTTTCGTTCGGGGACAGTGGCCCGATGCAAAAGGACGATTACCAAGGCAGGGATTGGTTGAGAGGTTAGGGAGCTGCAAGATGGTGATCACTCCGCGTTAGGACTGGGCAAAGTGGGCACACACAAGATGTGATGGAGGCGATAAGGGGGAGAACAAGTATTCGAGAAATGATGGAAAGACAGATTAAAGATAAAGTGTGGAAACCGAGAAGGATGGAAAAGATGAAAAGGAGAGAAATTGAGACAAAGAGGCGAGACCGAATTGCTTATCGCCCAAGAAAGGGATTGGGGTTTATCGATCTAAGTGGAAGGGGGGATCGACGGGCATATCAATCTATCACACTTTATCTACCCTCTGCCGAGAATCGCATCAATCTCATCTAATCAGTGTCTTTTCCTACTACTTTTTTGTTTTCCTTAAATTTCTTATACAAAAAGCTGAAATCTCTTATTCTGCATGATTCTATGTCCCCCAGGATCTCATGCAGACTCCACCTATGACCTGATGAAGTTTAGTTGGAAAGTGAAAAAAACAGTGGAAAAGGTGGAAAAATGGAAAAAGAGTGGGAAGAGTGGGAATTACACCTTCCCTAAGTGAGGTTAGGGTGGGGCGATGGTAGGCAATCAAATATATCATTGAAGTGATTGGTCCAAAGTGTATTACTAATACTGTCATCAACTCTCTGGATATTCCGATTGGTTCCTCGGAGATGGAACAAGCCGAAGCGATATGGCCACGCTGTACTTTTGGACGGTAATTTAGTACCGTTTTGTATGTTGTACAGTGACCAAAAGTACAGGCTACTACTGGTCACGGAGTAGGATACAGTACTCCGTACGTATATAGTACTTAGTATAATACATGGGAGTCTTGGCAAGACCCCTAGTTTTGACTATCAGATGATCTCTCACCGGATTACTGCAATAAGAAAATCAATAAATCATTAGAGCATGCCATGCTGCCAGACAATGCTAGCCCACCAAATATAGTACAGGTGTCTCTCTGTCCCTTTACGCTGGTATCAACAAAAATATCGGACACCCAGCAAAATCATCCATTCTCTTCAAATCCCCCTTCTCTATAACATCCTTCATCAAATTCACTCAAAGACGTCCGAGGTCATTGCGCTCATCGAACATCGCACACTGCATGTTGACAGAAACTGCCTGAACAGACAGTATCTATCACAAGTGCCAACACGACAGGATATTGTCATCGCCACCTACTCAGGGGCAACTTAGATCTGCTCGGCACCCCAGCCCTGGTCAGATTCGCGCATGTTCGAAGGAGGCTCGATAGAGGGAATGAACTCGAGGGCGATGTATGCAAGACCGATGAAGGCGATCAGCGAACCGTCAATGATGCGCAGCACGTGGTCGTGCAGCAGAATGGAACCGATGAAGATGTAGACTGTTGACGGAACTGATTAGCGACCGAATTCCCACTCCGATCTAGAGGCGTGCAAAAAAAAGAAAAGGAAAGAAAAACTTACAGACACCACGGCCGAGGAAGGAAAAGAGGAACGACGCATAACGGTACGCGTAGTCCGGGACGTGGGGAGGAACTCCAGTCCTCCAACGACTAGGATAATGTTAGCACTATGGACGTTGTGAGTTTGGAATATGGTAGGGACCTACCGAGACCGAAAACAACTGCATATGCACCCAGGATGAATGAACTCCAGGTGCCGGTGAAGAAGTTACTGATGCCACCGAGCACCATAAACACACCCACGGCGATGTTGACAAGACGGCTGCTTGGAATCAGTACTGGCACAAATGTATCCTGCGAAGAGCCGACATACAAGATGTTTGTGAAATCCATTGCGATAGCTTCGTTGAAGAGCTTAGGAGATGAAAGTGATCTTCAGCTTCTTCTGCTCACGAATCAATGATACAGAAGGCGAGTCGTTAGGCTGCAAGGTTTCGACAAAGGAGGAATTGCTGTCGAGTGACTGAATCGGGTCTTCAAAGGTGCTAAGTTAGCTTATAATACGAATACGATGCTGCTGGGTCTCGCCAATCGCTCAAGTGATGATGCAAGACAGGTTTGCCGGAGTTCACCTGGTCGGACCCAGTTTTGTGGTTTTATGACAAAGGAAAACGCACCTTTGAGATGAAACGGCGGGTCTGAGGGGAGCTATAATGAGCAACACAGGTTTGATCAAAAAGCTTGCCAGGGTTTGAATGAAGCAGAACGGGGGAGAGTGGAAATGAGGGCGTCGACAGCTGCTGCGTTGTCGCAAGCAGCGGGTCTGCCAAGGGAACTGGAAGCTCACGTGATTTCATAGGCCAGTGCGGGCGCTATGCTATATTCGGCATGGTGTTTCCTTCCAAGGTTCCAAGGTTGATGTAGGGCTACCAGTGTTCACTTAAATATCATTGCTCCCTCGAATGTGGATGCGAGTTTATGGTAAAGACTAAGATTGAAGGTGGTACCTGTTGTACCCTGAGCGTGAGACAGAACATTGATTTCGACACGCTCAGCGGAGATCCAGATATATAAATATGGCGGAAAGGGAGAGAGAAAAGAGAGATGGTTTATGAAAGAGATTTTGATTTACAATGTGAAAATTCAGGAATAGCACACAAATATACTGTGCGAGAATGTTCGACATATGAGCCTTCAAAACCACGCGTAGGTAGTGCTCTTTCTGCCTCCGTTAACTAATAAAGGTCGTGTCCCTGGAGTAAGCATAGGTACAACGCCTCCATGGGTAGGTATATTAGAGTTTGTATCAAAGATTACCTATAAAGCCCTGGAGCCTTGGATTCATGATTCATCTTGATCATCTCTGCCAATCATAGAGCAAGCATAAAACGGCATACTGTGGCTCTTCTGTCTTTATGTCACTTCGACTCAAAGTTGATAATTTGGGTTGTTTGGTTGCTCAGTGGGGTTCTTGTTCTTTCATTTTACTAATTTTCTATGTCGAACGTGGTAGATACATAGCGGCTCACAATTGAGCCAGATGGCTTGCAATCGAATCGTATGTGTTGAATGAAGGGAGACTGTGAAAGACGATTGAAAAAGCAAAATCGGAACGTGAAAAAACAATAGGATTCAGCAATAAAAAGAAACATGGCCCGAACCCTATAGAAAATACGAAGATACCGCCGTAGCTAGCTGCGATTCGATAACTACGGTATTAAATCATGAGTGTTGTAGGCAGCGCATCCCCATCAAGCCCCCACGAATCTACTTCGAAAAACCCTATAAATGCTCTACATGTCCAGCTGCCCCACAAGAAATCATTCAGCTGGTGCAATATGTGATCCTAGGGAAGGACCTGACCCAGGCATCATCATTGGCCCAATGGTTGTGGTGATCGTCAATAAATCATGCAGATACCGTGCATGTATCATCCCTCCATGCATATGGATCTGCGAACTAGGGAGGTAGACAGAGAATGATTGGTTGATGCTTGAACTGAGTTACCATCTTCATGGAGACCAAGACAGCTCATTGCTGACGGTACTGCTTAATTTATAATTTATATATAGTTCATATATCCTCGATCGAAAATACATGCTTCAAATTCTGTCTCGTCTGCACCTTACCCCTTACATCTTCACCTTGAACTTGGCTTTTAAAACGCATGCATTTTTCTATCAAACAATTTTTGTTTACTTAAGAGGGGACCTCAAAATTAAACCGATCTTCAGTCCACCCGTGTACGGGTGTGACTCTTAATTTACCATCTCCAAGCTATCATGAATGATATTTCACCAAGACAACCATGGCTATTCAATCTACGCTCATCTAAGCAACTTGTTGGCCTTGCCATCTTCTCGACCACCTTTACTGATGGGTTCCTTTACGGGATCGTAGGTGTTTCTACTCGTAGCCGTCGAATGGCAGTACTGACCACATGAGCTCTTCCCTAGATCGTATCCGTGCTTCCTTTCTCTCTAACGGTTCGGTCCGGAGTACCAGAGGATGACGTGCCATTCTGGATATCAATCTCTTTGGCCGTGTTCGGACTCGCAATGGTACTTGGTGCCCCCATCGCAGGCTGGATTATTGGAAAATGTGAGAGGCGCCAAATACTGTTTCTGGGAGGCCTCTCTTGTGCATTCGCTGCCACCTTATTGTTCATGCTTGGAGTCAAGCCATGGGTGATTATCGTGGCAAGGATTTTCCAGGGTCTGTCTGCGGGTGTTTCCTACACTGCTGGATTAACGCTGTTGGTGGACTCGATCGAGTCCCACGGGCTGGGACCCTGGGTTGGCTTCGGACTCTCAGGCATGAGTTTTGGGGTGCTCGTATCACCGACTCTTGGGGGCATTGTATATGAGCATGCAGGGTTCTATTCTGTCTTCATCATGGGTCTTTGCGTCATCCTCGTCAACTTGGTCCTCATTCTTCTCATGATCGACGGAAAGACCGCCGCAAATTATAGAGGGCAGAATGATCCAACGAACTATTCTTCTCTTCGGAATGGAAAATCCACCAAGAGTGCCATTGCAAATGGAAAACGGCGACTGTCAACTGTTGAAGATGGCGATCCGACTACCACAACACCGCTCCTCTCACAATGCCGTGAGATCTGTTCTATGGTTAAAAAAGATCCTTCTTGGTGGACTATTGTCAGAGGCTTCCTTCAAAATCATCGCATATCTGCTGCTTTATATGGATGCCTCATGAACACGATCTTGGTGAGCGCCATGGACGCCGTTCTCCCAATATTTATTACGCAGACCTTCCATTGGTTTTCCGGTGCTACCGGGGCCATGTTTTTAAATTTAACCATTCCGTCGTTGATTGGTCCAGTTGTTGGAATGATGTCAGAAAAATACGGTGCCCGGTTAATCTCCGGTGTCGGTTTTACGTTGGCAGCTGTAGCAGTTGCTGGCCTCGCTCTGATACAACATGACGATACTTCAAGTAAGGTCATGGCATGCGTACTATTATCTTTTGTTGGTAAGTTCCGGCCTGAGTCCCATGAACGTCAACGTCACCTGCAGATTTGCTCACAATAAACAGGGATAGGGCTCAGTACATCGCTGACCCCGTTAGTTGCGGATATACCTCGAATCGTGAATACTGTACAAGAGGAACGACCTGATATATATGGCGATAAAAGTGCAGTCATTGAGGCTCATATGCTTCTTGCCGTGGCATTTGGTGCTGGTACTGTGCTTGGCCCATTGCTTTCAGGGCTTGCGTTTGAGAATTTGGGATGGACTGGATGCACTGCCATGCTAGGGCTTTTGAGTGTGTCGGCCATAGTCCCAGTGGTAAGTGGCTGCGTGTTTATTCAATGCCTGTTGAACATAGTCGCTAACTTCAAATAGGTGATACATTTGGCCCCAAATCCGAAAGGCCTGTAAATCATCTCTCGGTGATCTGTGTTCATGATTTGAACCTGCCTGGTTGAGACATTGTCGATGCTTTGGGGACAAGAGAGTCAAAATAACATATCCCTTTCATTGTGAGGTCTTGACAAGGCCTGGAATACATTTCTGTGAGGGAAAGGAAATCAATCATTCTGACATTCTTGTTAAGATACATCCATGGAGCTGCTATACAGTTTCAAAGTTCCTCGATTACATCCTGCCTTCTCTCCAGTCGGACCTCAGAGAGGCCATTAGCGAACCAACTCATGCGCATGGGGTCCTGCTCTAGCGCATTGTATATTTCGTCCATGTCAGTTCCAATCCCGATCTCATCTGCGGTCTTCAAGCTCCGAGAGTCGATAGAAGGAGCAAAGCTTGGCCATATGCTTTGAACATTGTTGAAAAATACCTCCACTGCCAAGTCACCCATTCCCCTGATCTCCTTCAGTAATATTCTAGCTTTATGGGGTTTGCCGTCTGCCAACTTGAGGAGATTGTTCAAATCGCCATCTGTACTCATGCAACGTCAGATTCCACTTTCACATGCTGCATAACATCGCACATCCAAACCCGCAAATAGAAGTGAGGGCGTACCGTATCTCTCAACAACTAGCTTCGCAAGCTCACCGAGGTTGGTAGCACCCTGCTCTCGATACCGGTTGTAACCTCCGTCTTGCAAAATCATTGTTCGATCTTCCCACGTAGTTTCAGAAAGTACGTTGATGTCATGGTAGCTAGCCTCGATTAGGACCTTGATCGTTTTCTGCGTCAACTCGTGAGATATTGGCCTTGCTTTGATCAGGGCGTCAAGTGCCATCGCCAACACTATCTCAGGGCTAGCCTTTAGCGATCGTGGGTCGGCGAGTTCTGTGCCATGTAAAGGAGATCTACCGAACTCATTTAGGACTTTGTTGATTTTTAGGGCTGCGTCTTTGGGTGTATGTGCTGGCATCGTGGAGCAATTAATGAAATGATTATAGATTGTATTAAGCAATTCTCTTGGTTGGGGTTCTCAACTTGAGTGTTCAGACAATTATCGATTGACGTCACAATAGCATATACGGGCCGACCAAACTTCGCATTTATATACATGCCAAGGCTAGATCCTGAAACTGACTGATATATAACAATTGATCTGTACATGCGGTTCCTCATAGTTTAGCGCGAGATTTGTTTTGCAAGACCTCCTTGACCAAAGAGACAGCGGTATATGCACAGCCGAAGGAGGCCTGGTAGCCAAATCCTCCATGGCCGTAGTTGTGAACGATTGCCACGCCGTCAACCTTGTCTTTTTCAATGCGGGTGCCACCCTGTCTTAGTGGTCGGAGACCAACTCCATGGCGAATGATATCCAGTCCCTCGATTCCCTGTCCCTTCTTAACGAGACTGGGGCAGATGTCGATGCAACGCTTCATGATGCGATTTGCAAGGTTCATATCTGGGATTCCATTCCAGTTGTGCTTTTGATAAGAGCCACCGAGGATCGTGCCACCACCTAGAAGCAATAAGCCAACGATCTAACGGTACAATCAGCATATAAGATCTTACCTGCAGCACGAGTCATAATGTACAACGCCTCATCTTCTCCGTCGTCAGTTCCGGATGTCGACATCATGGGACCGGGGTCGTTGCGGACCACGACGATCTGGCCACGGGCGGGATACATCTTGTCATCAAGAACACCACCGAGGGTCTTGGACGATAGGCCGGTGCAGTTGACCACCACATCAGCTTTCTGTCCGGTGTGGTGGGCATTGGCCGCGTCGGCGATATGCTTAAACACAGCTCGCTTGAAGACGGCTCCGTTCTTAATGCACTGACCCACCAACCATGGCAGGTAGACTGCGGTGTTGATGCAGACAGATGTGAACTCCTGGGCGTTGTCCACTCCAGGGGCTAATTGGTCAGAGGCAACATTTTTGAACTAAGAATCATCACGTCAGTCTGCAGACCGTCTGAGGGATCATCTCACCGAAACATACATCAGGCACGACATCTTTATACCACGGGTTTGGCTGGGTCAATTCCGAGAACCACTTTCCGGTATCTGTTTCTTGATCCTTCTTTCGGTTGTATATCAATGTTCCTGCGATTTCGTTAGAGGGTTTTGGGATGCTAATCAGGTTCGGGGGAGAGATCATACCTCGGAAGTGGATACCGGCCTCTGGGTATTTCTCTGTGATTTCTCTCAATGCTGGCCAGGTATCACGCTCCCATTTATGGTGAGCACTTCCCTCCTTTCCCACCCTATAGAAGACCAACTTGATCAGAACTTTATCGAGCAGCCGGTTTCAGTCGATCATACGGCATATAGTTGGCACCGGCCCATGGGGACGCATATTCAATATCATAGTCCCCAGGCATGTGTTTTGCCAGCACGGTAATCTTGTTGGCGGGGTCTTGAGACAGCAGATATGCGGTGGTCAAACCAGACACACCAGCGCTATTACATATGTTAGTGGGACCAAGTTCCTGCAGGGTGAAGCTAGAGAAGCTTGGAGCTCGGAGATCTTACCCCAGAACTACAATGTTATTTGCCATAATGGACACTTTGACTTCCTTGAAGTTGCAAGTAACAAATATGAGGCACAATGGACACAAAAGGGGTCGCTGTCCTTATATGCTCGAAGCGAGGAAGAGCGGGGGTGAGACTACCTAAGGTATCCCGCTCATCTAACCGATAAGGGTCTGGTATGCTAAGAGGTCTCCAGGGTCGGTAAGATGTGGTAAGTGTCTTTTTACCCCACTTTGGACTTAGCCTATTGCGGGAACCCTACTGCGGCGGTGTAAGCATTCAACCAATCAAATACCACCAAAAAAGAAAATAAACGCGCTAGAGACTTTTAGTGGAGACATGGGTGGATACACTGTACACGGTCAAAGATTTAAAAATACAACTCCGCACTTATGCGGAGGTGATGCGTACGTCCAGAGGATTGAAAAGCATCGTAGTTACAGATATATAAAGCCTTTGCGATATGCCTCAATGCTTTTGTTTCTGAAGTCTCTTCACACCCTTGATTCAGTCTTCAATTATCCAGTGATTTCGCTTGGATCCCCAGCAAGGAGCTCCGCAAAATCCCGTTCCATAACTCCGGACTCCACTCCGAATTGGACGTTATCGATCACATTTGATCTCTCTAGGGCTCTTCAATTACCTCAATTCACGCTCACTTTTTCTCGTAAATCACAGTTCTTTGAGATAGTTTTGAGTCGGGAAACCAAGCAGAAGCTTTGATCTACTAAATATAGAATTGAATGCTCTGAAGGCTTTCTATACAAAGAAAATTGGGCGATGTCATAGTGGGCAAACGCCTGCGTTGTGGCCAATCACCGAACACCGCGGCTCACCGCCTCGCTGCGGCACTCAAATGGGCGTCGGAGGGCCGAACAATTTCCTTTTCCAAACCACCCGCAGGGCCCGAATTCACTCTGCGGGATCCTTTTGTTTGCCATTCTTAGATCAATAACTTCAATTTCTCAATTTTCTCAATTTTTCCTCACTTTCTATTTATTTGTTTGTCTATTGGTCTACACTCCCATAAATGCCGACTCTTATTCGAGTCTTCCTTTCAATATGTCACTCCTCACTAATGGTGGCAGAATCGTGCCCATACTTACGGGCTCTGATTCTCATCCCACTGAGAAGCCTGCGTTGTTAGACTCATCTCTTCCTCCAATACCTCCTTCTCCTTCTTCAATCTCTTCCCCACAAACCATGCCCCTGTTGCAGGACCAGCAAGCTTGCAAGCAACCCAAGCCCATGCACCACGCGAGCTTGGAGATGGCCTCTCTTCAAGAGAGAGGCCTCTATGCACTTCCCACCGAGGGAGACGGTAAGCCAATTACACCTGTTGCATGCTTTCTGAGCTCCATTGCGGTCTTTAGAAGCTGCATCACTTTGTTTTACCTATTCTGACGCGTCCAATCGCAGGTAATTGTCTCTATTACTCACTCTCCGACCAACTGTATGGCGACACCCACCATGCAGACGAAATCCGCCAGCTTCTAGCCAATCACATGGCTTCCAATAAAGATTACTTCATGCAATTCGTCGTTGCTGAAGGTGGGGAGCGCCGCCGCCCTAAGCGTGCGGCCGCATCAGCATATGCTACTCGCTCTGCTGATGTCTCCGCTCCGTCCCAGGAGGATATGGAACGGCGGTTCCAGGAAATGATTGCTACTACCCGCAAAAACGGGGAATGGGGCAGCTCTGAGCATCTGCAGGCATTCTGCCAGGCCTTCAAGGTCGACTTGAATGTATACACAATGGATGGTGTTTCGGTGTTCCAGGATGTCAATGCCCTCCCAACTCAACCTAGGGATGTTCTGCATGTAGCCTTCCATGTAAGTGTCTTGCTGACATGCATATCATGGAGCCTCACTAATGACCACAGGATTTTAAACACTACTCTTCAGTGCGGAATATCGAGGGCAAGCATGAAGGACTACTTACCAAGCTCATGCCTTTTCAACCTATCAAGGAGGAGGAGAGGATGAAGTCTGAAGTCGTTCCAGACTCCAAATCCGACATCGATAGTGACCAACTCATCTCACCAGAAGAGAAAACTGGTAGTGGTTATCTAGCCGACGATGCTGGCCTTGCTGTTGACCTATATCCCCTTGGGATATCAAATCCATCCAAGAGGGGTTGGGGGGCCGATATGACCGGGAGACCATTGTGGACATGCTCCAGCGATGTCGTGGCGACATTGACCGCGCCTTTGCCGCGCTCTTGGATGAGAAGACCGACGTCCCATTTGATAAAAAAGCTGCTCCCGGGATTCCTGTAAAGCCAAGCTTGCAGGCCTCGCGCTCTTCTTCTCCATTCAGTACGGGTAGCAAGCGGTCCGCGGAGGACAGTGACGATTCCGAAGATCCTCGTCCCGCACGACGCACCCGTCCTAGGAAACGCCTCGTCTCAAATCTTACCTTGGGCGTTGGTATCTCATTCAGGGATGAACATGACGAGGTTGTCTCCTTGAATCTTCGAGTGAGTTCTCCAACTGAAAGTCTCTTCAGGTGGCATGTTTGCTAACTTTTCCTTCAATAGATGAACTCCGACGCAGAAGAGAGTCAGGCCACAGACCCTCCCCGGGTAACACTAACCCGGAACAATCGGACGCGGACGGAAAGAAATGTCGTCGTAGTAGACGACTTTCCCGCCAACGCCCGACTTGATTTATTTGTTTCTTGCTTGTCTCCCGTCTGCGGCTAGACCTTTGAGCATCTTTAGCGCTTTCTCTTGCATAAAAAGGCGTTAGTGATGGAGCGATTGGTTTCTTACTTGGGTTTGCATATGCATCGCCCTGCGGGGCTCGCGGCCTGTGGGCTTGCGGAAGGGGGCGTTTTTTCTGATTATGAACTCGCATGAGGATATTGCCTGGGGCAGTCCTCAATTACCGTGCTTACAACGATACCAGGGTTGCTTTCCCCCCACAGTTTTCTAGAGTCTTTAGCTTTGGCTCTACTTTTTGCTCTCTTGTTTCCAGTCTGGGCCTTGACCCATGATCCGGCATTAGTGGCGAGCTGGTGTCACGGTGCTGTTTGGTGGCTTAGATTCTATTCTAGATATCTAATGTCACCCACTTTCTGGCTGGATATCTCAGTACTCATCCGTAGGCTTTCCCTACATAGTGAACAGGGGCAGGGCTCGTACTTTGAGCGGGTTGTACTCTAGGTATATAGGTAACAGCACGGACCTCCGTATATAGTGACATGTCAAATATTACAGTGCGTCTTATGTGCATGAAGATAGATCTATTTGAGGTAATTTAGACAATCACTGAGCAGTATCCCCAGAGAGCCAGGCAGAAGTAACCAAATCTAATGCAGTTCGCTTGTGTTGCTTGAAATATTTGCTCTTCCTTTTATTCCTCCAGTAGGAACTTCAGGAACGCCACCCCAATGGCGACACCATCATGTTCAATATTAGCTCTGCTCAAAGCATCCTGAGCTTGGTCCTCCTTAAAAACACCGGCCTCTGCCCGTCTCTGAATAGTCTCTGTAGCAATGTCTCCCGTGAATTCAGGATGGCCCTGAACGGTGACAAAGCGGCGCGGTGCATACATACCCTGCACAGCGCAGCGCGGGGATGAGCCGAGAGGAACCACGTTCGGGGGATAATTAAAGACAATATCCCGGTGCATTTGCTGGATGCGCTATTTGCGGTGAAGAAGATTAGGTCAGCTGGCTGCACATATACTCGGGGTGCATGAGTAGTAGCCTCTTGTGAAACAAGGCGCAGGCGCAGGGAACTTACAATCTTATCCCGACCAAAGAACTCCTTCCCCTTATCGGTCAAATCCATGTCACAGACGGCAATCTCCCAACCTTGGTCGCTTCGTCCGACCTTGCTGCCTAATGCGCGGCCAACGATTTGGTGTCCGAAGCAGATACCGAGTAGGCGGACTCGATCCTGGGCGAGGACTCGTTGAGTGAATTCAACGAGGCGGTTGATCCAGGGAATGTCTTCGAAGGAGTTGTGTTCTGGTTTAGGGGTCATTGTGATTAGTATATGCTTCCAAATGCTTTGAGTCACCGAGTTGATACGTACTTGATCCTGTCAGAAGCACGGCATCGACATCTTCTAGCTTAGGGTACTTGTCGTCATTGACTATATCCCAAGCTGTTATTTCCATGCCCGTTTCTGGATCGAGTCTCTCCGGCTGGTTCAAGGCATTCGCGCTAGCTTTGAGGAGCATGCGGAATACCCCGCCATATCCATTATAGCGGCGGTTGATTTTGTCAATAGGGGTGTCGCATTCTAACACGGCTATGCGGAGAGGGGAATGCATTATGCAGGATGACGCGAAGCTGCAGACAACGTAATAGATATGAGACCCGTGGACAAAATATATAGCAATCAAAAAGAGTTGGCCTCCCCGGGCAGAGCCCATACAATAATATTCCTTATCTCTTATCGGATCCCGAGATCGGACTCCGCTGACAAACCACGCTATTCCCGATGCGTCAATATTAGAAACATCTATGGACTTTTTCATCCCTCGGCAATTGATGCTGTGCTGCAGCAAATAGAGATCTTGCAGCCCTAGCGTTGAGATAAAGATCCTATTATCCTAGGCTGCGATTTTTCTTCCTTTCTCTTTTTTTGGTGCCACTACTGCTCTCAAAGCCCATGAGTTGTTGATGGCGTTCGCTTCGCTGTACTTACATTGCGTGCTTGCAGAATCTTCGTCCTCATGAAGTAACGTATTTTCATACATTTGTTTTTATAATTTTTTTTTCTTTAAAAAAAAATGCCCATTGACGAGAACGAGGGCAATCAGCTAATTTTTGCCCCTCCGAGGCCACCCCACTCCTGCGCAATAATTCCGTTCATCAGAAGACGAGTCACCACAATGTCTCGTATTCCGCAACGGATGTTGAATCAGCCAGCTCGTACAGAGCTACGGAAGAAGAAGCCCACTCTAGCTGTCCTTCCCGTGCAAGCTCTCCCACCCAAGAGCCAAACACCTCAACCAAAGATGAAACGGATTACGCCTCGAGGTTCATTGATGTCTCGCCGACCAGGTTCTGGGTCATATTTAGTGGCATCATGATGGGTTACATGATCGGCTTCTTTGATTCGACCCTCATGGCCTCCAGCCATCCAGTTATCACCTCCTACTTCAAAGCAGCCAACTCAGCCTCCTGGCTATCAACGGCCTTCTTGTTGACCTCGACCGCATTTATGCCCCTCTTTGGACGTATCTCGGACACATTTGGCCGGAAACCTGTCTATCTCTTCTCTATCAGCATGTTCTTCCTTACGACAGCAGGTTGTGGCTTGGCGCAAAGTATCGGCGGTTTTATCGCTGCTCGCGCGCTTTGTGGGCTTGGTGCCGGCGGTATCTTCTCCATCGGTCAGATCATCTCCAGTGACTTGGTGCATCTCGAGTATCGCGGGGTCTACCAATCATACATCAACCTGTGTCTCGGCACCGGCAGTAGTCTCGGCCTTGCCTTTGGGGGTTACCTGTGTGATCATATCGGCTGGCGGGGTGCGTTTCTCATCCAACTGCCTTTCATTTTCGTTTATTTTATCGCAGCCGCTTGGACAGTCCCGGCGGATCTCGGCATTAAACAAACTGGAATGGAGCGCATGAAAGTCTGGCAGTTGGTCCGGAGTATCGATATAACGGGATCAATCATTTTGATTATGTGTGTGACTCTGTTGATAATGGGTCTAAATTTTGGAGGGAATGTCTATCCTTGGGGCCATCCGCTCATTATCATCTCCCTAGTGGCATCATTAGTCCTAGCTGTTATCTTGGTGCGTTACGAGCGGCACGTCCCACGACCCGTGCTACCAATTGAGCTCATGGCAAAGGATCCTCGAGCCAGTATTATCTTTGGCAATTTCTTTGCCGCCATGTCTGTACACACCATGCTGTTCAACGCCCCGCTGTATTTCCAGGCCGTGAAGCTGACCAGCCCAACTGCTTCTGGTCTACGCCTTGTGGCTTCCTCCATAGCTGTCACTATCTCTAGTGTGAGCACCGGGTTCATGATTAACTGGACCAGACGTCTCAAACCCTTCGTCATGGTTGGTGTATGCTGCATGGTGATAGGTGGGTGTGCAGCTGCGTCCATGGGAATTGACACCTCTCAACCACTCTCCATGGTCTGCATCTCATTCTCCAGTCTAGGTCAGGGGTTTTCGTTTCCCACCCTCATGGTATCCATTCTCGCAACCAGTGAGAAGCAAGATCAGGCTGTCGCAACGACTACTCTGGGGCTGTGGAGAAGCCTTGGGGCCGTGATGGGCGTGGCTGTCAGCAGCTGGATCTTTCAGAATAGTCTCATATACCACCTTAACATAAACGTCACTGGTATTGAGAAGAACCATATCATTGCACTTGTCCGGAAATCCGTTGATACCATTGCCCACCTGGATCCAATCCATCGGCGAGAAGGTATGTTCTATTTCTTTCGAGCACCACTCACTTTGACCTTGCTAATTACCACTCAGTCACTACATCATACTCCGCGGCTCTTCAGCTGACCTTCATTTCTGCCGCCTTCTGGGGAGTCATTGTGTTAATATTGCTGGGCCGAGTCCCACTACCGCGATTGGGGAGAAAGGCCTAGCCAGTCTCTTTGATGATTCGTTGTTCTGATACCGGAGAATGTATATTGGCTGCGATGTTGGCCTTCTTACTGTATCTATTCATCTAGATGTAAATACATTATGTATGCACATACTATACCGTGGGCATCCCGTACTCCGTATACCGGCGATCTTGGCACAGCGACCCACCTTTTTTTTTGAACTCGATCTTTAACTTAACATCCACCCACTTCTCCGCAACTTCGAGACGTCTGTGTGGCTAAGCAAGGGGCTAGTGAGTGTATTCATACGATGCTTTCGCGTTCGGATGATAATTCTCAGCTGACACCCTTTTTGCCCCAGACTTATTCGCCGATCCCTTCTTTCCTGCCCCTCCTGTGCCGCCGCCTGGTAGTTGGATTCAGAGCTACACTTGAATACCAATCCCAAAGACGGTCGCAATCTTCTTTTCTCTAGCTGGATATAATTCTGAAACTGTGAACAACGAACATGGCCATCTGGGAAGAACTTACAACGGCATCTTGTGTATTCGGGAAACCTCTATCGGTTGGGACTCGAGTTGGCGCCGGGGACTAGAAACATAGTTGCGTTGTAACGCAAAAAAAAAAACTCTCACGGTTCGCAGTTTACAGCAACATGAATCTTCGAAAAGTAGCGAAGGCGCAGCCGCAGTCGCCCAGCGTCAGCACGAGGACATCCACCCCAAAAAGCCAGGCAAGCGATTCACAAAGCACACCCCGCCCCCGCAGCAGTCGCAAGAAATCCACAGATACGCCAGATACCAAAGCTAGGAGGGTACGCACAGGCTGTCTCACTTGTCGCCAAAGACATTTGAAATGCGACGAAGCTGTGGGAAGGTGTCTCAATTGTCGCAAATCGGATCGCGTCTGTCGACGTGGTGTTCGTCTCAATTTCATTGACACTCAGACTGTGGCGCCCCCACACATTATCGCTCGGCCCGCCGGATCGAAGGTGACATTTCGTGATGACTCGCGAACGATTGCGTCACTGTATGTGGGAGGGTTCGAGATATACCCGCCTGTCCAAGCGGAGAGTCCTGTTCAGGAGGACCCACAATCACACAATGACTTTGATTTTATGGGGGATGATGATTTGACAAATCTCTTTCAATCAGTGGCGCATTCATTTGACCCGCTGAGCTTGGATGTCCCGCACCCAAATACAGCGGAGTTCGTTGGATCTGATACCTGGCACCAGCCTCACTTGGTACCTGGAGATGAACTTCTTCCGCACGGGACGTCTCATTTCGCGCGGAAACTGGCTGGGAAACATGAGTACCATGCTTTCCTCACCGACCCAGAGCAAGTCTCTTTGCTCAGAATCTTCGTGGAAGAAGTCGGTCCCCGGCTGGATATAATGGATGAAATGAACCATGTGGGTAAATCTCCGCGCACTATATCCTTCCAGTCTGCTCACAAAACGCAGTTTTCCCAGATTCTTCCAGGTTTTGCAATTGGCGAGCCCTTATTGCTAAAGGCATTCATCGCGTGTGGTGCTAGACATCTTTCTTCTGTAGACCCTTCTTATGGGGAAGAAAAAGCGGCACACTATTACGACGCGGCTACTCGGGATCTTCTGGGTGCAGTCCACGATCCTAATCGTGACTCTGTACTATGCGCAACAGCAGCCGTTGCTCTCGGTTTCTCCGAAACCATGCCGAGCCAACCAAGGCACAGTGGAGATCACAGCGCAGGCTCCCGAGCACTGATCCGAGAATGTGGCTGGACTGCCAAAACCCCCGGGCTAGGTGGAGCATGTTTCAGGATCAGCATCAGTGCAGAGCTCCTGAAATGTACGCGATACAATTGGACATTGTCTTGGGATCCAGACACTTGGGGAGTCAACATGGACATGGATCATCCAGATGCCACCAATGGGGGAAGTCAAGATCTATGGCATCATCGGATACTTTATATTTTCGCGAAAGTGATGTCCTTACAAGCATCTTCGGGTCCATCTCGCGCTTTAGATGACGACTCGGCCAGGGCCATTCAGCTCAACGATCATGAATGGATTACCCACGACAGATGGTGTGAGCAATGGGCAAAATCTATTCCCAGATCCCTTGCACCCCTTGGTCATTTGCAGCCATGGCAAACGACCTCCAAATCGGTCTTTCCTGAAGTTTGGTATGTACTCAACTATCTCACATCCAGCCCGTTCGCCAGCTCATAGTTGCAGGCTTGTCAACCGATCTGCCGTTGTTTCTCGGTTATTCTACCATGCCAGTCGTATTCTACTGGCCAAAACACACCCGTTCCAGTCGGAGTTCGATGAGGATATGCGGAAAATGCAACGAAGCCATGCACACGAAATGTGCGGCCTTATTGCCCATACCACAGACCGGTTAGTACAAATCGTGACCAAGATCCCAGAAATGTCTGTCTCTAACCAGTTGAATAGAGGCGTGGCCCATATATCCCTGTACTTTCTAATACTCGCTGCAGAGTGTTTAGAAACACGCGAAGCCCAAGAGGAGGTACTCGGAATCTTCGATACCCTCACAAAAGTGACTGGCAGCAGTGCTGAAACAACCAAAAACGATCTCAAACAAATTTGGGGCTGGGTCGATGCTCACCCGCACACTGTGACGCCAGCCCAGATGCACAATGACTTCTATGAATTAGACCCATCTCTACCAATCTCCAACCACCCGGGCTCGTCTCCAAGCCTACACAATCCCTTGTTGACTACGGGTGACTTCTCATTGGAAAATCACCCGTATCAAGGATACTATGTGCCACCACATCACCACCATGCACTCAATCAGTATCACTATGGTACATTTGATTTGATTTGATGCTTTGGAAACCTTGACGAACCATGAATTATTATTCCCTAATTTCAAATCTATGTGCTTTTATACCCTATGAATATCATGGATTATTCTCAGCCGATCAATTCTGAGAAAAATCGCCGATTGTGGTTAAATAAAGACTACCAAACTATTGCTTCATCCATCAATGGATAACGCAGCCAAATCCGTAATAAACTGGGACTTGCTGATTAGCATGGTTAGCTTCAGCATTGGATGGTAGAGCATACCCTCTAACACCGATAGTGGAGATTTGGAACCACGAAGAGTGAACCTCGATGAGCAATGGAATTTCAACTTGGCCGTAGCTTGTCACATCCCTCATTGGTCTTTATTTTACATGGAACCTTCCAGTGGACGCTTCTAAGGATGTTTGAAGAATATCCCCATTGCCCACTTTGGCAGGTGCCAGGTGCCCAGGTGAGCACCTGCCCTTATGTAAGGGTCAGTGATCGAAAAGCGGCAAGAGTTGAGCACTAAAGGGGAAAGAGAAAGGTCCATGTTGTTGGTCGCCCCAGGCCATGATTTCAAGACTTGTTGATTATTAGTCCATTTTCTACTTCCATTCCTGAAAGTTGAACCGTTCTTGCTTTTGTGTTGTTCCATTGACAGTGCATATCATAAAGATCCACGCCCAAATATATCACCATACAACATAGGTGAGGCTCGAGTGTGGCGGTGTAAGCTGGCAATTCCACATGGCTGTGGACCTTGGCTAAGATAGAAGATATCAACAAGCAACAACCACAAGGCATTTGGGATGGACACCAAATCAGTTCAAGTTCAATCTCCAGCTACTCCAATCTACATCCTTCGTGGACATGCTTCTCCAGTCCATGCCCTGCACATCTACAGCCAGAATTTACGGCTTGTATCCGGTGATGCTAATGGCTGGATCGTTGTTTGGGACCTGGTCACCAAACGCCCTGTGACGGCATGGAAGGCCCACGAGGGAGCTGTTTTGGAGGCCAGAGGCTTTGATGTTGGCTCAGGTGCTACCGAGGTTTACACGTATGATGTTTCATCCACTCCTACTTAGCCATGGAAGGCATCGGCCACCCTACTAACATCTGCAATAGACATGGCCGCGACCACAAACTATGTGTGTGGAAGCTTCGTCCAGAGGATGAGACTTTTCTCAATAAGACGCTTCCAGTGGATGCGACCGAGTCCGCACAGCCAGGAAGTAAAACCCAGCCATGGTTACTCCATTCCTTGCCCGTGAATGCGCTTAATTTCTGTGCGTTCTCAATGGCCTTCGTGAATCAAGACGGGCTTCCTGCATTTCCATCCCAATCCAGAAGACCAGAGAACACTCTCTTTGCAGTACCCAATGCCTTAGACTCTGGTGGAGTCGATATCTTCCAACTTCCGTCCGAGCGCAGGATCAGTACTATTCCTTCCGAACAATCCCCTAAAACTGGAATGCTGATGGCTGTAAATCTCTTCGTCTCACCTTCTGGGGATCTCTACGTCGCCTCTGCATACGAAGATGGCCATGTGATGGTCTTCGTTCATCGTGGAGCTCTCAAGTCGGCCAGCTTTGAGCGCGAGTACATAAACAACAACCCTTTGAAATGGGACAAGCTTTATGCTGGCCGCCCTCATTCCCAGCCGGTCCTTTCCTTAGATGTCGCCCCCTCCCATGGATACTTCATCTCTTCTTCTGCGGATGCTCTGATCGTCAAGCATCCCATCCCCAGCACGGGGTCTGCGGGTTATATCACTACCGCTGGCTACAAAGAAGAATCTCCCTTGAAGATTGTCAACACAAAGCATTCGGGTCAGCAGGGTCTGCGGATCCGATCGGATGAGAAAGTATTTGCTACTGCTGGGTGGGATAGCAGGATCCGGGTGTACTCTCGGCAAAACCATGAAAGAGCTGGCTGTGCTGAAGTGGCACAAGGATGGTTGTTATTCTGTAGCGTTCGGGGATACTGAAAGTACGTCTTCGTTGGTGTCTCCATCGCCTGAGTCTGCAAAACAAGAACCCCGAGATGCAGACCAGCGCGCAGCAGGACAGACGACCGTCGACGGACGCAACTACTCTCTTGCAACAGTGCAGCAACAACGGAATCAAAAAGTACAAGAAACTCATTGGCTAGCGGCTGGGTCCAAGGACGGGAAGATTTCATTATGGGATATCTACTGAGATAAAGGCTAATGCTACAAAACAACCATGCGACCATGCTTTTTTTTTGAAACAGTCCACAGAGCAAAAAAATCAAGCCAAGTTGAACTCGTTCGCTCCAGACATATGCTCCCTCATCTTGGCTCTCATCTTGCGAGCAGCCTCATCCGCAACATTTGTGGAAGATGGAGCATCCTCGGCCTTCCTCTTATTTCCTGCAACACCGTTTCGCGCTGCCTTGAAGTCCTTCTTGGTGTCTTCTTGTCCAGGTCGCAGACCAGGGACGTTGATTTTACCCGGTCGGTCACGCAGGGCGAAGCTCTTCGCCAGATGGCCCAAGTGGAGTTCCTTAATGTTGAACATGCTCCTTTCAGCTGCGGTGTGGGTCGCGTAAGCCCGGACATGAGATTGGAACGCCCGTCGAGCCATTTCCAAATAGTCTGGGTTATCAAGTGCCCAACGCTCCACGTCCATCTGCCAATCGGTCGTCTTCTCCTCCCAGTTCTTCTTTTTGTTATCGTTGCCGCCAAAGCCACGCTTGAGAATCTCGTTTGCATCAGTGCGGGTGAGTGCCTTGCCTCCGTCGCGGTAGCCGCGCTTCAGAACTTCGACATAGTTCTCCTCACAGCCAGGCTGGAGGAAAATGAGGGCACGGCCGTCTCGTCCCACACGAGCAGTACGACCAATACGATGAGTGTGGTCATCGGAGCTGAAGGCCGGGTCATATTCGACAACCAAGTCCACGTTGGGCAAATCCAAACCACGGGAAGCCACATCAGTACAGATCATGACACAAGCCTCAGTACTGCGAGAGAAAGAGCCGAGCGTAGCAGTTCGAACATTCTGGGGAAGCGAGCCGTGCAGTCGGTGTAAGATGACTGGATTCGTCGGGGTCGAAAACGCTCTACCGGGAGCAATGGTGCCGTGGGGTGACAGTTTCTCCTTTTCTTCGTCTTTTTCGTCTTTCTGATCTTTTTCGTCCTTCTTGTTTTCTTCGTCGCTCTTCCTTTGTTGCTCGCGATCTTGATTCCTTGAGAATAGCTCAAAATGGAAATCGACTACGTCGGCGCAAGACATGAAAACAATCGCCTTCATCACTGATCCCTTCCGCATGAACGTCCTCTTCAAGTAGGCTGTTAATGAGACCAGACGTAGCTTAGCTGGAACAATCGCGTACGATTGCTTGAGCTGAGCCGGGACGCGGAATGACTCTTCCTCGTCCTTATTTGTCTTCTCCTCATCCTCATCGGACGGGTCGGCCTTGATGTGTACCGCGTCCTTCAAACTGATTTCTCCCAGCTTTTGGACATTCATCTTCAGAGTAGCAGAACACAGAATCGTTGTCCTGCGAGTAGGGACACCGGGAACGCGACTAGGGCGTTGTCTAGCGTCAAGTTTCTTGACAATGCCTTGCAATTCCTCCTCGAAGCCCATGTCCATCAAGCGATCACCCTCGTCAAGTACGAGCCACCGCACATTGCCGACCTGCAACGCTTCCGTATTGTCGAGGTGGTCTACCAATCGACCAGGTGTTGCGACAAGAATGTTCAATCCCTTTCTCAACCGTGCCTTCTCTGATTTCTTCTTTTCTCCACCAATTACCGTTCCACATACAATCCAGTTCGCGCAGCGCAGAATGTTCTCCAACACGACGGAGATCTGCTTGCATAGTTCACGGGTGGGTGCCAAAATAATAGCGAACAATCCACTGTCTCGGTGGACTTGGGTATCGTTATGTTCGTTAGTCGCTTTTGAGAGGTCCATAATCCGCTGCACCAGCGGCAGAAGGTAAGCCAGAGTCTTTCCGGAACCAGTTTCGGCCTGGATGAAAGCGTCACTTTCCTCCTTCAGCAATTGTGTAATTGAGCTTCTTTGGATAGCCGTCGGCGCCTTGAGCTCCAGCTTTGTGAGCAGATGCGCCGCAAGATTAGGGGGACAAGCCCAGATTCGTGAAGGTATCCAGTCCGTCGATCAGCGGCGCATTAGTCGGTTTCGCATCTTCCGCCCTCTCTCCTCCTTGGGTTCTTCGGGATTGCGCGCTTCGGGGTTACTAGTAAAGAGCGAGGAAACGAAATGTTTGGGGTCTCGTGGATGTTGCTGTGGTCGTCGATCACCACCAGAGCGCGGGGCGCTCGGGCGGTTGAACGAGTCTGAGTCTTCGGTCCTTTGTCTTTTCACTGGTCGCGTACCGAGTTGGACCTGGTTCGGGTTCTTGGATGCTGCATTGCGCGCAGCTGCATCTCCGGGTGCTTTCTCGGATCCTCGGTGGGCTGAGCGCTTCTTTGCAGTCAGTCGGTCTCGCCATGTTCCTCCTTTAAACTTGGCTTCAGGCTTGATGACACTGTCGCCAATGGTAAAGTTCATAAGCATTCCATCGTCGGCCATTTTGAAATAAGGCGATCCCCGCTGAAAATGTAGGGGAGTTGTGAAGGTTTTTGTTGGACCGGCGATCCAAAAGCTTTCGAGACTTTTTTTCGGCGCCAAGACTTCCAGGCTCTCAGGCAAATTTTCTCCACCCTAAGGACTTGCCCTACTTTGTTTACATTGAACTGCAGGGAAATGGAGAGATATATTTGAATAATTCCTAGTCTATCTTGCTTTTAAAGAACGTATGTAGGTGGTTTGCTTGCAAACCGTGCTATGCTAAAGTGTCAGATGTTCATTACTGAAGTGTTCGATATGGTATCAAGCACGAGGAGCCAAAATGAGGTTGTCGATCAGTCGCACAGGGACCTTGCCATCGCCCAATCCACAGTCTTCGCCTGGCTTGGACTCTTCCAGTGGTGCCATCTTGAATGCGGTACTCAAAACTGCGCCCTTAGCCGGGTCGACGACTTCCAACTCGTCAAGGGTGTCAGGATCGGCGAGAGAAATGTAGTCGACTTCGTAGAGTGCTCTCTCGGATGGGGAAAGGGATTGTTGCCTGGAAAGGACAGTCTCCGCCACATTACGAGCAGCCCCAAGAATATCGGCCCGACTGGTCTTGCCAGACAGGTATTCATCTTCGGCGGCTTTCAACGCCTTGTAGATGGTGAGCCCCACGGCTCGTCGCCGGTCGCCCAGGTAGACGTTCCGCGAGCTCAGCGCCAGGCCGTCATGTTCACGCGTAGTTTCAATGATTCGCACTTCGGTGCCAACATGGAAATCCTCCACCATGCGCTTGATGACCACGGTTTGTTGCACATCCTTCTGGCCAAAGTAGGCACGGTCGGGGGTTGTGATGTTGAAGAGTTTCATGCAGACTGTCGCCACGCCCCGGAAGAATACCGGACGAGAACCGCCCTCCAGTTTAGTGGACAACGGGGTAATTGTGACAAATGAGCCGTGTCCATCAACCTCTGACGAAGGGGGCAGACCGGGGTACATGACCTTCGAAGTGGGTGCGAAAAGGGCAGTGATGCGCCCCGCACTTGCACTGTTTTCTCCCAACCGCTCGAGCTCCTCATTCAGCTTTTCCAATTTCTCAACGTCAGAATCCCAGGTGCGGGGATAGCTGGAAAGATCCTCCGTGACTCCGAATTGTGTGGGATTGACGTAGATGCTAACGAAGATATCTGTGTTCTCGCGGGCAGCATGTCGAATTAGGGAGAGATGACCCTCATGAAGTGCGCCCATGGTAGGAACGAACCCTACACTCCGGTCATTCTGCAACAATTGGCGCCGAAGTCCTCGGATGGAGGGGACATCGCGGAAGACTTGAAAGCTGGATGGTTGGCGAACAGATTGTGAAGCCATGGTCGCGTCGGCAAGGAGGGATGAAGCTGTCGCTGGGATAGAGTGAGCTTATCTGCAGCTAGAATTTCCACAAAAGAGACATACTCGAAAACGATCTCGCTCCGTTGACTAAGCGAGACATACTATGTGAGGATAATAAATAAGCTCAATGCAAGATGTACAACATGAACGTTAGCAACTGTGGGATGAAAGCTACACAGCTCAGGCCCACGTGACCTGCCTCGGCTCGTTTCTGGGGAAATCCGAGACAACATCCGGGGGCGATCAGCCGGTTTGTTGCCGCTTGAGAGCTCGAGGGTTCAAGCTATGATTTGGTCCCGCACCTCGTCTCATTTGAGCTTTTCATTTGACTCCTCTTCCTCTCTTCTTTCCTTCCATGGACCTAACCGCGTGCTCGTGAGCTGACCTGAAGTATAACCATTCTCGCCCTGCCCCCCTTGTACAATGCCGTCTCCTAAGTCGGCTATTGCCGATGACCACCACTCGGCGCCAGACCTGGAAATCGTCAACTCACAGTTGACAATCCATCCATCAGGCTTCACTGGAGGTCCCGAAACCAAAGATGAAAAAATCACTGAACGCAACCTTGTCCGCCACATGGTGCGATTTCGCGAGAACCCCTTCGACTTTCTCCGGGAAGTGAGCCTGTACATGTCCGGCACGGGCTGGCGTGCATATGACGAACCTATCGGTCAACCTATCTTCTATTCGGGCTTCTCCGAAAGGATGAAGACCTCCATATTAGGCAGCCTGCTCCTGCAAAACAAGATCACTGAATTGGCCAATCGTCGACTCGTAGTCGAAGAGAAGGAAGGATTGCTGGCAATCAATGAAGGTAGAACGTTGGACGACAAACGGGCTCGTCGCCGGAACGAGATCGAAGATAATTTACGGGAAGTAGTGGATACAATGATGGAAAACATGATTTGCAAGATGGAAAGCAAGACGTTCATTCGGGGTGCTTATTATATGTGCACACAGCTCTTGACTCGTGCTTACCACCAAGGTAAATTTTAATGCTATACTCCTTCTCTCGCCAGTCAATGCTAAACGAAACACACTTAGGCATCCATGTATCCAGCGAAGAAGTCTTACGTCTAAGATCTGTAGCCGAAACTGCTGCCAAAAAGAAGCAGTCGATTGTTTTCCTTCCTTGTCACAAGTCCCATGTGGATTATGTCTCCCTACAACTTATCTGTTACCGTCTCGGTATTTCTCTACCTGTCATCGTCGCGGGTGACAATCTGAATATCCCTTTGCTGGGCGCTTTCCTACAACACGCAGGTCGGTCGCACGACAATTTTCTATTAGCTACCAGTACTAACCTAATGTAGGCGCTATGTGGATTCGACGCAGCTTCGGAAATGATCCCTTGTACAATACTGTCGTGCAAGCTTATATTGATACCCTCCTTCAACAAGGCTTCAACTTCCAGTGCTTCATTGAAGGTGGTCGCTCCAGAACTGGAAAACTGCTTTCACCCAAGTTTGGAATATTGAGTTTCATCATGGACAGTCTACTATCAGGTCGGGTTGAAGACCTCATCATCTGTCCGGTCAGCACTCAGTACGACAAGGTCATTGAGACAGAGTATGTCCCCCCCCCCGGCATATTAACCTTTCTGGTGAGCGTTATAATTGACAAGTTATTTAGGTCGTACATTAGCGAGCTTCTTGGCCAACCAAAGGCAAAGGAGAACTTGGCTGATTTCATTTCTTCGTCCTCGGTTTTATCCCTAAAGCTAGGCCGAGTTGATGTTCGTTTCCACGAGCCATGGAGTCTCCGAGACTTCATTGGCCAGCAGCTTACGCGACTAGATCGCCCCAGCACTGACATCAATAACAAACTTAGCTATACTGATCGAGGCCGCATTCTAAGAACATTCGGTTATCGGGTTCTGTCCGATATCAATGACGTGTCTGTGATGATGCCAACCGCCCTTGTGGGAACCGTTCTTCTGACCTTACGCGGCCGCGGAGTCGGAAAGGCCGAATTAGTACGCCGATTGGACTGGCTCTGCGATCGGGTGCGAGCCAAAGGTGGCAGAGTAGCACACTTCTATCACTCACCAACGGAGACGGTGGTTGACCGTGCACTGGAAGTCCTAGGGCCCAAACTCGTTGGTCTAATTTCAGGTCTAGTCGAGCCAACATACTATGCGGTGGATCGTTTCCAACTTTCCTTTTACCGGAACATGCTCATCCACCTATTCATCACTGAAGCACTGGTTTCCGTGGCTATGTACACAAAGATCAAGCAAGGTGGTGGGCCTGCCAATCAAAGAATCACCCACGAGGATTTGAAGAAACAGGTTTCATTCCTGTCGCAGCTTTTCCGCGGTGAATTCATTTTCCCGCCTGAGGGCTTATCTCACAATTTCGATAAGACATTGCGTGGGCTAGAGAAGGATGATGTGATCAAAATCACCCGTGATGAGTCCGGCACGCCAGTGTACGTTGAATTGAGCGAGTCTGAGCGATTATGTGGTCGCGAGAACTATGACTTCTACTGCTTCCTGATCTGGCCTTTCATCGAGGCCTCTTGGCTTGGCGCGGTGTCACTTCTTGGATTGACACCGCCTCTCGATGGTCCGAAGGAAGTTTGGATCGATTCAAAGAAAGCACAAGATAGTGCTCAAGTCGTGAGTTTCCTTTCCCATGCTATACCGACTATTTCATTAATATTCACATCCGCAGCTCGGTAAAACGTTATACCACCAAGGTGATCTTTCCTACTTCGAGGCCGTCAACAAGGAGACCCTCAAGAATTCTTATCAACGATTTGAAGAAGAGGGTATTATCTTGGTTGCGAAGAACAAAGGATCCCGTGCCGGTCCGTCTCTCAGGCTGGCTCCTGAATGGGTCCCTCGGCGTGACGAGGGTACTGGGAAGGTTCTGGACGGCGGTCGACTGTGGGACTTTGTTGAATTGATCGCACAGTCCCGTCGCGAGGGGTGAGTCCATTCTTCTCGCATTATCTCTGTCAACGAAACGTACTAACATTTCACAGCAAAAACCGTCGAGATGGTGCAACTGTCTCCTCACGCGTTCTTACCATGTCCGATATGGTTGGGCGGAAACTGTTCCAAAATGCCGCGGCTCCGGTGCCTGCCGACGTATCGTCACGGCAGATGCGCCGAAATGCAATTGGAACTGAGGCAAAGCTCTAGTCATTCCTTTTTGATACCCATGTATGTACATTTGTACACGCTGCTTCTATATCTACCTCATATTACATAGTGTCAGAATTATAGTTCTCATGCACATATTTTTTGATTTTTCCTGCGTTTGGCTCGCCTAGGCGGAGGTGCTATGTCACCATCCCCCTGATACAATGAACAAAAGGATATACAGCGGGCATACCGAGTACGAGTTCTCATACTTATAGTGTTCATATAAGGATACCATCACACTGATCCTCTCAAGAACCCTTGAGCAGATACCATGTCAGATTTCAACTTGAAGTTTACTACTATATATATTAACCCTTCTTTATTTATGGTTGATCCTATCTCCTTGTTTGCCTTTATTCATTCACCTATCGAGGGCCTTTTTTACCACATTATCAAAGACATTGCTTGTGTGAAAATGTTGTCAAATTGAAAATACCAGACAATGAGATATGAGAGAGCATAAGGACGGACAATTATGTGTCCAATAGCGAAGAAAAAGTATCACGTATATTATTGATAACTACATAGGGTTTTGGTCAACCCACTCAAAGTAAGCTATTCTCTGTCCCAATTCACCGTCACCTTAGCGCTGTGGTTTCGTTCAATCGCCACAAAAGAACTAGGTAATGGCTATATCACTTAGAACTTCTGGTCGAACGAAGCCCGTAGATTGAATTGAGAAGTGCCCAGCGAGGGGTATAAGGCCTCACGTTGCCTAGATAGCAACAACCTCAACATAGAATCGGGTATCGTCAGTCTTGTACGCGGGGTTGCTGTCGATCTGTTGCTTAATCCACTCGACGGAGGCCTTGTAGTCTGGGAAGGGGTCAACGTCACCATCACAAGCGTAGCCATATCTTGAAGACTTACTGAGAATGTCCTGGGTATAGGGATTCGCAAGACCGCTAGCACCGTTACGGTGGCCAGCAAACCACTTGTCGTACCCGTAGTAGCGCTGGCAGTCCCAGCGGGAGGCGATATCCGCCTTCACGTTAGAGCTTTCGAAAGGTAAGCTGTCATTCGAAACATGATATCATCGAGGGTTTCCTTACTTGAGAATGGCACCGTTGTTCCAGTTCGCCTCAGGCTGTCCAACAAAGCCATATCGCGAGGCACAGACGCGGAGTTGGCCCCAGTTCTGCTTGAACAGACCGAAGTTGGCTGCATCCTGGGTCTTGGCGTCGCCGTAGGGATAGTGCGCAGTGTTCATGTCCTCTCTGTGATTGACTATCAGCATTATACAGAGGTATGTATGTCGTGGTAAGAATCCTACATCTCGAGCATGGCAATGGCAATATCGAGAGTGTTACCACCGGCTTTGAGAATTGCCTGCTTGCGCGCACCGAGGCCAGAGACAGTGTAGTGGCCACGAACGTCCCGCTTCTCGAGCACATCATTGGACACTGGAGTGGCCAGCACCGTGGCTGCGAAGAGTGCAGCAACACATGAAAGGGAGAACTTCATCTTGAACTGGGAGATGATAATCTGGAAAGGATAAGTATAGAATGAGAGCTGGAGTCCTCAGGGCTTGTTGAATGAAGGGCCAAAGAACGAGGCCAAGTCGAGAGGCTTTATACTCGCGAAGCTCGACATACTTGTAAGATTAGCCGTGTATGAGTATATTGCTAAGCTCTGAATGTGAGACTTTTTTAAACTGTCCAAGTTCCACGTTGTTGGTGCTCGTCTCTTCAGAATGGTGGCGTTTATTTAGCGTTGGGGCGTTTCCCACGTTGTTGATGTCCACGTTGTTATGCGCGTCTCTTCCAAGGGTCGGCATTGTGGCGTTTCCGGCGTTGAGGAGTTTCTTCGGCGTTATTAGAAAGGCCATTTCGCTCCCTATCGGGGACAAAATTGAATTTACATTCCCTTTGTGAACTTCTGGGATGATTATGGTGGCTTCCTTGAGTAGGCCAGTGAGTATTGAATCTGTTGAATATGAGTCTCTACTTGAGACGGTACCTTGCATCCGACGGGATCCGGTAAGTGATGAATATGTCGTCTGATACTGGAAATGAATTGGAAACAGCCAGTGGGGTCTGGCAAGAGGTTCCAAGCCGTTGGGTGTTTGGTTTCACGAGGATGTCTCAAATGTCTCAAACCCTATGTCCCCAAGCCATTAGTGGTATCAATAAGATTGCTTCTCTGCTGTGCTAGAAAGTATACTGCAGAAACACGCACCCCGGATTCCACAACGACTGAGGAACCCAGGAAGTTACTCGCCGTACGGAGTGTCCGCATCTGCGCCTTTTGATGCATTGACAGGGGCACATAGAGCCAGAAATTCAATCGACTAACCGGATAAAGAACTAGCCTGATTTTACACGTGGGATTCTCAATCTGAGACACCGTTAACCTTCGGACCCTTTTCGATGTACGGCCCGTTTAGACGGAAATTACCCGAACTAGCACGGGAGAGTGTTCAGGAGTTCCGCCATGATAGACCCGAATAGGGTTAAAACATACTGATCGCCCTAAATAATCTCCGTGAAGGACCTACACTACCATTGGTTCCCGAGTCCAGGCACAGTACGGGGTAGAATCAGCCCATCTGCACTGTGGCGCATTTGTGCAAAAGCAACGTCAACTGGTGAGAGGAAAACCCGGGGTTACTGTCGATCTTCATGTGCAAATCCATACTCCGTATCCTTTTTGACAAGTTATCGCAAATCGCAGTGATTGTCGTTCGGAGAGTCTTGACTCGGGTTTCAAGGGGGTGTTGTGCAAAATCCGGATAACTAGACTGTCAAAACATATAAAGTAGCTCGCAATACCCTCAATTCCAATAGCATCCAGATCAACAGCACTCTATACAATCTTCCTGTTTACCATTCATCCATAACACAAGATGCGTTCATTCTCTTCCGTTGCTGTCCTGTCCGCGATAGGAGCAGCCTCCGCTCAAGTTGCGACTAGCCCGGCGTCGTCGTCAACTTTCTCGACTGCCATTTCTTCGACCGGACACCCTTCATCGACAGTGTCTGTGACTTCGTCCACCCCCTTGGGCACTTCTCAGCCCACTGGCAGCAGCTCTTTTGCCAAGGTCGACGGTCTCAAGTTCAATATTGACGGCGAGTCCAAGTACTTTGCTGGCACGAACTCTTATTGGCTGCCATTCCAGACCAACAATGCCGATGTTGACTCTGTCCTCAAGAATCTGAAAAAGTCCGGTCTCAAAATCCTCCGAGTTTGGGGTTTCAATGACGTTAACACCGTCCCGGAGGATGGAAAGGTCTACTTCCAGCTCCACGACAAAGCTACCGGTAAAACTACCATCAACACTGGCGCTGATGGTCTGAAGCGCCTTGATTACGTTGTTTCCGCTGCCGAGAAGTACGGCATCAAGCTTATCATTCCCTTTGTGAACTTCTGGGATGATTATGGTGGCATGAACGCCTACGTTACTGCCTATGGAGGCAGTAAGACGGATTGGTACACCGATAAGAAGATGCAGAGCGTGTACCAGGCGTACATCAAGGCTGTTGTCTCTCGCTACAAGACTTCCTCTGCCATCTTTGCGTGGGAGTTGGGTAATGAGCCTCGCTGCCCGGGCTGCGAAACCGATGTCATCGCCAACTGGGTAGCCAAGACATCTGCCTACATCAAGTCTCTCGATTCCAACCACTTGGTCACCACCGGTGAAGGTTTGTGTTCCTGAGACAGCCAAAACTGTTAATATATTCTAACCCGTGATATAGAGGGCATGGGCCTAACCCCCGGATCGGATGGATCTTACCCTTACACTCACAAAGAAGGCAGCGACTTCGCCAAGAACCTTGCTGCCCCTGATATTGACTTTGGAGTGTTCCACCTCTACGTGGCTGACTGTAAGAATACTGCCCAAGCATCCCAAAGACGCAGCACACTAACCCATCCTAGGGGGTATCAAAGATAATGAGTTTGGCAACCAATGGATCGAGTCCCACGCCAAGATCTGCGACGAAGCTGGAAAGCCTTGCATGTTCGAGGAATATGGCATCAAGAATGACCACTGCTCCGACTCGCTGAAGTGGCAGAAGACCGCCCTGTCCACCCCGGCAACGCTGCTGATCTCTTCTGGCAGTATGGCCAGAAGCTGTCCACCGGTCCCTCGCCAAATGATGACTACACCATCTACTATGGCACTGATGACTGGAAGTGCACTGTCACTGACCATGTCAGTGGGATCTAAGAGTGGAAACGTCTGAATATTGTGCTGAGGACTGGATCTAAGCGGGTATTCTTCGGGCTCTCATATCTCTTGTTTGGTTCATGGCTCGATACAAGTCATTTCAGGCGACGCATCGCCTGGGGCATGCATTTCTCATCTTTGTGATTTAGCTTACCAAGAAAGAGTACACAATGAATTTTTATAGGATCGGGAATATCAGGCTGATTTTACTGATTACCTGGGTTGTCTGTAAGTCATCTTTTTAGTTTATAGTAAGGCCTATATATAAAAGAGCAAAATCTAGGCTCCCTTGATGTATTTGTAGTTATACATGTATTTGGTCGGTCTAGTTAGCTCCTACATATGCCATATGACATGCAATATATATTTGGACTGGTGAGTGATGCAGGTACAAAGTGGTTTCTCCAACTCGCTAACATTGTTGCTGTTTACATGCAATCTTCAAACAAAGCTATAAATACTCAAATATAAACACAACATAAGAAGAATGAAATCCAAATCCGCTGAAACGTTCCAATAAAATCTCAAAACAGATATGCGGTAGAACAAAAGATGAAAACACAAACAAAAGAAAAAACAAAAGAAAAAACAAAAGAAAAATGGCTCAGGCGCTATAGAAACAATATATCGAAGTCACCAGAATCAAAATCAAGTCCTCATAAACTGACCCTTCGCACCGGGACTCGTAGGGGCGGATCGAACAGTCATAACCTTCGGAGAGGAAACATCAATCGGCGCCAACTTCTCAATACCCTTGGCGCCCAAGGGCGTCTTAGGAGGTGAATCAGTGACCGCAGCATCGGCAGAGTTCTTCGCAAACTCCTGAAGCCGACCCATAATGACCGGCGAATCGGAGTACAGCACAACACCCTGCGAGTAGGTACATCCGGTAGCTTTCTCTTCATCACTCGCAAAGTCCTCGTGAGCAGCCTCGCGCGTAATACGCGGGAAGGTGCGCAGCACGACATGGCGCGTGGGCTCGTTCGACGGGGTGGTTTTCTGATCCTTGTTTGCAGCGTACTCCAGCCAGCCTTCGTTCGAGACACTCTCAGCGTCCGGGGCTGGGAAACTAGCGAGGACGAGCTCGCGCTCGACGCGCGCGTGCCTCCATGTCTCGGCGGCGAGCTTGACGATCTTTCGAACGCCGATTAGGAGGGAGTCGAGGTGCTTGGGGTCTGCGAAATGCTTGATGTGGTCGATGATTTCGTCGACGATTACTGCTGCGGCTACGTTGATTGATTGTTTTGCGTCTGAGGTCGTGTAGGCTGCTTTCAGGGTCTGTTGACGCCAGAATGCTTCGCGACGGACGGACTTGCGTCGGATGTCCATGGATAGCATCTGGAAGAAGGTGTCGGCTTTGTCGTATCGTCGGCCCAGGGTGAAGAGGAAGGGTTGGAAGACTCGGAAGGTTAGGGTTTTTGAGATGATGTGCTGGATGTAGGCACATCGGAGTTCGCGGGAGGCTGGGGTGTTGTCAAGGAAAGGTGGAAGTTCGGATGGAATCTTGGAAAGGATGTCTTTTGGGGGATCGATGGGGAGATATCCGAAGTGCTCTTTGGATAGATTGTGGATGAGCTGCGAGAGCTCTGTGAAGCAGTCCAAGCTAAAGATGAAAGAGTTTATTAGATCGTGTCCATTTATCGTTATCAACATGAGTCTATAAGAGAATGTATGTCCGCTGTGCGCTGATGCAGTTCAAACAAAGGAAATATAGAGAATGAATGACTTGTCTTCAAGAAGAAGACGAAAAGCAGAAGGAGAAGGCGAAAAAGAAGATGAAAAAGGAAAAAAGGAAAAATAAGCAAATCCATAGGGCTTTAAAGGCTCACTTACAAGAATTGGTCGCCCTTGGTGTTTCTGAGGTCAGTGGCCTCTCCCAGGCTGAGCAGTGTCTTTCTCAGCCTGTCGCAATCCGAGCCCAAGTTGTCGATGGTCATTCGCATGCCGTCCACCGCACGCTGAAGGTGCTGCTCCTTGACAATTCCGTCTCCTTCCAACCTTTCCTTCTCTCTCTCGGCACTGGCAAGCTCGCTATCTTTCTCGGAGAGTTGTTGCTCCATGGCAGCGCGCTCCGTGGTCCAAAGCTTCTCTTTCTCATTGAAGTGAGCTTCCAGAGCCGCAATCTTCTCGTCCAATTCCTTGGCAGCAGCAGCAAGTTGTTCGTCGTGGGATTGTCGCATGGAGTCCAATTCACCAGCATGGCCTTGTCGAAGTTCTTCCGATTCTTGGGCGTGCTTCTGGCGGGTTTCTTCCAGTTCTGCAAGCTTGGCTGCTAGTTCCTCACGTGTCGATGTGA